AGCACAATAGCTTGCATATGAGCTGGCTGCTGTAGACGACCCCATGATAGTAGATAATCTCAAAAAATAATTTTGGGTAAAAATTGATTTAAAAGTTCGATTAAATAAGTGAGATCATTCAATTGGGGTAAAATGAATCTATTAAAATATTCGACAATTTCATAATTCAGTTTGATTTAATTTAATAGAGAATGAATGATTTGTTTTCTAGTATGAAGGAGTCTATTAAATTGATTTTTTAAATCCAGAAGACTGAAGATGATAGATTTCTATACATTATCAAAAATAATTCAAATCCATTTGAATGCTCTTCAACAGAATTAGATTACATAGTGAAAATAATAGAAGGTAATATTTTTGAGGATCACAATTTAAAAAAAAAATAAGCTTCCTCTGAACTTAATGAGGCAATTGAGAGTTTGAGTAAGGTGCTGTTTATAGCTTAAGAATAAAGAAAGTTCATTTAAAATATCGAGAATTAATTGTAAAAAATTTAATATAAAATAGCACGAAAGTCAATAAAGAAAAAAGTATAATTACTTTGAAAGGATTTTAGAAATCGAAAAATACATTAGAACAAACCACTTTTAATCTCATTATTTCTAATGAAGGAAATTAAGTTTATCAAAAGGATGGTTAGATACTTAGAATGTAAGTTTAATGGTAGAATATTATAGAGAAACGAAGTAACCATAAAGTTCAAAGGATGAATAAATATTAAATAATATAGAATAGATTAAAAATTTATAATTTATAGGAGGGTACGGTGCTGATGGATAAAAAATTAATTTATGGCACTATTTTTGGAAGGGAGAAAAAATTGGAGGAGGTGTCTATAGTGAAATTGGTTAAAAATAAGGAATGTGGCAAGATATATGTGAAAATTATTGGGAGTATATATACATTTTGTTAAATAAAATTTAGTAAAAAAAATGTGGTAGAGGAAGGTTAATATGAAGATGGAAAAAGAATTGGCGCCTGGAATTTCATTTATAATAATTAAAATATGTAAATTATTTGAAAATATGTCTAGTGGAGGGGGGTAATACGATAATGAAGGATATGGAACTAAAAAAGGAAATTGGATTGAGTTAGCTGATTAATTTATGAATCAATCTTAAGTCTTTACTAGTGGTCGGTATCATAATAATAAGAAAATTGATCGTTGGGATATTATATTTAGGGGTTAATCGATGTAAAATTATATTCTTATACGTTATCAACTAAAAGTGGTGGTGGATCTTATGAATATTAGCTTGAGGGAGATTCAATTAAAATAGGGAAGTGGATTGAATTGAACGATAGATTTTATGATGATTCCTAAGTCACTCATGTTGGATTATATTGTAATGGTAAAAAAGTTGGTAAATGGGATGTATATTATCAGGAGAATTATGGTGATAAAACAAATCATTAAATGTAGAAATAATTCTATTTATTGTAGTGGTGGTGGATAATACGAAGATTAGTTAGATGGAGATTAAATGAAAATTGGAAAGTGGATTGAGTTGAATGATGGATTTTATGATAATTCACAAGTAACAAATGTTGGTGAATATAAAAATGGGAGAAAGGTTGGCAAATGGGTTATTATGTATAAGGGATAAGAGATGTAAAATTATTAATTTAGATTTTAAATTAAACAAGTGGTGGTGGTTCTTATGAATGTTGGGCAAAGGGAGATTCAATTAAGATAGGAACATGGATTGAATTGAGCTATGGATTTTATGATGATTCTTAAGTCACCTATGTGGGTGAATATTAGAATGGTAAAAAAGTCGGTAATTGGGATATTTGTTATAAGTTTTATCTTTTCGAAACACAAAACATTATTATGTAAAGATAGATTAAATCTAAGTGGTGGAGGAGTGTATGAAGAAAATTTCGAAGGAGGTTCTGTTAAGGTTGGTAAGTGGATTGAATAAAGTGAAACTTTTAATTGGAATTCTTAGATTACTTATATTGGTGAATATAAAAATGGGAAAAAAATAGGTAAATGGAAGATTTGGTTTAGATATTATGTTTAAAAGTTGGAAGAATAATTTGATGTAAATCTTGGATCAATAATAGTGGTGGAGGATCATATGACGATAATGTAGAAGGAGATTCTGTTAAGACAGGATAATGGATTGAAATAAGTGAGGGGTTTCGGCGGATTTCTTAAACTAAATACTCTGGTGATTACAAAAATGGTAGAAAAGTTGGTAAATGGAATATTGATTTTATAACAAAAGATATGTAATAATATTTCATTATTAGATATTCTAATTTTAATGGTGGTGGATTTTATGATAAAGAAGACTCCTTTAAAACTGGAAAATGGGTTGAGTTGAGTGATCGATTTTATAATTATTCATAAGTTACGTATGATGGCGAGTATAAAAATTGTAAAAAAATTGGAAGATGGATTATTAAATTTGAGGATGAAGAAATGTAAGTTCATGAAAAATTCTTCTTTTTAGTGGTGGTGGATATTATGATAACCAAGATTCTTTTAAGACTGGAGAATGGATTGAATTGAGTGATAGATTTGATTTTTATTCCTAAGTTACTTATAAGGGTAAGTATCACAAAGGTAAGAAAATTGGTAAATGGGATATTTTATGGAATTTTAAGGGGGTGAATTATGAACTGTAATATATTATTTATATGGTATAATAGGGGGGGTGGATAATATGATCATTAAACAGATGGTTTAAGTTCTATAAAGATTGGATTTTGGATTGAGTAGAGTGATTAGTTTGATAAATGGTAATCAATCTTGAATGAAGGCCATTATGAAAATGGTAAGAAAATTGGTAGATGGGTGGAAGTGAAATTCTAAAAAATTAAAAAAGAAGTTGAATTTGATTATGTAAACTGAAGCGTAATAACAAATTAAGTTATGAATTTCTAACTATAATTATTCATCCATATCCATATGTAAACATCTAGAAGTTGTAAGTTTCAATAATCGTTAAAATTGTTGAGCTCTTTAGGTTAATTCTAGTGTGAGTTGATTTAATTATATAATTTTTTTCTCATTAATACTTATACCTTTTGAAAAATAATATATTTTAAAAATCAAATTTTTTTAATCGTAATGTAAGAAATAATAATCTCTCATCTGGTTATCAAAATTATTAAATCTATTTACCCTATCATTAATTCAGTGAACAAGATTCTTTATTTCAAAGTAAATTTGAGTTTATATTGAGTCAATAAAATAGCCAAAGGGTTTGTTGACACTGTCTGTTTGTATCAATAATATTATATATGTTTGTACTAAATGTGCTAAAGTTGGAAAAAATGTTTGTTGGTTTTATAATTGGAAAAATGGTTTAGCCATTAGCAATAAATATTAGGAATCAATAAATGTAAACTACCTTATAAAAATGGCTTCATTAATATACTTAAAACAATTAATTAAGAATATTGAGATTTTGTAAACTTATTAGCCAATATCGAAAGCAATTTTTAATTAACTTCATAATATAATATAAATTAAATATATGGAGGCAATAAAATATGCCAATTGTATTGACTTGATATATTTAATTTAAATTATATAGTGATATACATTGTTAAAATAAATGATGTTATTTTCTTAAAACAATGATTAAATTAACACTTTTTTTTTTCAAAGATAATTTGAATATTTTTGTAATTAATACTTAAATATAATAATTATTGTCATCTATTTTAATAGATCGTATAATGATCTTTGATATCTATAGCAATTTCTTTTGAGACGATAAATATTCTAATTTAATTTTAGGTATATACATTCTTTATTTTCTTTATAATTCATTTTAATATAAAATATTAACAGTTTCTATTATTCAGAACAAACTATTATTAGCCGTTATATTTCAAAGATTAGTTCAAAAATAGATTCTAATTAATGTTTACTTTTATATATATAATTTCTAATTGATGTTTTATATAATGATAAATTTTGTTAGAAATCCTTTTATACGGATTTTGTGTTATGGTTTCTCACATCAAAGATTTTTTATCAATAATGGTCTTATTGTAATTATCTGAATGTAATCAAGAAAAATTAATAATAAAATAGTGAGTTGATAATTTACAACGATGACATCAACGATCATTATATGAATCAATAAAATAAATAATGAAATTAGAATCAATAAAATGAGAAATTTGATAATTTTTGGATTGATTTTGAATTCAATATTGTGCTTAAATCCAATAGAAGATGAAGTAAAGGAATGGCCATTTTATCCAGAGTATAATTTTAAAACTTACAGCGGATTTGTCGATACATATGAAGGGAAATAGTATCAATAATGTTTAAGTGTAGGAAAATCCATTATATATTTATGGAAAGCATTGAAAGTCCTGAGAATAAACCACTGATTGTATGGTATGGGGGTGGGCCAGGATGTTCTTGTATGTTGGGTTTGATTTCAGAAATAGGGCCTTATGTAAGAGAAAAATTTAGTTAAGAATTTGTCTATACTGAAAATCCATATTCCTTACACAAATTGGCAAATATATTATATTTAGATATTCCCGCTGGAGTAGGGTATTCTGAGGTTCACGATGAAGATTATGAATGGAGTGATACAAATACAGGAATTGATTCATATGAAGCAATAAAAACTTGGCTAGAGGGATTTTAAGATTACAAAGACAGAGAAATGTGGATAGGAGGAGAATCGTATTCAGGTAGAATTATGCTCATTTTTTAGGTATGTATGTGCCTTGTACTGCAGAAGTAATTGTGAAGAAAAACAAAGAAGGAAAAAATAGAATTAACTTGAAAGGAATACTTGTAGGAAATGGTGTTTTGGTAAACGATGATGACTTTTTTGATTTATGGAATAGAGAATATATGATTAAAAGAAATTTTTACGACATTGTAACATAAAATGTTATGCATAATTCATGTTTGAGATCACCTTAATCTGCAAGTTGTTAGAAAGCATTGGAGACATAAGCTATAGTAATGAAAGATTTAAATCCTTATGATGTGTATGGATATTGTTATGGAGATTCCTCAATAGAGTAGAAAGGGAGGTATAGAACTATTAGGGACTCTGATGAGGCCCCATGTATAGATGTTGGACCCTTAAATAATTTCTTTAATAATCCTGAAGTAAAGAAAAAATTAAGAATCCCAGAGGAGAGAACTTGGGAAGCCTGTAATATGGACGTCTTTTTTGGATTTCACAGAGATAAGGATAGTCATGTATTGATGAAATATCTCTTTGAAAATGGGATAAAAATACTTCAATACTCTGGAAATTCAGATGATATTGTAAGTATTGATTACACTCTTGCATCCTTGAAACTTATTGATGGTATTAAACTAATATCGAGAACGCCTTTCGCAAATAAGGAGACCAGATAATTGGGTGGATGGATTATGGAGTACAACTATTTAACTCTTTATATTGTCAGAGGTGCAGGTCATTTGGTTCCTTACGATTAAAGGGCTAATGCTTTCTAAATGTTCCAAGAATTCATGGGCAGATAATGAGAAGTTTATTCTAAGTATTAAGAGATAATATTATAAATATTATTTATCAATTAACAATAAATCTAAGCTTTTTAATATAAAACTAAGTTTTTTGTTTCCTAAAATCAAAAGTCCTACAATAAATTCCGAGTTAAAAAAAACTGTTCTGATGTTGTTTCTAGTAAAATTATTAAAATTAATAAATGTTATGATTTTAAATGATACTTTTATTATTGAGAATTAAAATTCATTAAACTTTAGATTAGATTAAGAAATTGAATTTCGTCAAAGTTAATCTAAATAGAAAAATGTAAAGTAAGATTATTATAATTTTAGTAAATTGAGTATCTAATCCCAACAATTAACAAGAAATTGTGGAAAAAAATGTATGAGAAATAAATTTTCCAAGAAAAACATATGAATTGATATATTAGATTTCAAATAACAATTACAATTAAATTATTAAGCCAAAAAAGTCATTTGAATCCTCTTTTCTATTTCCCCAAGAAATAATTGCAAGAATGGATAATGAATTAAACTCTTTAAATATCTTATAAGTGATTTACTCTTAAAATTTCTAATAAATTCAATCCATCCTTCAATCCATTTTTATAGCATCACTATATTGAAGGATTGATTTTACATTGTTTCATAAAAGTATCCATCAGATTTTTGATATAAATTCTCCATCTTCCTTATTTTATTCCCTCCCTATATTCTCCAAACATGTATGATCTAAAATTTCTATTCATTTAATTATTTAATGAAATTGATACCCTTCTAAATTCTCATCTTTCTCAATCTATTTACCTTATTTCAATCCAAAACATCATGACACTCCATTATTTGTCTCAGTATTCAACTTACCACATTTTATTCCATTCTGATACTCTCCTATGTTCATAATTTAACACCTACTTTAATACACATCCTTACTCATTATATTGACCACCTCCACTATTAATAGCATATATTATGCTATAATATTTCTAAATATAATGTCCCACATCTCAACTTTTTTGCCAATTATGTATTGCCCTACTTATGAGTCGCTTAAATTTTTATCAAAATACATACTTTTTATCCAGTTCAATCCACATTCCTTGCTTTTTTACCATTCTCATTTTCAATACCTCTTCTAGATTTATTCAAACACAGCAAAATATGATTTATTAGAAATTCCCATCATCCATCCTTTAAGCATTTTCTACTATCTGGCTTAAATCCTTAAATCTGATTCTAATTTGATAATGCGACCCTTATCCATTTTCTATTTTATTTCCATTTTCATTATAATATTCAATTTCGAGTAACTTTTCTGGAAAATTTGTTTTCCAAATTCCAATATTTCTTCCAACTATACATTCTCCTTGGTAAGTCACTTCTAAAGTACTATTTTTGAAATAGCTATTATGCTTATTAAAGTTTTCATGTAAGTCTTTCCATTTCCATGCTTCAATTCATTTTCATTATAAAAACCTCCTTTTCTAATTTATCCTCCTATATTTAATCCTTAACCGCTCCAATTTGCCCCCCATTTACCTCTTTCTAATTTTCCTTTTCAAATTATCCATAACACTTTAGATGTTATATTTATTCTAAATTTCTAACTTCAATATAGTCAGTTAATAGTAATATGTATGTTATTTTCATAATGTTCTCTACCAGGCACAAATCTTTGTTTATCTCTTGATTATTAATTAAGAATAATACATTTTTAGAATTTATCCATCATGTATATATTGAATATATCTATTAATGGCTAAACCTAGTTGATAATAATTCCCTACATTTTAATGAGTTTTAGCTAAAATTGAATTATAAGGTTGTTTAAAATCTATTCAGAGTTTCCATATCAGATTTATTATAAATTAATGATTAATATTGTTAGGCACTTAAGGTGGAAATTACTGATTCATATGACATCAATATATTGCAATTGTTCAATGATACTCTTAAAATTAATTATACAGACCTATATTATAGAAGATAGTAAATTAGATATTATTAATATTTAGAATTTGGCTTAAGGTTTTTAGAATTTGTATAAGCAGAAATTAACCTGAATTTATCAATCGGAAATATGTTTATCAGAGATATATAATTCGGATTGAATATTAATCATTTTAATTAACATAATCCATATTGCACAAACTCTCATTGTTTCAAAATCGGATTTTGAATGAATTATATGAAAAAAAAATAATAATGAAATTTGTATATACATTCATTCTCTATCTAGCTGTAGTGAAATGTAGTAATTCTTTTACATTTCAAATAAATTCCGGAGATTTAAGTAGAACAACCTTGGAATTCTATGCTAATCACCCTGTTTACTAATTGAGTCTCAGATGCGATGTAATTAATAATTTACAATTCTAAGGGCTACAATTCTGACCTTTGGTTTGCTTACAACTACACTAATTTAGCTGTCACTCCATAACAAAGATAATAATATAAATGTTCCGATAAGAACTTCACTATTACCTTATCGAATGATTTTACAGAGGAATACGCTACAATCTAAGTCGCCAATTACACCAACTCTATGAAAATTCAAAGTTTTGATTTCATCACTAATACATAATCCTCATATAAGACTGCTTTGACTGTTAATAAAGCGATCACTTAAGGTCTCTACTACACTTTGAATGATTTCAGTTTGTAGGTATCTTATCCATCTACTGTGTATGTTGAAATTTTCAAATGCCCAACTTCTCCATTAAAGATTGAAGCCAAGACTTATGATTAGTTTGGGCAATATAGAAATTTATCCGGAACTAACAACAATAAATTCTTCTATGATGTTTTTAATACAACCAATGGAAGTTTTAATTATAGATTAGAATAATCGAGTTACGATTCCCCTGATGTTTTTATTAAAGTAATAATTAATCTAAAATTTTAGTACTAAAGAGCTTAATTATAAGATATAAAGGAAATAAACACATATATAACAAATTACTATCTAAAACCTTCGGCTGAAGTAAAAGGTGATAAAATATTTATCACATTTCCAGCGTTTTAAGTGTAGAATAATGAAAATATTGAACTTCGTGTATCTGTTGGTTATGATGGTTCAGAGTAGAGGGAAATTATTTGTGCTTATGGAGATGCTGATATTTGGAGACAATACAATTCCTATTATACAGGCACATACAATTTAACATATAACAGATATGGGATCAATGAATTGGTTACTGATTTTCCAGGTTATACACAAGGAAAGTACAACATTCGAACGACTGCTATTATCAATTTTGGATCCATTAAATAAACCATTCCACTCCAAACAATTTCAGTTTATAGAAATTTATACGCACCAGCTGGATCATTATTGGTTCATATTTTGGCTCCAATAGTAATTTCTGTTTTAGCTTTGTTTGGATTGATCGTCGGAGGTTGCAAATATAAGAAGAAGAAGGATCTGTATTTATAAGAATAATAATTGGCACAATTGCAACAGCAACATTAAATACAGAATCCTTATATAGGTATTTAATGAAGACATATATGAGTAATTTATATAAAATTTATTTATTTAACTCTATAATAGACATATCTCCGATAGCATATCATTTCTTTTACAAAATATTCTCCAACTTTTAAATTTCATTTTTTATTTCTTTGTAAAGCTTATATTCTTTTTCTACTGGAGCAATATCTTTATGAAATCTAATTCTTCTATTGTGGGTAGTTGTGAATTCATTTTAAAAGTTATTCAATTTCTCTCTCAATTCTGCTCTTGTTTTCTTTAAATCCTCTATTCTCTTTTGAATTTCTCCTTAGGTGTTATTTGTTGATTGCTTATAAGTTGGAAGTTGAATTCCTGGATTTTGAGTAACTTTGTCAATTTGTTATTTCAATTTTTTATAGTATATATATAAGGGTCTCATAGGTTCTTTTTCATTTCTTAATGGAAATCTATTGAAAATTGATTAAAAATTCGCATCATAAAACTTGAGTTCATTTTTTACTCGTTTCTTTTCATTCTAAAGTTAATCCATGGACATCAATTCTAAATCTCTTTTTGTTAATTTGGCTAAATCTATATTCAATCTATAATATCATAAGCATCTTACTTAGTTAATGATTCTTATAGTTTTTATGGGCCAATAATATTAACCCATTATTCTATTGTTGGAGGATTGGATAATTTTTATTATGGTTGCTCAAATTTTGGTTGATCAGATTGCATAGAAGATATAGATGATGAAGATGTGTTATTTGAGTTCTTTTAGTAATTATCATAAACTGGATTGGGTTTTTTAAAATTATATACAGCTCTTGGATTAAAAAGTTTAGCAACTGATTCTGATAGCAATTCATTTAGTATATCGATTTCCATTTTTATTTATTATTTTATATATTTCGTCAAATAATTCAAATTGCTACTTCTAATAAATTGATTGATATCATCAATAAATGAAAACATTCAATACATTAATAGATTATTATCTACTAACACAAATGTAATTCCTTTAATACTTCAATCAGTATTCTCAATTAAAAGGGGAGTCATATAAAATTTATAATCTGCATAGAAAATAAATAACATAATATTTAATAATCTGTGTCGTTTATAAATGTTTGATGAAGGAATAAAAAGTGAATTGTCGATAATATTATTCATGAAAATGTAAATGATATATTATTAATTTTATTTATTATAAAATGAATGTATATTGTTAAATGGCTGGGTATCATCAAGGTATTGTATGTAAATATAGGTGAAGATGAGCCTTTAGAATTATTATGTATGAATCCAGAATGCATTTCTATGAACAAAGTTTTGAATTGTGTTTCATGTATCGAGGAAAATCATATAGGTCATCAAGTGATTCACTATAAAAAGTTCATTAATCTACTGCAGAAATAAGGGAATAGTTTATTAAATGAGATAGTAAAAATTTAATGTATTGGAATAGGAATTTAGATTCTAGGAATCTACAGTGTAAAATGACTTAGTGTGCAAGTTAAAAAACTTAATAAAATAATTAACAGAATTATCAGACATAGTAAATGATGCCATTCATAAATAGAAGGATATGTTAGAAAGGAAATTGTAGTATTATGAATGTATGTACTTTTGTTGAATTTTTTTAGAATTTTCTTGTGTGCTACCTACTTAAGATACCTTTAACAAAGCTATCAAATAGCATGACTAAAATTTGATATAGAAGTTGATGAGTTAGTTTTTTTAGAAGGTTGAATACAATACAAAAAGATAGGAGTTTTTGGTAAGAAATAATTATATTTTGGATGCTGCAGAAGAAACTGATGGAGAAAATCTATTATTTAGAAAACTTAAGGATGTAATGAATTCTTTTAGGAGCGATGTAGATATGAATTATTAAACCCAAGTTTCATAATAAAGCAATAGCCACTTATAAAAAAAACTATCTTAAACTAATAATGAGTTTAAGCGATCTCATCAACAATTACCAAGTTATAAAAAGATCACAGCTATTGAAAAATCTCCAGGATCTCCAGATGATAAAATTTCGGTTAGTCAATCTTTGAGTCAATTTTACTATAAACCAAATAATTTGAAGAAACGAATAGGATAATAGATGTCTTTGGTAGAGACTTCAAACACATTTAGTACAAAATATTCATTCCATTCAGAATGTTTTGGATAGGGATTGTAAGTAACATCTAAATAAGTGAAATTAATTTTAGATTGCGATAAAAGTATTGCATTCATTAAGCCATCTATATATGGAAGTGGATTGGCAAGAGAATAAAGAGTAACCCTCGTTATCAAAGTATGCAGAAATTCAAATCAAAGATACCCTATGGCAGTAGGAATTTGTGATCAATAAAAATTATAAGAAAATAATTTCGTTTTTACAGGATCAGCTGAGCATATGCCAGGATCAAATAATAAAGATCATGGATGTTACCTACTTAATTCAAATGGATATATTAGATCAATGACAGGATCGGATATGATCAGGAGTTCACCTAATTTAAGATTCTATAGTAACTCTACTTTAGAATTAACATTCAAACCATTTCACAAATAATTAATAATTAACAGAGATTAATAAGTGTAGACTACTATACCTTTAGAATTTTATAAAGATTAGAAACTTTTCTTTTGTGTAAGATTAGCAGATTTGCATGATTGTATTGAAATATTATGAATAATATTAATATATAATAAAGTATTGAATAAGAAATAATGAATAAATTATAAAATTAATGAATTATGTAAAATTTCAGGAGGATGTAGATGATGGGATTGAACCTGATGAGCATTCATCAAAGATAGACTTACAGGAACTCTCATTAATAATTGATTTAACTTAACTGGAAGGATTTAACATATTTTAATCCATTTATGCTATACATTTTAAAGGGTTTAGTAGAATTTAAGATGCTGCAATATATCTCTAACATGACGAAACTCACAGATATGTTTAATCGAGTAACAATTGTGGAGTTTGCAATAAAGATAGGGAGTTTCATCTGATGATTGATGAAAATAGTGAGAAGATAGTTGCAAAAATAATCAGAATAATAGATATTATATACTAAAATTAATAATGCTGTGTATGTTATTTGATGTACTTGGACAAAGATTTGGTTCATCTAAATTCAGAAAAACACATGATATGCTTAAATTGCTTTTACAATTATTTAAGGCAATCAATAGAGGATAGAAAAATCAACAATATTAAATGTCCTCATTGTGATATTCCAATTAGAGATATTGATGTCCTGGAACATTCACAAGAACTTTATACAAAATACATAAAGTGTCATCAAAACTTGGAAATTGCAATGAATCCTAATAAGGCATGGTGTCCTACAATTAATTGCAATAGTGTAATAGAATTTAAACAGTTATCAACAGTAGCTACTTGTGCTTATTGTTAAATTGAAGTTTGCAAACGATGCAAACAAAGAGCACATCCACTTCAAAGTTGCGAAGAGAACTTATAATAGGTTTTAAATGAGTGGTAAGAAAATAGAGATACATAATAATGTCCAAGATGCAAAATTATAGTTGAGAAGATTAATGGTTGTAATCATATGACTTGTTAGTTTTGTTAACATGAATGGTGTTGGATTTGTGGAAGTGATTATACATCAATTCATTATGCAATATTCAATCCTTTTGGTTGTCCTGCCTTGATGCCAGGATGGATTCGATAAAAAGATTGGTCATATGTTAAGTTAATAATTTGGAGGTTCATCTGCTTTATACTCTTAATAATATTAACCCCTATGGTAGTATTAGTGATTGCTCCTATTTTGTGTATAGCTAAACTAATCCAAACAAGATTTTACAGAGATAAAAATTGTTGGATTCAAGCATGCTTATTGATTTTTGCTTTTATAATAGGTATTGCACTTATACCTATTGCTATTATTGTCTTTGCTGTTGGTAATTCTTTTCTTAATATTTAGCTTTGGTGCCTTCTATTATCGGAATAATAGTATTTTATTACGACGAAAGGAAGAGGCTAGAATTTAGACATTAAACTGCGTTATCCAGACATTTCCAATAAAATCCTTGATTATAATTTATAATAATGATTAGCAATTATGATATTTCCTGTATAATAGAATGAGTAGATTAGAGGAGCTCTATAAATCAGTTCAATAATATATCATGCTTTCTTTCGATTCATCTTGATTTTAGTATCATTTTATTTCAGGAACTTTTTTGAGCAAATATATTCCAATTGCAGATTCGATTGCTACGATTACATACAAAATCGGATAATGAGCTAATGTTGAGGCAATTGCCATTCAGACAAATCAAGATATACAATCATCGTTTTTTACTATTTGATGAATAATTCCTTAGATTTCATGAACTTTTCTGATATCAAAAAAAATTATAACAGTAATAAAGTGAATAATTAATAATAATATTTAGAGTAAGAATATGTGTCATTTCAAACCTGCTATTACAGCATTTAGGATTTTAACGCAATTTTAGATTTCAAAACAGTACCATTCTGTTAAAATTATATGGGATGCGAAATAATTTAAAAATTTTTAACTTATGAATCAAATATATTGAAAATATTATTGAAAACCTCATAATTTCATCTGAAATATTAACGTAATTACTTAATTTCTATTTATAATGCTATTGTAAATTAAATTAAGGAGTCTCAAGTTAATTACGAATTTATATTCATAAATCCAACCATCAACCATAGAATAAAATACGGAACTTAAATGTTTTTTATAATTTGTGGGAAAAAATATTCCTGTTTTGAAAAAAATTATCAAAAATTAGTTATTTATTATTGAATTTAATCTTGAAATTTTACTAGATTTTAGTAGAAGCTATCTTTAATGCAGATATGATTTTTGGATATGTATATTGAACGTAAAAATAATGTATCATTCACCTCCTGAAGATTTAGATCCTGGAGCAACGAATTGTTAGATTTCATCATAAAGGACTAAAACGAGTGAAGCACCAATTCCTCTGAAGAAATTAGAAAGGGCTCCTTTGAAGAAGGCTTTTGTTCCTTCATTCTTAGCAATTTTGACAGCACAATCGAGTGTATTTTTATAAAGAATATCAGCTCTTCCTAATTAAAAGATAATGATAAGAAAATACCTGATTACATCATCATTCTTCTTCTAATTGTATCTAAGGGATATGAGATGACTCCTGCAGTTCCGGTGATGAATTAAGCAACAATGAATTTTGCAATAATGTTATTCATCATTGGATTTTTAAATATTGTACCCTTAGCTGTGTCATATGTACCAAAATAGACACCTCTATATACTACAATTCCCAAAACTGAAACTCCAAAACCTCTATACAATCCGATGAAACCATCAGACTTGTAAACTTTGCTCAAACAATCTGATAATCCAGTGAATTATCTCTCAGATTTCCTTAACAATGTCTGCAGCCAATCTTGTTCTTGCAAAATCGAGTGGATAAACAACCATTAAGGAAGTAGCACCAGCTGCACCACCTGAAGCCATATTTCCTAAGAAGAAGAGGAATCTCTCTTTCTTTGGGTCTTAATAATTAAAATAAGAATTACCAAATGGACAAAGGAGCTTTTTGTAGGCATCTTTGAAAGCAAAGTTCAATGCTTATGTTGGGAAATATCTGATGACATTGGCCAAATTACCTCTCCATAAGGCAGATAAGCCCTTTGATCATTGAATGTTATAAGATACCTCTTCTTTTGGGACTCTGATGAAGCAGTCTACAATACCATTGTATTTCTTGGCACCACCTTCTTAAATTTTTTTATTAGCATCTTAGGTTTAGAGTAACAATTTGACTCTTTCAATTGGAGCAACAGCAGTCTTTGAAACAGCGGCTGACACACCACCAATCATGAAATCTCTTATGAAATCAGCCATTTATAAGATAAAAATAAATCTTTTTGAAATTTTGGAACAAATTTGTGCTTATATATCACAAATAAATAAATATTATATACTATTCATTAATTTTCTTATTTTTATTACACCACTCTTAATTTGTTTTATTAAAACCTTTTTTAAAAGCTAATTTCTTTTATTTTCTCTTACATTCATACTTATCAATTTAGCCATAACATTTTTCTCTTCACATTGTACACCTTTCAATATCTCAATTGAATTTACTCATTTTCTTTCAAATATTAATAAAACTTATTCGTATTTTTCAACAAATCCTTAAAATATAATGAGTTTTTATCTTATATAGCCATTATATTAAATGGCTATATCATTTACCATCATTATTTCTTTGATTATTGAATATGAGTGTTAACCTTATTCTAAGATTCATAAAATGTAACTCTTTGTAAATAAAGTATTTATTTAAGTGTTGATAAAATGAATCAAAGCTTTCATTAATCTGCTTATTATCAAAGTAAAGTAACACACTTTAGCAATTGAGTTTTTCGCGTTCATTAACTTTAAATATAGGCTGAAATAATATTTTTATCAATTTATCATTATTACTTATCAATAATTTAATTATAATTCAAAATCATTGACATTATAAAATTCTTTAAACATTATGTTAGGTACTCTTGTGGTTTCTCAACCATAATACGAAGTCGAAAAACCAAAATATTTTAGTAAATTAACCTTAATATTTAGAATTCCAAAAATTAGCTTAATAAAGTATATCTTTAATAAGCAAATTTATTGTGATATAAATAGTTTTATTTTCGGTGCATTAATCACTGCTATAAAATAAATTTGTAATCACATCATTATAAAATATTTAGATAAAGCATAATAAACTATATCAACATGCTTTAATTCTTATGATTAAAGAAACTATAATGAATAAGATTATGTTAAATAATTAAAATAAATCACAACTTTCATAAAAATTGAAAATTAATCCTTTTGTAAATTCAATTTAAAAACCCTTAAATTGTAAATTTTAAATTAGACTTATAAACAAAAAGGAACATGTAATATATTTAAATGAAAAGACTTAAATAAAATTATAAGCATTTATTAGAAAGAAGAGTATTAATATTTGAAAGAAAATGAGTAAATTCAATTGAGATATTGAAAGGTGTACAATGTGAAGAGAAAAATGTTATGGCTAAATTGATAAGTATGAATGTAAGAGAAAATAAAAGAAATTAGCTTTTAAAAAAGGTTTTAATAAAACAAATTAAGAGTGGTGTAATAAAAATAAGAAAATTAATGAATAGTATATAATATTTATTTATTTGTGATATATAAGCACAAATTTGTTCCAAAATTTCAAAAAGATTTATTTTTATCTTATAAATGGCTGATTTCATAAGAGATTTCATGATTGGTGGTGTGTCAGCCGCTGTTTCAAAGACTGCTGTTGCTCCAATTGAAAGAGTCAAATTGTTACTCTAAACCTAAGATGCTAATAAAAAAATTTAAGAAGGTGGTGCCAAGAAATACAATGGTATTGTAGACTGCTTCATCAGAGTCCCAAAAGAAGAGGTATCTTATAACATTCAATGATCAAAGGGCTTATCTGCCTTATGGAGAGGTAATTTGGCCAATGTCATCAGATATTTCCCAACATAAGCATTGAACTTTGCTTTCAAAGATGCCTACAAAAAGCTCCTTTGTCCATTTGGTAATTCTTATTTTAATTATTAAGACCCAAAGAAAGAGAGATTCCTCTTCTTCTTAGGAAATATGGCTTCAGGTGGTGCAGCTGGTGCTACTTCCTTAATGGTTGTTTATCCACTCGATTTTGCAAGAACAAGATTGGCTGCAGACATTGGTAAAAAGTCTGAGAGATAATTCACTGGATTATCAGATTGTTTGAGCAAAGTTTACAAGTCTGATGGTTTCATCGGATTGTATAGAGGTTTTGGAGTTTCAGTTTTGGGAATTGTAGTATATAGAGGTGTCTATTTTGGTACATATGACACAGCTAAGGGTACAATATTTAAAAATCCAATGATGAATAACATTATTGCAAAATTCATTGTTGCTTAATTCATCACCGGAACTGCAGGAGTCATCTCATATCCCTTAGATACAATTAGAAGAAGAATGATGATGTAATCAGGTATTTTCTTATCATTATCTTTTAATTAGGAAGAGCTGATATTCTTTATAAAAATACACTCGATTGTGCTGTCAAAATTGCTAAGAATGAAGGAACAAAAGCCTTCTTCAAAGGAGCCCTTTCTAATTTCTTCAGAGGAATTGGTGCTTCACTCGTTTTAGTCCTTTATGATGAAATCTAACAATTCGTTGCTCCAGGATCTAAATCTTCAGGAGGTGAATGATACATTATTTTTACGTTCAATATACATATCCAAAAATCATATATCAATATATTTTCTTATCATTTCCTTTTTTTGTAATAATTTTAGACTTTATAACACAAAATAGGTTTTATGTGAAAATAATTATATATCTACAATAATTATTTTAATATTCTCTATTCATCATCTAACTTCGATAAATTTTTATTTATACGAAGTCTCTTTGCATATTTTTCGAATTTATTTTATCAATCCTCATTAAAACTATTTTTACAAATAGTGTAAAAATATAATAAATCACTTTTATTTTAATGACAGATTTTTTATATAACTTTCTCATAGGGGGAGTTACAGCTGCATGTTCAAAAACTGCCTTTGCCCCATTTGAGAGAGTTAAACTACTACTCTAAACCTAAGATGCCATTTTAAAAGTGTAGAATGGACAAACAAAGAAATATAATGGAATCATTGATTGTTTCTCACGAATATTAAAAGAAGAGGTTTTTTAAATAATCAACTATTCAGGGATTATCTGCGTTTTGGAGAGGAAACTTCCCAAACATCATCAGATTTTTCCCAGCGCAAGCTTTAAGCTTTGCTTTTAAGGATACATACAAATAAATATTCATCCAATATGGTTTATAAAATATAATATCTTTAAGATCCAAAGAAATAACCAATTCGTTTTTTTCTAAGTAATATTGCTGCAGGGGGTGCAGCTGGCGCCACTTCTTTGCTATTAGTTTATCCTTTAGATTTTGCAAGAACAAGATTAGCAGTAGATATTGGTAAGTAAGCTGAAAGGCAATTCACTGGGTTAACTGATTGTTTGAGTAAAATGTATAAGTCTGATGGTTTCATCGGATTGTATAGAGGTTTCGGAGTTACAATTTTTGGTGTGGTGTTTTATTGAGCCATATATTTTGGTGCTTTTGACACAGCAAAATGGATGTTTAATCACTAAAATCATATATTTTATCTATTTCTTTTAGGTTAATTTGTAACATTTACTGCTGGTATTTTATCATATCCCTTAGATACAATAAGAAGAAGGATGATGATGCAATCAGGTATATTATTAGTAATTATCGATAAATAGGGAGAGATGATGTACTTTATAAAAATAGTTTTCATTGTTGTTTCAAAATTATTAAAAATGAAGGAATAAAAGGATTGTTTAAAGGACTTCTTTTAGAGTTTTCTTCTAAATTAGGATTTTCATTTATGTTAGCATTTTATTCTAGTATATAATCGCATTCTAACTTTAATTGAAGTGAAAATGAATATAAATAATTAAATACATATTTATTGCATATTTTTATTTCGTTATTTTATACAATATTATATTATTATTTCGAGTATAATATTTTATTTAAATTCCCTACTTCTCTTCTTAAAAAACTCCTAATGGGGTTATTATAGGTCAGGATGATTTTGAGTCCAAGAAAAATGGATTGATTTCTTTAAGAGAGAGATTTAAAGGCGGGTTAAAGGGTTAAAAGTGAAGATTTATTTAAATGAATATATAAATAAATATATTATGAATTAAGATATTTAGACATAAGACCAATTGATAGAGTACTTAACTTCGATTGATTAGTAACATTTAATCACTTACATTCATAATTATACTCAATAATAGATTACAGAATTTATAGATCAAATAAATCAACTCAACAAGAATTATCCAGGAGGAATCAAAGAGTATGCAAATAGAGCAAGAAAAGTACGAATTTATAAATATAATTAGTTATTGCTTGATGCTTCTGAAGATGTCAACCCATTTGCTGAATATACAGCTCATGTACCATAAGGACAGAATGTAGATATTTATTCTGAAGAATATTGCCGATTGGAATAATTGGGAGTCGAAGAAATTAAGGATACATGTTTTGTATTAGTGGCAGGTGGTTTAGGTGAGAGATTAGGTTATGATGGAATTAAAGTAGCTTTGCCAATAGATTTAGTTACCAATACAACTTACTTAGAATATTATTGTTAATTTATACTGAATTTATAAAAAAAACATGGTAACAAAATATTACCCTTTGCAATAATGACATCAGATGATACTCACAAATTAACTTTGTAGTTATTGGAGAACAACTTATATTTCGGATTATAAAAGGAATAAGTAACTCTCATCAAATAAGAAAAAGTACCAGCCATGTTGGATAACCTTGCTCATTTCGCTTAAGTTCCAGGAAAATTATTAATAGATACAAAACCACATGGTCATGGTGATATTCACACATTGTTATATATGTCTGGTTTGGCCTAAAAGTGGAAAAATGAGGGAAGAAAGTGGTTATTTATTTTTTAAGATACAAACGCATAGGCCTTTAGAGCATTACCAGTAGTCTTAGGAGTAAGTAAGGAAAACAAGTTTGAATTGAATTCTATTGTTGTAAGTCGCAAACCTGGAGAAGCAGTTGGAGCTATTTGTTATTTGGTTGATAAAAATAATAAAGGATTAACATTGAATGTAGAATATAATCAATTAGACCCATTGGTCAAAGCTTAAGGTGGTGAACCTGTAGATGAACAAGGCTTTTCGAAATATCCTGGAAATATAAATTGTTTATTATTCTCTTTGAATGAGTACGAAACAGTATTATAAGAAACTAAAGGATTAATCGCTGAATTCATCAATCCTAAATATGCAGATGCTACAAAAACAAAGTTTAAGTCATCATCCAGATTGGAATGCATGATGTAAGACTATCCTAAACTTTTGGGACCTGAAAATAAAGTAGGATTTACAGCTTTGAACAGAAGATTCTGTTTCTCAGCTTGTAAAAATGATCTTGCAACAGCTTTAACTAAATAGAAATCTAATTTGCCTTTGGAGTGTGCAGGTTCATCAGAAAATGATTTCTATTGGCTCAATGCAGAATTATTAAGAATGGCAGGTGTTTAAATTCCTGATTCAGTTTCAGATGAACTTAATTACAACGGATTAGAATTCAAATTTGGACCTAAAATTGTATTACATCCATCATTTGGTGTTACTCTTTCTGAAATCAAATCTAGAATCAAAGGAAGTAAGATATTGTAATTATCTTTTTAGAAGTTTAGATTTCATCAAACTCAACTGTCATCCTTGGGGGATAAGCAGAATTAAATTCTGTGAATATTGATGGTTATGCTTAATTATTTGGAAATGGTAATAAGTATGGTGTTAATTTTAGGTTAATTTAATGTGGACATTAAAGGTGCTGATGGACCAAAATTAGTAGCATTAGAACAATAAGATGGCGTGCCTGGATATATAAAAATTAGGGGTTATAGATTACAAAAATGAGATATTATTAATATCAAAAATTAAAAATTATTAATTATACATATGATATATCTATATTCATCATATTAATTAATTAGGTATGTTTGAATATGCCATGATATTTTCATTGTTACAATCAACAAATAAATTCTATAAAACTAATAAAATTAAATACATTTGAGAAATTGAAGTTTGGTAATTCAGGCATAAAATTTGGTTTAATTTATGGTTTTAATGATTATTGAACTCTTTTAATGTTGTAGTGAGATTATTTGCGTCCTTTATTGAACCCAAATGATTTATATTCTTCATAAATTTTTATAAGCAATTACTCAACTAATTGACAGGCCTACTCGATTTACAATTAATTTACTTTTAAAAATAGATGATTATGTTTAGATGAAACACATAAATGCAAAGGTTCTTGTGATTCTCTTTTTTCAGGACCTTCTTTATACCCGGAGCCTCTTCCTCTGAGTCTCAGTTTAACAAGGTCTAATTCCTTTGTATCGCAATCTATTAAGCATTAATCTATGATTTTCTTCATATTGCATCCCTTAGCTCCTAAATCAGTTGGATTATAAAAAATACCTATGATTTTGCGAGCTACTTAGAAGTCTTTGTCATTATCAATTTAGACATCATATCGGCAAGTGAATTTTTATTAGTTGGAGTCTTGTATTTCCATAATTTCCAATAGATCTTATTAGGTTGTAAATTCAATTTTGATAGTAACATCCAATTCTTTAATTTAATGTTTGTTTAATAGTTTATAAACAATGAAGGCATCAAAAAGTGTATTGAACTTAATTATGATGGCTCCATTTAATTTAGTATAGACTTATTTGACTTCTCCAAAATTTTCACAAACCTATAATTTTGAATATAAAAATTTCGTTACTTATTTAATATCTTCTTAATCCAACTCTATTTCATAATTGTCTTCGCTTGCTAATTCAACAGTCAAATATTGATGGGGATATTGTTTATTCTAATTTTAGGGTGATATAAATTACTTTCTGTTTCAGCATAGAATTAATTCTCTATTTAACTTTTTGATCATGTATAATTAGATTTATTTATTCGCGATTCGTAGGAGAGGTGTTTACTAAATTATCATCACCCTATTCTAACTAAAAAGTTATTATGGAATCATACAAGGAAATTAGTCATCTCCTCTATTTGCTTAGAGATCTCTTAGAAACTCATTAATAAATTCGGTTAAAATAATATATTTTGTATTATTCATATCATCTCCTCACTTTTTAATTGTTTTAAAAATGGAATCTTAGTATATTTGGGAACAGAAAGACGTTTACTTATTCTCTATTGATAAGAATATGATGGAGTCTGTACACCAGAACGAGGTCTATAATTTTCAAACCATCACTACCTTGCTCTTTCAGGTGTTCTTAATCCCTATTTAAATGAAACTAACCAATGTCTATCTCCACAAGTATTCATCAAACCACCATGGTTATCTCTATTCACATTTATTTCAATACAATTTACAAAACATATTTGTCTCTCCCACTTCCATCACTGACATAATGTAGGGTCTTATTGCTTGATTGTGGTCTAAAGATTGGGCCACTGCGTTTGGGCTAGAAACTGCCTATTGGTGGTTAATGACATTTCTATGCATGCATAGTCAATCCTCCGTTATCAAATTGTATGTAAGTATCACGCCCTAAAGTTATTTAATACTTGATCATCACTACCTGTTCCATCTGAGTAATAATAATTAGCTCTTCCATATTAAGCTTCTGTTTTTATGTTATTTGCTTTCATCCTTTTTATTAAAATATATAAATACTTAAATCAATTATTATTATTTTCTAATTCAAAATAACTCACTAGATTTATATGCTTTTCTGATAATTTTCATCATCTGAGTGTGGAATCTCATAATTCAGTTTGATTGCTCTTCAAAAATGATGAAACCTAATTTTTACTTTATACTATTGGGTTTCTTCCTCTTAATTGCGATGTTCGTGTTTGGAATGATATCAGATAATAATTAATTTTACAAAGAAGACTTCTACTGAGAATTATTGCATATGACTAATACTATTAAGAATCTAATTAATCGTAACTTAGAGATATGAGAAACACAATTACTTCACTAAAAAGTTGTATCTACTTATTTTTTGGAAACTCTCAAATTAAACAAATATTAATCAGATCTCCACAATATGAAATAGAATCATTTTGTATAATTCCTAAATTCACTATTGCGATGCAATAGATGACATATAGCTTCTAAGAAATTAATTCTAAATATCATAAAAGTAATATGTTATTATTTTGTGTGAAAAAATTTGTGATAGATTAAAAGTAATTAATGATAAAGAAGTTCATTATTTATTTCTATTAACTCAAAATTTCAATTAATAAGGACTTATTTGTCAGGATTTGAAGTCTGATGTCGATGATTGTTTCAATTTCTATTAAAATTTACTTAATTTCAATTCAAAGTCTATAGTAATTTTTTGAATTCATAGTAATTGTCAATCATTGAAGTCAAGAATTTAGAGTAGAGATATTCAAGTAAAGATTATATTATATTAAAGAAAAAGAAGTTGAGATAGAATCTCCATGCTAATATTTAAAAATTATTAAAATCATTCATGACGAATTGATGAAATCTATACCTTGTGGTAAGACTCGAATATTACAATACCTAAATAACTAACATTCACAATTTCGCACTTTATCAACACAATCTTATACAAACTAAAACAATCCATTATTTTCTTTGATTTAATACCTATTACAAAGATGTTCACCTTATTGTTATTTACTTGATGAAATGATATAGATTTGTAACCATTCCCCACTATTTCTATTAGAATTCTTTGTAAATTTATTTGAAGATTCAAAGCTTTTAAATACTCAATATACTATTAATTTTTATTTAGTTAAATTGGAAAATTTTAATTAAGTTTATAAATAAAATAGAAAGTAGAAATATTAAACTCTCATCCATATATTAACAAGACCATTATAGTTTTTATAACTAAATAAATATATCAATTAGCAAGATTATAATAATCATTTTGATTTATTCTAAATAAATTTTACCAAAATATTTTAATAGAATTCGAAATAACACTATAAAATATTGTTAATATCTAAGAATACCCTGAGTTTAATATTTATAATAACAAATGGACTTAGAATTATTCACCCCTTAATAGTCACAATTCCTTTACCCCATTGAAATTAACGAGCAGTCCTTTGAAGATTCGCAATCTTTTATTAAAAATAAAACTCTTGAATAAAACAGTTTAGGAGCAACTTAAGCTAAAACTCAGTAGATGGTTTATCAATAAAAAGATCTGAATTATAAAAATTTCCCAAAACTAATTGGTAATAATTTTTTGAAATGGGTAAATAAACAAGTTGCGGAGGAAAAAATTGGATAAATCCCTTAAGGAATTGAAAATTTAATGAAATCAAGGGGGAAATGCAAACAACCGAATTTTACTATTAAAGATCTCTAACAATTATGCCGAGATTAAGCCTCTTAAAAGTTGTTTCAAGAGTTCATGTAGTATTAATTATTTTTGGATTTATTCCACAGCAATAAAATCGCTGATCCCTACTCTTATATTCCAGGGATAAGTAACTATTTTTCGGCAGCTGAAGAACCTGATAAGATGAAGAGTAATTATTTAACCAGAAATTAATTTACATAAGCTTCCAAATAAAACTGAATTATATATTAACAAATTAAAATTATGAGAAATCTATATATATAATTATAAATAAATCATGGAGAACATTTTAATGTTAATAATAAAACTGATTAATTATGTTTTTGATTCTCTATTATAATTTATTTATTTTTATGAAACCAGCAACATATTTAAAAAAAGTTGGGCCTTATAGTCTAATAAGAGAGATTGGTTAGGGTATTATTTCGTGAGGAGTAGGTTCATTTGCAAGAGTGTTTAGAGGAAAATTGGATGGACGGCAAGAAGATGTGGCAATCAAAATGATTTCAAAGCAGAATGTTAGAAATGAGAGTATGTCAATGATTGAAAAGGAGATTGAGATTTTAAGACAATTGGATCACCCCAATATAATCAAATTGATAGATTTTAAAAGAACTCAGAATCATTACTATCTGGTATTTGAATATTGTGAGAATGGAGACTTAGATGCATATATTAGGTAATTGATTGATTGGATAGGACTAGAAAGTATTCTCCTAATGGAAAATTGCCAGAGGAAGAAGTTAGGAGAATAGTTTAGTAATTAGCATAAGCATTGTAATAGATGTACAAATTAAGGATTGTACATAGAGATTTAAAATTAGCAAATATATTAGTATCTAAGAATTTCTAAGTATTGAAAAGAATTACGTATAGATTAAATTAGCTGATTTTGGATTTGCCAAATATATGGAAGAAGATCAATATTTAACTTCTTATTGTGGAACTCCATTAACGATGGCTCCTGAAATATTATAAAGAAAGTAATATAATGAAAAGTGTGATGTATGGTCAGTGGGTGTGATCATGTATTAAATGATATATGGAAGATCTCCATTTGTACCCCCAAAGGGAGGTAATATAAACGATTTAATTGCAATTATCAATAAAGGAGATTTACAATTTCCTGAGATTTCTACGATTTCACTTAAATTGAAGGAACTATTAATTCAAATGCTGCAATAGGATTTCAAGAAAAGAATAAGTTTTAGAGATTTCTTTGAACATAGTTGGTTGCAAGGTGAAGTCAAAGCCGACTACATTTAGAGTATTAAACAAGATTTGCAAGAGAATCAATCTGAAATTATGCCTATAATTCATCACAAAGCAACTGAGGATATTTAAGAAGAGGAGATATTCAATAATGAAAGAGACGATAGTACAAATGAAGTGTTGAAAGAACAATAATTGAAATACATAGGATATCAATTACATAAATAAGCAGTTGGATATTTAGATTTAATGTTTGAGGAGATTTACAAAGTCAAATAATTATGTGACAAAATTTAAAATGCCAAAATTTCATTCTAATTTCTTAAAAATCGATTAATCAGCTTATCTTTGGCTATTAGAATTTATGAAGCATTTTTATTGAAATAAGTATATGAGTTTATGAAAGAATAAATTGTTGTGTTGCACACACCTTCAAGTAACAGTTCTCTGATTAGTCTTTAAATGAAAAGACCATTTTAGACTCATTAAATTATGATGTAAAAAGAAATTATTGAATTGAAGAATTACTTTAAAGAAAATCAAATGATTATAAATTAATTTGAATAATGTGGATATTGTATTGCAGATAATATTTTTGATGAAATTTTGGAATTATTAATGAATCTCATTGAACATTAATAACAAATTGATTAAAATATATTTACTCAATTACTATAATTGTTGTACTCATTCATTTAATCTCCACCTCAATTGCTGTAAGTTGAATTGTACATGAAATTGTAAACAGGAAATGACATGAATTATTATTGGCATCTGTTTAAACTTGTTAGAGTGAATTAGAAACATATTGCAGATTCAATTGAAAATCAAATTGTGTGTGAAAATTATGAGTTTGACAAAAAATTACAGTTTGAATGGAAATTAGTGAAAGATGATAGTGAAGAAACCCAAGTGTCTTTCACTAAAGAAGAAATTGATAAATTATAAGACTTACTAAAAGAAGAATATACCAAAAGGGATATACGTTAATAAATATAATGATAATTAAAATTAAATGGAGTACTTAACTAATGAAAAACTCCTTAAATAATAACAATCAGCTCTATTTTCCATCAGCAATTCTCGTTCTAATAGTGTTTCGCGATTTCCTATTCCTAGTCAAAGAGCCGCTCCTGATCCAGTTCAACCTCTGAGATCTGCAGATTTGTTTAATAAATTAGAAGACATATTGAAATAAAAGTAGCTGAGTACTACAACAAGAAAGAGACAGAAGCAAATATCATGTATTTTAAATTCGTAAGCTTGTCATGAGGATTAAAAATAACAAAACATAGAGTCTAGTTATTATAAATCACCTATTAGATTACTTGATGTACCTGTAAATGGCTTCATTGATGTAATATGTTTATAGTTATTATGATCTATAGAATAATATTGAAGTTAGAAATAGGAGATAAACTATACTTATTGGATCACCTCCCTTTAACTAATAAAATTAAAGCAACAAAAAGAGAAATACTATTTAAAATCAATTCCAAGAAAATTTAAATTAAAAAAAAAAAGAGAGCCTCAAAAGGTTTGAAGTTGAGTTTAACAATATGCAAGAAAAAATTAGAGGAAGAAATAATGTATAAAATCCATTTCTACTATTAGTCTGTTTTATATGAGGAATAAGATATAATAAAAAGAAATTAAATGAAAGAAAAAAAAGTAGATTTGAATATCAGTACTTCTAAGGAAAACAATACGACATTAAATAAGTTGAATCATCAATTACAAATACAAAATAATCATTTGTAGGAATAGTTAATTTTTGAATAAAATTAAAATACTAAATTAAATATGCTCATTAATAACTTAAATGACCAAATTACAGGATTACATAAGTAATGTATTCTCTATTACATAGACAAATGATTTAATAGCAATAATAGAATAATGAAGATTGCATCAGCAAAGATAATTTTATTAAATAATTTCATTCAAAAATAGATTTGTTAGAAAATGAAATTAAATAAAAAGATCAACAGATTCATAATTTGCAATAACAAATCTCGGAATTCAATAATGTCTATAAAGAAATGCAAGAATTAGAGAATCTATGTTCTTCAATGTCATTCTTAGGCAAATTGTGTATTGGACATAATCATTTGATCCAAGAAATCAAAGACTTATTATAAGTGTAGCAGAACATCATCGAAAAAATAACCAATAACAAAGATTTTCCAATCGATTAATTAATTATATAAAAGAAATAGAAAAAACATAACTCGTAGACTTAAATTGATTATTAACAATTATGTCAAGAGACCACGAGTGTCTTGGAGAATATCATTAAATAAATCAAAAGTTCTATCGAATAATTAACAGAAAGATTTATTCATGACTTACTTATTTGACTAATTAAATAATTATAATTGCTTAGTATTTATATAATTTAAAAAAATGAATGTTGTCTCATATCAATATAAAAACATCATTGAGGATTTATTGCATGTGATATCCCAATAACACAACCCGTTCTTGGATATTAAAATCAAGAAAATTAAGGAAAGGCTTCATTATGTAGAATTATAACAAAGACAAAATAGATTAACTGATTTACAATAAAAACAAATGATCCGATTACAATCAATTCCTCTAAAACCTAAATTGATCTAAAATACTAAAAATAGAGCTCAATCAACAGCCTATCATCAGAGATTTGTATAATTGCATACTTGATTATTAAAATTATGTAATAAATATATAACCCAGATGAAAGGATAAATATTGAATTATTTTTGGCTGCTAGAGAGCTTCCCAATCTTGAATTCTTATCCAAGAGTGATCCTTATTTAGAATTATATTATTCCCTCCAAGGAGAACCAGAAATTTGTTTAGGCAAAACTGAAACAGCTGAATGCAACTTAGATCCCAATTGGGAAAAATCATTTACTATTGAATACTATCCAGATTTAATTCAAATACTAAGATTCTAGATTTTTGATTAAAATAGAATGGGAAGAGAATTCATGGGGGAAGCATAAGTAACAATCAAAGACATCTTGCAATCTAAAAATTCATTAATATCGATGCCAATCAAAAGATTTGATAAAAATGCTGGATAATTAATATGCAAGGCAGTATAAATGAAATAATCAAATCATTTTGTTACATGGCAATTTTCAGGTTCAAATATTAAAAATATGGATGGTATCTTTGGCAAGTCTGATCCATTTCTTAAATTTTATTTGCATTCTGATAATGTTTGGTGTTAAATCTATTAAACTGAATACATAAAAGATGACCTAAATCCAACATGGAAAGATTTTGAGGTTTCCTTATAAAGGTTATGTCTGAATGATGAATACAAGAAGTTTAAAATAGAATGTTTGGATAGACACGAAAAGGGAAAAAATAATCAATTAATTGGCTCATTTGAAACAACGATTGATGAGATATTCAATCAAAACAAGGAAGAATTTTCACTTGTCTAACCTAAGGGAGGTTAAGTAGGAACTATAAGAATAAAGAATAAAAAGAGAATATACAGAGCAAACTTTGATGATTATATTAAACAAGGCACCACTTTTAATCTCATTATTGGCATTGACTATTCTACTCACAATGGTGTTCCATCATTTCCAGATTCCCTACATTCTTACATAGATTAAAATAATAAATATGGAAAAGTAATATGTGATGTAGCTCAAGTCTTAGAAAAATACAATCAAAAAAAGCTATTTGCAATATATGGAATTGGTGCAGAACCTCATTTAACAAATTATACATTAAATACATATTAAACTTTATTCCCATTGACAGGTGATTTCTAAAAGCCTTAAGTCGAAGGATATCAAGAAGTTGCGAATTTATATAAAAATACATTAAAACAAATAGTTGTAAAAGGAGATTTTCAAATCGAAGACTACATTAAATATATACAAACTATTGCTGAGAATAATGCGGGTAAATTAATATACACAATTTGTGTGATAATAGCCTAGGGGAAGATTACAGATGCTTAAGTTTTCGAAGATTTGCTAATAAAGGGTACTTGTTTTATTAAATAAAGGTTGTAAATTGCCATATTCATTGATTTTTGTAGGTATGGGAAAGAATGATTTTTCAGAAGTGAAAAAAATTATTGATAAAATGAACAATCAATAACCACCAATCAGAAATAACTTCACATTCTATGAATACAAAGAATAAACAATTTAAATGTTATCCAAACATTTAATGAACGATATACCATAACATTTGGTTAGTTATAAATAATGATCAATATTATTATTATTATAAAATGGGCAATTGTGAATCAGATTAACAGAGTCAATTCTAATAACCTGACCATATTGATCTAAGTTCAAGTCATAATAAAAGGATCTTTGACCACAAGGCTATTGAATAAGAGGAATTCACTAGTAACAAAGTTCCAGAACCAATAGATGTTCAGCACGAAATTGAAGATGTAATTTATAAATCAAAAAGTTTAGGAATTACAAAATTTAGATCCATAACCGGCCATCATTAATCTACCTCCATTTAATTTTGGAGAGAAAAAACACTTAAATGCAGAGAGCAGACCAGCTTATAGATTAGTTGATGGATCCACTTATGTAGGAGAATGGGTTGGAGATTAAATGACAGGTAATGGTGTTTTAGAAGGAAGAAATGGAAAATATGAAGGTCAATTTGAGAATGGTAGGAAACAAGGAAGAGGGCGATTCACCTTTCCAAATGGAGAAGTTTATGAAGGAGATTGGAAGGATGATTAAGAGGATGGCATAGGAACATATTATTATTCTTAAGGAACAGTTTATCACGGATAGTGGGTTTAAAATTAAAAACATGGATAAGGAAGAGAAAACTTTCCCAATGGATCCAATTTTCAAGGAAATTTTGAAAATGGAATTAAAACTGGACATGGAGTATTTATATGGAAAGATGGAACCAAATATGAAGGCAGATTTATAGATAATAAAATATGTGGATAAGGTTAAATGGAATACCCAAATAAAAGAGTTTACGTAGGAGAGTTCTTGAATGGTAAAATGCATGGAAAGGGAAAATTTAGCGTATATATTGATGATTTATCTAATAAAGTGGCCTGATGGTAGAATTTATGATGGGGAGTATTAATATGACAAAAAGCATGGTTATGGTATCCTAACTGGATAGAATTACAGGTATGAGGGTGAATGGAAGGAAGGCAAAATGGAAGGATAAGGAACTTTGACTAAAGATGGAGAAATTAAAGTAGGCTTTTGGCATAATAATAAGTTTGTTGGTGAAAACAATTATTGATCGAAATTTTTATTATATTAAGAATATAAAATTAACGATTGTTATTAACACATTAGGCATTACAATCTTATATACTTAAATTTAGATTTCAAATTATAATTAATAAAATAAATTGTTAAAACATATGATCAATTTCCAAATTAATTAAGATTCTTGGATAAATGTGATGCTTAAATAAATAAATTAATATCTAATTTTAGTTTAATATCTTGCAAAATTAAAATACATTTATACATCATTAGATAAAGAAAAATTAAGTTTAACTAAAAATAATTTTTAATAAAATATAAACTATGGCAAGTCGATTCTTCGATTAAGTAGATCATGCTTCAAACTTGAAGCTAAATCTTATACTTTTAGTTATAATCAGTTCATCAATAGATATTGTGAATTCACTTGAGTATTAATCAGGGACTCTTACTTAAATTCTTTATCCATCCACTCCTCTCCATATATTAGCAGATTCACATACTGAGAACTCTCAGATATCTTTAACTTAGCCATTGACTGGTTTTGTAAATGAACCTTAAATCATCTACTCAGTGTATAGAATGAACTTTGAAAATGCAGTATCTGGAGGATACACTTTCTCGATTACATCACAATCAACATCATGTAGTTATATTATTCTAGTTTTAGCATTTACAATAACAGTAGTTGCCCCTACAGTTTAAAAAATTTATAATGTTTGGATTAAATGGTTGGCTTTTGTGGATAGGAATAAATAGGTCATAAGCGAGGAGATTGTAACACCATAAAACTCAGAGACTTTCACAGAAACACATTTCAATAAGAACTTTATAATTGCTGTTCCAATAATAAATTATTTGACTTACACTAGTTCTTTTACTTTCAAATTTGATGTATTAATGAATTATTATTTAGATGCCCCAAGTTGATACAGCCTATGTGTAGATTGTGTTTACTAGCACTGGAGTATCTTAAATAGGATTTCAATTATTGGTAGCCATAAAAAGTCCAGTTTACTTATTTGGAGAACAATAATGGGCTCCAGCCTCTAGCACTTTAAATTTGAGTCCATTTGAAATTAATAGTGTGTAGATACCTCCTTTGTAATAATCTGATAATATTAATTTTCCAATATTTTTGGGACTTACATCTGACTTAACAGATCAAGTTAATATAGAAGAGATTAGTTCATCAATCAACCCTTAGTTGTCTTTTGAGATTGGATCTTGTAAATTATTATACTAATTTTAGCCATAACCTGTTCTGTAACTAGTGGATGGTTCAATTACATGATTATATCTCCCTAATTTTAAATCCCTCCACTTATTTTACAAACTTTCTCTTAATAAGAGTATTTTGTCAGCAGCGGCACCTAATAAATCAGTGTAGAACTCCCACTATATAAAACTACCTATACAAGTACTACTGGTTGGATAGAAATGGATAACTCGTTTCTTGGAATTTAATTGGTGATTACAACAGAATGTCTATTCAAATATAAACATGATTATTGGTTCCTTGGTTCTGTTAATGATAATCAAAGATATATTCAAGACTACTTTTATTGTTCTGATGGATTCAATAGGATGAAATATATTATTAATTTCACTGATGGGGATAGACTTGAATATAAAACAATCAAATTTGTATTCACACCTACTAGTGTTGAAATGTACTAACAACTCGATAATGTGAATTTTGATGAGGAATACAGAAACCTAAAAATAGTGATTAGTCAAGTCAGATGATTATTAATTTATTTTATAATCTTGATAATAGTTTATTGATAATAATTAAACAATATATATTTTCTATAAAACTTCATTCAAATTCACAACAGCTCGAAAAGAATTTCTTCAACATCCTCTATCCAAATGGAATGAAACTTAAAACGTACCTAAATGTTTAATTCTTATTAATTACCAAACATATGCACAAAATTAAACTAATGTCATAAGCAGGGTTAGAAATGTTAAATCAGTTGCAAATGCTAGTACAAGGGTTACAATCAATGTTGAAAAGAATATTATTGTAGAAATTAATCTACTTTTGTCGGCCATCTTCTTGCATTAATCTTTTGGTCCAGACAAAAACAAAGTACTATGCTATTCAAAATGCTATAGGTACCTCATTATTGCCACTAAATTTCCGATTGAAAATATGATTGCAAATTCTTTGCCATTCCCTTGAAAAAATGAAATGAATGCACAAAATTCTAAGAACCAACCTAATTTTGATAATTCTATAATATTACCTATTCCACTACAAATCAAAAATCCCCACAATCTTTATTGATATGATAGTTTTGGACATACAGCATCTAAAGGATCATCCTTTTTATCCGAAAAAAAATTATAATCTCCTTTCATTTTATATTTACTTTCAAATAAATATCTTTTTTATTATTTATTTTTTTATTTAATAATGTCAAGAAGAGGTCAATAACCACCACCCTAACAACAATAAGCCCCACCACAAAAAAATTAAGCTGGCAAATTCAACCCAGCCGAATTTGTTAAGCCTGGATTGACCGAAGAAGAAGTCTTAGAAATAAAAGAAGCATTCGACTTATTTGATACAGATGGGTATAATATCATACTTATTTATTAGTACTCAATCCATTGATCCAAAGGAATTGAAAGCTGCAATGACCTCATTAGGATTTGAAGCCAAAAACTAAACAATTTATCAAATGATTAGTGATTTGGATACTGATGGAAGTGGACAAATTGATTTTGCTGAGTTTTTGAAATTGATGACTGCTAGAATCAGCGAGAGAGATTCCAAAGCTGACATTTAAGTACATAAATATCACTCAATTCATTCTAGAAAGTCTTCAACCTTTTCGATTCAGAAAGAGCTGGAGTTATCACTTTGAAGGATCTCAGAAAAGTAGCTAAAGAATTAGGAGAAACCATGGATGATTCTGAATTGTAAGAGATGATTGATAGAGCTGATTCTGATGGAGATGCTTAAGTGACCTTTGAAGATTTCTACAATATAATGACCAAAAAGACATTTGCATGATTGAAGTCATTAATAATAAATAAAAATAAGTAAAATTCTTCATCATATATCTCAATCTCTTTTTCTTTTACATTCTTCTCTACTGAAAATTATTTTTTATTATGATATTAGTAATTATTCAATTTTACTTATTTCTTATCAATAAATTTTTTAAACGAAGCTCAGATATAGTGTTTATATTTTGGATATTTGATATAATGGTTGATTCAAAAATGAATAGTCTAAGAATTTTGAGAGTCAATATTGTTAGAAAATTTCAGTGAACAATATTTTGAAAATAAATTATTATCTTGTATTTCTAAGTATTTGAAAACCATTTACAAATAAATAATATTTGATATACATATATATCCTATTCATCCTGTTCTCTTGTATTAAGGATTCTAAGATAATAATAATTTTTCTATTGTTTTTTATTCATTATTTTTTAAATTACTTTCATTAACTTCTACTATTTCAAGTAAGTAGTGATTATTGTTAATATTACAATATAATCTATATTATTGTAACTCATTATTCGTATTTATAGTGTCATCTCTATTATAATTTATTCTTAGAAAAAGATAAAATATATTATCTCTGATTAATAACAATTTGATATCAAAATGTTTCATATTTTCAAGATCTTTTATGATAACACTATTTTCAAACTCTAAAGTTTGTTCTCAGTTATTTCACTTGATTTGAAATCTTATAAACTTGATTTTTAATAATGAGTATTTATTATAAATATTATAATGGCATTTGTATTTTAAGCTGAAAGAACAGATATACTATAGTAGAGTGGTGTTTCACAAGACGTATGATGAAATTGAAAAGCTGTAGATTGGACCTGGTAGCTATATAACACATGAATATTATAAGGTAAAATAAGGAAATGCTCCTTTTGATTCATCTGTTAGTAGGAGTGAAAGAAATAAGAATGAAATTATTCCTGGGCCTGGTAGTTATTATTAAGATAATGAATATGATAAGTATTAATGTACCTTATCAAGTAACACATATGGAAAATAGCATTCACCTAAACATATGAAGTTATCTGATAAATAATAGTAGTCGTTTATATTTGCATCAGCATCTAAGCGTTTTGAGGCACCAAAAGTATTTATGACACCAGGGTAATTAATATAATAGATGATTTAGACCTGGATCATATGAAACTGATATAGTTATTGATAAACCAATTCAGTAATAGTTTATATCTTAAAGTTATATGGAAATTTTGAGAAGTTTGAATAAATATTAATCAATCCCTTCAATTCCAACTGATAATTAGGTTTACGGTTATACAGAGAAAGGAGGTATTTTTGGTTTTTAACAGTTTAGTACATGATTTGGAGTCTAATTAAAATCCTGATGATACTTACTCAGGAATTAAGTAAGATACTGTTGGACCTGGAAAGTATGAAATAAAAGATACATTTGAATAAAATCGAAATAAAGGTCCTTGTTGGCATAAATCAAAAATTCCACGATTTGATCCTTCAATCTCAAAGGATATAAATTAGAAAGTGGGTCCTGGCAGTTATAATTACAGCAACTCAATTACTCCAATATACAAATTAAGTCCATCTGGAAATTTTAAATCTAAATCCAGTCGAACTTTTGATAATACAAAAGGTGAAAAATAAAAATAGTTTATGAAAATCTATTTCGACAAATAAAAAGAGAAACTAATGAGAAATCCTGGTTACTCTGATTTAGAGGATGAAGAATTCGAATTTTCTGATGTGAATAATCTTTAAATATATTTTAGGTTACTACTCCTGGTCCTGGTCATTATTTTGGAAACACTTCTACACAATCTGTATCATCTAAACATTCTTAATAATCCATTAAATTAGGATACAATTGTTTTGGATCTCGAACTAAAAGATTTTAAGAATAAAAAGTTCAATATTAGATAGGACCAGGAGAGTATTAATTAGATACAGAAACAGTAAAATACAACATCGTTTAACCTCCATTTTATTCATCAAACACACGATTTGAAGAGAAATACTTGGGTCAATTGCCAGGTCCATAAACATATGATCCAAAAATAACTGTATTCTTTTATTACGAATTTCTCTTAGTTAGCAGATAAATTAATGAAGAAATTAGAAAGAACTCCAATAGGGAATTTTGGAATAAATGAATCAAGATATAAGGAAGAATATCATCAAGTGCCAGGACCAGGATCTTATGAAATAAACAATAAACTATAAAAAGGGATCAATTCTATTTTTAAATCAAAAACTGACAGGAATATATCTCTTAAATAGAAAACTGACAATTTTCCAGCTCCTGGAACTTATAATGTTTAAAATAATACAATAGAGCATGAAATCAAAAAGAACCATGAAGAAAATCAAGAAATCAAACAATAAAAACAAGCATTTGGTTCATCTATGCCTAAGTTTATCAGTAGGAAAAATATACAAGAGTAAGTGCATTAAGAGTTTGAAGATGAAGAAGAAGAAGAGGAAATAAAAAAATTACATAACTCATCTGGGTTACTTAAAAAAAGGAAGAATGTCTAAGCCTCCTTCAATGTTAGGGTATGAATACTTTATAAGTGTAGGAAAATAGATTTCAAACTAAAAAGAAAGATACATATAAATTAGGCCCTGGAGAATACTATAGTCCAAATTGTAGTAAGTGGGAGAAAAAAAGTTTTAATGTGTTATTTTAAAAAATATGAATTTTATGATTAATTATAATTTTGTGTTTGAATATATATACAAATTGAATTCATTTTTGGATCATAATTTTTTGAAGAATTTAAAGTCAGATTTGGTGTGTTAATGTAATCTTATAGAAGATTTAACAGAATCAGTAATTTTAAATTATTTAGATATTGAAATACTAGTTTTGCATTTATTTGAATGTTAACTAAAGTTAGTATTAGAATCTCATACCTATTTGTATTGAATATCTGAACTTATAGAGGAGATAATAATTTAGATAAGGCATTTTCTTTGACTGCTCTTTATGTAAACGAGCCTATTTGTTTTGGTAGTTACTTTATATTTATTCTGGGAGAAGATTGAATTTAAAAGGGTTATTGATATAGGGATTATTACTTGGTTGACTTATTAGAACTTATTGTTTACTAAGTAATTTAAGTAGATTATTAGTTAATCATCTTTCTTGACAAGACCTATTTGATTGTTTTCTGGGATAATCCAATAGGCAATTTGAGAGATACTGAGTTAGGCGTTTATGTAATGTGCATCTGTTTTTTGTATTTCTTTTCAGTAAGATATTTAAGAAACTTATCTAATTGATCTTATTCTCGATTGGAGGGCATTAATAAGAGATCTCCCACATTTAATTTAATGGAATTGAGTTTAGTTTGTATTTTATCAATTGTTTTTGATACTTCAGTAATATCATTCAAGACATTACTGTATTGTCTCCCAGACTTTTATGTAGTTGTATCATCTGGTTCTTCTCCGACGATTTTCTTTTTAGGTTAATTTGGATTTGATTTGTTATCTTTTTCAATCATTCTCTTAATTCTAAAATACTCGATCCTCCTTTTCTTATCATGATAACTACAATAATTAAGCTCTTATGTTTACCTACTCATTATGTCAGCCAACTTATGTAGGAAGCATCTTGGGATCTCATTATGGTACTTATAATATTCAGTTAATAATGGCAGCTTTGTAGCTATTTCATCTAAAATAATGCAAAATTAAATACGAATATTGTATGTTCTTCTTAATTATTCACTTTCTTCATTGAAATTAGTTTCATAATGAAAATTAATCACATGTGCTAATCTGGCATTATCAATGTATTCATTTAAAGACTTTGTATAATAGTAAGTATCTTATTGAGAATATTTGTAAGCCAAACTTTGTTGAAGGTCTATCTTCGATAAGAAATTATTGCTCATTTATATATTTAATACAAAAATATAAAATTAAACAAGTATTTCAGCATTATTATTGATTATCCTAATTGCCAGTAAATTCAATTCAATTATTGTTTCAACAATACTGACTACTCATCTTGAAATTGATTGTATATAAGATTAGACAATTAAACATTAAATAAATGAGTCATAAAATTATAGAAACCTATCTCAAATTTAAACACCACATACAAATCAATTTTGAATTAATTGACACATTCATGGTAATATTTCATCAGTTTTATTTGTGGCAACCTCACTTTCTTAATATGATTTCAATTCTTAATTAACTTACTATGGATATTAGTTAAACAATGGTCTTTTTTTAGATCTGAAAAATATTGGAAATGTTGTTAATAATTTCTGTTAAAATTTATATCATTTTAATCATTTGCCTAAAATCATCTTATTCTGAATTATTTGATTATAGTGGTGTCTTTGTATCTATATAAGTTTGAAATTCCCACTTGATATTAGCTTAATACAATTAATTGGATAGAAAGATTTGCCAAAATTGCTTATTTTTCTTTTTTCCTGCATAGAATAATCTGTTTTATACAGATTTAAAATAATTAAAGTAATTTTCTATTGGTAAAACATCTTTGAATTGAATGTTAACAATATAACTTATTTATTAGTTGGTTAAAGATTAGCACCTGAACTTTGGATATCAATTTCAGTTTAATCAAGTTAATAATTTTGATTGGATAAATATATAGTTTGCATCAGAAATTCATGAAACAATTAGATAGTAAAGTAAATTAATATCATTTGTTAACCTATTTTAGGAATGGGTCGTGTTTTGTAGTAAGAAATACTAGAGTTTCAAAGTATTTCATATTCTGCAATATCTTGATTGAAAGATCAGAATCAAATTCTGATTTAAGTCTATTCATCTCTTTGAAATTGATTCCAATAAGTCATAGTGTTCATAATACTATTTCTTGATTATAAATTTAATTAATGGGTAAACATAAACAGCGATCTTCTTCTAGTTCAAGTAGTAATAGAAAAAAACATAAGAAAAAGCACCATCATCAAAAGAAAGAAGTGAAATAAGAACATGTCAAGAAAGAAGAAGAGCCATAACCAATTTAACCTGAAATAATAAAAGAAAAACCTTGTTTTGAGGCATCTGGGATATTAGCTTAATATGCAGAAAATGCTTTAGGGAATGGCAAGGTACTAAAGTTTACAATACCATTTGATGCTAAAATTCCAACAGCTAATTGGCAGATATTTCCCTTTAAGGGAACACAATCATATCGTATATATTAATATTATTTATAAAAGCTTCTATCTCTTTAAAAGGAAAGTCAGTATTTCTGATTGGGAAGGATAAAGAAATAGTTGATATCTTAGTTGAAAACCTATCAGTTTCAAAATAGCATTGTGTTATATAATTTAGAGAAATCAAGAAGGTAAATGGTTAAGGAGAAGTGTTATCCTATATCAAACCATATGCAATGGATTTAGAGAGCACTAATGGGACCTATCTAAATGAGTAGTAATTAGAGCCTGCAAGATATTATGAATTATTAGAAGAGGATGTACTCAGATTTGGGAAAAGCGACAGGGAATATGTACTTATAAAATCATGATGTTTATTATTATCAACTTATTCAAAATACACTATCCCATTCAGCATCCTTTGCACTTGCTAGGACTTTCTTCTACCCTTAGGTATCTTTCTATATTTAATCAAAAACAGAGATAGCTCGTTGTTATGCACTCTATATCTAAGCGGGTGTCATAACCTTGTCTTTTCCTGGTAACAATGGTGCCTTCAAGCTCTTATTCAATAGTTTCTCCTAGAATAGAATTGCATATCATAAATACCCAATCATAATCCTTAAACCAAACATGAGATTTCAGAGTAGAGTATGATCCTCCTAGTCTAACTTCTGGGATCTTGTTCATTAATTGCTCTATAAATGGTTTTGCAGATTTGTCAGACATGAAATGTGGATAACTGATTGGTTTCTTTATGATTTCTTTATAAATTTCAAATGGATCCTCAGCTTCTTCTCCAAATGGTAATCCACCACAAATAAATTCATATACACACACTCCTACACTCCATAAATCAGCAAAGTAACCATAACCTTTTCCTGAAATTACTTCTGGGGCCATGTAGTGTGGAGTACCAATGATTGTAAATGTCTTAGTAGATTCTACAATGATATCTAATTATACATTAATTTTTAAAAGACTTAGCTGTTCCCATATCTATTAGTTTTAGATATCCTTTATCATCCACCATAAGATTTTCTGGTTTAATGTCTCTATACACAATGCTATGTTAAGTATGAAGATATTCCATTTATAATATCATTTATGAAGCATAGAATTGAGCATCGAATTTGCTTAATAATCCTAAGATAATTGAATATTTTACCAATAACTCTGATGGCATCAAATAATTCCATTCCTGCTATGTATTCTGTCAAAAAGTAGATGTTTTCATTATCTTTATAGGATCTGTAGAATTTAAGAATGAATGGGTTATCCATCAATTCTAAAACAGCCTTTTCTTATTGGATATGTTTTTATATTCCGAATTACTGGACATGTGCTCTTGTAACATATTTGAGAGCAAATAAGGTTTCTAATTCTTTAAATTTACATAAATAGACTGATCCAAATTGACCTGAGCCAAGTTTATTGAGATAGATCAAATTTTTGAATGATTGACTCTTAATTTATTCTTCATGAGCATTGGATTTTTCTTATTGCTATGCCTTTCCTTATTGTATTTTTTCAACACTTCCTTATTGCTTTCTAAATGCTTCATAATCAATTATTGCTACATGTCCTTCTGCTTCAATAGATATAGTCTTTAGATGAGTAGTGCCTGACAATTTATCTTATAATGAATCTTCAAATAGAATCGATCCCTTAACAAATTTAACTTTATTTTCATCAACAGCATCACTATCTAAGAGTATGACTAATTGACCAACTTTGTCTCCTTTCTAAATAATTTTGGAATTGGCAGTAAACTTTCTTACTTACACACCTTCGAGTAGTTTATCTTAATAAGTATGTGGAGTTTTGCTAAACAATTTGGATGAATTGAGAGCCCATTTACAAATGTTTTTATAAATGATAGTTTAAACCTAGTCTCCTAAGATCTATTAAATCATATCTTTTCCTAAAGCCAACACTTTGGTATCCTTTTAGACTGCTTTGATAGTCATCATTCTCACTTGATGTTCCTACTTAAGAGCAGACTCACCAAATGAATCACTAGGATTGAGCACCGAGATTTGTTATCCATCCTTATTGAATACTCCACATTGTCCTTCCACTATGATGTAAAAGGAGCTAGCTTAATCTCCTTCATTGACAATAATTTCACCAGCATTAAATTTTTAAGATATCAAGACTCCAGCTACTGCATCTTTTTATTCTCTTGTTAATTAATCTAAAATTAGAATGATGATTATTACTAAAGAATTTAACACTTTCCAGATATTTACGATTCTTCTCTTACTCGCTTCTCATAATGGTTTCAACACTCTTTCTAAAGGTATGTCTGTCGATTCCCCATAGGTAACACTCTTCAACTGCCATACAAGTCGCAGATCTTGGTGCATTGTACAATAATGCTAATTCACCAAAACCTTGTCCTGGTGTTATTTCTTTTCGCGGTACATTATCCACTATAACATTAATCTTTCCTTTTTCCAAAATGAAAAATGAGCTGGCTCCGTCTCCCTGACGTATGATGGTTTAGCCAACTGATAATTTACAATAAAACATGCTATGAGCTAATTGAGTCCTTTGGTTAGCATATTAACATTTACAATTATGTTTCAGTCATTGAGCTAAATACGAAATGGCCTTAAAAACATTTTATGATAAATTTGATATCATCTAATGCTTGATTCTTTTGTTCAGGATGGAATGTTTCAAAGATTTGGGTCAAACCACTCTCCTGAGTTGGCTTAATTGCAATATTACGTTTCGACACTCTTCTAATTAGTTGGGCTTGAGATGGGGCTATTTGTTATTGAACATTCTTATCAATTCCGAATTCTTGGACTGAGGACTTCTAATTCCAGTGGTTTTGATCCATAATAATTATAATTATTACAAAAATATCTATTTTTCATTTAGGATATTGATTTTTATATTTAATTGGCTTAAATACTCTAAATCATAACAATTTCAAAAGCAGCAATTTACGTCATTATTTATTATATGAAATCTCTAATTGTGCTATCTTTGTTGATATACTCAATAGCAACCCAAGAGAACTGCAGATTTGCATTCGAATACACTCAAAAGGAATTGCAATCAGATCCCAAGAAAGTGCAAGAGTTTCTGTCCAAGGTTATGAAATGGGAATCTAAATTCGCTAAGGATTTAGGAATCGACAAGAAATCTGGTCTAACTTTAGATGGGCAATAATTAGATGTGAACACTGGAATGCCCAATGGTAAACCACATCAATTCACTGCCTCATCCAAGGAGTCGATCCATTTGGCACTGATTGGATTAGCTCTAGCTAATAATGAATATGCCAAATAGATCTACTCGGAAGAGGAAGCCTTGGACCTATTGAATAGAAAGATCAATACATACGAATAGTTCGACAAGGATTACCCAGGTTATGGAGGATTCTTGCCATGGGTGGCAGTGAATGATGGAGTAGTCACTCCAACTTGGGATTGGACTGATGGAGTACCTTCATTGGATAATGGACAGTTGTTTTGGGCTGCTTATGCAGTTGTGTCTGTGTTGGAAACATGGTATTCAGATCAAGACGAGTTGATTGGAAGATATACTAGATTCTATCAGAAGATGGCTAACAATTCCATAACAATATTCTACGAAGGTAATGGGATGATAAGAGCAGTCACTAGAATCCAAGACATCAAAGCCAGTGTGGAAAAAAACTAATACTCAAACAGATAATCAGACTGCACCAACTTCAAAAGTCCTTGTTATTTGGATGATCCATATGAAGGAGAATTGTTTGCATGGATGATGTACTTCTATGCCCCATGGAAAGATCAAACAGAGAGAGAGAAGATATGGGTGGCAAAGAAATCCAAATTGCAAGTAGTCGATTATAAGGTTGCTGGATTGAATAAGTACATCTCAGTTCAAAGAGGATGGTGGTTTTCAGCACATGAACAATGGAAATATCTCTTCATGCCTTATACTCATGATCAAATCCAATTAAATTTATTGATTAATGGTGAGAAAGTACGTACATGGGATGCCAGAAACAATGGCAAACCTGGAATGTTCGCTTCGATTACCAGCAACATCACAAAGAATGAAGATCAAGTAGATTATTATAGTGCTTGTGGCATCGAAGAAGTCTCCTATATCCCTGTGACATACAGACATCTAGTTACACCATATTCAACTATGACCATGTTTTTGGCAAATCAAGAAGTTGCAGTCTCTTGGTATCACAATATGATATCAGGACCAGCTGGACAGAATGCCTATGGAAGCACTGAAGGAGTTGTTGTAGATGGCACTTCAGTTGCTCCTTTTGTCACTTGGGACAGTAAGATGACTACAGTGTTGGGCATGTTAGGAGGCATATTTGATTATACAGCCAAGAAGTTGAATGTGGAAGGAAATTATAATCTGTTCTTGAAAGTGTTGAATAGAGAGTGGCAACAATCATTTTCTAATCTTAAAGGAGCAGATGTTCCTTTTGCATATCCCAATGCCACATTCCCATAGGTCAAGAAAGATTTCACAACCTGTGCAAGAAAAACAGATGTTGTTGAACAATGAATACGTTTATATGTTGTATAAATAGATTCATTTCTTATATTATTAAAATGGGTTGACAAACTCTGGAACTACAGAGTGAATCTTGTTGCTTGAACGGATAAATGTGGTTTTCCTTTTTAATTTCAAGGTCTCCTTTAGATTTTTCAAAGCATTCTCCACTCTACCCGCTTTTTTCATTGGAGTTATAGATTTCACTTTATCATTCCTTTTCAATCTCAAGAAGTTTTGGATGTACAAAAAGGGATACAACATGAACTTACGCATTCTCTAAAGGATTCTAGTCTGCCATTCAAAAATGTCGTATTTTACATACAATATCACATCTTCCACATTTTGTTTATTATAATATGATTCAAAGGATGCCTTGATCTCAAAATCATCAAATTTCTACTGATTGAATGACCAATAGTTTGGTTCCAACTATAATAATGCTTTCTTGCTGATATTATCATTCTCGTTCAACTCCAGATTCCGTTGTAATTGATGATATAGATTTGTGATATTGTCCAACATATTGTTATTGAAATCCTATATTGCCTCTGCTATCTCCTCTCTCTTTTTTTTAAAATCAATAGAGGTATTCATCTCGTTGTCATCACTTGAAATATTCTAAAATCCACTTTCGAATTCCTTGATCTCGTCTACCAATGGTATAGGTCTATCCTTACGATTTCTGGGACTCTTACTCATTCCGAAAGCACCTGCTAAAATTGACTATTTTCTATTCTATAGAGCATTATTGAGATTCTATCTTAATTCATTCACATTATTTTGCTAATCAGTTTTCATTTAATGTTGCTAATCATTCATAATTGTTTATTTCTGTAGTGGTGTGTTATTATTCTAATCACTGATTAACCTATTCACTCGAGAAGATCTAATATGTTAAGCTTAAAATATAGGAGCAGTTTGAGGTAGTTTAAATGCTGGGGAACCTGCATCATCATCGAGTGATGAGTTGGAATCTGATCCACATTCAAAATTCAATAAGATTCTGGTGTGATTCATTATGATTTATTGATTCTCATTCTAAAAAACTGAAGCATATTATTGAGCCAAATCCTTCATCAATCTTGTATGCCACTGTTATTTCTCCTTATCCTATTTCCTTGTATACTAGGAGGAATTCTGAAAGTTAGACATGCAATATCTTTTTATTACAGCTTCCCTATTAGGAACATATTAAACTTAAGGACATGTATTGAGAGAATGTTTAAAACTTAAACATGCTGGACAGAATACACCATTTTCCAATGCAGGCGGATGACAACTCAAAGTAATGCCTTCTTTCAATTAACAGTACTTTTGAAAATCCTCAGGATAATCCTTCAATGTTTCCATGAAATCAGATTTGGACAATATCAATAAACTAACATATCCTATGGCTTTGAAGTGATCGACTTGAGGATTATTAGTAATGAAATCATTAACGCAAAAGAATTATCCCTAATTAATCACAGCATTCATCTTAGATCTTTATTTTCTCTCAGGATGCTAATACACTATGAAACCTTGTTCAACAAAACATAAATGTTATTCATTTGAGAAATCAGTAGAGAAGGTATTCTAAGGAGGTACTATCTTTCTCTTAATAGACTTGAATAGTGCATTACGCAACTCTTCACTGAAGTACTTCTACAGGAAATCTGACTTTTAGATGAACACTTTGTGTGCCTGCTTGTCCAATTCCTCTTTCAATTCATCAGATAACTACTCTAATAATGTCTGTTCCATCTCAAGATCTACTTCATCATCTTCCTTCCATCTGAATGTCAAATACTCCTTCACTCTAAGATTAGATAATAATACAGTACTGGTGTTGTAAACTATATGGAATCTTCCTTTAATTCATGTACTTGTTGATTACTCTCATTCTCCTATTCCTTTCCACTTAGTTCTGGGTGATGTCATCGATGATGCTGCCAATGAAGTTAACACTGTAAGATACCCATAAACCTATTCAAATAAGAGGAATATTCTTACATGCACCCAACACAAATACCATAGTCACTATTTTCTCAATAGCATTTTTAGGCACCATGTCACCATATCCTATAGTTAACATTGTGACCACTGCGAAGTAGAGTGCCTATAAGTATTGCTCTTCCCAACTCTTATCTTCAATATCATTAAATCGAATCCATGAGTCCTCCACTCGAATACTACTGAAATAGAACCAGATGCAACTAAATAAGTGCAGGATGTAGAGCAATGTCAAAATGAATTTCAATAGACTAAACACTCCTCTTTAGGGTCGAGTCAAATAGGATATCTAATCACTCTTTGCAAAGGTCTCGTACACATATTTGTGTTGACCTAAGATGACCAGTAAGAATAAATTGGCACTGGTGTTCATGTCAGGGATAATCATGAAGATTATCAAAATCAAGGATGTTGAGAAATCTGTGAGAAATTCCTTTTTCAATTGATGGACTACCAAATCCCATTTATCCTTTATGGCATATCCATTCTTATAAGTTAAAGTGTTCACTCGAATCAAGAAGTCCAATTACAATATAACGAGAATCACATATGTAATTTATATGAGATTATTGAAAAGGATTTCTGGTTTAAATGCAATTTCCAAAGGTACCAGAATTAAAAGCAAAATTCTAAATATGGAAGTGAAGAAATCCCAATACATTTTGAATAACGATTCTGGTTGGATGATAGGGATTTTAGTGATGATTGCATGGAGACAATTAAAAAGCGGTTTTCGAAGTTTCTTCAAATCCTCCTTCACTTATTCCACTATTGTTGTATCCTTGATATCAGTTTCTTTTTTCAACAAGGTCTACATCTTCTTGATGTTGAACCCAGCTGACTTCATGCGCTTGGAATGCATGAATAGGGTTTGTCTATTATAGTGATATGAATTTACGAATCAGATGCCTTGTCTCCTATCAAATTGAAATGAGCATCGTTTAGACTACCCAATTACTTTCGACTTTTGGACAGTTTCTCCACAAACCTTCCAATATAAAACAAGGACATAAAACTAGATTCTGCATTTGCCTAACTTCTCCTTCTTTCAACCTACCTTCCATGAAAAACTGGCTCCTTTGGAGTCTAGATGTTCGAAGCTAGAATGTTCTCGTCATTATTCGAGTCTGGCGATTTTGGACTATGCAAATATTTTGCTTCTAGACTTTTTGCACTCAATGTTCTGCTGGCTATCTGAGGCAACACTAACGAGAATTCCTTCTTAGTCTCTCGCAAACACTAACCCAAGTATTACTACTCAAAATCCTCATTCTACACCGCCCTCAATTCCACATCCTACTCGAAATCAAAACCACTCTAGAGATTTAACATTTAATTAATAAATCAAATTCTTTAAGTTGAGATCCTATTGTATTTTAAAAAAAGAAGGTCCATTTCCAGAAGATTAAAATTATTCGAAAACAAAAGACCATTTTGATGAGAAATAATTTACACTCGATTATGATCAGTGCAATACAGAAATTGATAGTGTGGAGTCTCATCCATCACAAATTTAATTACATTATAACCCCTTTTGCATTTTTATCCACTTATAGTTTGAGTTGCTCAGGAAGAAAAAAAAATATTGTTGGAAAAGAGATAATTAAATTGAATAAATCTAAATATTATAAAATGCTTGAATGCCTTTACAAAAGATTGCTAATTACTATAATAGAACCATTTTAAGGCATATTTATAGTCCTTGTAAAAGAGTATCATCAGATAGCTTTTATATTAGAACTAGACTCCTGTTTTTAAATAATCTGATTATTAATGAATTTCATTTATGCTTATACTTAATTAACAGAGTTTAAAAAGGACAAAATTTGTCAAACAAACTAACTCCAATCTATTCTAACGTTTAATTCTTGAACAATAAATCAATCTTCTTAGTTCTTATCTTATTCAATAGTTATCATATCTCTTTTGGAGTATAAATCAATATTAGATCATTTCTAAATCTTTAATTTACTGACATATTTCTTTAGAACTCATTGATATATATTGTGTTTCCTAAAGATATGGAGTGAAACTAGAATCTATCGTAATTAACGATGAATTTCAGAAGCCAAAATTAAAGGTGAAAATAAATGGGTACTTAGAAAAGCATAAACAATTTCAAAGTCATATCCAAAGATTGCAAAGTACATTACAGATAGGGTGAAGTCATACTCATTGGATTAGACAGACAAGAGGAAATAGATAATAAAATAAGTTTGATAATTATATGTTATATTATAAACCTAAACACTTAAAATCGGTTGTTCCTTCAATTTTTACAACTGAACCTCCAAGTGCAGCCGATTCCATAATTTTAGATTCTCGTATATTAAGCGAGGAAAAACTCAACTTGAATAGCAAGTTTGCTTTGCTTGATCAATTCAGTCATCGAGCCTTTGATATCAAAGAATATAATTTAACTTAAAGAGAATTGCCAAGCATAAAGAAACATGTAATATAGAATAATAAATTGGATGTTTGGGGTGAAACAACCTTGACCCTCTATAGAAACCAATTCCTTTATACATCCTTAGATATCCATGAAAAATATTCACCAGTAGTCTTATTCATCTACGTAAAAAAAGGTGATCCCAATACTAAAATGCGATTGTTTTGTTCTGTTAGATTTTAATAACCCAATCGTTTCAATGCAGAGATCGAAACTTATGGTCGAGTGCTTAAATATCACTCAAGCGATGGCACAACTTTTTATGATCCTACTCTTTATGTTGCAATATTAGCACAAAATGATGTGGTTATTACTATCAAAAATGAATTTGCGAAACCTCCCTTACCTAGAAAAATCCTGTAATTGAAAAAAAAGGATGAACAAAATCAGGAATTTGAAGAATTAGCTGATTTAATCATTCGAAAACGAAAGTTAAAACAGAAATCTTTAAATTTCATCAATTTTAATAGATCATTGCTTCGAAAACAAAGGATTGAATCTCCATGTAATACTGAACGATTAAAAGAGATAAAGTACAAATAGACATCCATATTGAAAGAATAAAACCTAAAACATATTGCGTAGATTGCTTTACATGATGTTGCAAAAGAAATCAAGCATAAATAGATGAACATCCAACTCAAGTAATCTACTTTACTTATAAATATAGATAGATGCACAAAGAATGGATTTGTAAGAAATGGATTTAAATTGTCATTCTAATAAATTACATAGTACCATCAATAAGTAATTATATTAAAGTACAAAAACGCATATCTGAGAAGAACATGAGGAAATAAATATTGACGATGCAATTTATTAACAAAATTAAACATAACATCTTATTACAAGGACCAAAAATAAAACCAAGAACCTTGTTGCTCTGTAAAATGAGCATGTAGATTTGCATCCATAGTCAACAGGATAAGGTTAAATAGAAGAGTCAACATATCATAATCGAAATTCTGAGATAAAACATCAAAAGCTATTATACAGTCACAAAGGGCTTACACACTGTCAATCTAAGTAAGTGATCATTTGGATTTAGTTAAAAAATGCATCAACATGCTTGTTAGACACAAGAATAAGAGGTTGGAATTCATGGCTTAGATGAAGATTGCGATATCCCATCAATGCAAACAGATCTATGGGGACATCTTGAAGATGAAGTAGCAATCAATCTCGCAACTGCCCCTTTAGCAATAGTAGCAGCAGGAGAAGAATAAGAACAAGAGGGATCCCCTTCATTACTTAATTCATGATTAGTATAGAATTTATTATTATCATTTTAATAGATAATTTATAATGTTTATATATAAGAAATTATTCACCAATGTGTTACAGAAATGGAATTAAGACTTTGATGCTTTTCGAACAGTCTATCATGACAGTAAGAAAAAAGGATTGGCTTTGTTGTTGAGACCATTACCCTTAGAAATACCAAAGGAAGAGATTATTAATAACTATATTGTGGAGGAATTGGATCGTAGAGGATTGATTAATTATTAATATTATCCGTTAAATTAATGAATTCTCCAAGAGCAGAAACTCTGGATTTAGAATTAAATGACACTATCAACAAGATCTATAATGGTTGTTAGAAGATCAATGATAAACATCTCAAAATAAGGATATTGCAATGGCTGGATAAAGTGAGAACGCCAACTCATAATTTTATTTGGAAATAGAATTCTTTATTATATGCTCGTGTTCTATTGGAGATGACTCTTGAAAAATAATTAGACAAACCCTTTAGAGGAGTGCCTCCAGATGGGCCATTGCCGAGATTGGACAAATTTGATGTCGTAATTGATTTGTAATTTAATAGTAAGCCTCAACAGGTTTGGCAGAAACTGAAACAAGTTCAGTAGGCCCAATCTCCCAGGAAACCTTTGGGGATGATTTTGAATAGGAACCTGACTCCAAAGTTGAAGACTGAGCCTGGGTCTTACAAATGCAACAAATTCCATAATAGTCAGAAATCTCAGAAGTGGAATCAAATCAAGGAGACTCTGGAAGGGGCTAATAAAAATATGCAAGAATTTAAACAATTTTTAGAAAATTTATAAACTTAATAACTATCTCTTTGAATTATTAATGTTATTTATTATTATATAAATCCTATTGACTTAAGCATAACAAAACTAAACTAACTATCTTTACCTTTTCAATCAATCTGCACTCGAAATTCAAGTCACTCTATACTCACACATTAATCAACCCTTTATTTTGGCATCTTCCAATAAAAAATTTGAAAACATATTTTATGTAGAAGGACAGGATAAAATTCAATCTCTGAATTATGATCATGAGTCATTCATCACAAACAACGATGTCCATGTCATATTTACTGAACCTGCTGTTGATTTGTACATTTATGCTGGTTACTTAAATCAATCATATAATCAATACTCCAATTTCTCAATCCTAATCAATAATCAATCTGGAGAATGTCCTTCCTTTTGTATTCAAAGAGGTAATTCATGTAATTCAATTAGCAAATAGTGTTTATGCAAATCCGGCTACTTCGGACGGTTTTGCTAACTCTAGAGGAAAATCGGAGTTTTATAAATCCAATATGACATCATTATCAAACCACTTTAATGGGTCTACATAGGTTTTGAAACCAAGCAATTGAATTCGAATGACACTTTAAAATTGAGGATTCGTGATCAGTCATCTGAAATGCTCATGGGATTGGGAATGTAAGGAATAGAAAACCACGAAGTTCCCAACATCCATTATGACGCATACATAATACCAAAGAAGATACAACAGTAGATCTATCAATTGAAGGGCGATTTAATCTATTATCAATCCATGTGTATGAATTGCTCATTTTTGAATATCGGATTTTACAATTAACATTCCTTTCCAATATTGTTTTATTTTGAACTCTTTGAGAAGGAACAACTAAAAGAGAACGACCCCTATCATTTGTAGACCATCCTGCAATCCATCTTCCTTACTTGTTTCATAATGATCACTTACTTGATATTTAGGAAAATAAGACAGAAACAACAGAGAGAGCAGATCAGATTGGTCTAACGAGAAGCGAGAGGAAACAGACGGAGAAGAAGAATATAACAATAATAAAATGACGAGATTTAAAAAGGGTTTAATTTAGACTTTATCTCAACATATTTCCCTCAATTCTATTACTTAGACTTGGTAGATAAGTATCCTCAATTAAGTGAATTTGTAGAATGTGTGGTTTGTTTGGAATCAATGGCTCCTCCTCAATAAGGCAAATTGACAGAAAGAGATCACATTGATCATTGTTCATTGACTCCGTGTTATCATCTATTTCATTAGCATTGTCTCTTCAAATGGTTACAGACTCAAAAATGTTGTCCGCTGTGTCGTAAGGAATTCATTGAACAGGACATTAAAAACAAACCTTGGATCAGTTTTAACAATGATATTAGTTTAAGAGAAAGCAGTAGAGCGAATCCTTTTGTTTAGAGGATGAAGACTAGAAGTGAGAACACTTAGCAATCTGACATTCCTTTGATGGTGGACACTGAGAATGTGGAAACTCAACCTAATAAAGATATTGTTGTAAATATTGTTTAAAAGAGTGCAAGAGATTTGATTATAAGATGAATTTATATTATAATTTATATTATAATTTTTAACAACTTTTTCAAAGTAAATGCCTCCATTTACTCCAGATGCGCGTAATTTAGGTGGTAGGAATTTAATATCTTAACAAATTTGGAATCATTTACAATAACTGAAGGAAATATCATAACAAATACCTCAACTTTTGATTTCACCACGCAAAGTTCCCAATTCACCTAAACAAAGTATCGAACCTTTAAATTGCAAGAGAATGAATCGGAAACAAGACTATCTACTCTGTCCAACTTACTTGTTTAGACGGAAAACGGTTTCTGAAAGTTTCACATCATTGAGTCCAAAACATATTCAAGATGAAACACAATTGCTGTTCTAAGAACCTCTTTTGAGAAGACAGAAGAATTTGAAATCTCCTCAGAAGATCTTCCCGTTCAGCACCATTCAATTGGGAGCATTGTACAGAGTCAAGGCTAATGAAATCAAGATCAATAAAAATCAGGATCTCATGTAAGATTGTCTGTAATAAAAGATAATGGAATGAAGTGGAGCAGGATGTGAGGGACTTGAATAACAGCTTCGATGAATTGCTGATCCAGATCCAACAGATCGTTATGGATTTCGGGATATTCAGTGCATAGGATTATCAGATTCTGATCTAGATGATCTTGCGTCTCAAACCTCAAATCCCCAAAATGGACTTACTCAATATATTTAATGAATTGATTATTAAGCAATAATTATAACTGTCTTGATCATTAATTAATGGGAACATGTTAATAATGCAAATCGTATGTTGAAATCAGCAATCTCACCATCATTGACTAGCTTAGCAATGATTTCATAGTAGTGTAAGACGATTATTAGCATCCTTTGTATGGCAAAGTCAACATACTTGAGTACAAAGAACCCAAACAATTTGATTTTAAATTAGTACATAAACTTATTACATTTGTAGAGAGAGAAGACTTTCAACAAGCACTACAATATTATGAAGCCAAATTTTATGGGTTCAACCATCCCAACCTCTTAATCATACATGGTATCTCATCTTAATCTTACACTAGCAATGCAACATCGATAAATAGATCAATTCTTTAACACCCAATACAAATTGTCACTCTTCCTAGATTACTATGAAACCACTCTCGCCTAAGAATTAATCTTCAGAAAGAAAATATACTTTGAAGAAAGAGAAATACTATTCTTTCTGGATTCCTTAATTGGTAGTTAGGCCTTCCTCCAATCCAAAGGTCATGCCTTGTCCTCCTTAAAATTCGACAAGATCTATCTCACCAATCTGCTTAATGGAGCTATCGCATTGAAAGTTCAAAGTCCTCTATTTGACCCCAAAGATTAGGAAATGGAATTCAATGCTTTATTTGATAAAATAATAAAGGGAGAGTAAGTCAAATTGCAGGATTATCCATATCTCAGTCCAGAACAATGGCAAATGATTCACAACAAAAAGTTGGAATCTTATGATCTCTTTAAAAGCAATGTATTTGTACTTGGATTAGTAACAATATATTTGCATATTCTTTTAGATGATATTAGAACTGTGTTCTGTTCGTCAGAGTATCACCCTATATAAAGACTACATGATAGATCAGAACCTTTTAAATGATCAAATCAATAAAGTAAAAGAGAGATACGGGGAAGTATTACCCTTGCTTTTAGACGCAATGCTGTATTATGATCCTAAAGTGAGATGCGACTTTTTATAGTTGGACGATCTATTGAATTTACAACAATTGTTAAATGGCAAAAGACTGTCTCAGATTTGGACTACCGAAGATTTCTAATATAGTTTCATCGAGAAGAAGGTATTCGGTTTGATAGACTAATTATAGGTTCATTTTACTACAAGGCAACACTCACTTATTCATCCAGAAGTGTAATCCTAATTATCTAATTAATCTTTATTGCAAAAAGGATCACATTTATCACTCAAATAAGTCTTATCAAAAAATTCAAAGGAGTCCAAAGCATCAAGTGTATAAATATTAATAAATAATCAAGTCTTTTATTTAAAAAAGAGAATCATATTCACCTCAAACACAAAAAAAGAATTTGTTTAAAAAATTCGAAACAGAATAAGCTTCAAAAGGAGGCAGCAAGAAACTCATTACTTAAGATGGATTTGGAGTGGAATCATTAGCAAATGGCCTAACATATGAAGGTATATTTTAAGGGGGTAAAAAGTAAGGGTTAGGTAAGCTAATTAATGATGACAATGAGATTATTTATGAGGGATACTTCTTTGAAAACCAGTAAATTTTATATAAAATATCAGATAAGATATCATCGTACAGGAGTACTCAAAAATTAAAATCCGCAACCATTAACTGCACCATTCAATTATAAAGATTTCAATACCTTAGGAAATATGTGGGTCAAATATGATGGAGATTTCAAAGAAGGTAAACAGGATGGATATGGTTAATTGACATTGTCTAATGCTGAAATCTATACTGGGCTTTTTAAAAATGGAGAAGTAAATGGAACTGGAGTGTTCTTAACTTTGGATGGCCAACATATCAAAGGCAAATGGGTAAATAATATCTTTCAAGAAGTATGAGTATAAAAAATTATATATATATATATATCTATTGATCATAACTAAATTGTAATTCGAAATTATATAATCATTTTAATGAAATCATACCCCAAAATTCACTATTGGCACTATGCCATATAAATTACTCCTCAACTTTATGACAGGATTTCTCAACTAATAATGTTCCATCAATGTCTCCACCTATTGTTGCCAATCCTAATAAATTAATTGCTTAATTGGCAATTAAAGATGATCCTATCATAATACCAACCCATTTCTTTAACATTAATTCCTCTGCTTTAATGAAATTTGCCACAGCACCTCGATATCCAGAAGATTTTTCTAACTTTACATTGACACCTGTCACAACCTTCTAAAGTTCTACCACATCCTATGAGGTCTTAATTGATTCATCAGCATAAATTTCTATTTTCTACTCCAAATACCTTTCCTTTACAATGTACCAAGGTTCCTTCTCGAAAATCAATGGGAAAGGTTGTTCAATCATATATAAAAAAGGTTTAATCTAAATCAATTCTGTGTTCAATAGATCTAAAAACTTGAGAGCAGTCTCAGGTTACCAACTGCTGTTGCAATCGATTGACAACAATCCACAGAAGTTATGATTACCTTTTATTACTTTATTGTATACTCCTATCAACACATTTCTAATGTACTCAAGATCTCCACCAACTTTTATTTTTATATTTGGTGTATATGGAAGACCAACATCCAACTATGAAATCACTTCATCTATATTATCTAATAAGGAAATCGTGTAAAAATTTCTTTTATTTGGCACTTTCAGCTTCTCATTGTTTTCATCGGATATCAATTAAGATATTTATTTGTTGGTCTTCTTACAATACCAATCAATTAAGGCACATTCAAATAATGATTTTGATGCCAAGTGAATGGGATCATTAGAAATTTAATCAAGTATTGATAATTGTGAATTCAGAAATTCTTTTGCTTCTCCATCTTCCATTTTGAAGTAAGGAGTTTATTTAAATTATTCAAATCCATCATACTTTTCCAAAGGTTTGATTGATTAAAACAGTTTGAAGAACACCTCAATGTCATCATAATCAGTAAAGTAGCAATTCTATTTTTTAGGAGGTAATCCAGCCTCTGCAATTCCAGTTGTTCCTAAATGGGTTATTTCCAAGTATGCATTAGTTCTTTAGGTTGTTACACTGTGATTGGTGCCAAATGGATTGACTAGATTTAGAATGAAAGGTTATAATTTATACATTATTATTATTATTAATAAGAATACTATTTATATCTAAATTTTATGAATTTCTACATTTAATATCCTAATAAATCAAATAATTTTACAATCCTTTTCCATTCCTACAGTTATGAAGCTAATTATTTTTAATCTCTGCTTTTTTTAAAATCAAAAAAGTCTAAAAGAATTCATTTAATCCTTAATTCATGGAAAATTTTAATGCTAAAATTGATATTTCTAATCCTCTCTTTATAGATGAGCAAGATCGCAAAGTTAAACAAGTAAAGAGATCATTAACCAAAAAAATAAGTTGAAATTGTCTTCAACAATTTTCTGTTATCTTTCATATATAAATTATTTATGCATTCCAAATTTTATTCATCGTATTAGGTTCATGATTATTCATTAAGATCAAAATTAATTTCCTTCTTTTTTTTTCTATCCAATTAATAATCTAAAACATTTAATAAATCTATTCATTTAATTATTCGTAATAAATTCTTAAATCTAAGAAATTTCATTAACACCCTCTTAAATGGCATTTCCATATTTCAAATTACATAAGGAACCTTCAAAATCAAATTTATATTAAGTTGATTCAAGTTTTAATCGAATTGTTTAAATAAATAATCAAATATTATAGATTTAATTCGTTTGTTAGTAACTTCTACCAGGATAAATGCTAATATTGTATTAATCAATTATATACAGATTGAGACAAAAAAAGATGCATTGATATAATAAAATGATAAATAGAATATAGCAGACAGTTTAATTTAATACTTTTATTTATGTTATAAATTGCTTTTTCATCATTTTAATTTATTTGCTCTTAAATTCTTTGATTACTTGACTTTTTGATTAACTGCAAAAAAACTTGTCTCCTCTTGATCTAAATTTGAATCTAAAAAGATTATTTAATAATCATACCTCCTGCTCTCTTTAATTATTGTTTATTTGGTTTATAATTTGAGAATAATTCTTGGATTTCTTATTCAACCTCTTGCTTTTTAGATACTCTTTCAACTTTGGCTACTGGTTCTTCTGAGACTGATGACTCTAATGACACTTCCGAACCGGATGCATGAGATAACATACTAGAAATAATATCATTTTTATTTTGAGTCCAATCCAAGTAGATTCTTTCGAATTCATAAGGAGATAAATTGTCTGATTTCTAGTTGTCCTATGAAAATCTACCTTTTTTGATTTACAAATCATTCTTAATCTTCTCCATAACTTCCTATTTTCTTATGCTCAATTCTTTTTCGTGATCGCTAACTGCTTAATTAACAGGCTTATCCAAATAATATCTTTCACCATCATTAATTTTATTGTTTGAGACAGCTTAAGTTTTTTAATTTCTCAAAAGTTCTTCAATTTTCTATTGGAATTCCTTATCCTTATTCCTTTCATCAGTGACTGCATCTACATCTTATTCAACAACCTCAATCCTCTTTTTAACAATAACATCATCGCTGTTATGAATCTATCTAAGTTCTTCTACATTCTTCTTGATATCCTGATAAATTTATTATTCTTATTCTCTTGTTTCGACTCTCTTATTAGTAGATGCTTCTAATTCATGAACTAATTCATTTACAATTTAATCAAACTATTCATCATGACTCATCTATTGTTTCTCCTTTTATTTCTTATTGATAATCTATTGATGTAATTATTCTTCGAATTTAATTTACTTCTCATTTTGTTCAATCTTTAAGGATTTATCCTACTTCTAATTTTATTTCTTTTATTCCTTACTTACCTTAATAGAATTATGCTTCTCTTTCTTTTCTGGTTTATTCTGAGTGGCCTCTTCCTTATTTTCAACTGTATGTTCATCTTAATCATTTTCAATGCAATCTTATAAGTCCTCCAGATTTTCAATAACTTCTGCTTCGGATTAAGCAGCTACGTTGTCTTCGGATTCAGCTTCAGGAATTTAAGATTCATTGTAGAAAACTTCTATATTGTCTTCTTGAACTGTGCCTTCTCCATTGATGTCTTCATTTGTAATAATATTGTCAGCTTCAACCTTGTCCTTTACTGAAATCTCCTTTTTCACCAATTATTTCTTCTTGATTTCTACTTAAGGTAAATCCTCGAATTTAGGTTCCTCTGTTGCAGTGGCATTTTCTAAGGTAATTTCATTGTCTTATTCATCAACTTATTATTGGATTTCTTATTGAACTTATTATTCTTGTTATTGAGTAGATTGAATTTCAGTTTCTGATTTAGTAACATTTTCTTATTAAGGTTCAATTTAAGGTTAAGCATCATTAGAAATGGATTAATTATTTTGTTATTCTGCTACTTTAGTATCTTATTATTATTAATCTACTTAATTAATTTATTATTATTAAACTACTTAATTATCTTATTATTATTCAATTACTTTATTATCTAATGATTCAACTACTTTACTAACCTTTTATTCAATCACTTTATTTTCTACTACCTAACTCTCTTATTAAACAACTACTTAATTCTCTTACTAATCTACTACAGAATTTTCGGTTACTTAATTCTCAATTTAATCAACCACTTAGTTTTAAACTCCAGTCTCTTATTAATTTTACTTATCAGTTTAAGTTTCTTAATTAACTTCAACATTTTAAGGTGCTTACTCTTATTTTTATTCTGTAATTGCCTCCTACTTTTAAGGAGCATCTTCAAATTGGATATCATAGTCTTTGTTGATATCTGATTCTTGATCATAATTAGAAAATTAATCACCAGTATCAACCATGACTCCATCACTCACAACAGCTTCATCATTTGATTAAACCTGACTTTCAAATATTTCTTCATTATCTAATTCGAAATCTTCTTATTGAATTTCATCTTATTATTATTAGTTTTAGGATTATTCTACAACATCTTAAGATTATTCTTATTCATTTTAGTTGTCAATCTAATAATAATCTTCATTATAATTGTCATAATTCTCATCAGCTTCCTTATTTTGATCATATTAAATTGTTTATTAAACTTCATCATTTTATTAATCCTCGCTATTTTATTCAACCTAATTGCCTTCTTAAATATCATTGTTTTATTCAACTTCATTGCTTTATTAAATATCATCATTTTATTCAACTTCATTATTCTATTAAACTATTTGCTCCTAAACAACAGGTTCAGTTTTTGCAGTATTTTATTCTTAAATAATTTGGTCTAATTCATTGTCTAAGTCATCCAAATAGTAGTCATCATTTGAAGCAACATTAGTAGTGATAGAATCATTATTAGAATCAATAGTTAAATATTATTGATCCTCCTTAGAAATCTTAATCTCCTGTGTGTCGATAGCTTAAGTCTCTTATAATGCAGGTTATTCCAAAGAAGGTTGTTATTGACTAAGATTATCTAGTTCTTTTGCTAATTCATCCAATTATGATTAGAATTAATCAAAAGTAGTTCCATCATTACTTAAACTTTTATTTAATATAACATCAGATTCCAATTATTCATAATCCAAAGTATATTCATCTTAAACAATGTTATCCTTAGTGATTTAATTAGCATTGATTTCTACTTCATCAGAAATCAAGGATTAAACATCAACATCAGCTTCTGCCAAATTCTAATCTCCAATTATTTCGATTTCCTTTTCAGTCACATCCTTGATTGCATCAGTGATGATTTCAGATTACTTATAATTATCAGTATCTTCAACAATGATTGGAATTAAATCAGAACTATCATTGGAAAATATGCTCAGGTCAACTTTCTCAACTTCGGCTTCAACTTTAACTACTTCTCCAATTAACTATTATTCTGGATTAGTTGCTTCTTAGACTACTACTTCAGCATCTGCATCAAAATATGAAGTGTCTTTAATAACAATCACATCATCTGGATCCAAATTCGAAACATTCAAACTATATAATTTGTTTGAAGGAGGCTTATCAGCTTGCTTCATATCATTTATAACTTCCTTCATTTTCTTAGTTAATTGATTCTTCTTTACTTTAAAATCTGGTGCTTCAGATTACTTTTATTATTTTTCACTTTTTTAATTTTTCTCTTCCTTTGTAGATTATTATTATGTTTATTTAATTTTACTTTAATCCTCTGCTTTAACTTCAGTTTTAATTTCTGTATTAACTTCTGTTTTAACCTCTGTTGTAACTTCTGTTTTCTATTCAGCCTTAACTTCAGTTTTAACTTCTGTGTTGTCTTAAGCATCTGTGTTTGCTTAAACTTCATTATGACTCTCTTGAGCATGTACAGTGTCGAGTTCTTCACCATCACATTATGTATTTTCTTCAATAGGTTATCCCTACTAATCATTATCACTAGCTTCAGTCTTCTCACTTGAATTTTTTTATTATTATTATTATTATTATTACTATTATTATGTTTCTGGGTTATTCTAAGGCTCTGAATCTGCTGGAGTAGCATCTTCTTCTCCTTAATCTTAATTTTTTGAATCAGGTTCAGTAGGTACAACCTTTACTTCTTCATCTGTTTTCACCACAATTTCTGAATCGTCAACCTTATGATTATCTGTTTATTAATTGATCTCTTCACTTTTTACAATTGGCTAGGCCTCTATTTTGATATCTTGAATCACAACCTCGTTTTATGAATTATCATTATTTTACACCTGAGTTTCTTCTTTACTGTTTTCAACAGATATTTTATTAATATTTTTATCATTTAATGAATTTAATTCTTATTATTCTTAAGAGGCAATTTCAACAGATTCTTTTTATTCAACGTTTTCTTTTTATTATTCAGATTATGTTTATTTAATGTCAGTAGAAGTAGACTATTCAATAGATTCTGCTTAAGATTCGTTTTGATTTTAAGTTGAGATTTCAGAGTTTTTCTACTCTGTATTTTGTTGTACTTTATCCTCATTAGATGAAAGATTAGTCTCAACCTATTATGTTGCATCTATATTCTAAGTTTCAATTTAATCTTCAACAACTTCTTAATTGCTTGATTAAATTTCAGTATTATCCTGAGCCTACACTTTTGTTTCACTATTTGCAATTAAATTGTTTTAGACTTATTATTGGTCATTCTCTTTATTAGTATTTGTCAGTTATTCACTTTTTACATCTTATTATTATTATTCACTTTATGCAACATTCTATTCTTCTTATTTGTTTATTTTACTTACAGAAACCGAAAACTTTTTCTATGAATTCTCATTTTCTAAGTCAGTTTAATTTGAATTATCCTTTGCTTGAACGTCATTATTTGAATTGGTGACAATTTCATTGGCTGATTACTCTACTGATGCGTTATCTTTTTTCTGAACTTTAATTGATATTTTCTTTTATTAGCTTTCTGATTCCTTATTTTCTTAATTTGATTAGACTTAAGTGGTTTATGATTTTTCATTTGAAACTTCTGCTTTCATAAGGGGTTGTTTTTCAATTTCTAGTGATTTTTGTTACCAAATTTCAATGGATTAATCCTTTATTTCGTTCACTTCAACAGACCTACCTGTTTCAAGAAAACTTCTAAGCTGAATAGAATGCATTTATACATAGCAACATCTTTCAATACTTTATTTTCTCGTAATTCATCCTATCTATATGCATTATCAAGTTCTCCACTCGATTCTTTTGAGTAAATTTAATTCGGCAATATAACTTTCACATTGATGGTTCCATGAATTTCTGTTGATTTCACTAACACCAATGTCAGCAGCAATATTCTAACAAATTTTAACATATTAAAAATAATAATAATAAAAACGGATATATAACACTCCAACATCTAATCTTTAATACTCTTTTTTGTACATTATTCAAACAAGAATAGTTAATCATCTATTTCATATTGATTTCAATCGAATTTGAAACAATCCTTAATACTTCATATCAATAGATACCTATAAATACTATTTGATAAAAAAGTTAATACATTTACTATTTCCAACTTAAAAATAATATAATCATTATACGATCTTAATAATAAACACTTTTGATAAGTATTTCCTCATGAATTATAAGTAGTTGACCTTTTCTTTTCTTGCTATTGTTTTAAAAACAGATGGATTTTTTATTTCATAATCAATTGTATTCAAAAACTTCAAACTTCTTTTCAGTTGGTGTTATTTAAGATTAATTAATAATAAAATCAATCAATAATCTTAGATGTTTTGTTGACTGAATACTTTTCAGTATTTTACTCGTTATTTTCCTCCAATAAATCAGAATCTAAATCAATTTATTTCATTAAAATTACTTTTACTTTTAAATAAAATAACATAAAATATAACAGTTCATCTTATATAGTATTAGATTCAAATGAATGATTCATCTTCTATTTCTTTTCATTTTGGACCTTAATTAATTAGCAGTTTTATTAAAACTTCGAACTTCTTTATAATTTTGATATTACAAAATTTAATTTTTTTGCAATATGTACATTACGTGTCTTTCATTAAATGATTATGATTCTATTAAAAGTAATCAGCTCTCATTATAAGATCTAATTGATTGATATTTTAGAAAATCACAAATATTTAAACTTCATGAAGTTGAATCTAGAAATTGAATTTCTTTAAATATTACACACATGCTCACTCCTTAGTTATTTTGGATAGAAGATTTAGAAAATGATTAGGGGCAATCGAATTTTAATCATTAAACTGTTTAAAATAGTAAAGGCAAAGAATGAGTTTTTATACAATTTCATAAAATAGGATAGTTTAAAATGTAAATTTGATATATATTCAACATAATTTAAATATGTTGTTAAATTCAATTTAGTTAGAGATTTCTTTTGATTAACGATTGATAAATTCAGATGAGATTTATAATTATTATTTGTAAATTTAATGATTCTGGGGACAGAAGTAAACGAATTTGTTTCAAATCGACAATAATCTAAAATTCATTATCTTTCTGAAGAGAACAAATCCTTGTAGGAATACATCCAAGACCTTGAGAATGCCTTAAAATTAAATAAATAGGCAATGTCCCTCACTTTAGATGGTTTGAATAAAAGACCATAGGTATGAAAGAGTGACTATATAGTTGATATCAGATAATAGCACAATGTCAACTGGTTATAATTACTAGAATTCTTAGTTGGAGGGAGTAATCAAATTGCTCAATGAGGAAAATTAGAAACTAATTAATGGATTGTCTAATTAATAAAGAATCACTCAATAATTATAAACTAAATTATTATTGCAAGAATAGATATCTGAAGAATAATAGAATTATTATAAGGATTTGATAGGAGATTTGGAATACAAATTAATAGAATTGAAGAGAAACATTCATGATAAAGAGTATGCGATCCAAGAGTTGGAGAGAATGAAACCCATTCAAGAGAGAGAAGGTCAATTCGTCAAAATAATTGAAGTGGTCACTCCATCAGAATAGAACCTCAAATTGCATGAGGAATTAGAAAATGTGAGAAATTTATTGAACAAAATCACTTAGGAAGCTTAAGCCATCAGTGAAACCAATAATGCCTTGAGAGAAGTGAATTATGTAAAGAATATTATGTAATAAAGAATCTAAAAAGAGAAATATTTAAAATGAGAATTGTGTTGAGAAGCTAAATTAATTTTTAGAGTATGAAAGGTAAAATTTGTCAATTTTATAATCAGATTTCGTCTATAATGAATATATAGATAAAACGGATGACAATCTTCAAATCAATAGAGAAGTTCAAAATCAAAGAGGCAAGTTGGAGCAATTGCATTAGGAATTGTATGGAACTTCAAGTTTGGGATATGGTTTCTCCCCAGAACCCTAACAACTCAAATACCTGAGCAAGAATGAACGTATGATTTACCAGGAGAAATTGCATAAGATGGAAATGATGGTCAAAGGATTTAAGGAATTATTCGAAAAGGAGAAGAATGCTAATTTACATGTTAGAAAGTTATACAATGATCTATTGACGAAATATGAATACATATTAGATACTAATGAATTGATAATCAAATCCAACAATTTGAAAGATGAAAGAAATGAAAAACAGTAAATTGAATTGCAATTCTACAAAAAACAAAGTTAGAGTCTGATGGAATAACTAAGAAATAGAAAAGCGTTCAATTCTATACCTTTAAATTAAGAATAAGATATTGCAGTAGGAGTGTTTAGTCCTAGATATCAACAGAAATATTTGAATAACCAATCTCAATCATCATTTTCAAAAGTGCAATAGACAGGCTCAGATGATTTAGAAATTAAGAACTCAGCCAGATAATTGAATTCAAATAACTTCAACAAAGTTATCAAACCTCAATAAATTAATTCAGTGTAGAGTACTTGTGCAAAAAAGTAGATTCAACAACTAGAAATTTAAGATGATAGTTCATCCCTTGAATAAGATAGATACATTTGTCAAACTGCTAGAGGAGAGAATCCAAAAATTAGTAAATTGACCTAACAACAATAATAGGGACAAATTATTTAGTATTATGATATGACTAAATAAGAGTGCATTGACTTCTTGATGTCGATGTTCAATGATTATTTTAAAAAATTTGACGTAAACCATTTGATTATTTTTTCTTAGTTGAGTAATATCAAGAAGCAATAACTCATGAAATAAATGCAAAATAGTGGATTTGATAAAAAGTCCATTAAGAGATCCTATAGCAATCCCTTTTTGTATTTTTCTAATGTCAAGGCAATCACTTTCAATCAACCACCAAAATAGTCTGTTATTGCTCTTGTATTTAATTGTTCTATCGTAGGCAAAAAATGAAATTTAATAGCTATTGTCTGAATTATAAAGCAAAAAGTAAAAGCAAGTTTAGAATCAAGGCGATGGGGTCTTTAGTGTAGATGTATCCAAAATAGACTTAAAACAAAATAAAAGATAGATGTTTGATGATGATTTAAGCTTTATATCTAATTTAGATGACTAAGATTGATTAATGATTATAATTATATTTTTAATTAATTAAGCGATGTCTAAATAAGGTGTTAAAACAACTTCATCCACTTTAGCTGAATCGATGCGTTTTAGTGAAGTATCGCTAAGCCATTATAATTTCAGCATGAAGGTAGGCTCAAAAATCTTGCAGGTGCAAATTGAAATCACGTCTGATTCTCTCATCATAGAAGCCCTAGAAACAGCCATTGATTATTTTGTTCAAATTTATTATGATTAAGATATTAATGAAAAATTAGACAATTATGAGGTGTATTCTGCTGATCCACAGGGAAATCCCTTATAAACTAAATTCAAAACAGACTAAACTCTTTCAGAAATAGATTGTTAAAATTTTGCATTAATTGTTAAGAAAAAAGGGGCATTATTATCTATATTAAAATAACCACTTTAAAAAGAAGTTAGAATTACTGATAAACTTGAACTACCCAAATTTAGATACAATATTACAATTGCCAAATGATTACTATAACATATAACAAGAAACTATTAAACCTAATTCCTATCTAAAACACTTATTAAAATAGGACTACAAGTACTATGATGAAATAAAAATAAATTGTCTCATTTTATATAACATAGATAGATGGGATACTTATTTTTCTTATTATTATGAAGTCAAAACTTAGTTTTTATTTGATCTCTCTTTTAATCCTTTCAACTTTTTGAAATATACTTATTTAGAATTGATCTTTAAGTGATTTCTTTAAATATCCTAATAATAACAAATGGATTTTGAATCAAATAATATATTTGTAAAATGAATTACTTTTAATGTTTTTCTAAATTATAAACAATTAATATTAATATGTTTTAAGATAGTAAAGTGCATGGGCCTTCATTAGTATTACAAAACTTGGGACCATTACATAAGTCTATAAGCAAAATAACAGACCCTGATCTGCAAAGTTTTGAGTGTTAGAAAAATACTTACATCACGTCCCCAAGAGCATAACGATTTGACAAACTGGGAAATTTGATTCACAAAAATTAGAAAAAAAAATACTAGATCACATTTAGAGATGAAGTAACAGCCAAGACCAAATTGTATGATATTATTCTGGTGGACAATTGGAAAAAATACAACATTATAGATGAAGAAAAAGAGAAAGTAGGTTGTTGTAGATCCAATAGTTGTTAACTATTTTGATATCACTCTATATTACAATCTCTATATATAATAAATAATTCATTTTACTGTTTGCTTTCTACCATCCCATTCAACACTTTTGATGTTCAGTGTAGATGGACAATCTCTAATCTCCTTTATGAAAAAGTACATTCACCAGATCAAAAATAAGGAAAAGTTTAAAATACCTAGTATTCTTCTATTTTTAAAGCTGTTAAATTTGTGTCTTCTCTTTTATGTCAACTACCTCAGATAAACATTCGTTGTTTTTTAAATTTTTTTTGATACACTTTGGACCTTCCAAAATTTGAGGAAAATCCTAATTTACACTCTATGAATCGATCACGTATCTTATTATATTTATCAGAAGTAGATTAAAAAGTGAACAGTCAAAGAAATCCTAAGAGTAGGTAAATTTACTAGATTACTCGTTTATATATAATAATCACAATACTTTTAAGTACTATAATCCTATGAGAAAAATAGATAAACTGAAAGTTGTTTCAAATGGAAGAAATATTTTTAATATGCAAGATAAATTCCATAAATTTATGGATGCTTATAAAATTTGCTATTATCATTATTTGGATATTATTATGCTAATATATTAAGCTAAAAAAAAAGGAATTATATTACTATATTATTAATAATGGTAACCTAATTGTTCAAAATTATTTTACTGAATTTAGGAAATTTAGCAATTGTAATTTGTTTCTTCAATTATTTTGATGAGTAATGTGATTTAATTTGAATATTCAAAGGTCTTTATTATTATATTATAAAAAAATTTTGATAATTATCGGATTTAAATATATGATAAAATATTGCCAGCTGGATAAACTAATAGATATATGTGAATTAGCTAAAAAAGTGTGAGATTATTAAAGAAAATTGAAATTCTTTGAAGTTTTAAAAAATCTGTATAATAAATAAAGTTTATAAAACCCATTCATTAATATTTAAATTTATATTAGAATTATGGAGCTTAATAGCGACAAACTAATTAGATATATTAATTTATTATAAATCATATAATTATAATAAATAAATGTCAGATTGTGAGTACTATTAGAAATTTGGAATTAACTAGTCTATTTTCAATAGCGAGCCTTTAAAACAGCTTACACCAATATTAAAAATCTCTCGTTCTGCTTCAGATGATACTATGGTTCGTAAAGATAGTTATGGGAATGTAATTATGCGTGGAAATAAGTAGCATAAAATATAGTTTAGGGATTAAAATGAAGTACATTTAGGTATTTAAAATTAATTATAGATTAGTTGAAAATTGGAAATAATACAATACGGACATGACCAATAAAGAATCTCCTTGTGTCTGTCAAATAATATGACTTTTCAGTATTTCATTTTTTTTCAAGCTTATGGATAATTTTTATTCTGTTTATTTGTTAGAACCCCTACTTTTTAAACAAAATTTTAACTAATAAATTTAGATCAGATTAATCATATAATCAGTTTTCTAAAGGAATCGAATTCTTTGTTTCTTATTGCTGTAGGATTTATTAAAAGAATGCCATTAATAATTACAATTATTTGAATTCAATATTATATATATTAAATCAAATTTGAGAAGATGTCTCAGTAAAGAAGACCAAGTAGTTAACAGAAAATGTAATAGAATATTGTAAAAAGTTATAAAATGTTAGACCTAATCAATTAACAATTTGAAGACTCAACTATAGTAATAGAAATAACACAGATGGTCAGAACAAAAAATGAATAAAGAACTTTTCGATTTTTTATTATAAATAAATTTGCAGCAATATTACGCAAAAATAGCATAGCACTGTGACGGGAGTTTATAGTAACTGATTGATATGAAGTATGTTAATGATTATAATAATCAGATCAACGAAAGATATAAAGGATTTACCATTTGGATATCAGATTAAATTATAGGTATAAAGACTTGATTAAAATTGAGAAAGCGATTGAGAAGATGTCTAAAGAAACAGGAAATAAAATACCCAAAATAGAATAGAAATTGCAAAATGATCAAAAAGAATGTTGTTGGATTTGCTTTTAATTGATATTTGAAAGCATAGATTGTTATGGAAAGAAAATGTGTTCTGATAAATGCAAACAAGTGTATTTGAAAGAGATATAAGTAAACAAGCTTTAACTAACTTAAGATAAATTGTAAGAGATGTGGAAAAGTGAAAACCAAATACGATGCAATTAATTCATATGGAGAATGGTATTGTTAATAGGAATGTGCTTATACTGAAGAGGAATTAATGTTTCTATTAATGAAGTCAAGTTAACTGAAGAAATGAATTAGTATATAATTAATTATTATAATTTTTGATGTGGAAATTAAAATATTCAATATTCATGTCTAAATTTCATATTGATTCTGCAGAAATGGAGGTTCTTAACTAAAATAAATGAAAGAATCTGAAGAGTCACTTTGATAGAAGAAAGAAATTAAAATTAAGAGCAATATTAATTAAGGCAAGTATGAGGGTGAATTAACTATTGACAATAGACGTATCATGAATATAATGCCTGTGCTTATGTGTGACAATTGAAAGATGAGAGATCGATGAAAAAGGAGAATAATTCATCTCAAATTGCAATATGAAGAGAGAAGGAAAGAAATTAGATGATAATATCTATCAATAAAATTGCTAACACGTATTAAGTCGAGTATGCTACAATGATAAAAGAATAGGAAATTTATAAAATATTTATAAATAATCAGAAGTATGAAAGATTATGATTGATATATATCAAAAAGTAATTTACTATACAAAATAAACCGTGTATATTAAAAATTTTATTGATAGCAGAAAGTTCATACATGTAGTAGGATTAAAATACGAATAAGGAACCTAATGTTAGTCTGATGGATCTAAGTATTGATAAGATAAAGAAATTGAAAAAGGGGAAATGAAAGGAGAATTTATATCATATAATTTAAATGTTATTAAATTGAATTTGCTTAGAATGCATTATAAAATAACTTATATTATTAATGAAAATTTTAATAGTTAATGGGTATGGAAAATGTATTAAGGGGTTCAGGAGCGCAGAACATTATAAGCAAATAATAAAAGAAGTAAAGCAAATCAACTAATTAAACTTTAGGTATTGACAGGCAAAAAAGAAATGATCGACACAGAATTAGAATTCTTCTTTGCTGATCGTGATTCAATTGATGACTTTCTTTATGAAATTGACAGTTCTTTTGTGAGAGTTGAATGTGGTAAAATGTTTGATTCAATCGACTTAATCTTCTTTGAAGGTGATGCAAATCTTAGACCTTGGTCTCCTAATGCTTACAAGTACTTGATTTTGTTAAGGATGTGCATGAGAAGTAATAAGATTCTATTTGCATCATCATTTGCCATGCAAGGCTTAGTGTTTTTGATTGCGTCTAATGTCGAATGTGTACAAACTTACCCTACTTTAGTAATTCTCAGTCATCAATGGACTCAATGGTGGATAATTGGGAGATCTCTCCAAAATCAAGAAATCTCTTACTGAAATCAGAATGAATGATTACTTTCTTGATAATGTAACTGGTGATTTATACAGTTTTAATTATGATACAGGAGAATGGGTCAGTAAAGGAAATGCTGGGTTGCATAGTAGAAGAGCTGCTGAAGAATTTAAGACTATTGGCAAGTATATTGTTAAGGCACCACAATACAAGGTATAAAGAATGAAAGAAATCGATTAACCTTACATTTCCAAAGAAAATGAAATTGTTTGTTCTTTAAGAAAGAATTCCATGCATAATTATCTATTTAATGGTTTGCCTTTTGAATTTGTGGTTCCATTTAAGAATTCTTGGGATGTTCATCCGTTTAATTTTGTCAACCCAAAGAAGACATTCCAAACAATGGCTGATTGTGAAAAAGGTTATTAAACATTTTATATTGCTAGGACCCCTTGTGATTTAAGTTACAGACAATATTGTAGCCACTCAATTCTCAATACGTTCTAAGTATAAGGAAACAGTTCAAATTATGCGTAATTTTATGGGATATTAATTAAGTATTCTAATAGTTTATTTAGCAAAATTATGTTCTGGTAGAGCATAAACAATTCCGATTGAAATTGCTTCGATTAAGTAGAATGATAATGCCATGGATATTTATTTGGAACATTTAGGTCGTAGTAAATATCATAACTAAAAAACAATTAAATTTAATGTTATTACAGAATTTCATCATGCAGGATTTGCAGCTAAGAAATCTAATCAATTAGATGTTGTTGTGAATAATGCAATTGGAAAACGAAAATTTAAATAGACAATTCAAAAGTTAAATGCAAAAGACTTGGATAGATTATTAGATTAAGTATATATCCAAATTATTTTGTAATAGAATTCTTCCCTTCCAAATCAAACTTTCTAAAATGATTAAGATCGTTAACCAAGCATCTATAGTTCGTAACCATAACATAATGTTGAGGATTAGCCACAGGTATTCAATAAGACAGGTGCAGAGATTATTTAATTTCTACATCCATCTATTGATAAATCTCTATTTCACGAATCAAAACCTCTTTGGGTTCCTGGCTATTTGTCTCAAAGTCGATTATAAAAGAGTTAATTGAAATAAAAGTAGAATACCGCAGGTGATGAGGGTTAATCAACCCCTTTTTTGACAGAACAAAAGCAGATTACTACTCCTAGGTTACCGAGAACAGCTTCATAGCCTCATTTTAGAGTAATCTAAAAGGATAAATGGATAACAAATAAGAATTTTTAAGTTTGACTATATATGTCTATATTATAAAATCAATCTGTATATATAGTACTCAGTTTTTTAACTTTTTTAGCATCCAGAATCATTTCTAAATAAATAGTATTTGAAAGTCTATTCATTAGATTTAGATCAGAAAGATGCAATATTTGAAATAGGAATGAATTATTTACAATAATCTTAAACCAATTTTATCTGAAACTTTCAAAGTTATTTTAAGAGAGACTTAAAGTTTTGTTTATTTAAATTACTTTTTAATAAAAAAGACATGTATTCTTCTTTTGTTTGGCTTATTAAAAAATGAATAATATTTATTGTATATTATGAGATTATCCTTAAATTAATTATTAAGATAGTTTTATTTTTATAAGTTTCAAAAATATGTATTCTTAAAAATTCTGTAAATTTAAAGTGTTTGAGTGCTAAATATTTTTAAAGATAAAAATTAAGCCTTAAGTTTATTTTGTTAAATTTCGAAAGCATTGAAAGAATTCTAAATTCAAAGAATATGGTCTTATTAATAACTATCTTAAATTAATTAAATTAAATATTAATTGCTGTTGAGATAAAATTAATCAAAATTTCAATTTATCTAGATTAATTGTTTTATAACCACTATCATATGATCTTGGTCTACATTAGCATCAACATATATTGCACATTTTTTGGCTATTCTAGAATGATCACTAATTGATTTTAATACTGACAATTGCTTTTATTATTAATAATCTTACTAACTGAGAAAGATTATTAATAATTGAAGCATTTAATATTTTATATTTTCCACAATTGTAATTACTTTAACATTTAATAATGATTAATTATTATATAACTAATACGATATTAAGAGTAGATGAAGAAAGGAAAAAAAACATAGGAGCATTTTGATATTGCAATCCATTATAAAAAGTAACAAGAATACTTGAGATACAGTCTCTAAGAGAACTTAGATAATTATGGTATTTTGAAAAGTAAAGAAGGACTTTAGAAGCAATCATTCAGGGAACAAGAGTAAGAAAACATAGAGATAACACCTAAAAAGTCTATGAGACCTAGAAGCGCGTATACATCATTGAGTCAGGGATTTTCATCACGACAGAGACCAATAACAGCACCCGGATTCAATTTGCAAGTAAAACATATGATGAAGATTAATGAGAATGAAGAGATGGTATCAGCACCATATCATTCAGAAACTAAGTATTGGAGGAATACAAAGAAATTTGATAAAAGTAACTTATTTTTATATGTTATTAATTAGCAAACTAAAATGTGATTCGTAACCATTCAGCTTTACAGAAGGTTTCTTTGGGATGTGAAAGTGAATTTTACAATATTGAGGAGGAAGAAACAAGAAATCAGAATATGATCGAGAAACAGATCATTAGGAATAGATTGTTCTCTCCGATGTAGAGTTAACAAAAACATTAAATAAATGATAGAGACATTCAATATTTAACGGAGGGGTTTTATCAACATGTAGCATTAATTAAAGGGACTCAACCTTAAAAGACATTCAAGCATTCCAATTTGTAAATATGCGATAATCTTGTTGACATAATGAGATTGATAAATGGGCAAACTTACACTAAAAGTCCTGTGATCGTTAAGACGAAACCTTAAGGATTGAGACCTCAAAGTGCAGTCAGCAAATTAGTGAGTGTGAATAAACGCTATAAACCTGTGAGTGGAAAGATGTAATCGATTGCAATCAGAGGATTCTAATTGTGATATAAATATATATATAATTTCTCAAAATATCCATTTATTATTATTTAATCAATATCCAAAACAATGAGTGATATTATCAGAAGTTCTTAGTACAGAGCAATACAGGTAATAACTTGATTCTATCGAATTAGAATGTTACAACTAATCAACAAGCCAATAATCCAGTCCTCCAGGGACAAGTGGTAAAGCAAGTAATCTTGGAAACACGCAAAGATGAATAGACTGAATAATACGAATTGAGAATCGAAAAACTCACTCAAGAGGTTGAGCAGTGGAAAAGACAATGCTTTTTAAGTGAGTAGTAACTAAATAAATTTACAACTCAATTACAAGAAGTAATTTATATCATTAACCAATTTAATAGATGGCCAGTCTTGAAGCTAGATTGGCTGCTTTGTAATAGGAATATAAGAGTGTGGAAATCAAATATCGAGAAAAGTGTAATGAATTCGAGAAGTTGAGGATTGAGTATAGTAAACTTGATTCAGCCCTTATCTCTTATTCATTAACTCACATTGAAACCAAGAAGTTCGAGGAGGCCATACAGAGTAAATAGAATATCATTTCCGACTTGCAAAGACAACTCCAAGATGCCAATGAGAGATTATTACAAATCCCTAAATTGGAAGATTTGTTGAGAAACGAACATCGCAAAAACGAATAACTAGTCTAAGAGATTGATTAATGGAAATAAAAGTACTCAGCCACACAATAGGACAAAGATAATTACATTAAATAATTAAAATACGAAAGTGAAGATATTAATTAGAAAAACAAAGAATTCTTAGAGGCTGAAATTTAGAAAGGGAATAATGATCTCTTGAACAAGGTGAAATTACTTTAAGCCCAAATCGAACAACTTAAGACAGAGGCCAAATAATTCTAAAATCTCTTGTAATTGGAGTAGTCTGAAAATAACAAATTAAAATCTGAGGTGGATTTATTAAATGCTCGTATTGTGGAACAAAATGAACAATTAGACATTGAGATTGGATTGGTCAAGGAGAGAGACTTCAAATTAAATGATGCTGAAGCCAAGATCAAATAATTAGAGGATGATTTGTTGGAAATCAGAAGATTGGATCAAATTATTCAGGATTTGGAAACTAAAAATCAGAATCTAGTGAATGAGATAGACACATTACGTAATGAGGCTAATCAATACAAATTGGTTATTTAGTAATTGGAACATGATCTTGGTAAGTTAATGGAATTGGAAAATAAAGTGGCTATGTTGTCTTCCGAAATTGAAAGATTGAAATAGATGATAGCTTCTAAGAATGAGTAAATAGATAGATTGAAACAACAAATTGATCAATTAAATAAAGCAATAGATGAGTATAAGACTATTGAAGCAGAGAAGTAGGTGCTTGAAAATAAATGTGCTATGTTGGCTACAGAAATTGAAAGAAAGAAGTTTTAGATTGAATAGAGAGATGCTAAAATTAATGATCTAAATAAACAAATCAACGAGCAACAATAATTCATTGATGAGTTGAAGGAAAGACCTGATCTCTCCATCCCTTTGGCTGAGGCTGAGAACTTGATTAAGTTATGGCAAGAGAAATATTAAAATTTAGAGTAAATTCAAAACAAATACACAATTATTGAATAAGAAAACTATTAATTGAAGAATTAATTGTAAGCCTTGTTGTAAGAATTAGATCAACTCAAAAAAGATTTAGAATAGAGATCAAATCAATTGAATGATGCTGAGTCAACCATTCATTTAATGGAATAAGATCTTAACAAACTCAGTTCACTTCAAGAACAGGTCAAGGCTTGGGAATCTAAATATCAATTACAAACAGAGTAATTTACCACAATAAGAGAGTAATTGATTCAAAGTTAGGAAACCATAAAGAAGAGCGATAGGGATGAGATTTTAAATGAGTTAAGAGAGTTACAGGGAAGATACCAATCTTTGGAAACCTAGAATCAAGACCTCATTGATTAACTAGAATAATTGAGATAGTTGTATATTAAGTGTCAAGCAGAATTGGAGGAGGCCATCAAATTAGAATCAAAGGTGTATGATTTGGAAAACAAGGTGGCCATGCTTTCAAGTGAAGTAGAAAGATTGAAATACAGAACCAATTAAAAGGATGAGGAATTAAAGAAATTGTAAGCTTAGACTAAGGATTTCGATAGTTTGAAGAATGATTTCTAATAGTAGAGTGGAGATTTATAGAATACATCACAATCATTGGAGGAAGTGACTTAGCAATTGGAATCATAATTGGATAAGTTTAAGTTATAGACGAAAGAATTGAATGAGGCTTAATAAATGAGGGATCAATTGGAAAATAAGATTGCTATGTTGTCTACTGAAATTGAAAGATATAAATACAAGTTAAATAGCAAATAGAATGAGACTGATGAATTAAAGAAGTAAATCCTAGATCTACAATAACAGATAAGTCATCTAAGTTAAGTGGAGAATGACAATATCAAATTAAATTAAGAGTGTGAAAAATTAGATCAAAAGTATAATGATTAAGTTGAAGTATTGCAACAAACCAAAAATGAGAGAAATGAATTACAATAAATCAAAAGCCAATTAGAATAAGATTTACACTTATTGTAATCAGAGTTGCAAACCTCTTAACAAAATTAAGAAATCAAAAACAAATAAATAAAACAATTAGAGAATGTGATTTAAGAGAAGGAATAAAATATTTCATAGCTTAAGAATTAAGAGTAAAAGATGTTTGAATATGAAACTAAATTAGCATTTCTAAGTCAGGAGATTGAAAGATAAACCAATCAATATAAGGTGAAATTGGGTGAATTGGCAGAGTTGTAATCCCAATTGATTAATATAAATGAATTATAAATAGTCATCTAGACCCTTGAAAATGAAAAAGCAAAACTCTCAGGAATAATCTAACAAAAGGAACATGAGACTCAATCATGGAAGAATAAGGTAGATGAGTAGTAAAAGGCAATGGAGAAATTTGAAGAGATGAAGGTAATCTTAGAAATCTATTTTATTAGTATCAAATGGAGAATAAAATTGCTATGTTATCAAGTGAAGTTGAGAGATTGAATTACAAATATAAGGTATTATTGGATGATAAGTCCAAATGGAATAAGAGAATGAAGTTGCTTTTTGATGAATTAACAAAAGTTAGTATGTAGAATGAGATTTCATCGAATGTAAAGATATTGATTTTAACATTTTTAGGAAGCATTCAATTGGAAACATAAGATATTGGAGTTGGCTGAATTGCAATCAAAATTGACACAACAAGATGGTTCTATTTAACAATGTTTGTAGGAGACCGAACACATGAGATAGCAATTACAAGAATAAGATTTCTTGGATGCTAGACAAAAAGTAAGATCATTATGAAATATTACATAATAAAATTTATTATTCATTATTGCTATTGTTTTTATTATTATTGTTTCAATTGCTATTTTTTTTATTAATTTATTTTAGTTATTTGTTCTCTTTTTTCAATCTCCAACTGAACATTGATTATCGGTTCTGAGTTTTTTTGTCTCATGATATTCACCTCATTCAAAATCAGGGCCTTCAAATCTTTTAATTAGATAGTGCTATCATTTTCAAATTAGCAATCTAAATTGCCTTCAAATGATGGTTCATCATCAGGGTCTCTAATTGGTTCTAAGTAAGGATGATTAAGAGCCTAGGAGTTATTTTTATTAATGTACTTCAGCACTTGTAATTCTCTTTTTAGGATTAATTTCAAGTAATTTATCTAATAAATCGATGGCTTAAGGATTAGAATATTTGATAACAGAGCCAATAGATGCTTTTTATTTGGTTTATAGGCTACTAACATACTTTTTGGCATTTAAATTAGTAATGAAGCCCAAATCTTCTTCGCCTGGCTTTCCCAAAGTATCAAAGATCAATTTAATCATTTGAATATAATTTGTTCCTTTAAATAAAATTTATCTGGTGATTAATTCAGCGAAGGTACAACCCAACGACCACATATCAATGGCAGTTGAATATTCATGTGAAGATAACATAACTTCAGGAGCTCTGTAGTATCCTTGATTAATATTTGAAATATCGATACTTGTAACAACGTATTCTGTAAGCATATTCTGACAGCGATTGTCTTCAGCTTCCAATTCCTCGATTTGTCTGGCCAATCCGAAATCACAAAAACAGATTTCGCAATTCTCAGTGGCCAATATATTGCTTGGCTTGATGTCTCTATGGACGATGTTGGCTGAATGCAAATATTTTAATGCTTTTATTAATTGATACCTATGTTATCAATAGCAAATTACATGATGTATTGGAAGTGCTGATCAGTCAGATTCTAGCCGCTCTTTATTATTTTATATAAATCCACTTCCATGTAATTGGTAACCAAATAAATTTCCCCAAAATCCAATTCCTTATTTGAGTCATCATAAATGAGATGTTCCAAGCGAAGAATGTTCTCGTGCTTCATTGTTCTCAATATTCTAATTTCTCTCAAAACTCTTTTAGCATCTATTTCATCTCTCACCAGGTGGAGCTTTTTAATAGCCACTTTCTAGTAATCAGGGTCTGTCTATTTCTTATCAATAGCCAATGCAACATGTCCATATGCACCAGCCCCTAGTAATTTTTTAACATCATATCTAGGCCCTACATTAAATTGAATCCCAGAAACGATTTGATTCATAAGTATATAATTAATAAATCACTATACTAGTTTTCTATTTGGTTTTAATATTCCTAACTTTTAAATTGTTCTATTTTCAATCTCTCTCCATTCCAATCCCCTCAATATCGATTTCCCTCCCATCTGATGATTACTCGTCACTAGATTCAATAATCTCATGGTTAATCTGCATCAAAAGATCTAGTACTTAATAAATAAAAAAGTTATCTAATATAAATTAAATTCATTCATTTTTAGATTTTTCTTAGTAGAGTAACATCTGCAGTAGTTTATACGGAACTAGATGAATTGATATATATATAATACTTGCATTCCTTTGTGGTCTCATTTTGAAAACAAGATCTTCGATTTTCTTTTTGTATAACAAACGATCCTCATTATTCAATAGATTGCTCATTGATGCACTCTTTACTGACCTAGTCTATCCCTTCATGACATTGTAGTGTGTATCATTGACATTCGACAAAATTGGATTGAATTGCTTTGGTTAAAGAGTTCTCCCCAATTTTATCGGACTGCCTTCCTCCCCTGGAGTTTGATAGAGAGTTGATCTAAGAGATATTCGCTAAGGATATAATTAAAATTTCTATTATCTAATAGGAGTTTTTATAATTATTGGAGATGCTTGCTATTTAACTTGTTATTCGACTTTGGGTTAGACTTCTACTACACTTTTTTTTGTAGGAGAACTAGGTTTATTACTCTCATCTAATTTTGGCATAGAGGTGGTTCTGAATCTCATTCTTGTTTTTGGTGATTCCTGAGCCACCACAACAGTAGGCTTCTCTAGTTATTATGATCCTTGCCGTTTCAAATTCAGAGGAGGATTTTACATCAAATGTTCCAAGTAGTGTTCTTCACTTACTTCCCATCCTTGATCCATTATCTGAGTTTAATTATCAAATGTTTATAATATTACTATATTGATAATTACAAAACAAATTTATTGTATTGATATATTCATTAAATGTTCTATCTGCTTACATTTCCATTCATAAATCAACATTATTAGTAATACTAAACTTTTAATTGGAAGATATTCTTATTCTCCACTATTTTAATTAAAAACAACAATAATGGAGAATATCTTCAAATTAAAAGACTTCTAATATGATAATTCAAATTTATAAATATATATATATATTCAATCTATCACAATTTCCTTGTATTCAAACTTTTAATTCGGTATTCAGTTTTGATTCTTTGCTAACTTCGAATTGTTGGATTTTAGGGCTATTAGCTCTTATTTTCTTTTGAGTTTTTTGCTGGCATGATAAGTTGCTTGTGTTTTCTATGGTTGGTTCTAACTCTGAAATAATCCCAAAATCTCATGTAATTCATATCATCATTGATATTGTATTGTTAAGTGTAATCCTTTAGATTCTCGAGAGGCAGGATCTTCTTATATTTCAAATAATGTAATTTCAACTTATTGATTAATTTCTATGTTTCCAATGCCAACTATTACTCTGAAATCTGCTCCTTCTTGTTTGGATAAGTCTCAAACCTGACTTTGTACAGCATCTGCAACTCGTCAGTTGGTGATAAATATGCGTAATCTCCTAAATGAACTCCCTTCAATAATATTTCATCATCGTTCCAAATGTTATGTTCTGATGCATCGGAACTGGTGTCTGAAGATGAACTACTATCTTATTTTACCTGAACAACAGGCTTTTGGAATCTCGACTTCCGTGAGGCTATTTTTGAGGTTTGTGGAATTTTCAAGGCATCTGGAGTATTGGGTTCACTCACTTCTTTCAAAGGTTAAAGAGGCTGTTAAATAAATATTGGTTATTTGAATTTAATATCCGATTTTGTTGAAGTGCTATCAGAATCAATCGAAGAAGTTGAAAGTTTACGACTATTTGATGTCCTAATAATTACAGTCCTATGTAGGTTTTTTATCATAATATTTAAAAATGTAATATTATAAAGTTAAATTTATTGGGGATTCCCCAATTTTGCTCATAATGAATAAGCTCGATGATGTTTACATTTTTGTAATTTATAGATGAATATGTCATATTCCTCCCGAATTTAACTTGTTTCTAATCACAGTGCTAAATTCAGCAGAATTCACGAACTCCTTGGCATTTCTAGTGGTCTATAGTTGAATTTGATATTGAGCCTTCAGTTCATTATATATTTGGATTTCCTAGGCTTAAGCATCCTTATCCTATTCTATATATAATTGGTGTATCATTCTTACATAAAGAATCATTGTAATTTTGTAAGTCCAATTCGTTTTATGTCAAAGCTTCTTAAGTTGACTTCAATTTATCTAAATGCTATAATTGCACTCTTACTTTGATAAGCTGCCAACACGTAAGTAGCCTCCAATACAGAACGTTTGAATTCTTAGTATTCTGTATTCAAAGTTTTCTATCTTGCTTCCCAGGTTTCTTAGATTTATTACTCATCAGTGTTTTCCTATGATATATGCATGATTTATACTTAGTTAAGACTAGAAACCAACTGATTTCTGGTGTCTTACAACAAGTCTCTAATTTTCTGAGCCTGTCCTTGATCTGCAAAATTCTATGTCAATTATAGCAAGGCTTCAACAAGGGGGTGTATTGTGCTGGTCTTCTGAATCTTGCTATTGACTCTCTTGACTGCCTGATGGATGGTGGCTTTCTCTGAGAAGGCGACATTGCCATTGATTAAGGAGTTGATCAATTGCAAGGCTTCATCAACTGCACTGATTGCTCCTTGATGTTCACTCACTAAAAGGGGTTGTGGGTTATTCAATACCTCTATCCAAATAGGCTTGGTGTTGGTTTTATCTAGCAAGTGTTTCCCTAGATAAAGCGTCTCGGTTGTCATTCATGAAACCATTCAATCTCTCAATCTTTGCATTAGTTTAATCAATGCTTGGTAGGAGGATGGCATCGATAAAGTCTTTTTCATTGAAAATATTGATTTCTGTTTAACCAATATTGATATCGAGGTTCTCTTGGGTCACTTGATGCTAATTAGTAGATCTAGTGAAATCATCTTCCAACTGTTGTAGTTCAGCAGTCAATTCATTTTCCAAGTCACCAATTGCAGTAACCAAATCATCTAAATGTTATTACTCACACATTCATACCAAGAGGGCCTCTCATTTCGGCATGTGTTTGGGCCATTTCTAATATAAACTTCCCCAAATTGCTTTGCGATAACTCATCCATTTTTTCTGTGCTTAATTGCACCATACTTGGATCAATCGAATAGACTATCGATAAAGTCAAAATCAAAGCCAATAGTTTTTGCATAGGCTATTTAATATAATAATGTAATCCGTTTTAATATTTTGTATATAAAATATTTATATTATTTCCACACATGATACTTATTTAACCATTTCTGACATCAACCCAGAGACACAATAGATCTACTTGATTATGGTATGAGAATGTAATGATTAATTGATACTATATATTATTTATCATCGTATATCTTAAATTAAATTGAATTAATAGATCAGTAATGTAGAATATAAATTTCAATATCTGGATAACTATTGTCTAAATTTCGATTTTTCAATGACTGTCAAAAGATGAGTTGCATGTCTTGAAGTCTTTTTGGGCTTCTTTGCTTTCATTAAAACAATATCCAAATTGAATTACGGAAAGTAATTCTAAGTATTTTAGCATTTATCCACATCAAAATCTATTCTTTATAGAGGATTATAGGTTATTTCATCTAATTTATTATTTTCTTAAATTACAGGTATTGAAATTTATCTCAATTCCGAATTTGATTTATTTTATGAAGATTAGAGAAGTTACGGTAATTTTTAATCAACATTCTAAAAAGTAGAAGAATTTCCTTTTCTTATTTTATTTGCAAGGCCATTATGATGCAATTCCTAACTGGTCTATATTATTTATTATGGCTAGATCTGGCCAGTAAAAGAACTTGAAGATGACGAATTTTGTTAGGATGATTAACCCTGATTAGATAAATCTTAGGACAATAACGACACACTACTCCCTCGTAAGGTTTGAACCTATTATAATTAGGCTAAGGTTCTTCTGTTGGCTCTCATAGTTAAAAATTTGGAAGCCCATTCAGTAGCTTCTCCATGATCTGAATAATCAGGTGACATTTATATAAACTAAATTTTCTAATCGATTGTAGAGCATTTCGGTAAGTTCTTAAGGCCTGCCTAATTCTCATCATTTTCTGATTCGTATTTAATAGATTTTAGAGTATTACTTTTCACACTTAACAACGTTTCAATCACATGATCATATTATTTAATATATCCTAATGAGTTTAGATACTAATCAGTTAAGTCTTCCAAACATATAATATTATTATCTACTATTTATTAGAGAGCAGTTTATTGTATAAGCGATAAGTTGAATCGTATCTTTCCAGTGACAATTCTATTGAATCTATGTCTTTGATTACTCTCATTAATCATGAACTGTTTTCTCAATTTTCTAAGGTTTGCAATATAGAATACGAAAGGACATTTCATAAACTAGTGAGTCCATCTACATATGTAACAAACCTCTCCATAGTTCTGTTTCTCCTCATTAAATTACATCTCATCCTTTAACATTTAATAATTCTCTTCCTCTCTTGGATCTTCTTTTATGATATTTAAAAAGTCTTCATATTCAATATAAACTATCTGACAGAATTTGGTTGTCCTTATAGAATAATCATATTGAGTCTACATGATGAATTCCTTCTCTCCAATAAATTTACCAGCATCTATGATGGCTAATTAGGTTTCTCTATTGGCTTAATCACAAATCAGGTTAATTTATCCTTTCTGCAAAAAGAACAGTTTATTAGCCAATTCATTCTGAGTCTCAACAATCTCTTCAGGAGCAAATCTTTTCTCTCTCACAAAAGAACACAACTTTTTCACACTCTTCTCAGATAATGTATTTTTAATAAGTCTTGAACTCATTAAGATATTGTGATATAGATCAATCGCAACCTATTCCTTTAATCTTTTATTTAATGCTTTCATCATGTTCTCTCCAAACTCATTGTTCTCATCTTGCATTTTCAAGTAATATTCAAAATACTTTCTTACTTGCAAAATCAATTACTTACTTAATTATCTCTTTTTTACATAATTATTTAATTACATCATCTTTTACTTATAAATTTACTCCTTCTCTGTCAATTACCTCAGTATATTACCTATGCTGGATATTGTGTATCCAAATAATCCACAAATGACCATTGCCATCAGTATAACGAATGTCCTCTCAAGATCAGTCTATGGAACTATGTCTCCATATCCCACGGTTAACGTTGTAATTGTACTAAAGTATAGTGAATGAATATATCTTGATTCCCATGAGGCATCCACTATGCCCTTTGAATCCAACCAAGAATATTTCCCTCCATCTAATTGTATCTATCCTATCAAGTTCCATAAACAAGCACAACAATGAGACACAAACAATAACAAAAACACTGATTTAAATAATTCCATCACCGTTTACATTGTAATCGAAGGGTTTATTGCTTCCTCTAGTTAATCTATCAAGTTCTTTACTTTTGCCATCCTCAACATCAAAATATACTCAATGTCTGGAATACTAAAGAATGATAAAATGAATGGGATTATAAATAATAAATCCCACCAAAACTTCGATTTTGCATAATTCCTAAATATATCCTTATGACTTTTATGGATCTATCCTTTACTGTAATACGCAGTGAAGAAATTTATGATAATGTCTATTATAAATGTCCAAGAAGGCATAGATTCAAAAAACAATTATTTCATCGTTTTATCGTTATTAAAACCAAATCCTAATTTCATGGGGATATAAAAAATACTCAAGATAATTTATACTAATAGAAATATATCCCATATCATCTTAAAATTTGAATCAGGATCTATAATGGGAAGGTGACTCAAAGTCCCTTTCAAACCATAAATTATAGTTGAAATTTTATTCAGATTTTTTTGCAATAAAACATCCGAATCACTTGCAGAATCCGAAATCAACATCAGAATGTCCGCATTTAAAGATTTAAATTTGACTTGGGTGGAATGGTTTTTCATTTATTTCACGAATTTAGTCAAGAAGAACATTATACTGAGCCCCTAAATTGCCCAATTCTTATTGCTTTTCTTTATCAGCTAATCTTGGTTACTATCTAAATCAAGAGGAATCTTGGTTTCCCTCTTAATGTTAGGTATCTCAAATACACTTTACTCTAATTTTTAATCAGAACTAATATTAGGTTCAAAAGAAGCCTCCTCACTATTGTTTTCACATTAAGGCATTGAAAAATCAGATCGAATATTGGCAGATTGCTTAATTGCAGGGCTAAATCAAACTCAGAATTGGTACATATATTAGGATCTATTAGAATAAGAATTCATTATGTCCAACATCTTATTTGACAAGATATTTAAATGTTATATTTTAAACTTTAATTATTTATATGCAAATAATAATTACATTTATCAATCTGAATTAAGCCTATTGAATTATGATATGATGATTTATTATTCATAACATAAATATTAATTATTACTTAAACTGATTTCCAAAATAAGTATTCAGTTAAAGACATTTATAAAGTATTACTTTTCTCTAACACTAAATTATCATCTTAGGATAATAGTAAATATAAAAACTCACCAAGGGTATTTTAGTAATAATTATAATTCTTCCAAATTGTATTTTAATTATAAATTGGTTTATTATAAATTCAGAATCTTAAAGTTTCTAAATAAGTCAAATTTAATTATTTCATTTATTTTGATACATCTTCCTTCAAAATATTAAGCTTTGTATTTTAAAATTTTTAAACACAAAGTTTTAGCTAATTTAATTATAAGAAAGTAATTGTGAAACTGATAGATTTTCATACAGAGTTTTGATTCGAGAATTCGGTGCTAAATTTAAATTAAAATTAATTCTTTTAACAAAACTCAAGTATACACTTTTTGCAGTTGATATTATTTAATTAATTTTTCAAAATAGAAAGAATACCTGAATTTTAAGATTTTTTGATAATTTATTTTATATCAATAATGCAAGGATTAAATATATAAAAAAGATGATTATTAGCATGGAGAACATTGAATGATAAATAATTTCTTCTCAAACATTTTTAATATCAATTACTTCTAATCTTTTCAATTCTAAATAGAGTATTAAAGAATTTCAAATCAATTAACTTGTATAGCCCTTTGATATTTATATTAATGAAAGATTTACTTTTGAAATAATATAATCACATTTCTCTTATATTAATTTAGCATAGCTTATTTAAAAAAGAATATAAGATTATAATAAGACACCTAATTAAATGGAACTTAATTTTTTTTGGTTCAGAATATCTTTGAGATTAAATTTAATCTTAGATTTAATTATATTTAAGAAATAAAAAAGCTGAATAAAAGTGTACTAAAAATGAAGAAGATAATTAAAATGATTTCAATGAATTTTTGATGAAATTAAAGTTAGATAAACAAATTTTTGAGAGATTTATGAATGAGACAATAAATTTAAGAAAATACTATATTCTACAATTATTAAGCAGTTGCATTAATTATGCTTATGAATTTATATAATTTAATATTTTAAATAATAAAATAATTTTTAATTATGATGAACTCAACAATATTAAGCTAATATGATCATTCTATGATTATAGATATTGGAGCTGATCTGATATGGTGTATTAAATTATATTAAATGATGATTTGATTATTTTATTGCTGATGCAGGTAGTGACTAAAATTTATTGGAGCTGTCTGACATCATATTAAATAATCAAACCCATATTTTAATACAATACTATTATAGTAAATTATATAAGATAAAATGGCTTCTTTATTATAATGAAGAATTTATCATAGTTAAACTAATAATGGATATAAATATTATATAATGATGAAACGATGACGAGTATGAAGGAATCGATAGACATCCATCTATTGTTCCTGCATCAATGATTATTTGAGGCATTTGTCTGAACAATATTGAAAAGTATGAATTAATGAAGATATATATGCCGCCCCAGTCTTAACGACTCTGATGATACGGCTCATGACAGATTTATTATTATAGTTATATTAAAGTGATGTAAAAATATTTGCTACTCTTGAAATAGCATGATGAGACAACCACCAAGATCTCTGATTCATAATAATATTATATATATATACATAGTGATGATTTTGTAGTCCATGATTTAATCATGATTTCAATCTTTCGCTCCTATCTGATACACATAAATTACAATTATATATATATAATGATGACAATTAAGTACTAGAGTCTATGACTTCAATATGAACTACAACCCTTGGCTGTCTGAAATAAAATAGCTTTATATATATATATATGATGATAACTGACACCTCTTGATTGAGCCTATTGGCATTGATCGGAATTCACTGTCTGAACTCTTTTTGTGACAGTCTTTCAAATTTAAATCGGCAGACAAGTATGAGAACTAATAAGGGAGATAATATTAATAATATTGATTGATTCAAAAAAGAAGATAAATAAGATAGTTGCTATATTATATGTTTGAGAGATCTGATATATAATATTAATTTTTACAAATCTCCTGTTTAACAACAAGCATAAATCCATAGGATCACGAATTAAGGTGTAATTTAGATTTCCGTTAATATAAAAAAGCAAGCTGAATCAAAAACGACATAGATGAATTAAAATAATTTGATTAAAGTATTGAATCAAAATGAAGACATTTGATCAAACAGGTAAGAGTAATGATGTTCAGAATGTGGAACAGCAGGTTTTCGCTGATTCCTCTGTTAACTAATTATATCTTTTCCAATTTTCAACAACATGAATATCTGCAATTGTCTTTCCTTTTTGACATTCATCTCTAAAAACCACTCTATGCACTTTCGTTTTCTTCAATATCGGTATATAAAATTTGTCTAATCTAATTTATACTTTGTTTGCTGCAGTTGGTTCTGTATTGTAAGTATCATCTGGATTATTTAGTTTAGATTACATTAAAAAATAAAATAAAATATGTATATTATAAACAATGTGCAAGAATAAATAATCAATTATTATAAGAATTGGCAGAACATAGTTACCTAGAAGCACTCTTTGAGAAAGTTGTGTATGAAAGCAAAGGAGGATTTCACTTAAATTGCAAAGCAAATTATCTTAACAATGCTGATATCACAAATTTAAATAGAAACCAATCAAAGTTGTCCCATTTGTTTGAATGAAGACCTCGTTTTCAAAGGAGTCTAATCAGAATAGTGCAAACATGCTTTTTGCATTGGTTGCATCAATGGCTATTGGAAATATAATCAAAAGAAATAGTTAAAGTGTCCATGTTGCAGAGCCAAAATTAGCACATTTGCTAAATCAAAATTGTTATAAGAGGAATACTAGTAAGAATGTAATTCATTCATATTGTTTTACAGGGTTCGCTGCACAGTCTTAAAATATAATGTTATTTATGTAAACTTTATTAAACATATCTTAGCCTTTTCAGATAATAGCAAACATATTCAGGCATTTGGGTCAATTGTTTAATCTATTCAAAATTTTACTTAAATTATCCCTCTAATTGTAACTTGTTTTGTGTTTTATATTGTGTATTTATGTGCTATCACCAATTGACTTATTTCCAGAAGCCATATTTGGAGTTTTAGGATTGGTAGATGATCTCTTGTGCGTAATATTTATCGTTTGGATACTAATTACTCAAATTATCATTAGAATTTTTTTTTGATTCAAATAAATATTATAAATTTTATTATAGATATGAGAATTATATCAAATATTATATTCTAATAAACAAGTATTTAGACTCAATTTATGCGTGATTCCTCATCTTTAATGCTTCCATAATATTTTAATGTAAGATTTACAGCTTTGTCTATCAGAAGATGAAAATCTAATTAATTTGATTTAGAGTAGAATTAAAAATCATAATTGTATTAGATTTAAACCTCTTTTGGTTATAATATAATGAAAGTAAAATTATAAATTTTATTCTTAAATAAAAGACAACATCTATTATTTAGGAAACCAAAATAATTATAAAATTTTATGAAATTATTATATCTAAATATTTAAGTATAATAACTGATAAATGTCATATATCTAAGTCATAATGATCAAATGTGGAAATAAATATATAAATGTTATCTAAAAATGATCGGTAAAAAGAAGCTTAAATCATTTAAAATTACTCCTGTTAACTTGTGCATGTAATATCTTATCATTATTATCATATATCTTTAGAGTCTTAAAATTAATTCAAAATATTTACAAGTGATTTTTAATATTTATAGTTAATTTTTACTGTTAATTAATTATGAATTATCTTAACATTATTGAGCAATCCCAAATCGACAAATTAAAGGCTTAACTTGAGAAAAAAGAATGTAATTTATATCCATTTATAAATAGAAACTATTTCGACTTTGTAAACAATAATTGAATCTCAAAAAGAACAAATTAATTAGTATTAACATGAGAAATAATAATTAGTTAAAAACATTCAATTACAAGTTCAATAAAAGTTTTAGGATGATTTAAATTTTGAGAATATTATAAGAAAACTCAAATAGGATTTAGAATAGAAATCTATATAATTCGAATAAATGACTATGAGATTAAATTAAAATGATCCTGGTTTTCTATTAATGAAATTGAAAAATGAGGCTGAAGAACCTCATAGAATTGAAATTCTATAAAAAGAACAAATAATTGATGAATTAAAACGACAAATACTGTAATTGAAAAATCAATTGTAATTACAAGTTGAAAGAAACAATGCAATTCAAATCGCAAATCAAAATGAATTGGCATAATTAAAAGAGAAGTATGAATCCAATCTCGGAGTTGATAAACTGTCATTAAGATAAGTAAAGGAACTTAATTAATTAAATGAAAGAGATCAATAATAAATATAAGAATTATTGAAAGACAAAGAATAATAGCAGAATCAAATAATACAAAAAGACAATACTATAAAAGAATTAAGATTTCAGAATGAATAATTACATAAAAGCAAATAATAAATTATTGAAACCTTAACTCAAGAACTAGAAATAGAGAGAATCAACAGAAGAAAATTGTAGTAAGAGAATGATGATTTAGAATCAGCCTTGAGTAATATTAGACTGACAATGAAGGTGAATTATTCAACAAATGTTAAAAGTGATGGTACAACTATCAAAGATCAAGAATTTATTGATCTCTAAAATCGATTGAACGAGTACATTAGATTATTTGAAGAAGAAAAGGATTAAAAGAAAAAATTATCTCAGAAATTAAATGATATAATAATCTAAACAAAATAAGAAAAGTCTGATAGTGATAAAATATACGAAAATAGAATTAAGGATCTTTAAGAATAGATTAAGGAAGAGAAGGGAATGAAATCTAAGTAATCAATGAAAATTAAAGATTTATATGCTGATATTGAAGAAATGAAACATGAACTAAATATTTTGAGAGACAATTAGGCAAGAATTGAAGAAAGAGCCAAAGAGGTTGAAGTTAGAGAGAGAAAGGTAATTGAAAGAGACATGAAATTGAATGAGTTATAAAGAGAATTTGATCTAAAGAAACCACCTGAAGAGTTAATGTATGACAATAAGAAGATTAAAACAAAATACAAGTAAGCAAAAAAGAAGTTGATTGAAGCAAATTAAAAAATAGTAGTCTTATTAACAAAGATTAAGGATTATGAGTAAAATAATGAAAATTCTACTACTACTAATAATAAGAATAATGTTTTTGAGGGAAAGAGCACTTATAATAAGCAAGGATATACAAATACAGATTAATAAAGAAAATAGATGGAAAGATAGGTTTTCAAGAATTAATCATATGAGGGATATTATGATTTACCTTAAGATGCAGATTATTTGGGCAATCCTTATCAAACTGAATTTTAAATGGATAGAATCTCTTAAAGATTAAGAGAAGACATAGTCAAGTAAAAGAATAGTTTAGAAACTCTTGAACATAAATATAATATATTAAAATGATATTAATTTGTATTCTATTGTATTCTATGTCAGTTATTTTCAGAACCTTAAAATTGTATTATATATAACATTTGTAAATTTAGACTTGTTTAACTAATATTAAAATTAATGGATTCTAAATAATCAAAAGCAATATAGAAGATTGAAAAGGCTGGCTTACTCGAGAAGCATAACCAGCTAATTGCTCAAGGTTACACTAATCCCTGGTTCAATTATAAACTTTTAAAAGATTATGATGGAAATCTTGATTAAGTTAAAGTTGCCTACAATGAAAATAAAAAAAGAAAAGATGAACAAAATGGCAAAGCTCTCAAGATTTTAGAAACCATGGGTTGGTTAAATAAACATTAAGAACTTGTTCAAAAAGGATTTATTCAAGTCAAAAAAAATTTAAAAGCATTACTTGCAACTGAAGGAGATTTAGCTAAAACAATTGAAAAGTTAAGTATCAAGAAGACCTTTTAAACTGATTAACCAATAGATCAAATTATAGAACAACATGGTTTCAAAGTTTAATATGATAAATTAAAAGAAATGGGTTATAACAATTAAAAGAGAATTGTGAGATTGTTATTGAAATTTAATGGAAATTTGGAGTCTATTGTCAATAAGCTATTGAATGAAAAAGATAGAAAAAGCAAGAATTATAAGAAGAAAGGAGAAAAATGTTAAAAGGATAAAACTTCTGAAGAATTTTAGGAATTTAAATAGAAAAAGAAAGAATTCAAAAAGAAGCTTGAACAAATAGAATAAAATGGAATTCCTCGTCATAGAGCAGTGAAACTATTGGCTATTTGGAATGGAGATGCCGATACTGTTGTGAAATGGGCCAAATAGCTTAAGCCATAGGCTGAAACATAAACTTTGTAAGAACCATAAGTTCTTGCATAAGAATGAGTTTGAATAAACTCAAAAAGTTAGGGAGGGAGGGTTGGATATATTATATATATATATAAACATATAAATATTATGCAAATATTAATATTCCGAAAGCATTAAATAAAAAATGATATTAACTTATATCATATTAGATACTCCATTAATGTCTTATTTCAATCTACTAATTCACTTTTATCAAATTTAATTTGAGTAGAAGAATTTGAATGGGTTTCAATTTTATGATATAATTAACTTTCATCTTGCTCTTTGGGTTTATTGTAATTGATTTTCAATAGATCATTTATTATCTGTTATTGTTTTTAATTCAATTAGGATATAAGTTATTTATGATGATTATTTAATGGCTATTTTTTTAACAAGCAATCATCTAATAAATATAGAATCTGTTTTGTTTCATTTTAGTGATCCAATTTTTGTTGAAATTACAATAGAAATATGTCTTCACTCTTTGAATAGGTTTACCTCTTGTCATTAAGTCTTATTCTATCCTCTTTACTTAAATATTCCTTTAAAACCGATGGCTTGGTATTCTTGATAATTTAATTAGTGAAATATTCATCATCTAACCCTTTTTACTTGAAATCATTTAGATATAATGATCCAATCAAAGTAGCAATTTTTTCTAATTCAAAGTAATCTCTAAATTTTAAAACATGATCATAAATAAATATTAGACATTACACCTAAGTTTAATAGAGATATTACATTGACAAAATTAAAGAAAGTATTTGACAACATCTTCTCAGCATGTTTCTCCAAATATTTCCTAAAATAAAGCAAATCGGTTGGCTCAATTAGATAATTTTTTTTTCCAATTTCTAATAGAAAATCTATCTCGTAATCTTTGATCGAATCGTTTTAATCTAAGAATCTTCCTAAGGAAATTTCTTCTCTAAAACAATTGATAAAATGAAACACAAGAGGCGAAGAATGAAAACACAATAGAAAATATGTCATTTAAACTAAATTCTAAAGATGAATGCTATAGTCTTACTTGATTAATTTGAATGTTTGGATTTTTATAGAGCAGACATTACAATACTGATTATAGAAATATTGCTGACATATTATCCATTAAATCTTTAGTTAAGTAATAGTCGAATTCTTTCATAGAATAGTTATACTAATTGCGAATCTTCATTTATGAAATTCAAAGCTTACTTAGTTCAATATAACTGGGATGGATTTTAGTTCTTCAGCTGCTGACGGTGGCAAATTATTTTTACTTTACCCTAATATCGCGTAGTATTCATCAATGAGATCTTGTTCTCGAACACTAAATACATATTAGATCATACTTGTCGAGAGAGTATCTAAGCCATTAGTTAGTTATTAGTGAATTTTTATTAAAAGATAACTATTCCTTAGAAATAATATCTTAAATGGCGAGTTATTCCTCTTTACAAATAATACAACATCGATGTTAAGTTTTGAGATCATAGTCGACAATCTTAATTTTTAAATGAAAAATAATACAATAGCTTTAAACTTTCCGCAATCAAAGCAAACTGCTCGTTTACATCTTTTACATTAATGTTATTATAATAATCTTAATTATGAGATGATGAATACAATGAGAAATTTCTTTGGCAAATTTCACATCTTTGTTGCTTTGGTCGTGGTAAAGGTTTCTTTATTGTGGACATTTTACAAAGTTAATAAATTTATATGAATGTATATATATTTACAAGAAACATAATTATAATGAATTTCATATTTGATTCAATATTCATAAAATTGAGGAATAGGATCCTGATCATAAAAAGAATTCTTTCTACTTAAATTAGGTGATTCTGGTATAATATAATTATCATCTAATTTATGGAAAGAAAATGGATCACTATATACAATGAGTTGATTATCCTATTTTTTTTCTTCATTTTCTTACCTTAAATCCATTTTTTTAGTTATTGGATATTCTTCATCAAAACTAACTTCATCATCCTCATATTTAAATATATTTTTTTTCTCCTATTTCTAATTATTAGCAACTGCCTTCATTAAAATTTAAATGATTTAAGTTTTTGATAATTATTCTATTTATTGTTCGAAATTTTATTTTAGTATTTGTTATGGCAGTTAATCAAACACAGGTTTTTCATTTTCAAATATCTTTTGATGTTAATATTCATTTTAGAACTCATCATCATTTTCGCTTGTCTACTTAATCATCAAAAGGTTATTATTGGAAATATTTTTGTGCTTTCCATTTTGTTTGTACCCTTGCAATGATTGTAGAACCCATTTCATTATTTATTCCTCTGAGTTTTCATTCTTATGCCTATTTATATGTGTTATATACTTATTCTTCATTAGTTCTGTCCATAAATACTTATTTTCTTTAATAATTTTCTCATTTTATTTTATTAGAATTTTCATTAGTTTTTCTAATTCACTCTATTTGTTCTACAACCTCGACATTTGCATAGATATCTTTGATAATTATAAAAATCCAATACTTCTGGAATTTCCTAATTCCCATTTCTCACTATCTCTGTTTTTATGAGAGTCAACGAATTTTAATCTTTCTAATCATTTGTTTTGCGTTTAATTTAACTCAATAAATTTCTACGTATATACAAAATCCTTACTTCTTTCCTCTTTAAAATAACTTATGTTTAAATTCATTTTCATTATTGTCATGTCGGGTTTTATGAAAGTCGTACATATTTAATTATCGAACGAACGATGCGAAGTTACTGTGCTTGAATGATTTAGGTAGAATGATATCCGAAAACTCATTAACTTTCTTAACTATAAATGCATTTCCTTCCTCATTCCAACTAATGACATCTGAATTGCTAGGATTCTAAGAATTGCTCATAATTTTTACATCTATAATCTCATAGGTTTTTAATAAAAATGCCGGTATTGAATCTCCATTGTCTTTTTAAGACCTTGATCTCTTTTTCTTAACTAATTATTATTACTCCAATAAATCGATTTGCATAAACTTAATAATATAATACAACTTTTAAATTATTCTTAATATATTAAATTCTATAACACATCAGAACTTACTAAATCTGCTATTTTCCAAAATTTAGTAATAAACTCAAATTTCAAAATTGTTATCCTTCCCAATTTCCTTCCATAAATGTTGGAATATTTAACTCCACCCTTAAAATAAGCCTTCATCTCTCTTTTTTCATAAAGCCCTTATTTTTATTTGCTTCTCATCTCTACTGGATTAGATAAACAAAAACTGATTTGTTTTTATAATAAATGTGTGTTTGCATTTATACTCTTAATTTAAGGTAAATAAGTATAAATATTTAATTATGATAAAGCAAACAAAAGATGGCGAACCAATTTTTATTCCACCTGCTAAAATCTTACAAGAATTAAAGTATTTGCATAAAGAATTACCAGCATTTTGCTATTCTTGGGCTTGGGAGGCTAGATGTGTATGTGCTTTTGAAAAAGGAGAATTCATTGAAGCAATAAAAGAGTTGAAAGTAGCTTTTGTAATATAATAAAAAGTAAATTGGTTGCTAAAAACGATGCGAAGTATATGCGAAAAAGCCTATTCTTATTGGGAAACGACTTTTTAATGTAAGATTAATTTCATATGGGGCATCATCTCCAAAAAAAATGTTCTTTGGGCCGAACCATTTAGCTCATGCATTTGACAAGCTGATGTTTGATTATGTATACATATTTTTGGAGACTGCTTAAAAAACAGCAAAAAAATTGTAATTACTAATATAAAAAGCTGAAAGCACAAACAATAATAGGTATTTTTAATTTTAATTGGAAGATAAATCGCTAGCTTTAAGGAGAGCTACAAAATACTACTGGGGAAGGAATATGAGGAATAGAACATGGAAGAAGAATAGAATGAAGATCAAGAGTGATTAAAAATCATAATAATAAATAGTCTTGATATAAATTTAATTTTAAAATAAATTATATTAATGATGGAATATAATTATTGCAATCATCATTATATAAATCATAATCATTATCAAATAATTTTAAGTATAATAAAAATATCTACCTAAATATGCCAATTAAATTAAATATTCAAGGATAAACAGTCGAAGTTGATGAAAAGTTTGCTGATGTCAGCAATTTTTTGAAAGAAGCCTGGTAACCAGGATCCAATGAAGTAGATTATTTAAAAAATTGATAGGAATTGCCATTGTTACAATCCTAAGTAACTTTAGAGGCATTTAAGACTTTGGAAGAATATTACAAATTCAACAATTTTAATCCAAGAGTGATAGATGCTATTAGTAAAATTTCTCAATATTAAATTAGCAAATGAGCCCATCACCTGCTTTTTAAATGAGCATGATAGAGAATTGATAATGAAGGTCGACGTGTTTAATGGAAATCAATTGAAAGAGTTGTTGGAAGCAGCCAAATATCTCCAGACTACTGCATTTAAGAGTAAAATAATTTAATAAGGTTAATAGAGTTATGCCTAGCAAGGATTGCTTTTGAATTCCATGTCGATAAATAAGAGCCAAATAAATCATTTACCGAATTAAAAAAGAAGTTTAATTTGTCCAATACAGCTCTTACTTTAGGAGATGTCGAAAGATTTAAGTAAGACTATCCAACAATCGTCAATAAATACAATTGATTTCATATAAAGGAACAATAAATATCATATCATTTAAAAGTCGATTTAAAAATTAAAGATGATCCAATAATGCTTTTTGGAGTTGTTGGCATTGTCTTAATCTTTCTCTATTATTAATTTAATAATTAAGATACTTTGATTTATCTCAGTTTAATTAATGATTTAAAGTTTTAGATGATCACTTTTTTTTCAACTCCATGGCCTCTTTCACTCAATAGATCACAATACTTTTGTTATTCTGATGGAATTTTGGCTGTATTTGAAATACTATTTTTTGGATTTATAATTTTTTATCTTTCAGACTCTAAATAGTTTTCTTCATTCACATCCTATTAAATCCTTCTTGAACTTCCTAAAGTACTCGTAAAAGAGTTCCGCTTGGTTGTTTTAGTTTTAAAATTAACTTAAACTTATGCTCTGGATTCAGTGTCTGTTCTTAAGGATATTTTTTTTTAAGATAACTCAATGCTCAATTTGCTTTTGTAATTTTATTGCAATAAAGGTGAATCATTATAAGAAAATTTCGATCTTTTGGGTATTTAATTTATTGATTGGACTAATTCTATCATTGTGTGAATTTAATTGGAGTAGTAATCCGAAGCTTTCAAATATAGTTTGATAAATGTAGATCCAGCTTGTAAATATTAATTCAAGGCATCTTCATTTACATACAGTTTCAAAATTATGCTCTATGTAACAATATAGCGATACATTTTATATTTAATGATATAGATCAGGTTAAGTCGAAGTTAGTGGGTTATTCATGTATTAATATAAGGATAGTGAGTAATGTCCAATATAGGTATTGGCACAAAAGTTTTTAATTTTGCTATCAATTTGAGAAGACTTTAAGTCAATAGCCATTCTCTTTTGATGGATGGCCTAGAAGATATCATTGAATCTAATAAATTCGTAATATATATACACCTTTTGATGGCATTGTAAAGATTCCCGAAGACTTTTATTATGAAGGACTCTGCTTTGTGTAATAGATTCTACTTAAAGTTATTTTGAGATTGCTTCATGGTTAAGAATCCCATCAATTTCTGAACATCTTGAAATTGTGAATCAGATTCTTCCTCCTCATCATAAATATAGAATCTTTCACACAACTCCTTTAATTCTTTTAATTCCTGTTGTAATTCTTATTTTTCCTCCATCAAACCCAAACCTATTGATGACTCACTATCAATTTGAACTTAATATTTTCTGTACTGCTGTATGAGATTCTCAACCAAGAATGAAACTCCGAAGGGATGCTGATGCATAAAATCAGTTATTTCTTTATTGCAATCTACCTTATTGATATCCTCAGTAACAAAGTCTTCGTTAATTCCTTCTTCAAATGTCAAATACATTCTTAGAACATTATTATAATTTTATACCTTTCTAATTTTTATAACACCTGCAAATCTATCACTACTTTTCTTTACTCGTGCAATTTAAAGATATTGGTCTCATTCTAATCATTCAATTATTGTATAGTTTTTTCTTATTCAGCTAATGTTTATTAAGCTTACTTATAAAATTGTGTCAAATACTTTTATTTTTTGCAATAAGCTATAATAGTTCTATTGAGTCTGCTATGTTTCATTTTTGACTTTCTCCAAATTATCCAATACATCAACCTTCTTATTTTACAATTGCTTAATGTACTCATCATAATTTGATTTATATTTGGAATAACTTAGGTAACTTAATTTCTTGGTCTATTGACTTTCCCTATGCTCAATAGGCAAATCTTAGTAGAAATTGTTGATCAATCTCAGCTGCTCCTCCAAATCATTAATGTATTTCTGTCTCAACAACTAAATATATCGAATTACCATCATACAATTGAATAGAGTGTTCTATCTAAATCTATCTCCAAATACTATTTTTGTTCCAGGGACTTCTCAATCTCCTCAACATGCAACTGTTATTTCTCTTACTTAATCTGATACTATATTTCTTCCTTCTTTAATCTTGCAATCTGATCTCTCTTAGATATATTGTTGAAATGCACCTCGTTAAATATTTGTTCAATCTTTTATTGTAGTAATTATGAATACATAAGAATGAGAAAATGCTGAACTCTCTATATTGCATTAAGTCAAAAATTCGTTCTCCAATTCATTCATAATTAATGAATATTAAATAATAACTCCTCAAATAGTAAATTCCATCTTATTAGCATTCAGATGGCACTTGTTTCTGCTCTGTGTGTTTGTGCAGCAAGTGTTACTGCAAATAAAAGCCTTAACAAACGTATTACATTAATGAACCAAAATCAATCTATAATGTAGATTTTGATTCCAGAAGAACCCCTATCAAACATTCCAGATTGCCTAATCAGAATTACCAAGGCAGACAAAAGGCTTTGTCACTTCATTCTGTTTACAATGATGATTTCGATAAAAAGCAGTTGAACAAATCATCCCTAGATAATACCCAAAAACCATAGAACAATTCTTTCAGCATTCCTTTTTGTGGTTGCAACTCATATGCACTCCAATTTCCAGCTAAAACTTCTATGCCTCCTTAATTGTTAAAACCATTAAATTAAATTTAACTACTACCTGGTAAATTAGACATCAAATCAAGTTATCAAAGAGAACACAAACACCACAAGTTGGATCAAGAAAAAGTCATTAATTTTTCCAAGATTACTAATCAAAGATTACATACCAATTCTAAAGAAAAAAACATCTTCTTGAACTCCAGCTATTAAGAGTAATACAAAGGTTAAACTGCCAAAAGAGTTTCATAATTACCAATCTAATCAACCTATTTACCTTTTGGACTCAGTAACTAAGGAATCAATCTTTATGTTAGTACAAATAAATAAGATTATGAATAACAAAGTTTATATTAATGTGAAGCAGATTAGAAATTACAAGAATTAAGCAATTAAATATTATCATAACAATGAAAATATATTATAATCAAATTATTGAATATCTTTTTTTTTCTATTTACTTAAATTAAGTTGAGATATTCTAGTCTAATGATTGCCTCTTTCCAAAACGACTATTATTACTACTATTTAACATAACACGATCAATTATTGATCTTCTTTTCTATTTTGAGAATTCCATAGAACAACTATTCTATTTTCTTTAAGTAGGAATGTTAATATCATATATAAATTAAATTTTGGTTTTACCATTCTAGTTTAATTGGTTGAATAGTTCTTTTTTTTGTTTAACAATTTAATCAATCCTCTAAAAAGGAGAGTTTGATTTGATAACACTTCTTGACCTTTCAGGTGATTATATCTTTTTTTAAATTCTATTTTGTCTATGGGTTTCTTTTAAATCACTTAGATTCTTCAGTTCGTTTATCAAATGTAATTCGTTGTTTGCCTAATTAAGACTTAATATTACTAGCAGTCTTTATACAAGGCTTTCCAATTAGATACACAGGACCTTGCCATAATCTGAATTGCATCGAATAGTCTGCGTTCTTTATTTTAAATGTTGAAATGTCTCCTTGTCTCCAAAGATACACCCTTTTTATAAAATAGCTATTTCTCTGGTCTAATTCAATTGCTATTAATTTAAGTAATATGTTAGTTTTTCTGTTACAATAAATTCTCCACTAAGAATTAAATATATTTCTTCTTTATTAAGTTAACCTTCCTTATAAATAAGGTCTCTAAATTTATATTCCTAGCTTTGGAATGCATATAACAGAATTGTTAAAAGCCTTCTGGACATCCCTTGAAAGGTGGAAATCGACTAAAGTCCCTTAATTTGCTATTGAATTTTTTCACTTTGGGCCTGTTACAAAATTTCTTTGTAGGCTTATTTATTTAATACTGCAAAATAGCATTGCTTCTCACAAACTACAGTTGCCAATCGACCAGTTTCATTTATCAAGGCTCTTTCACCAAAAGAATCCCCTTCATGTAATTCATTCACTTTCAATAATCTAATTTAAATAAGATTATTTACTTTTTTATTTTTTCATTTAGAAGTATTCTTCGAATCTCAGGAGTTTAATCTTTATTTGGTCCAACGCCTTCCCCTATTAGTTAATTTACACATTCTCTTATTCCTTACCGAATATTTATTTTATTGTGCTAAAGCTATTCCATATTATTTGAAAATATATAAATTCCGACTTATCCGGACAAAATGATGTAGAAATCTCTTCCCCTATCCCCTTTCTCAAAGACAATTGTGTCCTATTTGCACTATTTTTCATTTAAATACTTCTGGATAAATTTCCAATTGGATTCGCTGTAAACATCTTTATAGAGCATGGACACCGCATTCTTCTTAGATTTCCTAAAAATATTTGATATTTTTAGTAGCTAATTATAGAATCTGTTTGATTTAAAATCATATAGCATGAACAAATACATATATATCATGTGTGGTTCGCTCAGACCAAGCCTTTTACAAAATAACAGTGCTCATTTCTCGAAGTTGTAATGGAGTAAAAGTATAGGACATATCAGAAATTTCAAACATATTGTTGTTCCTGATAAATTAATTCATGCACTAATGTGATCATTAATATAGTATATATCATAAATTGATTTTTTTCAAATACTCTTCTCAAGCGAAAGGGATTATGCAAAACTGGAATTCCCTTAAAAAACTACTGCTTTACTAATGATATCAATTTTAATAATTTTATTATTTACACACTTTAATATCATAGTGAATATGATATTGTTATTAATGACGTAATATAAACAAAGATAACTAATAAACATAATAATTAGTAGGAAAACATTAAAAATGATTGCTACAAACTATTGTCCCAGATTGGTGCAATTAATTCTTAAATTCAAATGCAGATGTTGATGTGATTTTATAATCTCAAAATTTTATTTATTTTGTTTTATTAATGGATACACCAAATATGTAAAGATAATATTTATTTAAGACAAGCAGCTGGATCCAGACCTAACAAATCAACATTTGATCAAGCACCTCAAACCAGACAAGTGTAATTATGCTTGATTTATTTAGAATTCAAAACAAATCTGATATTTTTGGAGTCAATACTCCCGCACCTGCCCCACAAGTATCAAGATAAAGTGTAAGGCCTAAAACTGATATTTTCAGTAATGAAAGTCAAGCACCTAAATAATCTGAAGTATTAGACTTTTTATATGTGTATTAGGTAAGATAAAACAAAACTTTTTAATCTTAAATCTTTTAATAAGAGGCTGTTCAAAATGCACCACCACCTGCTCGTTCAAATCAAACATTTGAGAATTCGCAACAAGAAGTGAAGAGATATTAGAAAAAAAATAATGACAATAGATAAGTTGACCATGGAAAAGATTTCCTATTTGGGAAGAGTGGTAAAAACAATTGAATAAGTTGTAGATTTTGATGAATACAAATCTTTAAAAAGGGCAGCCACTTTGAGTGAGTTCAAACCAAAATTAAATTATGATCCATAAAACAGAAGAAATAAAGAACTCTATGGCAATGAAATAGCTCGTGATCATCTACCAACTAAGGAAGTCAATTTGGAAACTTCAAGCCCTTAAAAACCAAAGAAATAATAATAATAGCAATAAGAATAGAATCCAACCAACAGAAAATTGATGGAAAATCAATCAAGTGTTTTCGGAGAATCCGCTAAGTATTGCATATAATGTTATCTCTAGTAAGGCTGTGAAAAACTAAAAAGTAGAAAAACTGACCGCTTCCACTTAAAAATGGAGTACTGTAGGAGGATAAAGCAATAATCAAGTGAAAGAGTTTGATCCTGATACATATGCTAAAAACAGGAAGGAAGCTGAATTGTAATCGAGCGTATTTGGTGAACAGCAAGTGAAGGTTTAACCAGCTCCAATTCCAGAATAATAGGAAGAATCTTAAACATAATAATGTATTATCTTATTTAATATAGCTACATCATAACAGCAATAAAAAGTCTAAAAGCCTAAGGAAAGATTAATTCCTAATAATTAAACATGGTAATAGACTGATTCAGTTAAAAATATGAGAGATTTTGATCCAACCTAATCTTAAATTAAAGAAGATGTTGATGCCTCTTAAAAGAAAATGGATGCTCTTAAGTCAGCTATGGATTCTCATCAATTTGAAGCACAATAGATTCCAACTAACCAAAAAATATCAAATAAACATCTTAAAGTAAAAAATACATTTATAATTAGTAAAAAAAAGACATCATCTAAAGGGAAGAAAAATTAACCAAAGAAAAAACAACAACAAAAACATAAGCTAAGAAGAAATGATATATTTATATCATATCATTATAGTATTTGGAATATATTAAATGTTTTATTAAGAGAAGAAATTTATTTATTTTAATTATATTTGTATATACATCAATGCTTTTTATTTCTCTTTATTTTTCTCATATCGTTTACATCATTTGGATTCAGTTTGCCATAACCAACTGTTATTTTTTATTAAGGATGTCTATAATCAATATCTTCAAAACCAATTCCGTTTTCATATGTTTTCATAACCTTTTTGTATCTAAGTTCCTCTTGTTTTCTCTATACAATATAAATCAATAATATACTTGTCTTGCTAACTATTACTAAATTCCGCTTTTCATTAATTGATCTTAACAGAAGATAAATGGGGCATCCTTTTTGGTTAAATTCGAAGGAATGGAATACTAATAAAATTAGGACATTAATTTACTTAAGTTCCTCTGAGATTTACTTTGAAATTCTTCTTTCTATACAAGATAATTGTTCCATCAGATTCCAAAGAGCATGAGACTTTTAGTAATGAATTGTTTCCGCAATTGGTGCAGAAGAGTCTTGTTGGATCTCTGACTAAGGTTTTACATATATGACATTCTAAGATGAATCTTCTTGCACTTTTAATCATATAGCCTTCAGTCGATAAGACAGGAACGCCCATTTACAATAGAACATTCTATTAAATGACAAATATATGATACTTGCATAGCAAAGTCAGTTGTCAAAAGAGCAACCCCAAATTGATTCATTTGATTGTTTTATGGATTGATTTGAATTTCATTTAATTTTTCATGAATGTTTGTATTATTAATCCATTCTTCTTCATTTTCATCTTCAGATGATTCCTCGGCTTAATCTTCAACTTATTTTTCTTCTTATTTAGGTTTTTATGAGTTATTTTATTTAGAGTAATTATTATAATATTTTTTCTTTGGGACAACTTCTTCCCATCCATCAGATTCATCATCATCGTTATTATCTTCATTCTTTTAAGTTTCTTATTTTTCTGGTTCTTCTGATTTTTATTAAGTTTATTATTCATCTTATTGTTTATTTTAAACTTATTCATTTTCTTCCTTTTATACTTCTTCCTCCTCTTCTTCCTCTTCTACTTGTTAATGATTTTTGGATCCATATACATTCTTAATTTTATTAAACTCTAATGGTTTTAGTGGTTCCAACTTTAACTTGTCCTTCTGACCATTTTCCTCTATCAAGGTACAAGCCAAAGCTATGAGTTCAATATCAATAGGGGACAATGAAGCTATGTCTGATGTTTATGTGGCGAATTGCTTAACGATTTTAATCATTTTCTCGGATGGAGTCAAGAAGGTGAGGGGGTAGGTGAAATTTTATAATTTTTATCTGGCTCTTTCATCTCTGACTTCAGTGAGAATGGCCTCATGAGTTACGAATGAGTAGTGTTCTGAAAGGTGTTGAAAATTGATTTCTTTAATAAATGCATTGGCATCCAATATTAATTTATTCATTTATTTTAATTTAAAAAAATAAAAGATGTCGGAACCATAAGTATATAATAAATTAATTAGGTTATATTTAATGTAGCCAAAAATGAATAAGGCCATCCCAGTCAGAATTACAAGAAGCTTGTTAAAAAGTATAAGAGTTAATATAAGGTAAGTTATGGATTTTTGAAATATTTAGTTTGGCTTAAACAAAGATGACTTAGTTATAGACAAAATCAGAAATGCCAATTTACTCATTTTTGCTGGGTCCAGAGCTCCCTTTACTGAAAAAGGTATTTTTTATTTTGATTCCTAGAAATCAAATGCCTCGAAGAATATCTCAATGGCAGGAGGCAATGTATTAATCTTATTCTCTGATGGTGGTGAGAGTAAGTCTACTAGCAACTTAAATGCATTCATTGAGAAATTTGGAATCTATGTGAACAACGATTGTGTTGTAAGGACATGCTATTTTAAATATTTTCACCCAAAAGAAGCATATATTTAATAAGGAGTTATCAATCAAGAAGTTTGAAAATCTATATTCTATTCAAGATAGTTCGTGTGATTAATGGTGAATAAAGAGAGACTAGAAAAAACAAGGCATCCACACCATACCTCTAAGGAGTCATCGAGATGGAAGATACTGAAATTAACAATCAAAGTGGCCTCGACTTTGTCTATCCCAACGGAGCCACTCTAATTGTGAAGGACAAGGCCTTCCCCATCCTATCCACTGGCCCTATGTCTTATCCATGCGAAAAACCAATCATGGCCGTCAATCAAGAAAAGGGTAAACTAGTAGTCGTAGGCTCAACCGACATATTCAATGATGAATACTTTGAGAAGGATGACAATCAAAAGATTTTTGACTTCCTCTTAAAGTTCTTCTTAACAAAGGAGGTTGAATTCGATAAGAAAACTCCTTTCGCTGAAAACGATTGCAAAAATGCCCCTGATATTGCAGAGCTATCTGATAAACTAAAGAGTTGTTTACAAGAAAGTGAAGAACTACCAAAAGATGTGACAACCTTGTTTGATTCAACCTTATTCAAATTTGATCTAGATCTCATTCCAGATGCAGTCAAGCTATATGAGACTCTCTGTAATGTTCAATCATATTCTAGAGGTCAAGCATGAACCACTGACTCTTATAGTTCCCCAATTTGAAACTCCCCTATTGGGATTACAACCAGCTGTCTTCCCGCCTATTCCAAGGGAATTACCACCTCCTCCTCTTGAGTTGTTTGATTTAGACGAGGAGTTTGCTTCTGAAAAGTAATTTTATATGCAATATCTTACTCAGAACTCGTTTGGCGTAATTGACAAACAAATGCACAAATGAAGATTTGGAATATTACGTAAAAGAGGCTGGAGATATCATAGGAATCACAGATAAATTAAAGAATAGACAAAAGGCATAGTCAGTAATCCATTATGTTCTGGAAAATTTAATCAATTTTAAAAAATTAAATTAAGGTTGAGCTTTATTAATAAATAAATATAAAGTTACATCTAATTATATCTTTTGTAGATTAACATACTGTTTTGCATATTGATATATATATAAATATAAATTAATTCATAGTTTTCTGCATGAAAACTTTTTGTTTGTTGAATTTAAATCAACTTTATTTAAAGATGATGTTCTGATATGTTATTATGAAAAATTTGAATGTTCCAATCGAGATTTCAACTTATTCCATAAATCTTCAATCAAATTGTACATTCTTGAATTTTATTTTATCAATTTTAGCATTTCATTACTTTTTATGGCTCTATAAAGGATGTTTGAGACTAGTTACAACGAATCTTAAGTAGACAACAATTCGGGTTCAATTATTTAATCATTTTATAGGATTTTTATTTACTCCATTAACTAAATCATATTCATTCAAATGTTTACTTCTTTCAATTTAATATTATGATGCTTCTTTAATTACATGATTTCTTCCTTTATATCTTCCATGTGTATCCAATCTTAAATCACCTAGAGTCTTTCATTTTTATTGATTTTAATCGCCTCTTTAATTGCTAGCACAATGTTGTCCTATTCAACTGATGAAAACTAAGCCAAGAGCATCTAGAATGGATTATTTAGTTCAAAATTATTGAGTTACTATTGCTTATTGTATATCTATTGTAATTCATTGGTTAATTGAATGATTTGCCAATTCTACTATTACATAGTTTATTGATAAAACTATTCTTTTTCATTCTGCTCGTTAATAAGCTCATTGATTTTATTCTTCTAAGCATTGATTTCAATTTCATATGATTTATTCTAAGTAATTAGTAATCCATTCTCTTTTTTTATAGACTTAATTTAATTGAAGATCTCCTCTTTTTGAAATTGCAATTGCATAACATTTTCTTATAAGATCTCTAATTTTGGCTTGGGTAGAATTTCTGTTTATATTTCTTTGTTTAGTTAATTTATTTAGATTTTATTCAAAGATTGGCTGAATATGTCCTTTTTTTGGTAACGCAAAGGCAGAAACCTCCTCATAATAACCTTAATACTATCTACTATCAGCTGTGGTCATGCTATGCATATCTGTCGAACTTTTTGATCTATTTTGCCTTGAGAGATCTTAGATTTACGACAATTCTTATTGAAAATATTCTAGTCTTTTAACCTACTCTCTAATTTTAGGTTTTTGAGTTTGAAAACTGAAAATCATTTGTTTATCCATAATATTCAAATTTTAACAGTAATATATTGAATTAATTTGTTATAATTATATAAGATAAAGTATATTTTCTTTTTGTATTATACAAGAAAAAAACAAAACTAATTTTATAGCTTTACTTTTGCAATTGCTAATTCGATGCTACAACTTAATAAGGGTTATTATTAAAGTAAAATCAATTTATATTCACTCTCTGAAACAATTATTGGAAATACTTTTTTTATAAGCTTTGAACCAGTTTCATTAGTTCATTTGAATATAATCATATATAATATTTCACATGGTATGGAAAGTTCAACTATTGTTAGCAAAATAGATTCAATAGATTAACTAAGATAATTAAAATATGAGTTAATGATAACTTTGATATGCTAAAATAATTATGAATAATGAATTCATCACATTGTTAAGAATTTTTCTAACATAGCATAAGCACCCAAGGGATTATCAGTAGGGACCATATGACCTGCTGTGTAAATTGTTGCATAGATGAAATTTTCATATTGCTTCCAGGTTCCTTGTGTCTCTTTGTTCACAACAATCATTTCCTTCTTAGCACTTTTCCATTGTCCAATTTTGTCCCAATTCAATTAACTCATCCACATGACAGCCCCAGGAGTATTAACGATATAATCTAATTACCCATTGAACAATAAGACTTTGATGTTGCTTTCTAACAAGACCTCAATGTCACCCTTTCTGCTTGTAGGAATATCCAAAGCAAAGGCATCAAAGGTAGGTCCATCACATCCTTCGAATTAAGTTTTAGTGGTTGGAGCCTTGAATTAAGTCTTTAGATAAAAGTTCAAAAATCTCTCATGAGAAGTATCTTCTATGTCTTATCCTTGGTATTGTCTGAAGTTGTAAACGTTGATTCCACCAGCCATATTAATGGTTTCATCATCTGACAACAAGTCGAATTATTTGTATGCCAATTTCATATTTCCATCCAAAATGGCATTCTACCCTATGGCTATGTTATTCTGTATTATTTTGAATTGTCTTTCTGTGATTGTACCAATTGTGTACAAATAGGAAGCATATTAGGAAAATTATTAAAATGGCTATGTCCAGCCATCTCCTATGGCAACTCCCTTAAAATTGACGATGGTCAACTTCTAAGTCAATATTTAGATGGCTATGGCAGGGATGTAATGTCCAGCGAAACTTTCTCCCATAATATACAATTAAGTTCTCTATAGAATTGTGTGTTTGTTGTAGAGGACTCGAAGGAAATTAGCGAAATACTTGGCGGCAGTTTCAGTATTTGAGACCACAAATCCATCTTTTGCACCACTCATCCCGACTCTTAATGGTTAATCGACAAATAATTGATGTGTCAACTTATTCCAAGATTAAGGCTATCCCATATTCAATAAATAATTACTCTCTCCTCAACCTTGTAATTGTCTTTGCTCACTTCCACCACCTTATAAGGACCTATCTCTTAAAAGTTTCCAAATTGTGATGAACAACCTGGACCACACATTTCAGCCAGATAACCAAAATATCGTCCTATTTTATTTGGTCTAAGCTCATGGTTCCTTGTTTTAAAAACATGTGGTAGAACATTTCCCCAACGGCTGTCTATCCATCCTCTAAGTCCTTTAATGTAACATATCCTGTTTCGATGTATTATTTCGGATCTGCACCCAACAATTATTTGTAAAAATCTGTGCAATTAATTACAACCATTGATACCTGTCTAAACTGTAGTTTGCACATCTCCTTAACAAAGGACTAAACTAAATAATCCAATCAGAATATATATCATTTTTTTGAATATTTTTTTATATTTAATTTCTTAATTTCTTACATTAAGTTTTTACAGGGATTATTACAAAAATTGCATCACTACTATGCTATTCGATGATTGTCACTCCTACTTGTGAGAATGCACATTTCTAATTAATACAACTTAAAATCAACTATATAATTATTTCTGGTATTTAGCTTATAATAATTAATATATCAATTTATTACATTTTGATGCCTTTCATAGATATTAGAAAATAAATGCCTTCCTTGGACTCGCAAGAAATTTATGAACTATACCTATTCCCAGAGACCTTCCTCGTATTACAAAATCATCACAAACACTGTGGCTATTGCCTATTTTGGATATTTTTATGGGATGGCCGAGGCCATATATAAAAATAAATCGAAATTCATCTAATCAAACAAGTATTGCTTTTATGGATTATTGGCTGGATACACTCATTAGCAATTGAATGAAATAGGCACTGGCATATTAATAAGAAACTATGGATTTGATTAGTATTGGCTATCTAATACAGCAGCAGGACTGATTAACTGTGGAATCATTTACAGTGCAATGCAATTGAGAAACAGTGAGAATGGACAATTCATTAAAGCCCAAAAGTACGCAGGAACAATTTGTTTGATATCTATGTTCTTGGATCTGTTCAGTCAAATGCAGAGGGATCTGTATTTAGAATATCCGCAACAAGGGAAGGAGAGGAAGAAATACTGAAATTATTTTGTAAATTTATTTGAATTAAATAGCATTGATTTATATATTATTATTACTTATACTAATGAAGGTTTAAGATTTTTCTGAAAAGTAAGCCAAACCCATCGATTCACGATTGATGAATGGTCCATTACAAGATCGCCACTGCACAGATATCATATGTTGTTTATTATTTATTGCGTCATTCATTTTCATGTGGTGAGTTATTTTATTTTACAACCTTAGGTATATTGCTATAACTGGGTACTCTTTGGGGAAAACCAGAAAGAATATTGGCAGCCTATGATTCTGATGGTACTGTTTCTCCATTATATTTAGGCAATGCTTGTGATCTGGATTTGCCAAGTTATCCCTTATTATACTCTCCCTATTATTCATCCTGATTACTATAACAAGACAGTCTGTGTGGAAAGATGCCCAGCAAATACATCAGACACTGTTAAATGTTAGACAAATAAAAATATCACATCCTGTCCTAGAGATTGTACAAAAGTTTCAGTTAATACATCTGCTACTTTTGATTTCACTTCTGTGGATTCAATGAAGACCTACGTCGACACAATCACAAGTTCAGTCACTAATCCTGAGAATTGGATTTGTCTCTATGGGAGTGAACCCATTTTCTCAAGAGCATGTTTTCCAAGTACAGCTTTAGACATTCTGAATTAAACCTCTAATTTCAGTTCTTCTATTGACTTGAATAGATTGACATCCTGGTTATATGACCTTTCTGTTGCCAAATATATCATTCTTGCATCATTTTTTATAGCATTCGGTTTAGGGTAAAAACTGTAAATTTATAATGATAGATTAATTTACATGGTGATTCTAAGATTTTTGGGAGGATTATTTGTATGGTTGACAATCTTGCTCTACTTTGTTGGAATTTCAGTTTTGGCAGGTTACACTTGGAATTAGCACTTATATTATTTGAAGTACATAACATTCTATATTTTAGTGATTCTCAATAATCAGCCTCAGCAGGTTCGACTAATGCATCTGATAATGCAAAAGCCTTAGAATATATATTTTATATTGAAATAGCTTGGATAGCATTTTCAATTCTTGCCTTTTTTTTGCATTTTCAACAAAATCAGATTGGCTATAGGAAGTAGTGAAGACAGCTACTCTCTATGTGAGAGATAACTTTTCTGTTATGATTGTACCCTCCAGTGATTGGAATTTGTTTAGGAGTCTTGTGGGTTTGGTGGATTGTATCAGTTGTGTAATAAATATCAGTAATTTATAAGATACATTGTTGGTCTTGGAAACATCAAGGGAGATGGCAGTACTCCTTTTGCTTCAGTAACATTTGACAATACAACTAGAAACATGGTTTATTACTTTATGTTTGGTGGGTTATGGAAATAGGCCTTTTTGTTGGCTCTGAATCAATTCATAATTGGTTGTTCAGTGTGCATATGGTATTTCAATTAAGGACCAGGCTAATCCTATACTGGCAACTTATTCTAAAGTATTTATTGGGCATTTCGTTATCATCTTGGATCATTGGCATTTGGTTCTTTTATATTGGCAGTGGTTCAATTCATTCGATTGATGTTGGAATATGCAAAATATCAGACAAAATAGATGTCAGGAGATAACAAATGCACTAAATGCATACTAGATTGTCTCTCTTGTTTGGTGGCCTGTTTTGAGAGATTCATCGAATTCCTTAATAAAAATGCTTACATTCAAATTGCATTGACGAGCAAGAGTTTCTGTCCAGCTGCTAAAGATGCTTTTGAATCAATATGGGCTAATACCATGAGGTACAGTCTAGTTTCTGGTATTGGTTCCATTTTTACATTCGTAAAACTTTATTTATATTCAAATAGATTGGTAAGTTATTTGTTGGTTTTGCTACAGTTCTGTTCTCATATGAAATCTTTATCAATGTGGAACCATATAAAACAGATCTAGCATCTCCAATTGTACCATCAATAGTCTGCTTTATTATAGCATATATGGTGGCAATTCTATTCATGAGTATCTATTAAATGGCATGTGATGCTGTGTTGACTTGTTTCATTTATGACGAAGAATTAAATAAGTAGAATGGTGGAATGTCAGCATAACATTGTCCAGAGACATTAAGAGAATGGTTTGATGGTACTTAATCATCATGATATTAAATTTTTATAAAAATAATTTGATGATTAAATTACTACTAAAAATAATCATAATGTTTTAATGTTTTTATTCATCTAATTGATCTCTCTCTAATTGGTTAAAATTATATGATGATAAATGTATCTAAATTAAATATTTTGACCATTATATCAAAAATAAAAAAAGTAATGATCAGACTTATATTCAGATATGTCATTATTTATTAATTGAAATTATAATTGTCATATTGGAATATATCAATTTTCTTTTATTAATATATTTAATATTAATAAAAATGAAATTCCTTTTCTATTCCATATGTTTCCTCCTGCTGAGTATGTAAATCAAGGCAAATGAGGAAAATAACACTAAGTGTAAAGAATATTTTACAAGCTTTTTCGAGGCAATAGCTAATGGTGAAATTCCAAAGAACATATCAGCATAATCTATACTTAGTTCTGGAAAAGGACTTTAAGATTTAGGTTCCTATCTAGTTTGTAGAGACTCTGTCGACTTGCATTACATTCACTTGAGAATGATCAGCGGAGGAAGACCATTGCATATGGGATTTTGTTTACCTTAGTTTTGCGAAATGAATTATCTGTAGACGTTCAATGAAACTACAAAATCGTTCATCAACAATCTAACTGTACTTATCCGTAATTTCCCTAGCATCTCCAATACAATAGGTCAATGGTTGATAGTGTTTCCTACTAGGATCCAGAACTCATGTATCCAGAATGGGGTATTGGCACCTATTTGACTCTTATGTTGTTGATAGTAGTTGTTGGCCTCAATGTTACGGGAAGCATTTTGTCCATAATGGCAGAAAACAAAAAGAAAGCTTATTCGGAAGACTTATAGATAGAGATAAAGAAGAAGGCTGCTGAGAAAATAAATGATTCTAAAATTGAAGATCCATCCTTCCAAGCAGATATAATAGATGAACAGTACAGGAGATCGGAATTGATTTGTAAATAAATATGTCATTATACAATATAGAGAATGAAATCATGGAAAATTAGGAATCTGCTTTCATGAGTGGCAAAGGGCAATTTGAGGAAATTAAATATGAGAAATACAAAGAACCATCATGGGAACGACTTGCCTTAAGCTTTTCCTTTGTTCACAACTACCAAAAATTATTCAAAATCAATGAACCCAAAGGTGAGAATGAAGGTTTTGTAATTTTTAATGGAATAAGATCCTTATCAATATTTTGGGTTATCTTTGGTCATGATTAACTGATCAGAGGATCTAATTCCTTCAATCTAATTGACATCCCCTACAAGATCACAGAGCCTGGGTGGGTGACACTAACACCTGCAGCATACTTTGCAGTTGATACATTCTTTTTTGTGGGAGGCTTTTTGGCTACTGTTTTACTGTTGGAGAAGTTGACCAAATTGAGAACAATCAAATTTACATTGGTGCCAGCAATGTGGTTACATAGATTCTTAAGAATATGGCCAACATATGCATTTTGCATTTTAATGTATTGGCAATTGAGTGTGTATTGGTCAGATGGACCAATCTGGAATGAATACATAGCATCGACATCCACTTGCAACGCGTAATGGTGGAAGAATCTATTGTTCATTGACAATATGTTTTCGCATGCAAACAATGGATTAAGTTATTGTTATGGATGGGGCTGGTATTTGTCTAATGATTTTCAAATATTTCTAATCACTCCAATCTTACTGATCATCTATGCAAAAAATACAAAAATCGGATTAGCAAGTATTATTTCGTTGTTAGTCGGAAGCATCTTCTCAGCCTATTACATTGCTTTTTCTCACAATTACCATTTGTAAATAGGGACTCCCAATTCCAAACCACAACCAGATTATCAAGATGTATTCTACTATAAACCTTGGGTCCGAATCTCTCCTTACCTAATTGGAATCCTCTTTGGACTTTTCTATAGAAATTACATTAGCGGTTAAAATTAAAAGATTGTTGATTTGGCTCAGAAGATCAAGGATAGTGTGTTTATCAGAACACTGCTATATGTCATTGGAATTGGATTGACTCAGACCATCATTTGGATCATTATACCACTCCAAAAGGATATGGATGCTTGGCCTCCATAAGCCTAATATTTCTACCAGGCTTTCAATAGAGTACTTTTTGTAATAGGTGTTGGATTTTGCATTACTCCTGCTTTGCTAGGTTGCAAGAATGACCCATCAAGATTAATGTATACAAATAATGAAATTTTAGACTCGGACACCCCTTTTGGTAACCAATAGCCAGAATATCATTTTGCATGTACTTGACACATTTCATTGTGATCTTGTTCATGACTTTCAGTTCAACACAATTAGTTTATTATCAATACTCTCACATTCTATTTTTCACACTTACTGATATCGTCTACACAATTGTAGTCGGAGGTCTCGTAAGTTTAGCCATTGAAGTATAGCATTCGTATAATGTAGGTGCCTTGCATGAATCTTGAGAAGATCCTATTTGCTCCCAAGAAACACGAAGCCGTAAAGTTGAACAACAATTAATTAGGTGAGTAGATTGATTTATGAACATTTGTTTTATGTATTGGTATAATTGGGATATCAATTAAATCAGGTTTTCCTCCAATGAGATTCCCCCATATTCAATCGTATTACATATGATTCAATACATAAATATTAAATATTTAAAAAATGAAGCTTAAAAGGTTTCTTCTGAGATATTATCCTCCTGGCATAATTTTGGAGTACATTCGCAGTAATGGAGAATAAGAAACGAAATCTATTGACTTGCTAAATTTGAGCAATGAGTATAGTTTGAAGTCTAACATAATAGTACAGATGTAGATCAATTAGTTGAAGAAATAGTCATGGAAGAGCCAATCATTTCAGAGAGTCGGAAACCCTAACTCGCAGCCTTAATCAGAAGTAACACAAAATCTAAGCTTTATTAGAATTAATAGATAAAATTGAATCAAAAAAAGAGCAATAATTTGAATTATTCAAAACTCTTAAGGCTCATATGCTGCCTCTGACAAATTGTGCATTCAATAAAAATGGAGACAAGTACTTAGTTTGAGTTGATATATAAAATAGGTTTATCACAGGTAGCTATGACAGAACATGTAAAGTGTGGGATACTTTTACAGGAGAGGAAATAGTATCTCTGGAAGGTCATAAAAATGTTGTATATTGTATTGCATTTAACAATCCATTTGGGTATTAAAGCTGAAATATATCAATAGTGATCGGGTGGTAACAGGATCATTTGATAAGACTGCGAAAATATGGGATGCTAATTCAGGCAAATGTCTATAAACTCTAGTGGGACATAATTACGAAATAGTGTGCACATCTTTTGATCCTCATTCTTTAATCGTGGCTACAGGATCAATGGATAAAACTGCTAGGTTGTGGGATGTAGAAAGTGGAAAGTAAATAGCAAGGCTAGATGGACATGATGGAGAAATTGTTAGTTTGCATTTCAATTCAGATGGAGATAAATTATTGACAGGTTCATTTGATAAAACTGCAATGATCTGGGATGTTAGATCAGGAGAGTGTATTCATATGTTGGATGAACACACAGGAGAAATATCAAGTACTTAATTCGAGTTTACAGGTGATTATTGTGCTACTGGATCTATTGATAAGTAAATACATATATATAATTAAATTAGGACTTGTAAAATCTGGGATATCAAAACAGGTAAATGCATAGAAACCTTGAGAGGACACAAAGACGAAGTTTAAGACATCTGTTTCAACTCCACAGGTTCATCTATATATTTATTCTAGGCACTAGATTAGTGACAGTTTCAGCAGATGCCACAGGAAGAGTATACAATGTGCATACTGGAGAATGCATTGCGTAATTACTTGGTCATAAGGGAGAAATATCCAAGGTTCAATTTAACCCCTCTGGTAACAAGATCATTACTGCTAGTGCAGACAACACTGCCAGAATATTGTATGACTTTTAATTAATTCTTTAAATAGTTCAGAAACTGGTGAATGTTTGTAAGTACTTGAGGGACACACAGATGAAATATTTAGTTGCTCATTTAATTATGAAGGAGACATCATCATTACTGGGTCTAAAGATAATACATGTAAAATATGGAAAGAAGTCAATTTGCCAGTCAAAAATAAGTGACAAATTCATTAATAATATATTTATTATTTTCAGCAACTTTTATATAGTTTCATTTGCTAAATTCATGTGAGAATAACAATAGAATAATTATAATTTATGATTTTTAATAATCATCTCCAAATCTTCATTTTATTAATTTCTCCAATTCTCCCTTCTAGTCCAAATTCACTACGTCTGTGTATCCACCAACAAACCTTTATTTAATGAATACCATTGGAATTGTGCTCCACTTCAATTTAACTACGAATTCGTTCACCTATTTTTCGTGTTCCTTCTCCTTTGTGATGTCTCTGTATTCATAAGGTATATTTTTAGTCTCCAAAAAGCGCTTTAATTTATGGCAATATGGACAATAATCACCTCCATAGATTACCACAGGTTTATCTGATTTAATTTCTGAATGTTCCATAGATATGGTAACAATTTTATATTAATACTTATATTAATTATTTAATTTGCACGTATGATCAACAAGGTATTGTTGGCCATAAACTTTAACTCTTATTTTCAGTGAAGCAAAGTCAATTAGACCAGGAGGGAGAGGTGAGATTCATGTGCCTCCTTTCTGATGTTCAGTTCAATAAAACTTAGAGGAGTAATATAAAGATAGAAATATATTAATCTAATAATTTATCTGAATAATTATAAGTCCACATATACATTAGTATTTTCAATATATATATTATTAACAAATTTAAATATATATAAAAGATTATAAGATTTTTTAAGTTCTGAAAACTGTTGTTATTTAATACAATACTATCATTCTCAAATGAGATCCTTTAGTGTAGTACGACCCTCATCAAATCTTTGGTCTAGACACTTGCTTGATTATAACGGAGTTATATATTGTCTTTGCTCTTGTATGCGGCCAAATTATTAAAGAAGAGGCTGTGTTTGCGAAATAGGTTACTACCACCCTTGGGAATTGACCATTTGCTGGGTTTGCAATTACATTAGACATTAGTTTAAATATTGGTTTCTAGAATCAAATTAATACACTTACTGTTGAAGAAGCATGTATGGATTCATGGACAAGCTCAGCTACATCAGTTAAATTTATTAGTTTAACTATAATTATAACGATTGAAATTATTGGTCGATGGGCGAAGTCTAGGTGGATTGGACTGGAGCCAACGATTCTTTTGTTTTATTGGTTTCTTAAGGTTTTTCAGGTAGAGATTCTAACTTAGAGGTACTTCTTCTCTGACGTGTCTTCTTCTTCCCCACTCTTCCTTCCCTTCTGTAAGTTTGCAAAATAGCTTTAGACGTGCTAAACTTAATCCCAAATTCTTGGGCAGCCTACTTTATTGTTGATTATTTCGATTAGACTCTTTTAATAAAAGCCATTCTCACTGCTGGTGTGATTACAGCGTATTTTTTCCTCGTTTAACTACCATCATTTAATGACTCCATAATTTTAATATTTATAATTGATGAATTTAATTAAAGATAAGAACTTACATATTACATTAAATCATTATTCATAAGAGAAATTACATTAATATATCCTATATACTTATTTTATACTAAAACAATTAATTAATTTAATACATACAAAATGAATTAGGATATGATTATTATTGACGGATCATACAATGAAGGAGGAGGATAAATGTTCAGAAGTGCCTTAGCTCTTTCGGTACTCTTTCAAAAACAATTTAAAATCACAAATATTAGATCCAACAGGCCAAATCCTGGAATAAATAACTAGCTTCTCAATTAGATCTCATTAATCACAAAAATTATCAAATCTGAAGTTGAAGGCCTTAAATTGGGTTCGGAAGAATTTTCATTCAGACCTCTTCACAAGTTTCTACCTGAAGACTTAGTTTGCCCAGCTCAAACAGCATAAAGTATAACCTTAATCTTGTAATCTTTGTTACCTATTTCTATTAATGCTCAAAAACAAGTCTCCATTACCATACACGGAGGAACTTATTTAAATCATTGTCCTACCATCTAAGCTTGGAGCACAATCTTCCTCCCAATAATAAACTAAATGGGTCTCAAATGTGATGTTAAGGTTTTAAAGGAGGGCTACTATCCTTAAGGAGGAGGCTAGATTCAAGCTGTGCTTCAGCCTGTATAAAATACACTCAATTAATTAATTAAGAAAGAATATACTAAAATTAATAAATTGAATTGCACTTACTTATTAGGATCTCCAAGTGACACTCAAATATTTGATCATTAGATAGTGGATGAATTGAAATAATATGCTGAGAATGACTAATTAATCATAAACAGTGAAATAAAAATCGTTAATTCAAAAAAGTTCAAGAAATGCTATGGGATTTCTCTGGTTAGTCATTCGAATTTGAATTCTTATGACTATACTATAATAAATGACAGCGATAAAACAATTGAAGAAACTCTAGCTAATGTAATAGGAAATGCTAAATCATAACTGGAATAATAAAATTGCTTTGATGATCATCATTAGGATTAACTTCCTTTATTGATGGCTTTGGCAAAAGGTAAATCGGAAATTTTGGTTAGTAAGCCCACTTCCCATACTGAATCTTTAAAGTATGTGATTTAGAAATTCCTTCCAGAGTGCTAGATAGAATTTGAGAAGTCAAATATAAAGGACAATTTTATAATATCAGTCTAAGGAGTAGGTTATGTGTTTGAATGAATAGTTATATGTAACTAATATACAGAAAAAAACAAAACTAAATTCAATAAACACACATTCGCAATCTCATCGTTGCTTAAAATAATAATATTCTTATGGTTTCGTTATTTTATTTAAAATTTCTCCTATTTGGGAGAGATATTTGAGCTTTTCTTGTTGGTCGCTTCTTAAGACTTAGGCATAAGCATGTTTTTGATAGAATTCAATAGACAACTTTTAGAATAGGGTTTTAAATAGATCTTAGCATTATTACCCTTTGGGATCAGAATGACATAAGATCAACATATCCTAGATGGCCTTTACTTCGAATTGCTATAGCCATGTTTTGAAATGGGGCTTGAGATTGGTGTTTTCTGAAAAGTAGATCTCAATAATTTAAATTGCTTCTTCATGTTAAAAAATAAAATTCATTTAATTTTAGATTAGAACATTTTATATTTTTTTTTCTTCTATTATAAAAATATAACATATTATATATACCATCAATAGGGTAGAATCCTTTTTGTTAGATTTCGATCTATTTGATTAGTTCCTCAACGGCGTCATTTCTGTTCTCTTCGACTCGAAAAGAGGGGTTATTTAGTGTTCTTAACTATTTATTGGAATAGGCTTATTAAATTAGTTATTGTAGGAAGCTGAGAGGGATGGTGACAGTTGGATCTTGGCGAGTCTACATTAAGAAACATGATTACAATGGTTTCATCGGCTGGTTGGAAGCGTAGATTTAACTATGGATATTTGCGTCTTTCCTCACTATTGGCAATATCGTTGTGAATAATTTTGACAGGAGCATATTTTAAGTGCACATGATTGTTGCCATTGTGATGATGATTGTTGTCATTAGATTCCATGTTTAGTTTAGATGGATGATAACGTTCGAAGCTCATTCTTATAGACGATAAATTATAAATAAATTATTATATAAAATGATCAATCAAATTTTCATTATCAGGAATTAAATAAATTAAAATAATTATTTGATAGATAATAAAAATTAATATAAGTACTTCATCATCATTATTATTTAACATTCTTATGAGACTACAAATAAGATAAGAAATAAATGATTACCAATAGCGTTGAAGTTTTTTGTTAAAGTAAAGTCGTAGAATGTTTTGGGTGGATTTGCTCCTTGGAATCCACTAACTATTTAAGTGTTCTGTAGATGTTGACAGCTTCCATAATCTTGTAATCCCCAATACTCCTACTATTATTTTGACTTCGATTAAAGTGGTTGTCCTTGTTTAAATAAAACTAGGATCAAAGGACATAATTACTTATTGTGTCGTATTAGCTTTGGTTGAACTAAGATCGTATGTGTGATTGGAAGTTTACTTTAAAATGGTTTTGACTGGTGAGGTCTTTTCACTCTCTGAATTCCTCTTTTGAGACAACTATTTCAAAGGTGGTTTGGGGATCTTACGCTCACTGGAAATCACTTTGCTGGACTTAATAACATTGGCTTCGATGTTGACTGATTTTGTTTTTTGTTTAACAATTTTTTTTTCGGATTGAGTGTTGATTTAAAGAAAATCATAGGGTTTGGATTAATCGTTAGTTTTGGATTCTTCAATCTTTCTCTGATTGGAATAATTGCGTAGAGATTCAGCCAGTTTGGAATAAGAATTTTCAGCTGCCTTATTGATTTTGTTAGATTTTTGTCTATTTGTATAATAGCTTTGATTCTTGTTCTAAATTGAAGTTTTCTATTCAGATTTGGATAATTCAGTTTGATTTAATGTTTTGGTCAGTATTTTAGAATGGGAATATTGTTTTTCCAAATAGAGTGGTTTAGTTCTGTTCGTGTTATATTCATTGGTCATTTTTTGTATTTCCACATCAATATTGCCAATGTCCTTTAACAATGAAGTCTTAACTATTTTTTTTAATTGATTTTCTTTGGAAGTGTCCCCAATGCCTTAATTTGATTGATTGAGCTTTTAAGGTAATTTGGGTTACTCATGTTTGGATAGGATATTATTTTTCGATAGTTACTGTTATTTTTGAACTTTAGTGTATTGATCGATTAAATTTCCTATTAGTTTTTTCTTTCTCTTGATAGAATATTTAGTGGTTACCTTTCCTCGAATATAAGAGCTGCCTCATCCTCATTCATTTTACTCAACTTCATCCGCGTCAATTAATAAATTATTTATTAATTTTAGTTATTATAATAATTATATATCAACGTCGATCACTAAGATTAAATAAATTAGGCTGTCTTTCTATCCTGATTCTATTGTTGCGTACAAAAGGGCTGAGGTTCCTCATCCGATCCGAAGAGAGACTATTCCATTTCCTCGATAGACTCCTTTTTGCTTTTAGGCCATTTTTCTTTTTCGTAAATTCTCCTGATCAAATCCTTTTTATTTTATTTCTTAGCATGAGAAATCTGAGAATAAGTAGTCATCACATCATCGTCTATTGTAGTTTTATTAAGCTTCTATTGGAAGATCGAAGATATATTTAAATCGGAATCTTAAAACACTCTAAAAACAACTCTCTCCTTTTGGGACTCCAAATAGACTTTCCCCAATGTATATTACTACACATTCTTATTTAGTTGATACTTCTTGTGTACTATCACAGATATTCGCAACATTTACATAGACTATCAAGAAAATTGGCTTTTGGCTTGAGATCACTCAAATCTAATTAAGGAAAATGCTTTCGACTTGCCCTCCCTTTGATCTCCGTTGAGTGTACTTCCTAGCTCATTAATTTAAATATTGTTGTGTTCGATTTTCTTGACTTCGAATTATATATAAATATTAAATATTCTACTAATTCAGATGTCTAAATTGTTTATAATGCACTCGAGAATATAAAATATATTAATTATGCGATACCAGCAATTAGTAACTCATGTCATCGACCTCATCAAATCTTACAATCCCATTATCCTGACTCCAGACTCCCATTGCGAACAATACATCCAGGAAAATTGCAAGAAACTCTTCGATACTGAAATCATGTTTTTGAAACAAGTATCAATTTTGCACTCATTCTCAAATAGGTTTTCTCAGGAGTACAACGTTATGAAGAGTTCCTCAAAATCCTCACCAAAACTATGTTCACTCTCTTGTCCAGCACAACCAATAGAAATGATGCCACTCTATATCACATCTTCTCCTATCTCATTTTGTTTAGATTGGATGAACTACCCTACAATGAATTCAAAAAGATGGTCAACGAACAAGACCCAGTCAAAATGAATGTCCTCTTGCAATTTCTATTTGACATCGACAAAGTTATTACGCATGTCAAACCCCTATGGATAGAAATCTACGATCCTCAATACATCCACGAAACTGTGATTGGAGGCTTGGAATAGCACTTCCCCATGATGAAAGATCTATTGAGTTCTCTGAGTTCGAGAGCCACTGGCAAACAAAGCGAATTGGTCCAAGATGATGAAAGACCTGAATCAGCTGCAAAAAAATAACCGACGAAAACTATGCCCTTCAAATTGAGTGAAACCAAGAAAAAGCCCGATCCTCCTCCTCCTCCTAAACCAGAGTTATACAAAAGTAAACCTGTTCCAAGTAATCTCAATAAAAAAACATTGCAATAGATTGAAGAAGACAATAAGCTTAGATTTGAGCAATCTAAAAAAAAGGTTCAAGAAACCTATAAGGATGCAAAGTAATTTGAATTCAAAACAGATCTTCGACCAACCAACTATGAAACTGTCAAAAAGGAGGTCGAAGACACTCTCAATCAATAATTGTAGTTCAATATGAAAATTGCTAAACCTGCCCCTGCTGATTTAGAGACTGCAGAAATCAAATTAAATGCTGCAGCCATCTTGAGGGAGGAAATGCTATTAAAGAAGAAACAAGATATTGAAAGAGAGAGAGTCAAAAATCTAGAAGTCAATCTCAGAGATTCAGGAGAATTCGAAGAATGGAAGAGGTAGTAGGAAGAAGTAGAGTAAATAGCTAGAATGGAACATCAACAACAAAAAAAGATAGAAATGGAATTGGCAAGAGAAGCAGCTATGAGAGCATAAGAGGAGAAATTTAAGGAGAATAGAATCTTGGCTGAAAAAATGAAGGTTGAGGCTGTGGAAAGATTAAAGGAAAGATAAGAATTGTAGTAAGAATAAGTTGAGTATAAAAAGTAATTAATAGAGCAAATTATGGAGGCTGAGAAGAAGGTGTATTTGTAAGTAGAGAAAGTGCAAGAGAAGAATAAGCAAATGGCTGAGGATTAGAAATTAGAAATGGCTAGGATGTTGGAATTGAAGAGACAGGAAGATGAGTAAATTAGAATTAAGAGAGAAGAGTTAATTAAATAAATTAGGGAGTTAGAAAGGTAACCAATCAAAAGAACTAAGGGATATGATCCTACTGAAACTATGGGTTATGGTCTGTTGGAAGAAATGTCATTGGCTGAATTAAGAGATAGATTAGAAGTTGTAAAGGCTGAAAGAAAGGCCGAAGAAGAAGACAAAAGAAAGGAGATTGTTACTTAGAAGGATGAATACTTATCATCGATGTAAAGGAAGGTCCAAGAAATTAAAGCACATCGATAAGCTGAATCGTAGCAGAAGGACATGGAGAGAGAAGCTAAGAGGATGAAAAAGCAAAAGGAGGAAGAGTTGAGAAAAAAGATTAGGGAGGAACAATTACTTTAAGTTTAAAATAAGATTAGCAACAAAAAGCAAGTCAAGAGTGCTGAAGAACAAAGAATAGCAGCTGAAGTTAGAGAAACTAAACTTAGATAGCAATATATGAATGCTAATAAGGCTATGGTGGAAATGAAAGCTTGGGAAGTCTCAATAGGATGGTATAATAGAAGAATAATTGGTTAGGTTTGGAGAGAGAAATCAAGAATAGACAGAATGAAAAACTTATTGTATAAGAGGGAGTCGAATCGGTGAATTTAAGGGAGAGGAAGATCTTGGCTGAGTAAGCTAAGAGATTAGTGAAGACTAAAGTTGATTTCAATTAGGCATATGATAATGAATTGAAGACAGCCTATAAAATGAATGACTAATTGCATTTAGAGGAGGCTGAAAATAGAACTTAAATGCATAACATTCAAAGAGAGTGGAAGGAAGAACATACTAAAAATATGATCACTAGAGATGAGTATAAATAGAAAATATCAGAAACTTCATTGAAAAATTCAAAAAAAAAAAAATAATAATAAACTATTAAATAAGATTTTAGTAGATAATTAGAATAACTACCTTCAGCTTAGTATTCTTGATATTTCATCACATAATCAAACTAGATATTTATTTTTTATAATATAATATGCTTGGTTATTTTATTAGATAAAATCACATCCCAAGAAATCTTTTTGTTTTATTAATTGTTTCTGCTGCTGTCTTCTTCACCTTATCCATAACTGCTTCACTAGTTTGTCGTTGGAATGTTTATCTATTTATTTAAATATTTAAAATACTGTGGATCTTATTTCAAGAGTTTCTATGCATTTCTCAACACTAACAATGTCTTTTTGATGGTATCTCTTTTCGATTGTAATGTATTCAGGCTAAAATGAATTAAACACATTCTTTACTTCAGACATCAATCCCATCACTGACTAACTTTTCATGATTTCATTGTATAATTAGAATTGCATTTATTCTTAAGCAGCTCTAACTAAGAAATACCCTATTGCCTTAGGAACAGAATCTCTTAGGTTTCTTATGACAATTCTATAATAAGCATCTAATCTTCTGCTCAATTCTTAAGCTAAAACCTTTTCAGGGTCTGTGTCTTATTTGTTAGCCTAAGCAGCAGGTTTATTCGCAGTGTTTGCAGATGTATTTGCCGTATTTGCAGTGCCAGCAGCATTGTCACCTGTTGGAGCAGCAGCTGCAGTTTTCTAGTCTTCTTTATCTTCTTACTAAAATGATATAGAATAAATAGAACATACTGGGATAATGCTGGCATTCATGGTTAAGTAGTCTTGATCATTTGTGAAAATGTATCCTAATTCAGCATCAATCAAGTTTTCAACAACAACTTTAGTTTTGTTCTTTTATTCTGTCAGTACTTAAGAACTGATGTCTGAAATAGCATCTAAAATTGTTGGGAATCTGTAAAACACCTTTTTCAATATGCTATTAGACAATGAGTCAACATAGGTAAACACTTCATTTAAAGTATCTATTGCAGGATCCCTCAATCTTCTCTAATTATGGCATGATTAAATATAAAAAGCTATCAAATGATGGGAATCCTGGAATAGAATCACCTTAATGTAATCTGATGGCTTCTCTAATTTCTCTATCTGTGTACTCTCGACTGACTCTGTAATTCTTGCCAGATTATCTAAATCCTAATACTAATAGAATACTCATTGTATAGTTCATTCAAATATAGTTTCACTTAGGCTCCTCCTGAGATTTGAGTGTCTTTCTGTAATGCTGATTTAACATCGAATTTTCCTCTTAATTTATTATTTAAATTTTCTGTATATTCAGTCAACATATTCCATATAACTTGCATCTTCTCCTTGTTGTCTCTTGGTAATCCTGGGCCTAATTGAGCGAGTTTGACTTCACAGTCCTATACTTTTTAATCGATTTCCCTAATGATCTGAGGCAAGGATGCTCGAATACTGTTAATATATAATAGATGCATACTGTTTAAACAAAATAGTAGTTAATTTCTGAATCAATGCCTTTGTTCCCATGATGTCTGGAGGCATTTAAGAATATAATGGATGTTTTGCAAAGAAATCAGTCTCCCTTTACAATGCAATACCAACTCTGACCTTCTCATTAATGTCTTTTTAATTTCTGTTTTTAACACCAACAAAACCCAATTTCAATGGAATTATTTGTCCCAACAATTCCTTTCTGCAATCTGTTCCTTAATCCATGATATCAATCTAGATTCACTATGAATTACTACTTTTGTAATAACACCCAAAGTCCTTGATCCTGTTGGATCTAATTTGATTGCTAATTGAAGTCCATCACTAGTTGATAAATCCTGATTGGCTGGACACACAGCTAAGATTATTGTTCTCTCATCTTAACAATAATGAGTGGCCATCTCCAAAGTGACTTTTTCTATGTCTTCTCTCTGTCCTTTGATTGCTATTCTTGTAATTCCTGGTAAATCGATCACTGTCAAGTCTGGACAATCTCGTGAATAGACAGTCATTACAATTGGGTCAGGGACAACATCTAGTCGATAATTTCACTTCAAAATACCTTTTGAATTTCCTGTTGCTTTATCTGTCAATTCTACAATGTATTCTCTAACCTTCTCAAAATCAAAGAATTTCTGATCTTTGCACACATCAAACACTGCCCATGGTTTTAATGCGTCAGGTTTATGTATCAATCTCATTTCCAAAGGTCTTCTTGTCACTATACCTTCTCCTCTTGGTAAGAAATCCAATCCGACAATGTTTTCCAAAAGACTACTTTTTCCTGCACTCTAACTTCCCAACACAGCTATTCTGGGTAATTTGATGTACTCCTAAACTCCTAAGTCTCTCAACTGATCGATGAGTGTAATCAAAGATCTTAAATTATCAAAGAGTTGTCCTTATAATGAACTATCTTATTATTCTGACATTATTTAATTAAATTTATTATAGCAAAATCCTTTATATTGAGATTTAAAGAACATAAAATATTGTCAAGGTGTTGCCTTGGTACAAATCACATAAATCCATTTTCCTTCTCATGTGATATCATATACTTTTAAAATTACAAATAAAACAAAATAAGATTGCAAAATTATAATCATTTGATATTTTTTTATATCTTTTTGATTTATTAATACAGATTGGTATATATTTCTAGGTTTTCTTGATGCAATTCATCAATTGAATTGACAATGGCTGCAATACCCTCATTGGGATCCCCATGTCTTATTTGACTAAATTGGTAATGATATTATATATACTAACATAATGTAGGCATGGCTATCCTAGTTAATCTTCGCTTTTCGACATCAGTTAATTGAAACTTAATTTTAAAGGTATCATCATCACTTGATTTAAAAATGTTGTTAACTTTTTTTTCATTTGCTCTATTCAAGCCAGGCTCATCACTCTTTTGTTTTTCCTTACCCATCCTTCTGACCAGCAAGTTATCTCTCGTCATTTCTATTGCATCCATCAATCTATTAACATTTCTATCACTCCATAAGTCAACAACCCCCATTGAGCCATCGTTGGCCAACTCTCCAAAAGCATCATGTACTTATTTGATCAGTGGTTATAAATAATAGTTGTTCTTTTTTTCATGCATTCTAAATCCAAATTTTAAGAAAGTTAATTTTTTTGTTTTCGATTTGTTATTCACTTTTCCATAAGTTTCGTCTCGTTTTTATTATATTTCAGTTTTTGGAATGACATACTAAGGTTTATGAAGCCATTTGCCACGTATATGGCCGAGAGCAAACTAATTCTTCACATTCTCTTATAGGATATCAAAATTAGGTAGCAGAGACGGTTCTGTTTTGGTTCTTTTGGCTTAAAATGTTCTGTGACTTGAGCTGACCTGTCCCCTACTCTGTAAATTATCTCTCTAAGTATTCATCAATTTATAATTAATAGTAATAATTAAATCAATTCAATATTGTCTTCTGTCCATCAAGATATTACTTAAATATGTTTTTGTTTGTCTGAGTTCCTCAATCTACTACAACTGCTAATAATTTTAATATTTAAAGTATTAAGCCTCATTCCTTAATTGTTCACATTCATTCCTCAACTGAAAACACTCCTCTTCCAGATTCATTTGTCCCTCAACCTAACTCTTCTCCTAGGCCTATCTAATCTAATCTCTTAACCCTGTGCATTCCAATTAAACCTTGAGGAACATATTCTTCTCTACATTCACAGTTTATTACAACTCAAAAATCTATTTCTTTAATTCTTTTAATTCCTACTTCAAAATCTCATTTTAACTAAATAGCGTTTGAAATTCAGCATCCTAATTTTGATTTTTAAGTTGCAACTTTTCTTTCAAAACAATCTCTCTTTCAAGTTCTTGCCTTATCTCTACTATTTTCTCTTGAAGTCTCTTAACCTGAGTATTCAATTATTTAATTTCACTCTCATTGTCACTTTTAACCTACTTATTACTGTTTCTCGCATCTTTCAACAAATTTTACTACTCAATCAATTTTTACTTCAGATGTTTAAGTTATTAATCTTTTTCCTCCAACTGAGCTTCCTATGCTTTGACTATCACAGTTAACTTATCGTATTTATTTTCTAAGTCTATCAAAACTTAATTCTTATGCTCAATTCTCTTAGTCAATGAATGAAACTATGTGCAAATAATAAAATAGGCATACTTCAGATTGATTGCCTTATTGTTGCAATCTAAAGTTGTTGTACTCCTATTCCAATGATTCATACATTTTTGATACTTTCTTCATCTAAACGGATTACTCATTAAACTTTCTATCTATTTTCTCAATATCATTAATAAGGTCATTATTCTTCTTCATCAATGAATCAATCAGCTTATCCTTCTTAGCATTCTCCAAATTGAAACCTTCACTTTGCTAAGATAAATTCTTGATGACTGTCTCCTGCTTTAATAAAGTGCTCTTAAACATATCTTCACATTCCTTTAGAGTTTACATTACATTATTCAATTCATCATTCGATTCCAATAATTATTTTTATAATTTTGATTTATCTTACTTCAGAATTTGCTCATCTTGTTTTAATTGCTTATTAATGTCCGTCAAGACTTGCATCTTCTGATTTGTTTCGTTCATCAATTACTTAAGCAAAGCATTGTTTTTATTTAATTCCTCTATTCTCTTTTATTATTCAATCATTATTTCATTCAATTCCTCCAATTAATTTATCAACTTCTTCAATTTAGGATCACTATGCACTACATCCTTATTTTATGCATTTAATAAGGTCTGATGCTACTTCTCCAATGCCACATAGGCCAAAGACAGACGTTCCACCTCAGTTGAAACAAGCACGAAATTCTTCATCACTGTCCACTTTTCAATCAATGAATCCTGTCTCACCAATTCTTGTAGATTGGTCTCCAATTCAATGAGATTCTTTCGCAATTTAGCATTTTCTTCTAAGAGATATGCCTCGTTATTATTTTACATTTTTTGAAATATAAATTAATTTTTATGTTTAATCTTCGATAAGGATTATTACATTATTCATATTTAGATCTTCAGAATTATTTTTTACAGTGAAGTTCTAAATTAATAATTTCTTTACCAATTTTATATAATAATAATGCAATTAAAAACAAAGCTATTGTTAACTTAATTGATGTTATAAAATTTAATTACTCTGATTTAGGCAGGGAATTAAGAGCATAAAGATGTAATGGCCATAACTCAAAATTCAATTGGATTGTTATTAAACCTGATTATTTTTTGTTCAGAATATGCAAAACAAAGACAAGACTTCATCAACATTTTGATTCAAATAAACATTATTGTTGAATTAGAGACTGTCTTTTACAACGTGGACAACATCACTAATTACTTCTCTCTCATCTACTTATTGATTGTAGAAGATGTGTTGAAAAAATAGCACAAATGTTATTAATTTTTAACTCACACAATTTGCATCTATGTTTCTATTAGACTTGGAGCTTAATTCTATGAAAAATTTACAACCCAGAACTTTGCTCTATTTGTTCTCTGGCAACCACTCAACCATCTAATATTTTACAAAGACAATCAACCAAATGAAATTAGAAAGCCAAGTCCTACTTCTCTATCACAAAGACAACCCAATCACAATGCTCACTTCAGTTACGCAGAATAAATCTAATAGAACCTTATAGACGAGAAGTCTCCATAAGTAGAAAGAAACATCAATGTGGCTCTCGATGAAGACCTACTCAATTGTCTCCCCTACGGATTGGCTTTGATCGACACTAATTTCCAAGTTATCAAGCACAATGAGAAATTAATGAGTTATCTGATGATAAGTGAATCCGACCAAATCATGAATCACTTAGATCAATTGCTATCCAAGTAACCCTATTTTTATATTATCTCAGCGCTGAAATAAACTCCGTAAAAACCAATCCGCATACAAAACATAAACCTCACATAGTTCCTTTGAGAAAACTGAAACAGAACTCAGCCAATCACCATTAGAATAGTACTGGCATCAAATCTAACAAGACTAACTGGTTGTCTGATCGATTGAAAGTTAATATTCAAAATAAGGGCTCATTTTAATCCAGCATTCATGATACCACAACTTACTCTTATGTTCAATTTGTGATGAACGAATTTTAAACTAAAAGTCACAGACAGCTTAATCCTTCTGACAATTAATCGATTGCCTCAGATTAGACTCACATGTTTAAGTTCCATGTAGTCAAAGATTTCATTATGAAGAAGAAACATTTTCAAATAAAAGTGTATGAGGTAAAATTGTAAACGAAAACCAAAGATCCAGTGTTCTTATTCATAATTGAAAACATCACTGATAAGGAAGAATTGAAGGAGTTGACTCATAGATTTAAATTTCAATAGGCTTTATTAAATTCTTTCAGTCATGAATTGCGAACGCCCTTAAATAGCTCATTACCTCTATTACAAATTTTAAGTTAAAAAATTGATGAAACTCTTAATGACAACTATTTATAACTTGCAATAATCTCTTGTCGTAGATTACTTTTTTAAATAAATGACATTTTAGATTATGCTTAAATAGAATGTGAGGATTTTAAACTAAATTAAAACAATTTTTATGCAAGCGAGATTTTTGAAGATCTGAAAGGATTATTTTAATAAGAATGCACTTAAAAATAAATTGAATTAATCTTAAATTTTAATGATCAAATAGTTATACATAGTGACAAATTAAGAATAACTTAGATATTGGTGAATCTGATGAACAACTCAATCAAATTTACAAAATAAGGAGGCAGGATTATTTTGTCTTTGAAAAAGAGAGAAACTTAATGCATCTTCTCTGTTTGGGATAATGGCGAAGGGATCTCTAGCGAATAGATGTTGGCCCTATAAAATCAATTTGTCCAATAATCCAAAGGATCAATTAAAATGGGATTGGGCTTGAGAGTTTCGAAGGGAATAGTAAAATTCTTGAGTGGTGATGGGGAATTGCAGATTAAAAGCGAAAAGGGATTCTACACAGTTGTGAGCTTCTCAATTGAGGAGTCGGCCAGTACAATAGTGAAAGAGGAGGAATCCTCAATACGGGATGTTGAGGATTTAGGATCAGATTCTAAGAATTCAGCATAAAGAGTGTACATTTCATCAAGGAAGTTTCTGAATCATTGCGAATGCATTTAAATATTGATAGTCGATGATGTACCTTTCAATCACATCACTTTAATGGCATTACTGTAAACTTATGGGTATAAGGCAGATAGTGCTTATGATGGGGATTCTGCAATCAAGAAAGTGAAGTAGAGATAGTAAAATGGGTGTTGTAAGGTGTACAAAATCATTTTTATGGATATAGAAATGCCAGGGAAGAATGGATTCATTGCTAGTAGTGAAGTATTAAATCATAAATTAATTAGAGATCTCTAAGCTATTGAAAAATGAAAGATAAAAGTCGGTTATTGTTATGTGTTCAGCTTATAATGGTTAAGAAAATGCAGAGTTAGCTCAGCAGAGTGGAATGAATGAAATTATTTCGAAACCTATTTCTTTGGATTCTTTATAAACACTTTTAGTGAAATACTTTTGTTGAATTTTTTGAACTTTTTTAATTTATTATGTAATCATATTCCATTGAATTCTACAACCATTGGTTTTATGAGTTTATTAAGATTCGTCTGATGAAATGGGTTGAAATTAGAAGCTCGATATAATCCATAAATCTTTTCGAAAATAGCCAATAAGTTTAATTTTTCTGTTCCTTGCTTGATAAATATGATCATTTTCAATTGTGTTATCGTTATATATGCATGCACATCATAATCATTATTTGGTAAATAGATTGTATACAATACTCCTAAATATGGTTCCGTTGATGTTCCCCCATTCAATTTCTTTTATAATGCAGGACTGATTAATTGCAGAGCGGTGTAAGTTTGAAATTTGAAATGCACCTGATCCTCATTATTGATGTAATAATCAATGAAGCTGAGTTTGTCCTATGAATCGATTATAGCAATACAAGCAATAGACATTTTAATTTAATTTTATATGTTAATTGAGACATTATACATATGGATAATCTGGTTGATATTAAAATTACCTCAATTGGAAATCAAAGACACCATCGATGTTGAAGTTTAAGATGAATTTATGATAAGGAATGCTAAATCTAAATACTCTCTATTCCATTCCTTTTAGGATATTTAAGAAAACAAATCATAACCACAATTTAAAGTGAGGCTAACACAGAATTATTTGATTGTAGATAATTAAACCATTATTGAATATGATAAAGAATGTATAGATTCATAGAGTATGAGATTTTAGAGTACAATAACTGAACAATGAAGATCAAAGTGTTTGCCAACTGAAGAGGAATCACACATACATGAAAGAATTACTATTGAATTTTTCAGTCATTAATTATTCTAATTGTTCAATCGCATACATGGACGAATAAACAAGAATTACAAATAATGATATAAAATTGTCATTTACTAATTGTAAAGATATTAAGGTGATTGATTAATTCAATTATTTTCAAAAAGGATAACTCGTTATTATTGTATGCAGAGTATTGACAGAAGCAAAAATAAAGATTCTGTTTTACAACAATTATGAAGAAGATTTCTTATAACTTTACTCATATAAAATATCATTCAAAGAATTGCCAAATTTATTTATTAGATATTAAGCCCATGAATCCAAACAATTTATTCTGATTATAAATGCTTATTTGTTACATTTTACACTTGATTAAATTTTTTTTTATAAGATTGATCAAGTTGATGAAATCTAATTTTCAGAGGATGGGACTTAACTTTATGCTGTAAATTAACTCTTATTATAAATAGATGAGAAAAAGTGTTATTTATTAATTATTCTTGTAAAATCCTAAAGTACAATTACTTGAATTGGTTGAATAATAAAGCAAAATCAAAAATAGTAGAATTCTAGCATTTAAGTGCTGGAATCAAGGAATTTTAGTATTAACAGATAAAGGATATTTCAAGTATCTTGAAGTTCAAAATAGTTAATAAATCCATAAAATTACAATATACGATGGAATTGGAGTTATTATGATTATGATAACATTGTTTTCAATAAAAGTAAATTATTTTTGATAAATTGATATGAATTTATGGATTCTTTTATTTATAAAATAATTTTAAGAATAAAGAGTGGTATATTATGAAATAGAAAAATAAGAAACCAATCTCTGAACTTTTGAAGCAAAAAAGAATAGCAGAGCAATAATCTTAACCTGTTTAATAGCCCCCTTCACCTCCATCTCGATCATCTTCATCATGCTCATCTAAAACATCCAATCCATATGAAGATAGTAGTGATGCTGAGGATTATGAGGATTACAAAAAAGATGGTTATCATCCTGTTAGTATTGGTGATAAATTTCATAATGGAAGATTTTAGGTGATTCAAAAATTAGGATGGGGGCATTTTTCAACAGTTTGGTTAGCACACGATAAATAATCTGAAACACATGTTGCATTGAAAATATAAAAAAGCAAATAGAGTTATCAAGAAAGTGCCATTGATGAATTAGAACTTTTGAAGTATTTCGTTTAAATTTATATAGGGATTTGTAGAAGCATTTGAAAGATGAAAAATGGATTTAGTATTAAGAGCAATTATCACAGATTCCAAAGTTGGATTACACGACTTTAAAGTGGTATGATCCAAATATCAAAAACACAGAGCAAGATATGGAGATTAAAGTGAAATTGAATGAAACATATTGTGTGGAAATGGTTGATAATTTTATTCATTATGGGATGCATGGAAAACATTACTGTACAGTTTTTGAAGTCTTAGGACCATCCTTATTAGATTTAATTATACACTTTGATGATTATGATAAAAGAATGGGTATGTGGTTAGTAAAATAAATTACAAGAGAACTCTTAATTGGATTAGTGTATATGCATGAAGTATGTAACATCATCCACACAGATTTGAAACCAGAAAATATTATGCTTTAGTTGAAATCATAAAATTTTGGAGAATTTGTAGAATAAATGAAAATGGTTAAAAAGAAACCAATAAGTATGAAATTCTTGGATACATTAAAAAAATCAATGAAGTCAACTAATAAAAAGTAGGAAAAAAGAAAAAAGTAGAAATAAAAGAAACTGTAATAGTAATAAGAAAAAGATTAGTAAGTTTAGAATGAATAATAATAAAGTGAATAACTTTAAGAATAAAAATTAAAGGATACATAAGTACCAAATTAAGAAACAAATAATATTACAATATAGCAATCTGTTTAAGAAGATTAATAATAATAATAATAATAATAATAATAATAATAATAATAATAATAATAATAATAATAATAATAATAATAATAATAATAATAATAATAATAATAATAATAATAATAATAATAATAATAATAATAATAATAATAATAATAATAATAATTAATAGTGTAAGAATGTGTAGATTAAAATTCAACAAATGTATAATCAACTTTAACTGATACAATTACAGAGGAAGATACTTAATAAATATAAATTATTGATAATAGTTAAAGCTAAGTCGAAAAATAGGATAAAAGTGATAAAAATAATTTGGAATAAGAATAAAAAGAAGAAACTCATCATATACATAAACATAGAAATTTACAAAAAGAGAAAGAAAAAGCATTGAAGGATAAAAAGAAAAGTCATAGTAAAGAAGAAGAAGTTTCTTCAGATGAAGAGGATGATTAAGATTGGAAATCGGATGAGGAAAGTGAAGAATCAGAATCAAAGGAAGTAGATGAAGAGACCTTGTATACTTTGAAGTATTATACTATATTTATAATTAGATGGAAAGAGCATATTAAGATAAAGTTAGATCGAGATCTATCAATTAAAATTGTTGATTTTGGAAATGCTTGTTGGACTCATAAACATTTTACAGATAATATTCAAACGAGAGAATATAGAGCACCTGAAGCTATATTGGGGATCGAATATGATACAAGCACAGACATTTGGAGTACTGCTTGTATTGTTTTTGAATTACTTACAAATGACTATCTATTCAGACCTAAAAAGGGTAAAGGATTTAAGAAATCAGATGATCATTTAGCTTAAATGCAGGAGGTTTTAGGGAAAATGAATAAGAAATGGGCATTGAGTGGTTCTAACAGTAGAGAATTCTTCAACAAGACTGGATAATTAATTAATATCAAAGTATATATAATTGAAATATATTTAGGAACTGCATCCTACATCTATTAGTAAACTATTAATGAGTGATTATGGTTTTTCATATTATGAAGCAAATCAAATAGAAGATTTTCTTGTGCCGATGTTAGCATTTGAGCCAAAGAAAAGAGTGACAGCCAGATAGGCGTTGTAGCATCCTTGGCTCTGGTCTAAATGATCTATTATATGTGATATATTCTAAAAAAGTTGCACTAAATAATAACTGAACCATTATTCGTTCTTTTTTGTGAAAGAGAAATTAATAAACATTTAAATCTTTTTACGTCATATAATTTTTAATTATTAATTCGACAAATGCTAACAAGTTTTATCCTTCACTTTCAAATAAATATTTAGCCCATTATTTTTGGTATATTTTCCTGAAGACGTCAAAAATGTGTTTTAATATTTCTATTAACACTAAAAGTATGTAATTGAAAATATATATGAATAATATGAAAAATAAAATTGTAGAAATTTAAAATGAAAAAAGAATAAGAAAAGTAATAGACTTAAATAAAAATAACACGATCATTAAATAACTGATTTGTATCTATACTAATCCCATTGGTTAGTTAGATATTCTTAACTCTAAAATTTATTTGTATAGTACAAGCTCTTAATCTTCATGATTGAATGTGGCTTATGAGATAGAATGGACAGTATAGTTATTTATAATCATGCTGTTAGTATATTGTTGACACCTTGAATCACTAAAATAAAAATAAAATCTACTTGAAAATTCGTTTGATTTCAAATTAGAAACCGAATTCTGATTCCTCTGTAATTAGGGGATCTTCATTGTTGATTGGATTTTCATGCGATTTCCAAACTTTATTGTCTAGTGGAAACTGCTTTGATGGTTTATTCTCAAATCTAAATTAAGATTTTTACATTAATTAAAAATAATATATATATATAAATTATATATAATAAAATCAAGTAGCCAACTCATCTACCAAAGATTTTGAACGTCTCTCATCTTTCTGTTCAGTTTCAGCATCCTCTTCTTGCTTTTTCGTAGGGGCTGTAACAACCAATACACAACCAATAAAACAAGAAATAGATGGTACAAGAACAGTCAACCAACGAACCAAATTTTCATCATCAAGTACACTTCCATATGAACAAAAGAATAAGGCTATTCCAGAAGAAATCTTATCCAGAAAACTATATGCTCCAAAAACAAAGGCACCGCTTGATCCCTTTAATCCAATCACATCACTAATAAGTGTAATTCCTGTATTCAAAGTGATAGCTTGAGCAATTCCAATGAATGGTGATACTACATACATAAAGTAAGAGTTATTTTCATTTAGGAATATCAAAGCAGAGGATGAAAGCAAACATAAAACTGTCCCAATTCTTTAATAAAAATAAATGATTACGTTAATGTGACTTTCTTGCCTAATACTTGATAGAACTTCGATAATGAAGCACTGGTCAAAACACTCATAATATATAGAGAGAGAGGAATCAATGCAACTTAAATAGGGACTTTGACTTCTTCTGAATCTGGATCAGTAAACTTCAAAACACTTGCAATGTAAAAGGAAATCATAGTTGATGAAACATTACAATACATTCTAAAAAACATGTAAACCATTCCGAATCTATAAAATGCCATTTAGCCAAACCATTCTCTGTAAATTTTTAAACAAAAATATTACTTCCAATCATGCACATCCTCAGACATAGAGCCTCGGTTAGCCTTTTATTTATGTAAACTTCCTTCTCCTTCATCATCTGTAAATTCGACATCTGTCAATTTGACATTTCCTTATCCATCTATTTGTGATTCAGAAGTAGATTTCTATAAATCATCGCTAGAAATTGTATTCTTTTATTCATCTTGAACTTATGTTCTTGTAATCTTTTAGTCCTACGCAGCTTTGGCTGGATTGCTAATTCCATTTTATCTCTATTTTAATTAATTATTTTTATACATCTTTAAGAATTCTTAACAAAGTTCTTGCAAATTTTGAACAGTCTGATGTTAGTTTAGGTTCATTTATTTATAATATGAAAAACACTGATGTTGCTGTTCCTATGGCCACACATATCAATGACAGATATTGAAAAGCTTATGCTGAATCAGTGCCATCGGTACTGTTTGCCAATTAAAAAAATATTAACTAAAATTATTGTATTTCTTTACTGCCGTCACATACACTATTAATACGGCTATGAATTAAAATGTATTTCTTATGGAGTTTAATTTGTCTCTTCTTGATCTACTGCATGTTAAACTTGGAACCAAAGACATATGGCTTATTTGTAATGAGGCCCAACCAAAATTAAAGATTGCTGGAAATACGGTATAATAGATGGCCTTGGTTTAATTTGTATTTGTTACTTATACTACTGTGTTATCCTTCATATTCATCCAATCCAATATTAAATTCCCATTCCAAACAGGCAAAAATGAAAAGATTATCACAAAATATCCCCTTGCGAAATATACATTAAAAATACCCTATGTACCATGGAATTCTCTTTCCAATTGATGTCTTTGTTCTATCACTATAATATCCCACCATTGGTGTTGCTAATGCATCAGCCACTTGTCCTGACAACATTGCATAGGAGCCGAAGTCGACCTGTATTATTCTTTTCAAATAAAATAACAGATAGCTATGATGATTATAAACTCGATACTTGAACCAACACGCAGCTGATAAATCATTAAGCATATGACCCATGCAATATGCCCAAAATTATGATGTAGTCAAGCTGTCAAATTTGTACTTCTTATACCCAATTTCTTTCTCATTGAGTTGACTAGCCTTATTCCAATCCATTAAAGAACTGGTCGAGCTATTATCTGATTAGATAAGTCTATCGGATGACATTTACAAATATTTATTAATATTTCCAATTGTTGTTTTATATAGGATTCTCTCAAATATTACATCATAAAATATGTAACAGTATTCAAAATATTTAATTTATGTGTTAATCTCATACGTAATACTATTTTAATAATATTCAAATTTTTATGGAAAATCTATTTTTACTTTTACATTAATTTAAAATACTTATAGATTGCCAATACTTTGATTCAAATACGCGCATAGATTAAATATTTTGAAAAGTCAATACCATCACAAATCAATAGAACTTTGCTTAAGTTTATTAATTAAATTAAGGGAGATGGAATAATCATTATAATAACATAATTCTATATATTCTTATTGTTATTAAATGAACAGTATTAGAATTTTGAACTTTTTTTTATATTTGTATTTGAGATAAAAGTATTTACATGAGAGATTGACATTTATACTTAAAGTACTAATTTTTTAATTTAATATATATTTAACTTAAAACATAATAGATAAATGAAATTTCATGCTCCTTTAAAGAATCTTAGACCATCTCTACCTCCCCACCAGCCTCTTACCATGATCTACCAATAAGCAAATGGAAAGAAATCCTTTTTTAAGTGGAACATCAATCGACTTTCGTTTGATTAAAATATAGGAAAAGTTTCATCAAGTTCTGAATTATATTTAAACTCTGCCAGTAATAATTTGGATTAACTTGTAAATATGGGACATGAAGTATATCCTAAGATAATCGTTGTAATAATAACCTAAATATCCTGGAAGCGGATCTTGTTTAAGTTTCCAACTTCTTATTAAGTTTTTAACTAAAACAGGTGTTTAGGCCATAACAGCAGCAGCTGTCTTAGAAGTTGGAAGAGAAGAACAATCTCCAAGTGACCATATATTTTTGTAGGTCACATGTTACAAAGTATTAGGATTGACTTGTGTGAATCCAGCTTAATCTCCTAAACCACTTTTTGCTATGAATTAACCAGGGGTCTAATTTATTAACATTGAATACTTAAGGTGGAACTAGATGTAATAAATCAAATGAGACAGATTTCAATTCCTTAGTATCTTAATTTTCAAATATGGCGACATGATCTTAAACTTCTACCAATTTCTATTTAAAATGGCAATTTATTTATTTAGTTTTGCAAAATTCTGTTAGGATTTCAGCATATTTGGGAACTCCAAAAATAACTCCAGCTGTCTTATAAAAATGATGATGTGTTTTTATTCCTCTTTTATTCAATCGATCATGAGATAGATATATAATTTTTTAAGGAGCTCCTGCGCATTTGATTGGCAGAGGAGGTTCAGTATACACTATGTTTCCTCCTTCAAATTCCTGCACAAGTCTATTCATTTTTTCAGCATATTTATAATTATAGATTGAAGCAACAGGAGCATTTGAATCCTCAAGGTATTTTCGTGCGCCTATTAATGATAAGAATGGATTTACCTTTGATGGAATCAAAATCGGTTGAAATTCCAGTTGCAATTACTAATTGATCATAGGTGTATATCCCTCCATCTAATGTTTCTATTTGGTTTTCTTAAGGAATTATTTTAGTAACAGCACTATCAGAAACTGAAATATTCTTAGGAAACACTTAATCCATTGGCTTGAGTGTCTATTTTACATCACACAATCCGCCACCTAAATTTGATAATTAAATTACCAATCATGGTCCATCCTGGTTAATAAGCATGAATCTTAGATGGCTCGAAAATTCTAATTTGCTATGGAATAGCATGACCATCAGCTATCAATTGAGCTGCTACATTTAATCCGGCAGTTCCACCTCCTATTATAGCTATTGGTGAATGGACTTTTATTGCAGAAAATGCACATCCCCTCAAACAATCAATCTTTTTCATCTATAGAATAAATTAATATCTTTATACATTTATATGGATATACACTATTAATTGTATCTTATAATTAAATATGATTTAAATTTTATTTTATGTTAATATTTTTTAATGCATCATCAATTAAAACTAACAATTGGTTTGCTCAATTATATAATTATTTGCAAGTTTGCATTATTAATTATTTCTTATTCAAAATTAAATTATTTATATTGCTCATTCAAACTTTTACAAAATGTTCAATCAATTTCCACTTCTCTAATTCTAGTTAATTTGTTCATTATGAGAATGACTTAGATGATAAAATATGAACAAAAATAAATAATTGCATAAAATTTTTATCTTAAATTTGTATTAACCTCATTTTCCCTAATTTCCAAAAATAATATAAATATTTGATCTACTACTCATATTTACAATATAAATACATCTCATATCCAAAGCTTACTGCTAACACCTTTTTCTCAAAGATGAATCATCTTATTATAAAAACTTATATTTCTATAGTATTAAATAAAAGGTATAATATTTAATATTAAATTAATAGCAAAATCACGAAATGACCTGTATTGATTTAATCTCTTAATTCCTTAAATATGCTATTGCTTTTAATTACACATCTTAATGTCTTCTCTCTATAAATTATTATTAATTATTCAATGAGTTCCCTATATGTGAACTTATCTAATTTTAAATTAATAAGACAATCCTTACTTTATTAAGAAATTTATGTTTTGGAATGCATCTCCAAGGTGTTATTTAACCATAGAAAATATGAAAATAAATGATATTCATTTTTAGACTATAATAAATAGAAACTTAATTTGGAAATTTAAATGTAAGTACCTGCTCAAATATGAAAAATTATACTATCTCATGATATAATTCCAAAAGGAACACATAGTTTAAATAAAAATTAATTAAAAACCTATTTACCACTTTTAGATTACACAACCGTTTTTATAAAATGTAAAAAATTTAGATTAAATGATTATAATAAAAAATATTACTATGAATCTCATACATGTTATAATGTCATAGTTATAAACCTTTAATTTTTCTATAGCAGTTTCTGATAAAAAGAGGGATGAACAAAATTGCATAGAGTATAAAGATTGAACAAATGATGGAAAAGGCTATGATTGGTCCACAACAACAAAAGAAATAAGGGGCTTTACTTTTATCGATTTTATTAATCTTGTTATCAACAAAATCTCCAACTATTTTACTTACTTACATAAATTAATATCCAGGTAACCATATAATAATGAAAAGGAGTTTGCATAATCCTCTTAAAATTTTAGGTATGTAGAAACATTTCCTCACAAATTTCTTAGTAAATTTCTTGCATTTATTCTTTTTAGAATATATCCTTGATGTGCATGCTTAACAATTACTTCGATATTGATATTGTTAATCGTAAAGATATTGATTCATTTATGGAAACAACACAACTTGAGCAGATTTACAAAGAATACAAAATTTAGTATTGCATAGTTGACATTACTAAATATTTATTTCTTGAATTGGATTTGACAAATTTAAACAAGTTCTTGGTTGAGATAATATTCTACATTTTGGGCATTTTTAAACTAGATTATCTTGGCAATATATTTTGAATTAGTTTAGTGCTAACTAATTACAATATTATTGATGTTTTTATTATGATCCATTAATTTAATTGCGACATGTATTACAAATTTTTGTTTTACATTATTAACATTATACCATGTTCTAATTAATTTTCTACAGGCTTGAAGATTCTATCTGTTAATAAGGATGAATTGTAAGTTACGAATAGCAATGTTGTTTTATGCAAAATAAATCCCTTTTTATTATTTTCCATTATTTAACCTATTAAAGTGATATAAATTAGGCTATAAGATAATGATTTAATTCTAAATTACAAAGTTACTCAGGACAAGGAATCCGATATGATTATGAAAACTATTGTTAAACATACGTATCAGTGCAGTCAATACAGAAATAATGATCATTCATGCAAATTTTGCAGCAAATTTTCTAAACGCAACAGATCTGGCATTCTTGAAACTTTAAATTATAAAATTTAGCTTATGAATCTAAATTGATGAGTACTTTGGAACAATAAGGAATATCAGTTATCAACATATGCCAACAGATTCCAAGTAGCTGTTTGTCATTATCATTATTGTTGATAACATTATGACAATTCAAACAAACTTTAATTACTGTTTCTATGCATTTAATTGTGAATAGTTCATCTGTGATTCCATTACATAAATGGCACTAAAATTAATCTTATTTAAATCCTACTTATTTTTAAAGTCTTTGTGTCTCGAATAAAATGAAGTTTTAATCCATGTTAGAATATTAATGAGAAAATGTTGTAATTCTTAATCTATTTTATATAATATAATTTCTTATCATTTTAAAAAATACATAATTTATTCAATTATTTTAATTTTAGATGATGAGTTTTTCAAGTAATAATTTAATCTCTAATAGTTGAGGTCTTTCTTTTGGATTGAAATGGATCATTTTTTTAATTATTTGATGAAGTTCTTCATCAATTTAGACATAAGTTTTTATTTTGAGAGCAGCATCGACAAATTTATCATAATTTTTTCTCCTATCTTCCAAATTGACAGTGTCTTAAAAAATTTTCTTCAACTTAAATATTCTTGCAATATCATCTATTTATTATATTTCTGTTGTTTTGAAAACTTCTTCATGTAATTAAAGTAACCAAATAAATCCCAATTGCCATATATCATAAGAAGAATCGTATTTCATCTGAGTACCTTCAGGAGGGCGATATAATTCATTGCACACATAATTAGTTTAATTACCTTCAGAATCTACCTTCTTTGATCTATCATAATCAATAATAACACAGGTGATATCTTCTTTAAGAAGGTCATCTAGGCTATTCAATTATTTCTAGCAATCAAACATATTGTTTTAAGGCTTTAAATCTCTATGAACAATTCCTTAATTATGCAAGACTTCTAAGGCGACAATCATTGAGTGAAATATCTTGAGATAGCCTTAATATACTTTTTCTTTTGGATAAACAAACTTTTTTCGAGGACCAATGCAATGAGACATTAAATCATAAAAACTGATTTTATGCTACTTTAAAAATAATATCAATAAATTGCTGTATCGAATATAAGAATACAGATAGGGTTAGTGAGAGTTATTAAATTATTCTATTATTTCCACTTCTCTTGATTCATACATATCATGTTGTATGTAGACTTTCATAGCTATTTACTCTTCCATTACATTGTAAATAAAGGGAGGAGTTCTTACAACATCAACTTTACATACATAACCTTAACTATGAACATTCTTTATGACGGTGACTCCCAAATTTTTCTGAAAAGTATCAGCATGTGAACTTCCCTCCGCTTACCTATATCCAAAATCTTATAACAATTAATCTTATATTTTTTGCAAGTCTGTATTTTGTAATTAAGCAATATCACTATAGCAATTTAACTATTTTACTAAAAATATTATTTCAAATACATATTGCTATCATCTATTTAAGAGCATGTTCTTTTCTTTAACCTTATGGTATTTACTCATCCACATAAGATTTTATGAATGGAATACCAATTGTAGCTCTTTCACTTACATAAATTTAATCTAAAGCGATTGGAGGAAACATGACATCCTTTCTTACTACCAATTCAATTAATACTTTATTTATATTAAAAAATACTAGAAGTTAAATTGATCAACAGAAATTTTAGCTGAGTTATATCTATTGGTAATTTTTCTTTTAATTGAACTAGCTTTAAATGTTCTTCCTATTCTTTACTATATATTAGCCCTTAAATTTTAGAACGCCTTTGCTCCATACTTATAATTAATAATAGAAATTCATTATATTCAAAAAATATATTTGAATTATAAAATTAAGCAAATTCCTGTTTATATTGGAACTCAAATAAACATTATTATAATTTGAGATACTCATTATTCAACTACAATCAATAAAAAGAGCATAGAATGATATAATATCAATTATTTAAGATATATTTAATTTAGTTGAAAAAAATGCATTACTTATTTTTAAGAAACAAAAAGAAATTAAAATGATTAATTAATAATTTTATTAATTTGTTTTGTTACTTAATAAATGTAATAGAATTATGTCTGTTCTAAAACTCTACAGGCTTATATCCAATATATTTAATTTAAAAATGGGTTAATCTCCTTCTATAAGTAAAGGAATTTTAATAAACGATTAGTAACTTTAATTGTAACCTCAATAAGAATTAGAAAAATGTATAAAACACTGTGGAGTGAGCAAACTTGAAGATTAAACATATAAAATTATTCTTCATCTTGAAAATGAGGAATATTATTAATTTACATAGAGTAGAACTAAAGTATTTTTATTTTTTCACTATTATTTATCAATTAATATAAAAAATATGAGACGAAATTTTAGAATATAATTTAAAATAAATAATCATCATCCTTATTTAGAAAAACAAGGTAGTACGATTGGTTTGGCCAACTTCATTGCTTTTCGCTTGTTCAGATATCTTAATGGTATAAATCCAAGTCTCATGTAAAATCTAAAAAATTAAAATAATGTACCTTGTCACATGAATGCAATCTTTACCACAGCGTTTGTGTAAATTTGAGAATTTGTTTATAAAATTTTAAAATTCAGCATAATCGATGTTTTATTCATCAGATCTTTAATAAAATTTGTTAATAGTTTGTGTTATTTATGTTTATTTTTCCTTGAGGTTTTTATACATATGTTTGATAACATTGTCATTTAGTTCTTCAGTAATTATATTACCTGAGTTATTATTCATGGCATTTCTTATAATAAGTTCTTCTTATTACTCTGGTAAATCGAATAATACTTGGTCAAACATTAGTCTTTCTTCTTTTTACTTTTTTTCATATTGATCCTTTTATTTATTAATATATTCTCTTGTTTATCCTTCTTATTTTTTAATTTCGTCATTATCTATAGTTGTTTATGGTCTAAGGTTAAGAGTTTCAGTTTAAATGTTTGGATCAATGTGAGTTATGAATTTTGCAGATTCAAATCCAGGCCATTTCTATTTATTATCAGTTAGTTTATTACTATTATTTTAAGTGCTTAACTTTCTTGGTGATTTATTATATTTATCTACTGAATCTATCTCTAAATTTGGAAGTCTAGCTCTTTAATTTTATTGTTATACTTACTTCTTAACCTCCGATATAATATTGATTGAAGTAATTTCTTTATCAGGCTTTATTTAATTTTCTTAGACATATTGAAATTATTACTAAATATTTTCTGTTGGACTTGCATGCATTTATTATTATTATTATTATTATTATTATTATTATTATTGCTATTATTATTATTATTATTACTATTTTTTAGCTGTTTTTTCACGATCTTCTGATATTAAAAATTTTTATTAATTTAATTATTATTAGAATTTCGTTTATTGTTAGGGTGAAATAATTATTTATGATTCTTAATGTTTATATTGAGTGGGATTATTATTGATTTCTAAAATTTATTTATGATTACTTATTTATTTAGGTATTGTATTGATATCTAACCTTTCTTAATTTTGATTCTTAACTTTGATTAATCGAGATGAATTATTTGGAGTATGGAATTGAACATTATGATTTGATTATAAGATATTAATAATAGGTTTATCATGTAGACTAGTATTATGAATTGCTATCTTGTTTGAGATCAATTCATTTTCGATAATCCTTTCATATTTATATTATTCTTATTATTATTGGGATATCGATCTGGCAGGCTATCTATCAGTTAAGATACCAGAATTCTATTAGGGATTACTAGTCGTTTAATAAATATTCGAGACAGCCTCATTTGAATTATTTTAGTGTGAAACTTTTCGTTTTGATTTCAACTTGATTGAATTGGTTCTTTTTTATTTATTATTATTTTTGGTTTCCACAATTTATTGGACATTTGAAGAAGTTCTTCTTAATCGTTATTGCTTTGTATTTTCAGGAGAAACCTCCTCCATTCCTTGATTGCTGTCATTAAAACTAGATTAACTTGTATTTTTTTTGGAATATTTTCCTTGGATAGCAGCTTATTCAATAGGAACAAGTAGAATATGCTTATTTTCATCAATCTCTTTAATTTATTCTAAGTATAAGACTTTAGGGGAGTTTAAGTCTTTAGTTGATAAGAACTTTTACTTTTGAACTTGCTCAATTTAGTCTATCATTTATTGAGAGTAGAATGGCTTTGAAGCATTCATTGGTGATCTTAAATCCTCAATATCAGATTGTAAATTTCCGAATGATCTTCGCTCTTTAATCAACAAATCATTCTCTTCGATGTCTTTAATTAAATCAAACATATCTGAAAGTTATCGCTCTCCCTTTTACTCCACTACATATTATAACTGTGATAATCTTCTGTCTTTGTTAGATTTATCTAAAGCATTTGTTAAAACAATTAATCGTTCTAACATTTTGTCCTTTTTGACCAAATCATTCATTTATTCATTATTTAGATTTTCCTATTATCCTTAATTTTATAGGACAAATGGTTATAGCAAAGGAGTTTTCAATATTCTCGAATAAGATTGTCTTTCTTCCTTTTGCACTTTTCCATTGGGACTAGACATCTACATATCTTAAGGTTCATCATTTTATGAAATATTAACCATAAAACTTGATTACCTTTAAAATACAGTACTTCTTCTAGATTAGTTATATTGTTAATCAATTTTCTACTTTAATTCTTATTTATCTTATAAATGCTATTTGATTTAACTTTCAAAAAGTTTTATCTACAATTCGAGACTATGTATGATTCTATCCTTATCCTTTAGATCCGAGGTTTATTTAGTTAGTTATTACACTTATTATTCTGTTTTGTTCTACAGCGATACAATCTCTCCCACGTAAATCTAACAACGACAATCGTCTCTGTTCCCTAGTGTTGTCTATCTATTGAAATGATCTGCTGTCTGAAATTTCCCCTTTTTAAATTTCTCTTTAAATAGTGCTTTACAATACAGGAATACTCTTTCAGCTGTTTACTTCTGAACTTAAAGTATGTGTTACTTTACTTGTTCTTCCACTTAGTCATAATTCTCTATTGTATCTTTCAATAGGCTCAGATCCACACTCCTGAAAATCGAATCAATGTCCTCCTTTTTGAACTTTATGGCATGTAAAAGCTTATTCAATTCCTCTGGCTTCCCTTTTTCCTTGTATTATTGTAACACTCTACTGGAGAGAGCTTCCCCCATCATAGCTATCGATTCATTTGCATATTAAATCATGCTCTCAAATTCAATTTATCGATCATAAGATCCAGATAAGACATTGGTACAATTTTAATAGTAATCTTCAGTAGTGCATGTGGATTTTTCAATAAACCTTTTTTATTATGTCTGGCTCTACTATTAGGCTTCATACCAAGGCACCTGAGTAACATTTTTTATTTTGATATTTGGATTACCTTACTAAGAGATTGACACTCCGCCAAAACAATTCAACTAAGAATTTGCGCATTATATACAATGATCTATTAATTGAATAGTTGAATTCTGATTATTCTTTTTTGGCTAATTTTTTTACTCCCTGCTTTTCAAAGCTTACATTAAAAGGTTGTGGATACAAACAAATGTTTTTTCTATCAATTAACTTACATCGATATTTATGGCTTATTGAATCAGCAATGATGTCTCCGCATTTACTTAATTCAGCTCTAATGATAACTATTAAATTTAAAAATCCTTTCATTACATCTGAAAATAGTTTGTAATCAAAATTTTAGTTACTTTAAAATTACTCCAATTTAGTAGATATCTAATTTACGACAGTAGTTAACTTTTTTATTTAGAAGTCCATTAAATTGAAATATTTTATAATGAATTTCACATCAGTATATTATAAATGGAGTCTAGCATTTTAGATAATCAATTGCTTCTACATCACGCAAATTTGGATTTAACAATGTATATAGACACATGAATTATATTTTTGATATGATATATTAATCAAATAGTACACTTAGGGACTCAATACATCCTAGAAAGCATTGATTTGTTTAGCTATTATAATTTAAATATAGTACACTATCTTTAATATCACGAAGTAATTATTTTTGATTGTTTGTTTGTTATTTCAAATAACTTTAATCAAAACTATCACTCTAATGAAAACTTTGACTCACTTATTTGTATATTGGAAATGAAGTATCTAATTGCATTTGGCTAATGCTCCCAATTAAGGACTTTTATGTTTACAACTCCTCCTATAACTTGTCGTTCTCCTTTAGATATTAAATCAGTTTTGTTTGTTTATATTACTAACAATTAAACTACATTTATCTAAATTATTTAAAAACACAATAATACGTTATGATATATTCGCAATTTTTCAAGATCTACTAATTGTTTCGTACCACATTCACACACTTATTATAAGTTTCGACTTAATCATTAGTAGATGCTAATAAACTCAATTTTTCATAACTCTTTTAGAGTTTCTTTTTATCATATTTCAGCCTTTCCTTTTATAATACCAACCACTAGATTTCTTGTTCAACACTATTAACCAATTGATCTTGCTCTTAGAGTTTAGGTGTTTGCTAACTACCTTTATTAGTCATTACTGGCTAAGACACATATAGTTTTGTTAACTCATTTAAGATATTATCTTACTCTTAGAGAGACTGTTAAAGGAAATTGATTTTATCATTTTAATTTAAGACCCTTATTATTTGCTCAATATTTACTTTATTAGAAATTCTTCATCTCTTTTTGTTTGATCCATGTTTGAGAGTCTAGATTTTAAATTCTCAATTCTCGTCCTGTATTCCTAGATCTGTAGTTCAAGTTCTTTTTTTTAAATCCTATTATCTGGGTTGATTTGAACTTTTAATTGAGAATTGTCCAATTAAGAAAAGCTTTGATTAGCCATAACAATTTAACTTAATTCTAATTTCTAAATTTAAAGTTCTGTACTCTTAAAATTTTCAACTTTAAAGACTTAGAGTTACTCCTTATAATAATTGTTGAGATAAGCTCTTTCATTATCAATTTATTATTGTTTTAATTTAACAAAATTGGTTCTCAACAAATTCTTATAATTGATAATATTTTCTGTCATTTATTCAAATTAAGAAATCTCTTCCTATTTTACATCATTTTCCATATCATGAAGATTAGAAACTTTAGCCAATTCTAATTTTTCTCTATATATTTCTCTCAACCTCTTCTTTATATTAAATTCATTATTTTCCTTATATAAGTTATGTAATTCCTAAGATTTTTAGAGTTTGACTTATTTAAGTTAAATAACTATATCGTTTTTTTTCTATTTTAAAATTTCATCCATATTCAGAAGGATTTGCTAATACTCCTTTTAAATTTACTTTTCATATTGACCTTAAATCTTGAGCCATTTGGCCTATATATTTGATTGCTATTAAGACACCATAGATTGTTATTACAATTTTTTATCATCTAATTCTTTTTAGGTAGATTTAATTTTTTATTTCAAACTCTATAATTTTGACTCCCATTCACTTTGTAGTTGTTGAATTCTTTGTTCATTTTTAATTGATTTTGCTGCTTTATAATCAAGTAATTTAGATGCAGATTATTCTGTTAATTTGGACTATTCAGTTATTAGTTTCTAATCGGTTTCTTCTTGTATTTTGATTTTCAATTCCTCTTTTTAATTTAAAAATTTCTGTCGAATTTACAAGGCTTTTTCTGGAACGTTTAGATTGAAATCTTCAAAGGAGGAATCAGAAATATCTTATTTATCCTGTTCAAATTGTTTGGCTCTATTCATTTTATATAGCATCACAAAGGACTCTTGTTCTTTTTCATATTATGTAAGTTCAAATTTAAATTAATTATCGATTAATTCGAATTGCTCCTGTAATTATACACTCTCATTCAATAAGGGTACATCAGATAAATTATTCTGACTGATATCCGTTGCCTACTATAATTTCTTCTCTGTTTTCTGCGTGGTCTCTTGAGTGGTTGGTTCTCTCAACTATTCGCAGAGTCCTTTCAATTTTTTAGATGTTTTGGAGGGTTGACTATTTTGTACGTCTTTCTTTTTCTCCTCGATATATTTGCGCCTCTAGTTTTGAATAAGTTTTACTTGAAATACTCATCCAAAGGGTGTTCCTATTGGAGAACCTTGGTAACAGGATTGTAATAGACGATGTCTCCATTTCTAAGCTAGGCGGGTCTCCAAGGAGGAGGGAGTGGTGTTTTTAATCCTTCTCTGGCTATATGAAAATACTTGGTGTCACTTCTTGGAGACATGCCTTCATAATAATGATGTTATTAAACCTAAACATTCAGCATATTCAAGAATTTCTAAATAATGGTTGTGTTTATTTACCCTCTCTACTAGGTTCATAGTCCTCGTCTATTTCTTCTTCCAAAATCTGAAATTCTGCTCGCATCATTATAAAATATAAAATAATATATATATAGTCATTTGATCGAGTTAAGATAATTTGCAAAATTCTTGTAGAATCTAAATGAATGATTAGCATAATTGTCATCAGACTACAAATAGAGCTTAATTTTATTTTAGCGATTAGCACATGATTAGAAATTGTAAATTTGCGAGATTTGTGATAGCAGTTTCTACTATCTGGAACTAAATGGACGAATAATAATCTTTTTTTTAGGTTTTTCAAGAGATACATGTTGTATCTAAATATAAACATGCAATTTTTACTGATTATTCCATGTCTAAGATATAAGGTTTAGCTTTTTCTAAGACTGAGGCATTCATTGGTCTTTCAATGATTTGCCATTTCTGTTTTAATTCTCTTACGTCTTTCAAGTGATTACGATATTTAATTATGTGTTCGTCATTCCAATTCTCTTATTCATGAAGGCTTAGTTACTTTTTTGTTTTGATCAATGTGTTCTCGAAGTTGGACTTGTTTTAAGGACTCGTCAAGGGCATGACCTGTATCTTCTATTTAGGCCAAAAGTATTAAGCTTTCATTTTATATAAATTATATTTTCTTAAGCATAAATCATTTTTTATTGACTTTTTAATAGTATCCAGTTGAAGACCTTCCCATCTATTATTGAACCACATTGTTTGCTGATTTATTGATTCCATTATACTTTTAAGTCTGTTAGTTGTTATTCGGTTACTAAAATGGATAATAATAACCTTGTTTGTATTGATTTGAATTCATAACTATCGAGTTGGATTTATGATGAGTTTATTATGTATTTTAGATCTATTAGATTGAATTTTCTTAAGAAATAGTCCTGGCCACATCTTGGCTGTGTTGCCTGATTTGATTCCCAGATTGTGATTGCGGTCTCTGATTCTTCTTTTGCTATTACAACACTTATTGTTGCATTTGTTATTGATAAATCAATTGTGAATCATCCACCTTGTTTAAATCTATTATATCGTCTCGGTATTTTGGACTGGGATCCTTGTTTTTGAGTCTGAAATAGAAGAATTAGAGTACTTTTTATCATTCTCCTCCTCCAAATTGACTCCCAACTGGGCCAAATACTTGAGTTGCCACTTCTTACGTTGATCCTTCTTCCTTTGAGAGATGTCAGCATACAAAGACTCACGATAATCCTTGATGGTGAATTTCTTATTGTCATTCATCGAAATTTTGAATGGCTGCAAACTCACGATCTCTTCATCGGGCTACGAGAATTCTATAACATATCTGTGTTTTAAGGCTTGTTCTGCAGTCAATCTTGTTTTTGGATTATAGCACAGCAATCTTCGAATTAAATCAAGAGCTTCTTCCGTAGCTCCTGTGAAGAATTAAACAAATGATTTTTTTTTCGAGGCGTTGATGGAGTTTAGAATGTTAGCAGCCAATTGACTATCCAATGATTCCAATTCGTCAGCTTTTGGTTTCCCAAGTAACTCTATTATCCGTTCAATTTAATTTAAAGAGGATGTTCCTGGAAAAATGGCTCTTCCGAGTATCAATTCTCCAACAATGCAACCCACAGACCACATGTCTACAGCCTTACTGTACTTAGTAGAACCAAGCAAGATTTCTGGAGCACGATACCAACGAGTAGCCACATATTCAGTGAGGAGAACCATCCCTATAAAAGTATGTGATATTATTGAAACCATCATCTTCATTCTACACTAGACTTCTGGCTAATCCGAAATCTGCAACCTTTACCAAACATTCAGAATTCAGAAGAACATTCGATGGCTTCAGATCTCTGTGGATTAATTCGCCTGAATGGATAAATTTGAGAGCCTTCAAGATTTGATATACTATGTATTTCTTATGTATTTCTTCTAAAATATTGGCACGCTAATCTTCAAGATGGACTTCTTACTATCACTGCATGCAGGTCAGTCTCCATGTAATCGAATACCAAATATAAATCCTTATTGTTCTCAGCCTTCATTATATTGAGCAAACGCACAACATTCTCGTGTCCATTCAATTCCTATAGAAACATCACTTCTCTAAATGTTCTCTAGGCATCAGTGGCATTATGAAAAGCATCAAAAACTTTCTTTAAGGCAACCACCTATTTGAAATTTCTTTTGCGATAATACTTGCTTCAACTTCTTATCGATGGCCTTCCACACAACTCCATAAGCTCCTTTTCCCAATTTCTGAATGATCTCGAATTTCTTGGCTATGTAGGGTTCGATCTCTTCACTCATTTTTAAAATTATAATGAATAAAAATATATATAATGTGATTAAATCCTATATAATATGAAATAACAATTTCACTTTAATTTGATGGCCTCCAACTCTTGTTAGACTTGGTCGAATGCCTTGATGGGCTTGTACTTATCAGGCAATCCCTGCTTAGCAAACTTGTCCAGAGGTTGGAGAGTGACTTCAGAGTTAATGTGAGAGAACAAAGTTGAGGACACTCTCCAAGTACTCTTTCCTGCCTTCTTATTCTCCTCGAATCTCTTTTTAGCATCCTCCGTATAAATGACCTATCACAATGGAAATAGAGAGCGTACTTCATGATAACCACAAGTGACATAGCCTCCAGTCAGTAAATCAAATTGAGCTCCCGCTTATAACAAGAGATGTCCCTCAGGAACAGCAACGGAAATTCTCTCCCCGTTCCTCAACCACACATACAATCCTGGATAACGACTCTTGCCATGAATAGTCAAGAAATTGAGATCATAATGAAAGCCTGCGAAGACAGTCCCCAGTTTGTGTCTCTCCATATCTGATCCAGTCGGAGCCAGAAGATGAGGACCTCCCTGCATCCTGGTGGTAAATGTATCAGCCGGTATACTCATGCCGATGGCAGCCATTTCAGCAACAGTTAAACATCCATTAATCATCATCTTCCCCCACTATTCCATTCTCTCTCCAAACTGAGGAACATCCTTCGGTCTGAATCTTGGAGGTTTAAAACTAATATACTAAGGAGTTATAGTTACTCTTCGTCCTTGGTTCGTTTGCCAGCATCATCAATGGGCCAAAAGAACCTCCATTTGGCATCCTAAAATAAAAATAGTTGTTTCAAATACATAAGGAGCTGGCTGAGGAGTGTATGCTTCATTCTCTTTGGTGTATTGTCTAATCACATTCGAGTGTGTGCGGGCTTTCTCCACAAACTCCGGTGTTGCTCCCACTTGATATGAATAATTTGGAAAGATATCTTCAACCTAGAGTTTAGATTGGGAAAGTACCTTCTCGTCATTATAGAATTTGGCAGCTCTGCTCGCAAAATACTTCTCCATCATGTCTAGGAAGTCAACATTATGGCGATCGTTTACTCTGGGATCCTTGATGCAAACAGCACCGTAGTTGTGCAGAGCCTCAGCTACTTAGGCACACTGAGCCGATGAGTCACCCTTCTTGGCAAGGAATGAAGTAACATCGACGACGGGAACTGATTTGGCAAATCTATAGGCCAATCTTGTTGTAAACATATAAATAAAAATAGTATGTCATTCAATTACGTATGAATCATATATTAATATAGTTTTTTGTTCAGTAAAATCAGGGGGCTTCGTTGTCTCCACTTAAATACTTGTTGTTATCTACATTGACCAGGACGTCATCTTCGCCACAATCCTAAATTTAATAATTTTGGATCTCCTTACTTAAGGCTGTTGTTGTGTTTCCTTTTCGACTACTTTGTAGAAACTAGGCAATTCATAGTGTTTCTGGTTCTTTTTCAAGTAGTCAAAAATAAACACTGAATTTGCAACTTAAATTATTGATTTAGTATCCAATCTCAATTCATCTATTTGTAAGAGAGTACCAAATTTGCTGCCAAGATCTTCTAAAAAGATTGATTCATCGTCTCTATTAAACGTTATCAGTGCATGGTTTCTAGACACACTGATATCCTGCAATTTAATGTCGTTCTCCTGCACTCTCCCAATCTTAATATTGCTTCTCCCATTCAAATTAATCACATATAATCCTTTCTCTTTGTTCTTATCAATGTGACTGATCCAAAATATAAAATATGCCTCCTTCGGTCTCGGAATGTCAATCAAATGATACTTCCTATTCTTAAACTTGTACTCCACTAGTATTTGTATGTGATGTCATATTTACATTTGTATTGCTCCTTGCAAATTTCACAGATTAGATTGGACCAAAAATACAGGACAATATTGTTGAGTTCTCTGATCTTGAATTTGTTGTGGATCCACTATTGGAGACATTTGATGTGTATGTATTTGACAGACCCAGAACCTGCAATATGTTTAGGTGATACTCGTTACATTGACATGGGTTTATCAGTGGGTTTTAAATTGTTCCTACTTTACTCATGCAGATCCTACATGAGTTTTCAGCATTGCAGTTGTCACTGTCATCCAACCCATTGGCATCTTCGTCCTTCTCCTTCTCGCTCTCCTCCGTAGCCATCGCCTAATTGAAGCAGGCTTCCCACAGTATGATCTTCACCCGACCCAGTCGTATGGTTTATCCAGGAAATAGTTAGACTCTCTTTCATATTATGGTAGACGTACATTCGTAACTGGAACTCCATTTACTTGATCATTCCTAATTATTGACCAGATTTCCGTAATGGGTCTCAAAACCTTCTCCTTAATCACAAATAACTCTTAGGCTCCCTCTATTGTTTACTACCAATAAATGAGTGTTACATACATTTGGTTGAACAGCCAGAATGTTTTCTCCATACTTGCACAATTTCGTATCTTAAATCAGCTACAATTACTAATAATGTGAATCATGACTAGAGTAATCATAAAGATGGTATTTCTTTTCCTTTTCCTTCCATATGTATACATCAACATGCAATCTAACTTTCTTTATCATTCTTACAATAACTGTTCATTCCTCTTACTCCCTGAACAAGCAACGCCCATTTATATAATAATTTTAATAATTAAAGAGAAATATCTACATTATCCAAATAGATTTATAACCAACTTAAAGGAGCACAATTTAAGAACTAATTCTAAATTTTATTACATTTTCTTGAATTTCAAATCTATTTTTAGCTTCCCCTCTTATCAAGTGAAAAATAGAATAAACTTTTCATAAGTATAATGTTTAAGATTGGAATTGCATTTAAATAATATATATAAGTTTATTACTCATTATAATGAGGATAATGTAAAAATGTATTTAATTATCCACATTAATTATTTTTATAGTTTGAGCAATTATAATGATGATAAATTATATATTATAGATGGGAATGTTTGGAGAGAAGCATGTTCTCATAATTGATGGTGCTGACTTATTGAGATTTTGTTGTTATTTAATTTAAATAAGATTTAAATTATTTTATTATGGCAGAGGTCGAACAATTATCAGAGGAACTTACCACCTTAAAAAGAGTCGTATAAACATCATTACACAGAGGACAATTGGCTAAGGGAGTCCATGAAGTCTGCAAGGCAATCGAAAGCAAACAAGTATTGATATAGAAAGAGTGTAGGCCAAATTCATAGTGCTAGCTGATGATTGCTCAGAAGACACATACAAGAAATTGGTTATTGCTTTGGCAAAATAATTCCAAATTCCAGTTTGGAAGGTGGACAAAGGTGCTTTACTTGGCGAATGGATTGGCATTTCAAAGTTCCTTACTAAGACAAAGAAGATCAAATCAAGAAAATGTTCGTCTGTAGCAGTAAAGGACTTTGCAATTGAGGTCAGCGAGAATGAAAAATAATTTGTCGAAGACAAAATTAAGGCATTGTGAAGTTATCTAGTACATATATATATACATTAAAATTATTAAATGGATAAATTCAGCATGGATGAGAAAACCCTTGATCTCCATATCTTCACTCCTGAAGAACCTAAATTGGGTCCATACACCTACCTAAATATCAATTACCTTCCTCATCTTGCTTCTCACATCATGCACAAGATATCTCATAAAGAATTTTGCTCACTTATTGAGTTCGAACTGCAAACCTACTTACTAGAGCTAGCAATCTTGCCCCAGAGAAGCAAGACACTAAGGGAATTAACAAGTTTTGTAATCATGGAGATGAGACTCAGTTCTAAGTTTTGGATCCATGGAAGTGAAGCTTGGAATGAAGTGCAACTGCGTTTAAAGTTGCTGCACACTCTGGAACCAAATTGTACTCAGGAATAAGTGAAAAAGAGTGGAGGCAAGAAATCGTTATCAGAAATACTTTAAGATGCTCAAGCCCTCAGAAAATACTTGGCCTCTTTGGACTTTTCCAAGGTGGATTACAAGAGTGAATTCCTGAAGATTCCTGAAGTGATAGCCTTGGTCTCAGAATATGATCAAGCTAAGTATCAAATATCATTTTAAAATTTAGTTCTCAAAACAAACAGTTATAGGCCATAGACTCCTACAATGAAATCATTCAATCCCTTGTGGAGTGCAAACAAAGAAAATATCAATTGAAATTGCAATAACAAATTGATCATGTGAAGAATTAGCCTGTTGATCCAATGAGCAGAGTCACTTATGTTCAAAATAAAGAGACCAGATCTGCTAAGACTGATCAGGTTTCATATAGAGATAAGAGGGCTCTGCTTAAGGAATAGTAAAAGCAGGATGTTGATGAAAGAAGAACTATATTTGTGCCAAATCAGGTGTACTCCTATTCAAAGATTGATTTGGTGATTCTGCCCTACATATACAGGTTCATCTTTGGAGATAGTATTGAATTCACACCATAACATTTGAGAATTCAGAATTTAGTATTGTATTTGTGTTTGAGTGATCAGGAGAATTATAAGTAGAATAAATAGAAAAAGAACATCATCTTAGATGATTCTGCTGAATCCAAGACATCCATTAAGTTGTTTTAGAAATATCTGGATCAATCAAAGGATAAATTGATGACTGATTTTGATTAGTACTGCAAAAATCAGAATATCAGTTTAAAGAATTACTTTTCCAGCACTCCTGCTAGTTATAGGAAGGAATTACTCCTAATCAGAAACATCCTTATCTTGTCACTCAGATTTGCCTAATAAATCTTAGGAATTGATTACAAATTTGAGGATCAGAAAATCGATTAGTTGGAATATGAGGAGGAGGAGAAGAACGATAAATCTAATAGTGCTTATTAAAGATGGAACAAGGCTGATATGTAGAATGAATACTACTATTTTAATGTGCTTGCACAATTAGAATTGTATTATGATATTCCTTTTGATTAATATGACGACATACTCAGAGTCTACAAGAACTACATCGAAATTGTATATACTTCCAAAAAGGAACATTTCAAGGAGTACTTTGGAATCCTCAAAACCAATAAGGATGGCCTCTTAGGATTGAAATCTTCTATGGAGTAAGTCAATTCTGCTATCGATGAGTATGTAAATTATATTAATGCTCCTAAAACTCAGTAGAAGAGGTAAGGCTAATTTTATGATTCTTAGATCCTACATATATCATAGTGATAATAGGGAGGAATGGAAGGAAGAATAATATAAATAGTTCTTGGAGGGACTGCACAAATATTTTGAAATTGTAGTTAATAATAAGAAGATTGCCAAGTTTATGGGTGATGTCAACCCCAATCATGTCAGATTCATTAAAGGATAGTATTTGAGGGGGTTGAAGAAGAGAGCAAAGGAAAAGAATATTAACAGAAAGGAGTTGTTAAAATAGGATATAGAAAACTTTGATATTTCAATTTTTGAGAAGAAATGATTCTTAGAATATGTTTATTTATCAACAAAGTTCCCCATCTGTGTGACCAACTATCTTGTCACAAACAGGACAATAATGCGTTTTCGAAGAACATTTCTACATGCAAAATGGCAATAGACCCAAGATGATTGTGCAAAAGCATAATATACAACACCATATAAATGTTGCTTTGCTATATGTATACTCTATTCTTGATATTCTTGGTTAGTTGCAGGTAAAACAATAGAATTCATATGGTTCTGATCTTATAATACATGTTCATAATTTTATACATTCCATTCAATTTCGTTTTGTATTTGAAATTTATTTATGATTACACTACATTCTCATCCATCAAGTGTGAATGCTCTGACATTTTTGTATGAATAAATGAATTTATAAAATTTATAAAATATTATTTACATATGATCTCAGATGATACACAAAGAGTGAGTGAATGTATTAATCATAAACGATTACTTGAAGCATTCTGTACAGACTGTCACGTGTATCACTATTGAAATATGATAGATTGATCTGTCCAACATGTCTCATGTTTGGAGATCACAAAGGACATTTGGTTGATTAGATGGACAAGGCAACAAAAGACTTAAGAGCATCAATGGATTAATCTGCAAGAAAAGGACTTTTGAAGTTGGAAAAAACAGAAACCGTACTTGTCGACATTAGACATACAAAACTCACATTTGAAGAATCAAAATAGAAAGTACTCAAGGAAATAGATTAAACTTTCAATACAATATTCTAATTAATTAAATAGCGAAAAGATGAAGTAGTTAATTTGATCAATCAGCATTATGAAATACAAGTCAATAATATTGACACCTAAGAAAAAATTTGGATGGATAAACAATCTAGGGCTTATGATATTATTAAACTAGCTAGGTCATCTAATGATTATTAATTATTGGAGAAAGCAACATATATATTGGAAAGTATCTCTTGATTCTATAATAATAAAAGGCTTGGAGATATTGAGATAAACACCCACTTATAAAAATGTATACATTGTTAATTCTATTGACACCACTTTCAATACGAATAATATTTCATTAAATTTGTCATAGTTTTAGAAAGGATTGCAAAACTGGATCAAATTAGGTGAATCTGTCTTAATATAATTTAAATGTTGAAAATTTGAATTATAATTATATTATATAATGTTAAAGAAAAGATTTCTCTTCATTTTTGATTTTGATCACACTATCGTCGAGGATAACACAGATACATACATTTGGAAATTGCTGCCAAATGGTCGCAAAAGTTTGCCTCCTTATTTTGAAAAAGAAAAAAATTGGAATAAATTTATGAGAAAGGTCTTGCAATTTTATTATCACAATGACATAAGTGTTTAATAGGTCTAACATTGTTTGCAAGAAATACAATTAACACAAGGATTTGGAGAGTTGTTTGATTTCATTAGGTACATATCTATTAATACATTTTCATAGAACAAATAAGGACCAAATTGAATGTATAATAGCCAGTGATTCAAATACATTTTTCATTGATTCCATCTTAGAAAAACGAAATCTTAAAGATGTCTTTGATAAAATTTATACTAATCCAGTCTAGATTATTGACGATTTCGAAATATCCATCTTCCCATATCATAAAAATGAGTGCAAATCAACATGTCCTAGAAATATGTGCAAAAGAACCATCATTTCAGATAATTATTAATTAAATAACTATGAAAAAGTGTGTTATTTTGGAGATGGCAAAAATGACTATTGTCCAGGAACAATATTGAGGAAGGAGGACATTATTTTTGTTAGGAAAGGATATGCTTTAGAAAAGTTGATTCGTAAAAACGACTTAGAATGCGAGAAATTCTATTTTGAGTCTGGAATATATTGTATTAATAGATTGAAAAATCTATTTTTTTGAATTTATTAATTATCTATATAACCTGATATACACAATCTTCTTAGAGGGAAATTGCTTTTTTTAAAGAAATTTGATCTGATGATTTATGGGCACTTCCATGATTTATTGATAGGTTAATAACAATATTATTATACATTTTAAATCATGGATTAATAAAAACTTATAGATGAATCAATAACTTTAGATGTCTTATAACCAAAATTAAACAAGCTATATCTGGTGTGTTCAATTAATAGCAGAGAGCCATTTACAGATCCTGAAACTATTTAAACCGATTTCATTAGTAATTATGCTTCTTTTAATAACCTAAAGCACAAAAGAGTGAGACACTAATGGCCTTGAAGATTCCAAAAATGTTTGCATATATAGGTCTAACAGGCACCAAAGCTGTCTAGAATAAATAGCATGAAGAATAACCAAATCAATTATTATGTTGTTTCAGATTGTTGGATGTTGATACAATTATTGCTGGGTATATGGATGGAAGAATAGTTTAAAAACAGATAATGACGCAACGAATAATAAAAGAATTTAATCGTTAGAATTAAGAGGCTATTATCAAGAAAAGACCCATAAAAATCCATATTTTTCAAAAATATTTTGCTACATTATTTTTAGAGGGAGTTGTCTGTATTTATCATTAAGAACATCAAATGTTCAAATTCCAAAATGAATATGAAAAATTCATTCGATTATCATTCTAATATCATAAAAAGCTAGGTAGCATTTTAATATTATATAAGTAAGTTAGAAGACCTTGAAAAATTTCGAAAGTGACCCCTCATTTCATTATCACTATTTAAATTATGGTGAATTTTCTAACTTTTAGTACTGTTAACTTAAGATGAATCCATTATTTATATTTAGGTTTGAATCAATGTCTATAAATGATATTGAGATATTACCCTTTAGTCCTTTAGAACATCTAAACAAGCCAGAACAAAGAATGGAGAAGGGATTGTGTATAGCTTTGAGTGGACTAGATGGATATTTTAGATTATTGGATGTGATGAATAATAAACCATTGTTTTCATTTAAAACCGAGTGTTGTGGGATTTGTTCATTTTCATTTAATCCGAATTTTAGCAGTGTAAGTTGAGCTAGTTAAATAGGTTTGTTTAGGGGCCCAGGATGATTCTGCTTATGTGATAAATTTTAATTCTAAAATTTCCTGGATACGTTTGGTGGGACATAACTCATTTATATCTAGAGGAGTATTCAGTTCGATAAGTGCAACAGAGTTCAGGATAATATGTGGATGTTATGATGGTACGATTTCAATAACAGATGTCGACTTAAATTAATTAAATCCAGAAAATAGTTTATTTGTGAAGGCATAAGAGAAAGAGAAAGCGTTATAAGTTAAGAACATTCAAAGTGTATCATAGGATGGAGTTGCAAACGTAGCAGAGTTTTAGAATTATATTGTTTGCATGAATTTTGATGGAGTAATTAAAATTTTTCTATTGTAATGATATTGGATAAATGGTTATTTCAAAATAAGAACTCCCTTCTCTTGATAGTAGATTGCCTTTACTGAATTTGGGTTGGTGTATCTTCGAATGAAATCCTGTAAGATAAGTTCTGAGTCTTTAATATCTGTGGCTGCATGATCATTTGCTTGTCTGCGAAATTCTGCATAAGGTTTCTTTGTAATCTTCATACCACCATACAAATCTTTTGATGTCTACATTAAATTCTATAGTTTTAACCTTCATGTTCCTATAAAATTTCATTTTCTTTAACCAATTCCTATGCTCTCAATTGAACAAACTTATCAAACAAGTTCACCTCAGTGAGTTCTGATTTGTATTCTAAGTATATTTTGCCAAAGATCACGCACTATACAATTGGGAAGAGGTATCGAAATGTTGTGAATTTAATTGTTTTGAGTTATCACATTGTAATTGTAAGCATAGAGAAACTAATCATCATTCAATTTACATACCAAATTCATTCCAAATGACTCTGCTTAGTATCTAAACTTATTATATTCGATTACAGGATAAGTCATATCATCTTCCCATTCAGCTAATAAATCATATAAAATTGCGTATGGTCTTATGAACTGAGACAGAAGGCATTGAATGGTACCTTTGGTTGAGTTCATCCTGCTGTTTCAATCAATTCCACCTATTCTTTATTAATTTTATAACGTTTCAAAAGAGCTTCTCTAAATGATTATTTATCATCATTTACCTGAATGGTTGTAAATTCTGATTTCTAAAGCTAAGCAAACTGATTATAGTAAAATAAATTATCCATTTATTTTATTTATGAATAAACACCCATAACCAAAAAATCCTATCAATTGGTTAGATGAAATCAAACAAGCTTAAGATCCTGTATCACTTTCTAATCTATACATCAAAAATTTAAAAGAAGGTATTCATCTACATTATTCTTATTGAACTAAGAATACTCGAATCACAAAACAAATCATTAAAAACAACTTTAGGAGTTTACGATTTCGAAGCAGCAAAAAGACCATAATCAGCTATTGAAAAAATGGCTAACTCAAAAACCCACTAAATTGAATTAGGATAAAAACCATCAGATTTTGCAAAATATCCGTAAATGCTGTATTCTCTAACATTCTTAGTACAAACTAAAAACTAAGCAATTTGTTTGTTGATGAGAGTGCCTTTGGTAGTTCGGCTGTTAGAATTGAATATATCAGAGAATTGGAATATTTGGTGGATGCATTAAAAAAATAGAATGCTCAGCTCCAAATTCAAATCTCACTCAAAAAGCCTAATCTATAACGCAGTTTCATTGTTATACCCAAAAAGTATGAAGGTCATGATTGTTTGAATGATAAAACAATTATATCAAAATCAACTCTAGTGAAAGGAAGTAAATTTACAAAATCCAATGAAACGATGACAAAAAGTAAACTTAAACCTGATAATTCTCTTAAGGATAGGTAATCAGCACTTATTACTTTAGATAAATCCAAAATTTAATTGAAGAAAAGAAACTCTTATAAAAAGAGGTGGCTCTGTACAAAGAAACTTTCAAAACCAGATAAAATAAACTAGAGGGATTCGATACTGACAAAATAATCAAGAAGTTCAATTAAAATTCAACTCTATATGGAGACAAATAGAAATAGCTTACACAGAGCAAGCATTCTGAAGAAATAAAGGAGCAGTATTTATAGGGTTTAATGCAAGAGGCATTTTTACTACAATAATAATTATAGAGAATATAGGAGGAAAGTTAATACTTCGATCCCCATAAAAAATCTGAATATTGACAATATCATTTTCAAAAAGTGAATTTTTAATTTAATTCCTCCAATTTTCTTTCTATGCCCTAAGAATACTTCTTGTATAGGATTTCTATTGATTATTACAATTTTTCTGCTCCACTTGAAAACAAGTATATAAAGACTGCGATTCTCAAAATGTAATAGAGAGTGTATGCTTGAATGTAATAAAGAATAATTTTGTGACTCAATACCACTAGCGAGTACATTATCCAATAAGTTATCCATTTCAACTGAGAGTCATCTAAAAATCATTAATAGTATATATTACATATTGAATTCAAGGCTTATAAGGTTTTAAAGGTTGGAAAACAAAATCCAATAAAGTCACTGATAAATTGCGGTTGAATATTTAAATAAATCAGCAACAGGGAAAAGGACAAATATAGCAAAGCTAGATAGCTTGGCCTTCTGAATCCCAGATAATGTGAGATCCCAATCAGGGTTTTTTCGTAATCACACGCCTCTAATCCAACAAAATTTATGAATTAATCAATTTATTACATTACTTTAAATATTAATTATTGTTCAATTGAAATGTATACTATAAACTATAGAGTTTCACCTCCTTATAATTATTGAGAGAGAGGGGAAGAAGTATAGAATTACTTGTTTGAAATGAATAGTATTGAAATTGCAGATTAATTTATGGTATCAAATATTATTAAATGAAAAGTTTATATTGGATATAGGGTGAAAAAGTAATTTATTACAGTAAATGCATTTTAATAAGGGGAAATGCAAATTAAAAAAAATGTCATCTGAACTTCAAAACTGAATTCTTGTTTGGGGTTACAGTTGTTAATATTTTCTAAACATTCTGTAATTTGAATTACCTAATTGGAACTTGATTTTTAGAGCTCTTAAAAGGGACTCCTTCCTGAAGATGATGAATTGCCTCCATTTCGCTTAATGTTCTTCATTGGAGTTGTGTAGGCAGTAAGCATTCCTTAAAATAATATGGGAAATTGCTGTACTTGTTTGGCTTTCCGTTAGATTTTCGCTAAAAATATGTGTTGGTTTCTCATCTTCAGCATCCTCTTCACGCACAACTTCCAAGTACTTGTAACTTTGTACAGGCAATTAAGAACTTTACGGACTCTAGTACTAGTTGTTAGGCATCATTTTAATTAAAATTTGAATTATATTAATGGATTATATGGAACTAAAGGACTTAGATTTTTTGAAGTTTGTAAGAAACTTCTACAGATTACGCATGGCCACCAATGAAGAATACGATCCCCCATTTCATGAAGCCATCAATTATTATGCCAACTATTTGGAGCAGTTGACTTTGGATTATTGGGAAGACCTACTAATCAACTACAACATTTACAATTATCACTTTTAGTAATCATACTAGAAAATAAACAATTCCAAACAAGATATAGAACTAAAGAAGTTCACAAATGTCTAGCTATTCAATCTCTATGATAAATTGATAGAATTTTATAAACTAAATATTAAGTCTGACTTCATAATTGCATTATCTATTTGGTATCCTTCAATTTTTAGCATTTTGTCCTCTCAAGCACGTAAAGATCTTTCAGACAGAAGAGAGAATCTAACCTTAAAATATCTATCAAAAGAATTGACCAATATGCAGCAAAAACTAAAATTTGAGTTCTCCATCCATAAAATAGTTGACATCTCACACATGTTATTTTATGATGTTTTTTTCATTCAAACATTAAAGTAAACCCAACATAGCTAATTAATAGATAACCAATGCAAGCACATCATTAATTGTTGGATGTAATTGATGATGCATTCATTCAATTCTTTTAAGAACAATACAATCTGGCAGAAATACAACAAAACACACAAGCAAAATGCCTATAGATTACAAAAAAGCAATAAGTGGACAAAGAACCACTTAAAAAATTTAAATAAGATTGCCTACTTACAATCATGTAAATGAGAATGAAGAATCATGAACAATACACAAAATTTATTAAACATTATTTAAAACTGTGAATTATACATATCATTCGAATTTTAAATAACATATGTATAAGATTTCATCAAAGATTTACGTTATTCATAAAATTGGTCTATCCCATATTGATATTAAATTTATTTAATCCTTTAAAATTATCTTAAATATTGAAAGTTTTGTATTTTTAAATTATTCTTTTAAGCTGAATCTTACTTTACAATTATTCCATTGACATTTACAAATTTTGACTTATTTTTTATTTTTAATTAAAAATTTTCATAATTTGTTAATATTATAAGCTACTTGCTTTTAAGGAACCATTCTAAATTCTACAATCATTTATGCCTTTATTTAAATTTAATTATTTTTAAATAATTTTTTTATTATGAATTCTTATATCTAGTTTTTCTATTATGTTTCCATCATTAATTCTCCTCAATATTGATGCTTTTCGAAAACTTAAATAATAACGACTTCTATGTATTTTTTCCACAGAAACAAGTTCCTCAAATTGTAATTAAGTTCTTAAATTTGGATAACAAGTAGGCAATTTGAATAATTTTAATTTCTAATTTAATATATTAATTTTAAGTATTAAAATAATTAAGAAGATTATAGTTATAATTAAGTAAGTTTTAATTTTGATAATTTTTATATTGCTCAATTTTCATTAAAACATTAAGGAATTCATGGAAAATTAGCAATATCATAGTTATACACGATTGTATAATCTCTTAAAATAACAACATTAATTTGTATATGATTTATATAACTATGCACTATTAACATTACATTAATATATATCAATCTTAAATTATCGGAAATCATAATATGAATTGTAAAAATACATTTGAAGAACAATCGACTAAGATATCCATTTTTGATTGGGATATTTTAGAGACTGACTTAGAAACTAATTGCTCGTCACCTAAATAAGAAGGATTTATCAATTAGATTCAGAAACACAAATTCGTTATTGGAATTTCGAAACCAGAAGAATAAAGAATTGGACTATCTTCAATTAAAAAAAGCAAAATTACAATCAAAGGAATCTTAGGGATCTCTAATCTTTCTATTTGATTGACTACATATTTATTAGTATTTACAACAATTGTATTTTCTATCTTGAGTCAATAATATTGTGTTGATTTCAGCCATTCTACAGAGCAATCTTCTGCATGATAGCAATTCTTATTTAAATCTCATGATTTCCACATTGGTGTGATCCAAAGTTATATACTAATCAAAATCTAAATCGGACTCACTCTTATGTAAACCGAATAAATGAGATTGTTAATTAAATGAGGAATCTCCTAAATATAAGTCCACAAGTATGTTCTTTTATTAATAACTTTGTTCAACTTGAAGAGGAAATATCAATTTATGAAATAAATATAAACTGTGTAATAATAAAGTGATTGTAATGTTTAGGCAAAAGTAAAATATTTTCCTTAAGCAAGTTTATACAATTTCACTGAAAGTAGTTGATATACCATCAAATACTTTTACAGCCTTTCATTATAGTTTTTAATAATCCAGCTAAATTAATTAAATTCGTTTCTTATATTCAGAGCCTCATATAAAACAACCCCAGATTCTTAATCTATAAATGACAATCACTATTCCTCAAATGAACTTAAATCTAAATAGGAATAATAAGTTAAGAACTTTCTGGAATCTCATTAAATCAATTTGGAATTTGAGTTTGATATTAACTCTCTTACTATACATTAAAACAACTATCCATTTCACAATTTTACTCTTTGTTTCAAAGAATAAATGTAATTTAAAGGTTTTTTTCAATAGAAATTAGTTTAACTTTTAATCCTCATGACTCTAAATTGAAATGGATGTCCAAAATGTAGTTTTATTAACAAAAATATAGTTTAATATAAGTTAAAGTGGTGTAACCTGAAATTGACTTAGACTTTATAATTTAATTAATATATTGTGATATTATAAATATAAAATAATAAACATAATTGAGCGAGGATAAATTCAAAGAAATCTAGCCTAATTATTACATATTGTATTAGATGTTCAATAACAGAATTCTAAAGCCAAATAGTGGGTTTTGATTTTTCTAAATTTTAAATCCAAAAACTATTTTTGGTCTATATAAATCCATAAACAAAAGCAGATGGTATTTACTTTAACATCTACGCTATTGTTATATTTCCATAATTAAAATTAGTGTCATATTTTGGCAATTAATTTAAGACAATTTATATATATATAAATAATAATATCATCATTCATAACATATTAAAGTAAATTGAACAGTGTAATTAATTTTTAATGTTTATTTTATAATTTAGCTTGATTTTTATTTCATCAGCAGTAATAAACGTATATTATACAACTAAAGTTCAAATATTCCATAAATATAAATATATTTAGACTAGAATAATACAAGTAACAAATTAATAAATGGTGAATATCCTATCCTGGTGAACGTTATAATATTTATACTGCCTTTATAGATCTTAATTATATGTAAAGTTTACAAATAAATTCAAATTGAATTAAATTAATTAATAAATGGAAAAGATAATCTTAATTTGGAGTGATCCTATTATAATAATAATGATAAAGTGTTAACAAAGAATATATACAAAAGATTGCAGAGATTAAAAAAAAATAAAATCTATTTCATGAAAAATATCAAAGGAAAAAATATAAGGAGGCTAAATCTTATGTATTTTTTAATAACATTCTTTTATTAAAATGAGAAAGTTGAGCAATAGATCTTATTTTATGAATAAAATCAGTGATCACCTTAAAGAAATATCAGAAATCCCTTAGACATGAGATATTTAAATATCTTAATTATTCTATTTTGGTCATTGTGTTTAATGAATTTGAATTTATAAAACCAAGGATACAGATTTTCAAGTAAATTAGTTTAAAATATTCTAAGTTAAAAAGATTTAGATAAAAATAGAATAGTGAATTTGTTCTTAACATTTAAGATCATAAATAAATAATTATTACTAATAAAGGATAGACTACAGACATTATTGTTGCTGAATATATCTCCAATATTGAAATTGATGATTCATACATCAAGGTAAACTCTCTAAATCCCCAAGATTCTAACATATCCAGTATATCTTACCATCATAAGCTTCTTGATTCAGAGTGGAACTAAATTTAATTTAGGCTTCTTTATTAGTATGTTCAAAGATCAAATCGACATAGATTTTGGAATCAGGCCAAGATTAGCCACAATAATTAAAATCAGTTTCTACAAACCAGTTATGAGTCCAAATTTAAGCATCATCTACTTCTATTATAAACTTTTCATTATCCCAAGAATCAACTTTGTAAATAAGAACCTATAATCTTAATCTACTATGAGGTGGGATTTAAAAGGTTCTTGTTATGTATCCACCACTGCCCATCACTCCAAAACCTCCAAGAAGACTTGCCCCCATGCAAGTGGTTATCTAAGTTTGATCTTGCCTGTCATGCAATTCCCAACCCTTTAAATCATCAAATTGAAGTTCAGTAAAGTCTTATTCTAAAATCTCAAAATTTGATATGTTTTGACATTACCCAAAATCATAAAATAAGTTATCAGAGCATTCTATATATGATATCAGTTTTAGTTATTACTTATACAATCTGAAATAGAGGGACCTTGACACTCCTGACATCCATCAGCACAAGGCAGATAAAATATATTTAGGTCCCTGACTCCAAAAGACTCATCATCTGATGCTTAATCAAGTGTCGATGTAAAACTAACAACCATATTATTCCCAGTATGATCAACTATGACATCGATTCTCTGAAAAACAGTTTTATAATTTTCATTTGTATTCCCACAAATTTTACTTTTATATCCATCTGGATTTGTATAATTTTGCTACCATATGACTTTCCCATCGACCATCAACTATCCTTATTCATTATCCCAAGAATCAATCTTAGCCCACAAAGCTTATACTCTTATTCTGTAGTGTGGTTTCATTGTTATAGTTTTATTCAACACTGATTAAGCACCAAAATTATTGTAACCTCCAATTAGAGCAACATCTATAATCATATTGTCTCAATTACTTCCGCAAACTGAGGTTTAATCCTTCCCATTAAATATTGACCAACCTTCCGATGAGATACTTGAAAGTTTATTCCAATTGCTCAACCCAAATTCCCATATTGAACATTATTCAGATATATCTTCAGCTTCACATATTACACAACCATTTGGACATCCCTATACTGATAGTTTGAGATCACTAAATCCCCACTTATATGAATATTCTATAATATTACAATTTCTAGTGTATTTCCTATAAAAATCACTATGCCTGAGCTTCCAGTATGCACAAAATCTACCTTTAACTAAATCATTTTGAAATCACTCAATGTGCATTTAGTCGATATCATAGGGGAGGTTTGTTGAGTCCAGACCAAATTCCAATCTACATATACGCCAATCTGATTATCATCACCCATTCTAATTTCTATTCGTAACTTTATCATACCCATATATAATAGCCTCCAATCTCAACATTGTATGTTAAGGCATTTGAAACTATTGTGTAGCAAAGGAGTGGTTCCCAATGTAGCCATTAATGTTAGTAGCACCATTACACAATAATTCCTTTCTTTGGCCATTATAAAATATATCTTCTCTATTTATGATATTTACCACTTAAGGCATTTGAAATATTTAAGGCCTCGAATGATGGTAGATATTCTGCTGATGCACTAGCCAAAATCTACACAAAAATAAGGATCATATAATTTGATAATAAAATGTATGTTATAATTAATTTATAAATATTTTAAGTCTCATCCTATTGTAATTTAAATTTGTGTTCAATTTAAGAAAATCATTACTATATTTCAATAATCCTTATAAATTTTAAATTATTTAATCCCTTTTTATGCTTTATTTGCAATTATTAAATAAAAACCATTTGAAATTATAAAATTATAAAAGGGTAATATAAACACACACACACACAAACACACAAGCATTTCTATTTTAGGCAATTGAATGAGGGGCAAAAATTCATAGGGAAGGTAAAATCAGTATAAATTCTTAAAAGACTATATGGTAAAATTAGTAACTATAATTAAGAATACATACCAAGTAAATCAACTTTCCATCAATTTTGTAATTGATTTGATGTTAATTTAGATTATAAGATATACAATTATATGGGCAGAAACAAGAAATAAGTTGACATAACAGTTTGAGTTGATTTACAACATGAGAGCTAATTATAACTTCATAAATATTATACTCATTTAAATACCAAGTCGATTTATCGTAAAAAAGCAAAGATACTTTTCTAAACTATTATGAATTAATTGTGAATAACTTTGGATTAATAATTTCTATTTTAGATAATTAGAAAGACTATTATCATAATATATAATTAAACTCTTTTGATTAGAAGGTTACCAAATAACTGCATTTACTGATAAATTTTATTTATTTCATAAATTTATTTCAAAATTATTCAAAACTCTCAATCTAAAATAATAAGTTGTCGCTAGCATCATGAGCAACAGACAACATCCTCAAATAGTTCTCTGCATACATTTTAATTACACTAATCGGATTGAACTATAATAATGTAAAGCATATCTTCGACAACTGAGTCAAGATATTTATTTTTTATCTTGATTAGTATCAAACAATTTACCTTCTGATTCTCTCTTCTAAAGTAGTGACCTCCTTTATTTCTTCAACCAAAGCATCATAAACCGCTTAAACAACAGAGGCTTCCAGAAAGTCTGCACTTTACAAAACTTTGTTCTCCTTGATGTTATACATCAAAAAATGTTTCTTATTCTGAACTGCAACATTGATTATTGAACTGACAGTTATTAACTTTCTCAAAGGCGATGCATCCCAGAATTCTAAGCACTCTAAATAGAAAATTCAAAGTACTAAGCTAATGATCTTTTAACTCCACTTAACGATTTGATCATATGCATCATTAGAGGGAACCTTGTAATTATTTTTATTCGCCTATATTTCTAAGGCCTAACACCAAAGCAATCTATTCAAAGAACTCTATCTGAGCAACCCAACGATAGTCTAATTATTTGGTATTTCATTTGCATTCCAAACACAATTAATATGAATTTACATAATCTTGTAAATGGCCTAAACATTGTTACGACTCATCAAATGAGCTAATTCTTGCTCTTCTATTGTTTATAAGTTCTAACAATTATTGCAAAACTACATACATGCTTCTTAACACAGTCTTCATAGATATTGTAAAATGTATCATTATGAGCCTTGATGATATCCTTGAGTTTTTGATACTCTTGGCTCCTCATGCTCTCTATTGTCTTAGTTAAGAAGGAGGAATATGGTTTGAATTCAAGTTGTCTAGGGGCTTCTTAGGGTTTTTGAAATTTCAGAATAAAATTTTCAATGAAATCTTAAATATTCGATTTTCTGATTTGATCATTCAATTTTTCGGAGTCTTATAAGGATTACTTTGAAATGGAAGACTCAAATAAAAAGAGTTTCATCAGGGTGTCTTTTTGTACAAGTAGCCTTTACTATTCATATTATTCCATCTAAGACAAATAGCTTTCCATTTTGGTTTTATAAACATCGATGAATTCATTATAGGAAAGCACAATAATTTCGAATTCTCTTTCCAATTTGGTGCATTCCTATTCGATTTGCTAAGTTCTGTGGGTAAGTATGTATGTATAATTACTTTTACACTTGCTTCAATGCCTTGTCCTCTGAAATATCATGACTATATTGAAAAATCATATCTGAAATTCCTGATTATTCTAAATCCTTTGCCTGCAATTTATAGTCCAATTTTCCTCCCATTACCTCGTCCTATTTATCTTATAAGTCCCATTCCAGGCCTTTCATTTCGTCAATAATCCTTTTCGAAACTTGATTTTGATTCTACACAATTTCTTTCACTTATTCAATTATTTCCGATCTAATCAAATCTACGAAATTCTCTAATCTTTCTATTTTTTATCTTAATTAATTCACCAACTATTCTCTCAAATAGGTTATGCTAACGAATTCTTAACAAATTTAAATACCTTGACTTCTCAATTTATTAGGAGAGTTTGTATAATGATTTGGCATATTGATCCTCAATGTTTGCTCTTTCTTGTAAAATACCCAAGTACTCCTCCAAACCCCTTTTACTTTCTATGTTTTATTAGATTACCCTCTCCGATTGACCCTATTCATTAAGATAAAATGTATTACAAGTAAATTTGGATAATATGCCAATTTCTATGTTTGATTCATATTTATATAAATGAAGTTTGTAGAGATCAAATATTAATAATTAACAAAAATGTTAGAGAATTCAGGATTCCTTCTTTGGCTCATAATATTCCTTCTACGGTCTTTATTGGTACTTCTTATATCCAGTGAACTCTCTCAAATCATCTTCCAATCTATCTGTAACTATTTAGAATTATAATATTACTGTAATGCTATTGTGTTTTTCTATTATTGGAATTATCATAGTATTTGTTTGAATGGTAATGCGAGTCATTATTCGGTCTTCTCTTTTGCTACGTGTTAATATTATTAATTAATACTTGATATCTATTCTGATAATAAGGTTTTTGATGATACTCAGTTCGTCCTTCATCATATTTCCTAACATGATTTTTCTCAACAGAATTTTCTTTGTTTGATTCTGTCTCTCTCGTTTATTTCTAGTCTGGTTACTGGGCAGACTATTCAACGATTGGTTGTTCTAGAGGGTGTTCAACTTAGATTGGCTCTGCTTGTGTCTCTTTTTTTTAATCCATAGGCAATTCTGGGGGAGGTTGTAGTTCTTGTTGGGGATAAAGAATGGGAACAAATGAAAATTAGAATTGTTGCTCTTACAATGGAGCAAAGTTCAATTCGACTTTATCCTTAGTTCTTATTTAATTTAGTCTTTAACTAACTATATCTGAAGATGATAAATCGTAGAACTATTATTCTTATTACGATTGTTGTGGTTGCTATTACTATTACTATTGCTATTAAATTTATTAAGATTATTATTGAGGTTATTAATACTATTATTATTGTTAATATTATTATTAAGAGTGAATTTAATATTAATTTTGAGTTTCATCATAGTTTCTCATATTATTCATTCTTTGTTCTTAAAATTATTGTTACTTGAATACAACAATGCTCAAAAACTTAGTAAAATAGTCCACTTCTTCCATCTTAGCATTTTGAATGCCATACTATAAAGAGATAATGAGAGAATTCTTACAATGGATTTGGATTGTTAAATTTTACTAAATCCTATTTGCGCATCTTCCTGAGTTTCAAAGACGATAAATAATTTGACCATATCCTTATTTGGGACATATTCAGCCTCTTTTGGATCCCATTCTTGTTTGACTTCTAATTCTTATAAAAATCTGCGAAATTCTTCTACTTTATTTTTCTTGATCAAAATTTAGACTTATTTCCTCTCCTTTGAAAAGATTGGCATCACTGCACCGAAGGTTTGATCGTATACCCAATTGGTGTAGTTGAATTGAATTAATATCTAGATGAATGATGTTTCACTTAAATACATTCACTAAATTCTGCATCCCATTTGGATATTCTAGTAATTGCCGAAAACTATTCTCTTTTGCCAAACAAGACAATCGAATATACCCAGTAGTGGAATCGAATCTTTTCAATAGAAAATGGTTTCTACTTAAGACTGGAAAACTGAAAATGCGTCTCAACTACATTTAAAGCTGCATCCATACCTGTTAAAGAAGACAATCATCAACACTTTGCGGTTACATGCTGCTATATTTTGAATTCAAATAATTAATTTAATGAATGTTTGTAATACTCCAAAGTCCCATCAATAATAATAAATTGACGAAATCAAGTATCTTCACATACATATATATATACATAAAACCTTAATCAAAAAGAACTTTTATATTGATTTGCCTTGTAATCTCCGTCCTTGTACCCATTGCAAAATTTTCGAATATCATCTTTCTTGATACCTATATCATTCTAACTGTCAATTTTGAATTCTTATTAATATATTTACTCTTCCTATTAAAACAGCTTCTCCATTGTGGTTTCCCCCTGATAAGTTAAAATTTAATTCATGTAGGTTTTATAAATTTTGAACGAGGGAGCCTCACAGGATGAAATTCGTATTTCAACCAAACTAGTCTTGCTGCAATATTCTCTCAAGAAACTCTTGATTGCAAACAACATGACCGAAGCCAGTTTACTTCTTGCAATTTGATTGATTTGCTAATCCATCACAGAAAAGGCGATTGATTTCACTCCCAATTCCGTTGCTTTCTCCAAACAATTAACTACTGCCTCATACACAATTTGAATTTCCCTTGACTGCGTAGAATCGAATTTCCACTTGTCAGCATATGCAGTAATAGAATTTACCCTGAAGTTCTCCTCAATTGAATATGCCATCTCCTATTCGTAGGACTCATTCAACACTATTATTGAAGCATCAGTAGCACTAGGCAATACTGCAAAGAACAAGTAATCGTATGGCATCTAAAATCTTTATACAATAAATCACTTCTCCAGCATGAGTATGTACAACAGATCCCAATTATACTTTTCCTCCCTAGCTCAAAAGAGTTTGGTGCAATTCATTCAATATCTAATCGCCTGCAAACTTCCTGTCTAATTAATCACACAAACTACTTAATGTGTTCTGATTGCTAACAGTTCAACTTCAATTTCTGAGTTGTAGTCAACACTATTATGTCTACTTACTCATTAAATAATTTCCCGAGACTTAAAACTACACGACAGCCATTAATGTCTGTTTATTGAATAACTTATGCTTGTGGTCTTCCATCCTGTCTGCAAATCTAAGATTGGAATTCCGCCTAAGTGGAACAACAAATAGACCTATTGCCCATTAATATATATTATATATAATATATTTAATTATGTCTCATATCATTTCAATGCATCCATCAATTTGTTTTTGATTGCCTAAGCCATCTGACTAACATCCTTCACGCCTCCATTATCCTTCAAATCGATATTTTTAACCACCGTCTTCCATCCCTCTTCCTTCTACACCTTTTCTCTTATGATAGCCCTATTCTATGACTTTCTTTAGTTTGCCTATTCTGCAAAATCACTATAATCGCATAAATTTACTTATGTTACCTCATGAACTTCCTTACATACTCTTGGCCTTATTTTCTTCTCTGTTCTTTTAGTTTCCTCTCCGCTTCCTATATTAAATTTACACAATTCTTTTACATCCTTTTCCCTTTGCTGACTTAAGTATACATTTTGTTTATTGGATTGATTATTGGCAACTACATCATCAAATGCACTAAAGGCAGTCTGAGTTTCAATTTTGACCTAAGGCTCTGAACTTTTTACACTTTCTTCATCAAATACGAACTCCTCATAATTCCCTTAAATTAGATTTGGCTATGCTTAGGATTGATTCTAATTAGTAGGTTTGAGTTGTGTCTCCAAATAAACTTGATTTTCATCGGATAATTATTATTGATTCTTAACATTCTCCTTTCCCATCAGAAAATCGAATTCCAACCCATGGGCCCTCTAATCAGCACTCCCCAAGACGATTTTCTTTGTGCTTGTTCCGCCATATGTGGTAGGAATAGGAACAGGACATTATTCAGGTGCTTCAAGGCCTTCAAATGATTTACTTACTAGATGAAATTAGGAAGGATGCAGGAGAGTCCAATTGTTAACTTCAGTATTTGGGGTGAAATCAAATACTTCACTCCATTTGTTATTTTCAGGATCCAACTTGGCTTTACCAAAGTCATCTGTGATACCAGGATAAGCAAAATTGTATGGAGCAAATGTAATGCCTGTTGATTTTTCAAGTGCTGGATCACTTGAAGTGTAGACAAAACATTATATACTAGCGAATAGACATTTGATTAATTACTTATTTGAATTTGAGACCCTAAATTAACTAGATGCTGCACTTATCTCAATATTTTCACATTTTCTAACAAAGATAGAGCCTCCCACTGGGCCAATAAAGATTTTACAATTCTTGCTCAGATCCACGAAAATTTATGCAGCATGATCACAAATGTAAATGGTACACTCCTCACAATTGGAGATTACAAAGTCCAATCCATTTAATTATCCAGGGCTTTTAATCAATTCTTCTCCTGTTTTCTTTCGAAATTAATAATCCTCCCTATTTAATTTAGCTTTCATTTCAACAACAAACTCTTAAAAATATATATAAATTAAATCATATTTTCTTCCAAAGGATTAATCTTCATCGAGTAACACATCATTATCAACTCTAAGTGAATGGAGATTTAAGGATCAAATATTGGGTTTAGACATTTGAAATTGTATCGAGACATTATAATATAACTTGAATCGACTGAATATGTATTGTTTAATCATATTAAGCCCATTCTATTAAGATTATTATAAGATAGTTTTGTATAAATAATGCAAATATTATAATCTATTTATAGCTTTGCCAATATCTTAAAATATTGTAACATTAAATTGCACTAATTCTCAATTCTTTTGTATCTTATAAGTTCAGATTGAAGGATAATCATTTTATATTTTCTATCATGTTTCAAATGCTCTCTATTAATTATATATTTTTTATGCTTTGGGTTCTTCTTGATTTCTATTTTTGATTCTAAAATATAAGTGGTACTATGCATGTGTTATATTATTCATCAACGAATTAATTTAAATAAATTCAAAATGAACGAAAGTTTAATGAACCCAGAGGATTCTTATCGTCTAGAAGGAGTGATTGGTGAAGGATCATATGGTCAAGTGTATAAGGCTACTCAATTAGAGAACGGGAAGGTTGTTGCAATAAAAATAGTTCCAACAACAGGGGAAATAGAATCATTGAAAAGGGAAATTCAAATACTGCGTGATTGTAGAAGTGATAACATAGTTAAATACTTTGGATCGTATCATTCAAATGGACAATTATGGTTAGTGATGGAATATTGTGCAGGAGGAAGTGTCATCGATTTAGTTAAAGCAATGAGTTTTAATGGTTCTTCATTGCCCGAAGAGTTAATAGCCACTATCCTATATCAAACACTTAAAGGTACATTAATGTCTAAGTAAATGTAGGAATTGATTACATGCACAATCATAAGAAGATCCATAGAGATATTAAATGCGGAAACATCCTCATCGATCACATTGGCAACATCAAATTGGCTGATTTCGGAGTCTCAACTTAATTGGTGCACACAATGGCTGACACAGACACAGTTATTGGCAGTCCCTTTTGGATGTCTCCAGAGATCCTCTTAAAGTCTCGTTATAATAAGAAAACTGATATCTGGTCGTTAGGTATCACTGCCATCGAAATGGCCGAAGGAGAACCACCCTATGCTCATATTCATCCAATTAGGGCCATGTTTGCAATTAAGAACAATCCACCAAACTCATTGACTGATCAAACCCGATGGTCGAAAGAATTCAATGCTTTTGTTAAGAAGTGTCTGATCTTGGATCCCAAAGAGAGACCATCCACTAAGGAATTGTTACAGGATCCATTCTTCTAGAGATTCTGCAAGAGTAGAGAGTATGTTCAATAGTTTATGATCAAGAATTCTAAGGTGATCGAAAACTACAAAAGGTAAAAATAGAATAAACAACACGAATAACAATTCGAGTAATCCCAGGAAAAGGGAATAGTCTAATTGGATACTCTGGTTGAATGTGAAGAGGAGGAGGATTTGGGAACTATGATTGTCAATGACATTGATGCTATACCTATGAATGAAACTGGAACTATGTTAGAACATCAATATCAGGATGTTGAAGTTTATGAGAAGGCCATGAATAGAGTGGTATTTCTAATAAGCTATTTTATAGTCTGAATATGGCTTATAGAGTCTTAATCAAATGAGAACACCTGTCACTGAATCTCCTTTTAGAAAATAAAAGTAAATTGAAGACAAAATTCAACAATTGAATGAGGAGATGAACAACGAAATCAAAAAGATTAAACAAAAATATGGAGATCAAATTCAATCCTTATAAAAACTGTTACAGCAAGTTTCTGTGCAAAAACATGAATCCCATAAATCAGTGCATGAATAAAAGTTGATCCCACAATCAACCAATTACTATAGATAACTAGATTTCAAACACAAGACTTCTGCTCCTTCAACTCCTGTTTAAATGCAAACTAAGTAGAAGTCCTAACAAGAAAACATCAATTTGGAAAATCAATTGAAACCAACTAAATTTTAATAAACTAATTTACAGTATAGTTTTCAATATTTATACTAGAAAATTGCAATTATAAATATAGAATAGAATACATGATGCTCCTAAAGTAGATAATAATTCAAAAATACTAAAACAATTAATTAACAGAAAGAATTGAATTCATTAATCAAGCTTTCCTATTTCAAATTGAAATCTCAAAAATTTTCCTCCATCTCCTCCAAAAACTCTTATTCCTCCTCATCTGATTCCGAAGTTATACATTCGAATCCCTCCTGCCCTTTCTCTTCAAAAAAGTTCTCCTTCACCAAATATCTGATTGCCTACAAAATATATTGTCTCTCTCTGTAGATTTCCCCAATCAACATATTTGTATACAGAGTGTTACTCTTGTACCTAAAGTTTGCAGGGTTTACTCTGTAATTCAAAGATTCATCCAATAAATTCTCCCTATTGTTATAATCACAAAAATTACATTTTCTCTTTCTACTCTTCCAAATTGCCGATCATCTCCTTTGTATGATCTTCTAAAGTTTATGTATTTTCTGGTCTTTTGACTTACTACTATTATTACTACTCTTAAACTTGTTCAGCCTCTGGATTTAATTGCTTTAACTACAATTTGAGATCCTTAATTTTCTTTTTGATTATTTACTTTTCCATTTTTGATAGTTATTATTACTCCCCTCCTTCCTTGGCTTTTTTATAGTATTCTTTTGGTCTATTATCACTAAGTTTCTTTTGTAATTTAGTTATTTCTTTTGAGATCGCTTCTTTATCATCTAATTTTTTATCTTCTTCCTATTGATTACTCGCTTCTGATTCAGAACTTTCTTATGGTTCATTGTTGAATTTCTTCTTGATTCTTTTTGATTCAGTGAGCACTTTGCAAAGTTCCTTCATTTACTTGGCTTTAATTTAGGTTCTTCTGCAGCTGCCACTTAAAATAGATATTTTTTTTCTCAATTTTTATTCCAAGATAGAAAGTTCTTATGCGTTTTCATCCAATGCAGGCCTATCTTTATTGGGGTATCTCTTTCTTCTCTATTCTAACCATTTCTTGATTTCATCAGGTGCATCTAAAACAGGATCCTTTTTAATAGGAGGAGGTCTGTGTTTAGGCATTAATTTTTCAGGGGAAGACAAATCGATATGGAGATTAGGGATGAAGTCAGGCAACTTGTAAATAATCTGAGTATTAATAGCAAACATGTTTTTATTTGTTCACAAATTAATTTTAATAACCAATAAAATATTGAATTATAAGAGGTTGATAAAAGTGGAGATAAAATGATGAGAAATATTAATTTATTTCTGCCTTCATAGTATAATCAATCAAACAAAGAATCTTGTATTGTAGTTGAACCCGCCTTCATTATAATCGTAGTAGAGTACTTCCCCTGTCCTAATATCTCGACAAGCGTACAAGATCACTCTCGATTCGCCCTCCACATTGAACCTTTAGGATTTCACATTTTATTATTATTTTTTACTATTTTTTTTGGTGTTATTAATTCCTGATAAATATTTAGCAAGATTTCCATATTTTTAGGGTATGATCACCAAAGAAGTGGCAGCAAAATTGGTTTCAAGCAAACTCATCATGGAATCGGATGTACTATACACTTGATCAGCAAATCGAAACACTTCCCCTGCATATTCACATATCAATGTATTATTGGCTATTGGCTGAACTGCCTTCACATAAAATCCCTAATCCATATTGTATTCCACTATCACAGGAGCATAATAGCCGTGTTTGGTCACCTACTTATACCTTTTGAAAGCCTCGAGATCCTTTCCTGTTAATGGTGCCAATTTTTCAAGAGCCACATCATTGTCTTGTTTCGAAACTGATTCGTACACTAGATCATCATTGAAACTAATATTCTGACAATAGAGTGCATATTGGATGGAATTGAAACACTTTTCACGTAGAGTGTCATCGTAAATGCAACAGGGTAAAATGAAAGAGTTCTGGTTTTTCAATGAGATTTTTAGCGGTAGGAATTAAACCAAATTTTTATTTTATTTTATTTTTGGCGGTTTTTATTGCTCACAGAATATACATATAGGCGCTACTTTTTTTGGGCCATAACACTTGCTATGAAACACTTTAGAACATTTAGAACAAAATTCCTCATCATCACACTATACATGCTTTTAACATCGCCCACATAAAGTATCTATTTCCAATTCATTTGTATCTGGAAATGTATTCTTAAGCTCAAGACAACGAGTGCATGTCCATTTTTTTGGTTTGCGTGTCAATTTGGGTCTCTGAAGTATAACTTGAAATATTACCATGCAAGACAGATGATATACATCTTCGCATATTCCACATCCAACTGATTTCTGTCTTATTATCCAAGATTTGCATTCATGCACATACTTTATTTTTTTTTGAACTTTTACAGTTCTAACCTCTTTTCTTCTTATGGATCAAAAATTGAAATTGGTTGCGTGTTGCTTTACTCCTTGATGCTCTGAGTACTCATTATAAATATTATTAATTATTATGCACATAAATTTTGCGCTATTTAATGATACAACTATAATGGACGCAAAGAGAAAACCATTAAGTTTATAAAATTTATTATTTTGCCTACAATTATTTGGCAATCATATATAAAATATAATTCATTATTTAATATTAGTTTTTTTTCTAATCAACTCAGTAATTACTAATTCATTCTTAACACTTAACCCAAAATTCAATTACACAAAAATTTCAACCAAATTACGAAATTACATCAACCCACATCCAAATTCCATCACCACCAATATTTAATCAAGTCGTATTACCAAAATAAACATTTCCTATAATTTCTCAAAAATACTAAATTAAACAAAAAACTTTCTTTGATTTTAAAATTAAATATCAAGAATTTTTAACGTTTAAATATAAATATATATTCATTTTTACATAAAACTTACATTAACATATATACACACTTGATCAATTAATTAAAAAAGCCTATGACTATAAAAAATCTTATAATTACTCATTACTATACGACTAAAAATTTATTACGTTTTTGGAATGGTTAAATCCTAAGATTTCCTCAATCACCATTAATCAATTTAGAGTTGTACTTGAAATACTCAAAAATGCCATAAGTATTAACCAAGGCTTTCTAGTATATCGGTAGTATGCATGCTTAGGGTGCATGTGAGCCGGGTTCAATTCCCGGGAGAGCCCTCTTTTTTATATTATTTTTATAATTAATAAAATAATTTTAATTTCAAATTATATTCATCTATTATTATACTTCCTTTCAAAATTGAAAATTATTTGAAACTGAGGCTTACCCTAAAAATACTAAGAATTAACATAACATTAACAATTCACTTGAAGTTCAGCTTGCATATCTAATTCATATATTATAGAATATCCAAATGATAAAAATAACTCATGAATAGAATTATTTATAGATTGAAATGGAAGAGAATAATCTTATAGTTTTTGTTGGATTGATATAAATATTTGATAAATTAAAATCACAACTCCATTTCTTACATTTCTATTTAGTTGATTTTTCTTAAAAAGTCTCCATCTATATCAACTTTACATAATTTATACAGCAAAGGCAATAGTGTGATCAAAAACAAGGAGAAATATAATTCTAAAAATAGTTATCCAATTATTAGATATATAATATTAATGTCCAAATCATTGCTCATTACTACTTATCTAATCAGAATATGAATAGCCAATTGTGATATCAGTAAGCCAATAAGTATCAAAACCCTAACGAAACCTTTTAGTGTAAAAGTTTAGTGATCGTATTATTCTGGTTTATATTAGCCTGGAGTGAAATAGCAGCATAAGTAAAGATAGAAGGGTAAAAAGAGTGCACAAGTCCCAACCATTTCCTGTTTTTCAAAAGACATATTGAAACGATAGAATTGATTTACACATTTAGAGTTGCCCTTAAAGAATTGACCCCATTCTTATTATAACTAAATCAACTCATCATCATTGGTCCTAAGAATATAAAGTAGAAGTGAAATTAATAATGGAAATGTTAAGCAAAGAGCCAATTTTCCTATATGACGAAGTTTGTTATTAAGTTAATCCTATTAATTATAGATTGCTTATTAAAATAATCTCTCTATTTGTTTTTCGAATTCGCAATAATAATAAACATAAAGTATATATCCACCTACAACCCATCCCATTATTACCTAACTCAGATAATTCAAGCCAAAATATGAGTTGGATATACCTGTAATAAATAAAAAGAAAGCCAACATGAATTTGTATTGATTATAACTAAACATTGAATTTGGATAGAGTTATGTGTAAAGATCGCGACTTATTATAATAAGAATACTTATACTTTGACAATTGTTTGTATTGATATTGAAGTTTTCTATCTTAATTAATTGAACTAAGAACACCTAAATCGTTGGCCTAGACTTTATATTTTTTAAATAATAAAGTTTCTGATACAATTACATAAAACACGATAGACCTTAAAGCATTATCGCTAGGGTCTCCATAACCCTTTTAACAGAAATCCAATCGAACATCAGATTCTTCATAAAAGGGTCTAGGTTAAATTAAGATCAGTTTGATGAAATGTCCAAGAAAAGCAGTAATCGAATAAATTGTAATTAATTTTAAAACTTGCTCTTTCAATCCTGATTTCAACCAAAGAATTACAAATAACAACCCCATAAATTATCGACCTCCAAATACATAAAAAATAAGCAGGAAACTCTCTAATTATAATTGATCTATTCTATTTACCTACTAATCCATTTTCATCCCCATAATCAAATTACTATTACATATATTCAGTGATTGAATCACTTAAATCAAAGGTTGCCTTTCCGTATGTGTAATCTAGCAATACTAAAATACACAACAATAAAGTTGAAAGTATTAATTTTTACATTATGTATTTTTATTTATTAATATAAAATATAAAGACAATATCAATCTAATTTGAGTTTTGAGTATGATTTCAAAGCAATAGGAATGTTTACTACTGCCTAAGTAGCAAACACTTTGTTTTACACAACAAATTCCAAAATCAATGAACCAAAAAACCAAAATATTAGGAATATCGACAAATACTGCATCCATGAAAATTTCAAGGCTTCAATAATCTCCGTCTAATACATTACCATCTCCTTATTTGGAATTTGCAAAGTCATATTTATTGTTAATTATGAAGAATGACTCAAATAAACAGGTAAATAAACACCCTTTTGGATGTCCACTGTTTAAGTTGTGTTTGTATTATTTGTTGTGGTGTCATTAGTGGTTGTCTGAAATGCTATTGGAAATTAATCCTTATCAGATTCTGTTTCTCTTGCAGGTGTGTTTGTAACTTCCAAGGCTGTGGTTGGAGGAACTATATATGACACATAATCATAAAAGATTGACTCTAACATTAAAGACCTAATTATACCATTTCGATTGTAGATCGTATTCTCAATTATTTCTATTGGGTCTAAGAGTACTTAGCCTAATCCGTTGTAGTATGATGAATAGTTATATTTCGTTCTTGGTGTTTTCCTAAAATGTCTATTCATTCACAGTACCCTGAAAAAATTGGATGTCTCTAACTCAATCTCAACTGTCCAATCGTAGATGCAGAAGATATCCCATGTGGAGATTTCAAAGATGCAAAGGCATATCCCTGCATATTCATACTGATAGTCTCATCTAAATCGTATTCATAAAATATCAGGATTTGAATTTCCCTTATTGATTTTATCACTTATTCCGTGAGCAAATCAATGAAGAAATTAGAAGTGAAGTTACTAGTTTTGGCTTGAATTTCATCTTGTTCATTCTGACTTAATGATTTTTGCTGCAAATCATTCAAAAACTATTACACTAAAATAAAATGCACCAGGTTAAGTTGCCCCCAATACTAATTATATTTCAGGAATATTCGTATAGGTTTTCTGAGTCCCGTCGCTCAAGAGGATTTTCAAATAATATTCATCAAAACTACTCACTTTCGGAGTTTGAAATGTTGTCCTTTTCAAAATCCAAAAATCTAGTAATAAACACAACTCAAACCTGAAGTTGTAAATCCTATAAAAAAAGGAAGCATAATCATCACCATGTAGAGAAATACACAAAATAAAAAGGCTCCTGAACATTTATTTGCAAAATAAAGCGTAGCATATTATTCTCTAATTAAATTTACCATTTAAAATTTTATAATTTCTATAACTATATCACGCATTCTCAATACACACCTAAATCGTTATTAATTCAATTGAATCTAAGCATTTATCTCTTTGTAATTGGTTATTATGCTATACACTCTTATTGTCTCGAGTATTCTTGAAAACAAAGAAGACAATGCAAAGCAAGTTCTCTTTCCTATTCAAATATTAGGAATATTAAATCAGTTATGGTATTTTGTGTTATGCTAAAGTATTAGTATTTTACACTTAATTAATTATATTATAAAATCCAATGAAACATAAATTTTTTAAATATTTACAATTTTATGGCTTCCTTATGATTCTTCTTTAATGAATTAAAAATTTAGTTATATTAGAGTAAACAAATATATTTTTAGGTAAATCAATAATATTTAAATTCTCGATAAATTTATTGAAACTAAATTAACCGTCAAAATATAAGCTAAAATTTTAAGTTATTATTAATGATTATATCGTATCTTCGATAATCATTTAAATTTGTGTATTATCTAAATTTATATATAAAGTTTTATTATATTTAATTTTTTTGTTGCTATGAAATAATAAGAAATTAAATCAAAGCAAATTTTTAAACGTATTTTTGTTGTAGGTATGGATAATTTATGATGAATAAAATATAAAGCAATTATAATGGAGATATATCTTATATATAAGTAATCTTAATTATCACTTATTTACCTCATAACTGATCTTTAAATTAGGCTGAAAATACTTAAGAATATTAGAAATTTCAAGAAAATCTTTTGTTTATGTGTTAAAAATATAATTATATATTGAATAATAGTTCAAATCCATGCTAATTCTTTATATCCACAAGGGTTCTTGTTTTTATATAAAAGGGTTTGCTTACAATTCATGGATTGTTAGAAAATCTCATACTCTTGTTGAGTATTTTTCTTATTAAAGTAATCAATTTGGTTCTAGTATATCCTTTAAGGATTCATAAGAAAGGATTTAAGGGGTTCATCGACTTTAAAGAGCCAAAATTCTATGAACACGATTTGATTTGGGTTTACTTGTGTTCTTTTAAACATTTGTCTCTATTCTACAGTGCATTTGTATTGAGCACCTTCATATGAGTTAATATAAGTTTCAAATGATCGAAATGATTAGATCGAATTGGCAGAAAGATCACACCATACATTTAGAGAAGGCCCAAGATCGAAAATAGATGGAAGTGTTTTTGTCTCATGCAAGTGGTTTAGCATCATTTCCTTACTCACTCCCATAAGAGTATAGAATTAATCATTAACAATTCTCTAAGACAAAGAACTGGAATCCTTATTAACCTTTTGGATCGTACATTGATAAGGATACTCTTGAGCTATTTTTTCGACATCAAGTAGATCTTCGTTTGAAATATATGGTTATGAAGTATATTCTTGAAGAATCTTGTGTCGTTCCTGGACTAATTAAGCTGCCTTAATAGCATGAGGGTCAGTTTAATGAGAAAGTAGTTAGATGATTTGATCAATGGAGTGGTTGGCTTGGTCTAGTAATTCAAGAGTGTAAAAGTAGACGTCATCAATTTAGTCAGTGCGTGAGACTCTATAATTATAGGTGCAGGGTGTTTCTTTTAAAGCACCTAGACAATGATCTGGTATAAAAGAAAGAGCTAATTTGAGTTCAACGTTCGATTTGATATAGACATGTTCTTTAAATGGTTTTGGCACTGAAACTAAACAGATGAGTTGTTTTTATGAGTGACGTTTTCTTGTTTAGGGTTCTATTTTTATAAAAAACCTTACTTTTTTTTTATATATTCTTAGATTGTAATGATTAAGTAAGGGACTCATCATGCATCCCTACTCTTTGGCGAACTATTAAGCTCATTATTGAATTTTAATTTAATATTATAAGAAATATGCAAATCCTTTTGGATATATTTGAAATTAATGAATAGTATTGCTGAATTGCAATTCGGAATGTAATATCAAATTTATATATTTTTATATTATTACTGCATGATCTCAATAATAATTAAATGAGTATAAATTAATAATTCTGATCCTTTAGCCATTAAGTTATTAGGAAATTGCATTGAGTCGGCGACATTTCTGAGGATGAACATACTTTTAAGATTGACAAAGGGAGAGAGGAAAAATAAAGTATTAAAAAATGTAAGTTATTTTGGAATAAAATAAATATAGGGTTGTATGAAAATCTAATTGACAAGCATAAACTATTGTAAGCTAAGCTGCCACCCGTTTTCTGATTTGGTTTTTGAGTGAACTTGACAAACAGATTTATGAGTCAAAATCTGATGCTTCGAATGTCACTCTGAAATAGGTCTCTTCTTTAATTATCTAAATGAGATTTTATATATGATTTAATATTATGGGAAGTATAAAATAAAGGAAGTAGTCAAATTTTATGAAGGAATTTTGAGGGTTCATATTTGCAAGTGATCGATTAGGTAATAAATTGAATATTATTAATCACATGATCAAAAATGTTCATGTTTTTTATATTGGAATTGAACGTATATATAATTATTTGAAATTTTGAAATATCGATGATAGAAGAAGAGGGACAACAAGTAAAGAGCTAATTGGAACAGCAATTGATAGAAGCAATTCTAGACTCGCTATAGAATCATATGGACCAGAATGCCATCTTTTTGGGTAAGGAGTGTTGAGTTCAAATTTCAATAGCTGAGAGATTGGTGTACGAACGAGACACAGAGGAGCACAGATCAATCCTAGCAGAATGCTATTTACATGAGAATCAGGCTTATAAGGCATGTCATATATTGAAGGAATGCAAGTCAGAGTTTAATCGGTACATCAAAATGTCTAATAGTAACTCAGTTATCAACTGGCTGTTGCATGGTTCAGGAGTAAAAAATACAAGGAAGCTGAGATGGCATTAATAGGACCTTCCTTTAGCAATCAATTCGCGATATAGTCAACAAATGTGCCAAATGGAGGTTTTGGCCACTTCTTATTGGGATAGATTTATGAACAGATGCATAGACTAGAAGATGCCAAAATCTAATATTACAAGGCTTTGGATTAGAATCCAACTCTTTGGATGGCCTTTGAAAGGTTGTCCAAGATTGGAGAACCAGTCGCAATCAATAAAGTGTTTATTGAACAAAAACAAAGACAATATGAGACAAGCAGATAATAGAGTTGTAACATTTACAAAATAATTGCTAACTTACTTAAAAGCAAATCAAATATTGGCAAATCAGGTTCAAAAGAAGTCGAAGATGTTAAAGAAGAATCTCTAATAACTGATAATGTAATTTAAAATTAAATAATAAGCAATTGGCAAATAAGAGATAAACTCAAGGAGTGAAACCATTCTCAACTACTGGAGTGTAGGCTTAAATAATGCATATGGATGACTCATCGAATAGTTAAATGAAGTTTTCCTGTAAGTTTAATATGATAATATTTTAAGAGCCTTAGTAGAAGAAGGTGGGGGCCAAGATGATCCCAACTCCTGGTATTGGACTCCAGAATTATCAGTCTCTACTGAGTCAACCATTCCAGTTATCATAAAATTCAAACAAGAATTACAATGCAAAAAAGAGTGAAATCCAGAAAGTAGCTCTTTCATCATCATCATCTAGTTTAATGAAGTATTGAAATTATTCTAATGGAAGCTTACCTCAACTCTTAAAATTATTTGCTCATCCATATCAATTGTGGACTAACTATTCTGTGGAGGCAATAGCCAATTTTTAGAAACTGCCTCCTCAGCATTACAGATCAGGATGGGTTTTAGAGAAGGTTGCCAGAAGCTTTATGGATTAAGTCAAATATACAGATGCTGAAAGAGTTTGGAAGGAGTTGAGACAAATTGAACCCACTCGATTGGAGGGTATGGATTACTACTCATCTTGTTTATGGCATTTGAAGAAATAATCAGAATTAACATATTTAGCACACTCTTGTTTATAAATCTCTACTCAAGCACCTGAAACATGGATTGCAATTGGAAATTGTTTTAGTTTGACCAAAGAAATAGATAATTCAATCAAATTCTTTGGGAGAGCCATTCAATTGAGGAAAGATTACTCTTATGCTTACACTTTGTCTGGACATGAATTTTCACAAAATGAAAACTTTCAATAAGCCAAAAAATCATATGAGGCTGCCACCTCATTAGATTAGAGACAATACAATGCTTGGTGGGGTTAGGGTAATATGTATTACAAGACGGATAAATATGAGGATGCCATCAAATGCTTCATCTAAGCCATCAGAATAAATCCCAATAATCCTGTTCTACCTACATTTTTAGCTATGAGTTATGCTGCCAAGGGTGAACATAATGATGCTTTGAAGTACTTCGAATAGAGTGAGAGGTTAGATCCCATGAATGGACTTAACAAATACTAGAAAGTACATAATTATTATGATCAAATTAGGCAAATTCATTGATTAAAATGGATAAATACGAATAAGCTTTAAGTGAATTGCAGACTTTGAGTTAATTTATTCCCAAAGAGGCTGCCATCTATATTCTTATGGGTCGTATATTAAAAAAGTTGAATAAGATCCAAGAAGCATAAAAGTAACATTAAATTTTATGTTTTTAGTTGTTTCAATATGGCAATGTCACTTGATATGAAAGATTAGGCTAAGATTAAAGGGCTGATGGAAAGTCTGAGCAATCCCAACAGCGAATTCAACGATGATTTTGATTTATGACATGATAATCAATATATGTGCTCGTCTACGGCTATTTAGACAAATTCCTTCTTGTAATCTCCCACTGATTCAGCTCCAGTTGCTAGCTAGTTGATTCGAGCTGTGCGAACCAAATACTCAGACAATTCCTCTCTCTCACATAATGTTTCCAATGAAAGACGACGAATCCAATCAAATCCAGAGAATGCAATTCCTGTATACAACATGTACTTTGGGTACTAATGGCATTCTATACTAATTAATAGACTCCTTACTATATAAAAAAGGTTGACGTATCACTCTGCTAACTGTCATTCTGATACCCATTCCAAACAGACATCCAAAAATAAAAGCACTTTCCATTATATTAATAATTATTATTTAGACTAGAAAAAGATTATTTTATATATAATTCAATAACTTATTTGAACTGGATATAAACTAACACCTTTACTTTTTAAATGACAATTGCCTTTATCAAAATCTAAAGTGAATTAAAAAAATATACTCAAATAATTTTTGATGAAAATCCAATAAGGAATCTAATGAAGATAAAATACAAAAGTGCATTTAATTTATTTTTAATAGCCATTTACAATCATTAGGTTTTTATTAAACAATAATTAAAAAGGAAAATAAACACAAAATTATCTATTAGAAATAGAATAGTTAAAGCAAAATAAAGAATTAACAATCAGATATGTATTTTCATTCATTAAAATCAAAAAATTGAGTACTTCTTTAATTCAATAAATACTATCATAAAAAATCTATCTCAAAGCCACAATTGATTTTAGAATTCTATCTAATATAGACCTCCAAGATTAGGAGTGTGATAAATTCATACAGAAAATAATAATTAATATGAATTAATTTTGTTGATTTAATTAATTTTTATTTTTATAATGTCTTAACATATTTAAGCATCTGTTTAATTCAGTTTTCCAAAGGCTTCTAGATTTCAAAGAATCCGCACACCTTGTCAAACAGACTATTATGAACCAAATTATTTTCGCAGCACCAGGGCATCAGGATTTGGCTATGGCAAAAAGTTTGATTTCACCAAAATTCATTTCTACACAGAGACCTATTATGATCCTACCAGCTCTTTTACTAATCACAAGGGGACAAGTTTTGGATTAGGACGAGATCTTGTTAAATATCGAACATACTATCAAGGGAATCGCGTACCAGGCCCTGGGGCTTACAATAAAAGTTCTAATAAGACAGTCGGTTTTAAAATTGGTGAAAAGTTAAGCAAAACCTAACATGCATCAGAAATGCCTGGTCCTGGGACTTATGATCCAAATTTATACAAACAGAGAAGTATATCCATCAACAAAAAGCCTGAAAGATTTTCAACTGATTCAACTTTCAACCCTGGCCCAGGAGAATACTTCGCCTAATCAAAATCCTGCTAATCTAAGGGGAAGTTCGGAAATGCTCAAAGAAAATGTTTTATTGATGAAGCAGTTAGAGCTGCAGAGAAAAGTGGAGGTATTAATCAATCACCATTAATTAGTACCAGGCCCAGGGAATTATGACAATTTCACTCAGTTTGTGTAGCTAGAAAAATCACATAAGCGTCCTTCTACTGCCAAAAACTGAATATATAAATCTATTTATAATAACTTTAATCAATAATAAGCTCTAGTTACAATAACTAATTTTGAATCTAAAAATCAAATTACAAGATAAATGATTATGTTCTCAATCTGCTATTAGTTTTAGATTGTTTTTCTTTTCAAGTCACTATTAAATTATTATAATAATTCAGATATGATTTTACAAGTTATTATAATTAATAAATAATAAAGTAGATTAAAAAATGACTTTATTAACTATGAAGTTAGTCTTACAATATCAACAATTTTGATGAACAAATTAATATTTTTAAACAATTCAAGATTAATTGAATTTAAAACTCTAAAATATTTAATGATTGATAGGATATCCGAGAATGAGAATATATTAGTTTGTATATTTAGTAGCATGTCTCTTAAGGCAATTTTATATTATATTTCATTTTCCTTCAAAATAGCATAAGCATATGATTTGCATTTCCATTCAAAAACCTAAAGCTTGATATAATTTATATTTATTCTTAATATTATTTACAAAATTTTCAGCAATATATAGTTTGCTTATTCTTTCATTAGCAAACATTAATCAAATCCTTATTTTGAAACCAAATTTGATCTCCCTTCATATGTGTGCTCTTGTTTTTATAATGTTATCGAAATTGATACTGCTAAAGTTCTTATATATTTTTCTATACTAAAAAATATATTTGTGAATTCTTTATAATCCCAAAAGTTTCTCAGGTTTGAGAAAATCAAGATGTGTATTGATGATAATATTTAAAAGTTAGAAAGAAAGGAAGGATGCTTCAAAAAGAAACGTTTTGAATATTTTATCATCAATTATAAATTTAATATAGATGATTATTATTAATATTAACCAAATACAAAATATTTATAATTAATCAATTTTATTTGAATTTATCAAATAATTATTTTTTAGGCATACAACAATTCTCTGTAATCAGGCCTTCTCATTTCTGAATGCCAATACTTTTTCTGAGACATTCACTGAACCAATTGAGTAAATTAATGTATTGACAAATCCTTACCTTTCAGATTTACAATTTTTATGATCTTTCCAATGATATCTTTTAATACTTATCATCCTCTAACCCGATCACTCATTGGCTTAGAAACCTTCTTGTTCATAGAAACAAAATAATTAATTAAACAGAATATAGATTGTGAGGAATGTTACGGCCTTTAATTTTGAAATAGTTATTTTTAATATAACAATTCTTACTAAATTAATAATAATATTTTGGGAAGTATTTGCTAATTAGATTATTCAATTAATAACTAAGAAATGCAGTATAAATTATCATAAAGTATTTTAAAATTAATGTTATCATAACGAGATTCCTTTTTTAAGATGACTATGACATCATTAACGGGAGAAACAATAAGGAATCCAAAAGAATTTATTTTGAATTGATACAATAAATATCTTTTAAATATAAACATCCTCATCTATCAAATAAAAACTTGATTCGGTGTTTAATATTATATGAGTAGACATAAAAATTTTAAATGAATATAACACTTCTGTCTAGAGTATGACTTTGATAGAATCATAAAATAAAACGATTAAAATTTTTCTCATTAATTAGCAAAAATAATGGGTTAGCAAAGAAATTGAATCCTCAATTATGGATATAAATATGGATTCCATCTTTAAGATGTGTTTTTTTTGCTTATTACAAAATGAGTTTGAGTTTTGGTTAGTTTGGAGATAAAATTTAAAAGACTCAAAATAATCTGATAGAGAATTGGAAAATTTAAAAATGAATTGAAACATTTGTAATGAAAGAATGTCAGATTGTAATGAAATAGGAAATAGTTGTAAAGGATGTATAGAATGAATATTTTTTTGTTTAAAATGAATTGATATCTATTTCACAATTTCACTTAATGAGTCATCAAGTTGCTTTAGAAAATAAGAAGGTAAAACCACTTTTAGTGGATGTCTGCACTAGAAGTTCATGGTTACAACATGAATATGTGCATCATGAAAACACAAGGAAATAAAATTGTTCAAATGCATAATTGAATTATGTTCCAATCTCTTTGTCATTTCCATTATATTAATTATATAATCATAGTTCTGCGTATCTCATCAATTTATCCTTGTAAAAGTAGTATTGTTTTTAACTAACATACAGCTCGTAATCGAGCATTATTAGCAGTTCTTCTTCTAATTTGTTTAACTCGGTGATTGTGATTCCTCCAACTCTGGCATAGTAGTCATTCTTGTAGTAATCGTCATCATTATATTTGATGCTAAGAATGATGCAGGCTAGCATAAATCTAATATATTGATCTGTTATACCTATGAACACAAAAACTATTGATAACTACATCTTGGTTCTTTTCTTGGATCCTGTCTATGTAAATTAATGCCAAGATGAAGCATTCATTGCTGCAATAGGAGTACATTTAAATACGCTCCAAGTACTTAGCCAGACTTATTGAAGGTTTTTTGTTTGTATGAAATACAGTTTGTTAAGGACTCTCAATTATGTCAGTTTCTCTAACGATTTCATCTAAAACTCTGGCAATAGAGTATATGATTCTATCTTCTAGGAATTCCTACATTCCTCCAACAAATTCTACATCCATTTTTCCTAAAAGATATATATGTAATAATTATATATATTATATATAAAATTATGATATGATATTAAAATATAGGTCATTCGAACAACACAAATTTTAGCAATCATTCAAAATATATTAACAATCCAATTTAATGTCTGTTTTGTTTAAGTCAGCCTGAAGTTGCCATAACAGAATCCAAACATTTTCACAAAATTAAATTTTAGAGAAATTGATGAATCCGATCACTTTTTTATGAAGTTCGACAAATGAAATTTAATTTACAGTAAAAATTATCAACCCCAAAATCCGTTGTCTAGAACTCAATCGCAAGACTTCTGTTGGCTCTTTCAATCAAAGTGATTACACCTCTCAAAACTCGATCATATCTTTTTGTTTTAAGATATACGTTTCGATTAGAGAAGAGCCTTATAAAGAAAAGAATTTAAATATTTTAATCATTTATGTTGAAATACATTTAGAATCAAATCAGAACTCATTCTATGTAGAAACATCATATTTTCATTGAATTTCAACATCTATTGAACCAGGATTACAGATTTTGACAATGGGAGCCTCTATCACTCTAAAATTTATATTTGTGAATTAACTTTATGATTTAATTAAATAACGAAAAATCTTTAAAACAATTCCAATTATGTCATCAGAATATGATGCAACATTTTTTGTATAATTCTTCTCTCGAAGACTACTTTTTATTTAAGTTATTGTTAGAAATTAAGGAAAATGAGAAAATATAAAAAATCAAAACTACTCACACTTCTTCTTCGTCAATTTATTCCAAAGGTTGATGATATCTAGCTGATAGAGTTTTGCTTTTTGTTATAATCGCCTTTCCTGAGTGATTCAAATGCTTTCCTTGTTGCTGTTGGATGATTTTCGTCCATTCATCGAGGTCGTCCTATCGTTATTCTTAAATCGGAATTGTAGAAAATTTAAAATCTTTCTTTTGCTTCTGAGTTACACATCCCATCTATTTTTAGTTTGAAAAGTTAATATTTTATATTTTTAAGTGTTGTACTAAATATTTTTAATTAAATATCACGCTTAACAATAACTTAAAACATCTCAGACAATACTCTAATCTATTATACAATTATTTCAATAATCACAATCAAATGTTCATTTTCCTTTATCTTTGCCAACAAACCTTTAAATACCCTGGTCAGAAACCAAATTAAATCATTCCAGTACCAAAAGAGACTTAAATAACTAACAATAAATAATTAGAAAAAAATGTGTTCTAATAAATTTAAAACTATCAAGGAATCTCTAAGAACTTATAAAAACTAATTATGTGCTCAGAAAACAAACACTCTAGCAATGAAATAAGAAATGCTTTAACAAGTCCTCCAATTTTTGAGAGTAAATAATGTTTATCTATTATAATATATATTAGTAATGATTATATTTTCGTAATATTTTATCAATTGATTTAGAACTAAAGATATCTTTATATAGGATTCTTGAAATTGAAGTTTACAGAACGATAATGCAGTAATTTATGCTTCACCTCAAGATCCTAATTTTCTAATTGCATAAGTTAGAGTTGATCCCTGAGTGGCATGAATTCATCAACCTCAGAAAAATGATTAGCAGTTTTATCTTTGCTGTAAGTTTTCTTAGAAAGAAAGTAAGAATCAGAATTCACAAAATCAACATAAATGCTGTCTGTACTCTTGATTGATCGTCTTTTATTATAAGATTCCATACTATTTAATTAAGAAGAGGGATTAGAGTTGCCATTCATTGTAGTTGATCTATTTATTCGAGATGCTTTAGATGGGGTTTTTTCTATTGACCTAAATCATTTAATTTATAAATACGATTAGATTTAGATTTATTAAGCGCTATCATATTTCTTGTTTTGTTACTGATTTACTTTCCATTCTTGTTTGGTTTTATAATTTTTATAATGACCTTTGTACCAATCAAAAATAAACCATTTTATATGCAGAGGATTATTTTCAAACAGCCCTTTTAGCTTTCGATAATTTGGAATTTATTGTGATGTCAAATTCTGGATTTACTTCATGTAACTGCCAATTAAATCAATTAATACTTCAGAATCTGGGAAGGACATCCTTCACAAAGTTTTTCTAAAGGAATGTTTTTCTTCAATTATCCAATTTTCATTAAGCGATTCTCTTATATTTTCTCACATTTCATCCATGGTAACTCTTACTTAATCAAATATATAAGGACATATCCTAAAGCTTCCAAATCATCTTTTCTGCTTTATTCTTCTCCAAAATGAGCTGATATACTTGCATATCTACTCGTTCCGATGAATGGGATTTTTTAATTAGTAAATTTAGACTTTTTTGTTAAATCTTTGGCTATTCCGAAATCAATTAAATGTATTTGATTACTATTAACTCTTCCTAAAATGTTCTCTGGTTTCAAATCTCTATGAATGATATTTCTATAAATATTTAAAACATTTTTTTACAGCTCATGTGATTTTTCTAAAATCTCCAACATTTGATATGCAATATTGTAGACGCAATCCATAGTAAATTTTTTATGTTTTTTCAAAAAGTGCATCAAATCAAATCCCAGCATATTCGTAATCATTATTTATAAACCATTTTGTTCCCCAAACCAAATTAATTCTGGGACTCCTTGGACTCCTTGCAGTTCAATTAAAATGTCTATCTAAAATATTTCTAAAAGATGTACCTCTCTGTTTAAACTGAAAAATCTTTACATTTACTATTTTTCCACTTTTATAGCTACATTCTCTCGAGTTTATAAGTTTCTCCCCAGATATACCTTCCCAAAAGAACCTTAAGAAAGTAGTTTTAGAACTTTGTATAAATTGGCCACTATTTGTCCTTGCTAAATGTCAGACATTATGTAAAATCCAATTGATTCTCAATTTGATTAAAATTTTTATGATAAATTCAAAAATTGTTATTGGATCCTTAAATGTCAGATATTTATTCTATAAATATGCTTAATTAAATCATTAATTAAGCATAAACTTTTCTTACTTTTCATCAAAAAACTAAAATTAATTATTATTAAATGACTATCTATAAATTATTAAATTATATTATTTATCTTGTAATATAAATTACATTTAACAATTTTAATAAAATCTAGTATATGTTCATGCGATTATGAACCTATTTCAGAGAAATATCTTGTTTTTAAAAAGCTTTTAGAATTATAATATGTTTAATAAAACATTTTTCAAATGAAATTTTACCTATTTGATATGGTTTTATTGGATTCAAATACTGAATAAACGATCACATTAGTCTCAATCTACTCTAACCTATATTTTGAATTAGTAGCAGGAGCTTTTTTTTTTATTTTCTAGTATATTTGAATGAAATTATTGTGATTGTTTAGTTACATAATACAGTTCACGTAGAAATCTTCTATAGCTTTTATCAAATTTTCAACAAAAGTCAAGATGAGATATATCTCAATATCGAGATTGGATTCTGCATATAAAAGGTAACCTTTATAATACATATAATGTTGAATCAAACAGAGAAAGGAAATTATAGCTTATAAGGTTTACTTATAATCATTCCATATACAAGAGGAATATGAAAGATTGGCTTTGGCAAGTTTTTTTATAACGGATTTGTTCGATTTGTAAGGATATTAATTTTAACTCTATTACGTTATCTATTTATGAAATTGCATTTCCATTTTACTCATATAACTCAGATACAGATTTTGAAGATTTAGAGACATTATGCATTCTAGAATTTTATTTTGGTGATTTAATTTTTAGAAAGATATCTGATTAATCAATTAATTAAGGGTTAGAATATTGATTTACGACCCATTTAAAGAATGCAATTTATAGTTGAATAGTTCTGCATAATTATTAAATTACATTGAATAAAATATACTATATTGCTCTATAATTGTATGGATCGAATGACAATTTATAATTCTCTTACTTGAGTTTAATATCATAAAATAGACAATTTTATTAATTAAGTATAATGATATACATCATTTCCAAATTAGAGGAATTAGAGAACATAATAATAAAACGTTTCCAATTATCTATTCTGTATTGAACTTTGCAGAAAAAACAAAGAAATCAATCAGATACCCAAAGAATAGTTAGATTTAACTAACATTTGACACAACACTTAATTTGCCCTCTCTCATAGATTGAACCTACAATATTCCTGCCAATAAAGATATAACTGAAGCAATTGCGATCATAGAGGTCCCATTTACTGAAGGAATCTTAAAACTAAAAATGATCGATTATTATACTTAGTCCCGTCAAATAGAGAATTTATTACAGGTAAATTAATCGCAAAAAATGCTTAGTATAAGGTTATTACAATGCTATCAACCTAAATTGGAATATTATATATAAAATACTTGTTTATTAACAGACTTAACTAAAATATTAACTATTGCTTAAGTAATGGATGCTACCAATATCAAAAATATGCCTATCCAATGGTAATAGGAATCCACTGCAAGTTATGTCTAATTATTGTTTTTTGCTATTAAAAATATTCCTAAACAGGACATTGTCATATTTATTATTAATCGAATATTGAATTATTCCTTCTTTAAAACTAATATATATATGATCGATGTCCAAAAAGGAGACATTCTATTCAAAAGAATCGATTCAGATACAAGTACTAAATTTAATCCTTTAAAATAAATGAATGCTCCAAATCCACCAATTAAACCTCTATTAATTAAACTATCCATAGTTGGCTTATCAAAGTTGTAAACTTGAAGTTTATAGTAGATAGTAGCACTTGCAAGCAGTGTTAACCCTATTAATGCTCTTAGATATAAGGTTTAGTTAAAATCTAAGTCTGAAACCATTTTCAACAACATTGAAGCTACAGCTGCAAATAAGGAGGACACTACTTGTTTGACTATTGCAGTAGTTTATATTTGCATTTTATTTAACAGATTATTAATTTTGGAGATATAATAATTCAGTTATTTTTCGCTCAAAATTCATTTATATTATGTTGAAAATGATCTTTAAAACGATATTTATTTTTTATTTTTTATCTATATTCTGTATATTGTGATGATTTTCACATAGTAATTCAACATAAATAAAATACTATTGAGTCTTTAGAATATTGACAGTTATTTATTAATTGTTATATTCATTTATACATATTTATATCTATACTATGAAGAATATGAACAATTAGTTTCAGTTGTGAATTTACCAGAGATGATTGTTATTTTGATTTCACAGATTCATCTAATTACATTACATATACTAATATCTTAATTATATTATTTTAAGATTTAATCAAAATCTTAAACATTCTACAAATTATGACAATACTAGTATTTGCTTAGTTATAAGACAGAATACACATAGCTTATTTTGGACTTTGTTAAACAATATTAATATTGTTTAGAATGTTCCCTGATTATTTAATGATTGTAATTATATTGTATATCTCATTAATTTGAGGAATTAATAAAATTTTATTGAATTATTTCTAAAAAGTATATTTTATGGTTTTATCAGATAATACCATAAATTCTAAAAAACTTATACCAAACTAATTATTAATTTTTTTAATTAGTTAATTTATCATACAATATATATATCTTTTTGAGTTGATTGCAATTAAGAAATTCTTAGATAGGAATAGATGACATATGAATAATGAGAGAATGGCTGGAATTTAGTAATTAAGAGCTATAGTGTCACATCTTAATACATCTCAGCTTATATTACTTAGTCAACTCTTTCTTTGTTTTTATTCAAATTAGTTTTCTATTGCAATCATTTATTCTAATGTTAGCATTCAGATTTAATATTCATGAGTGTTGAATCCTATTGGGATAATGACACTACATTTTATCAATTCAGATTTACAATTACTATGTTAATTTAGATTTGCATTTTATCAGAAAGCATCGAATATATGTGCTCTAAATCTCGCCTCTAACGTTCACTTAGAAGGAAATTTAAGAAGAAGGGTATCTTTTTAAGCTGAACTCTATAAATGCGAGTAGCGTGTATTTTAAATTTATATTATTGAATTGATGTTAATACTGTGAATCATATAATAATATTCATTGCTGGACTTTATTGATAAAATAAATGAATTATTAAAAAATAAATGTTTTATGCAGATTCTATCTAAGATGAGAAAATTAAATCTTACCTTATGTAAGTTGAGCAAGAACAAGAGAAGAAGGATAGAATAAAAAAACTGGCTGAATCATTAATGAATAAGACCAAATTAAAATTGAAGTATTCAATCATAGCGAAATTAGGTTATCAAATAAGGAATCGAAGAGAGAAGAGTAATTTAATAAGAAATTAGAAGAGATGAAAAAAATCAGCACTTTCGTAGATGCAAGACCCTCTATTAATCGATTAAACTTACTTAATGATAGAAACCTAATACTAAAACTCTAAGTGATTTAGAAGACATAAAAATATTAGGATAGCAACAAACATAGCGAAAATAGAACTTAAAATCCAAAACAGGAATTTCAGTCTCTGAATTCCCAGCCCCTTATTTTGGATGAAGAATTCAAATTATAATTTTTGGCTACATAGAATTATGAGCCAATCCAAAGAAAACAGCTTTCAATACCAAAGAGATTCTAACCGGAGTCCCCCAAAGATGTTGAGGCCCCAATAAAAGGAGAAGAATTGCTCAACTTTGATCCTTCTCCTAAAAACGATTCGAATCTCTTCTATCGTTCAGTATTTAGAACTAGTCCTTCTCCTTAAAGAAAGTAGTAAATTTAATAATTTGAGGAGGAAACTCAAAAGGCCAAATAGTTTCTTCAATCATAAGGACTGATGGAGAAACAGGGATCAAAGAATCAAAAGAGAACTCCATTGAGAAAAATACCAATTTAGCAATACTATTAGAACTTTCAGAAGTAATGTTAGTCATTAGTGAAGGATGTGGCTATGGAATCGAGAAGGAGAAGGATTATGAGTCATATGGTTGAGAGTGAAGGATGTTCTTCTAAGAAAGAGATTGTGAAAGAGGCCATCAACCATAAAAGTCAAAATACATTTACAATGAGCACCATGAAGTTAAATAAATCATAGACAAATTCCTTCTCATCTCCAAGATAAAAAATCAATAATTCGAATCAAAAGAATAAGTTGGGATCATAGACCTAAAGAATTTTAAGGAAGTCTAAAAGTATATTTGATTCTGAATAGAACAGTCCTATTAAAACAAGATTGCAAACTTAATTTGAGTCATTTACTTAAGCTGTTAACAAAACTTAGGAGGCATTCAATAAGATAAACAAGGGGAATGAGAAGATTATTCGAAGGATGTCTACTGCAGTTAATAGTATTCATAAAAAGTATAGTAATGGGATTGTTTAAGTTTAATGAATTATTATATTTATAATTTCTCATTTAATAGGATATTAATTTAATCTAAGAAATGGGATGTGGGGTTTCTAGATAACAAAAGGAAAGAATGAAGAGTTATGTAAATTTTATTGGGAATTTTGAAATTAAAGTTGAAAGAATTAGGAGAAATAATGTCTAATTAACAAAGTAGATAGCCGATTTGAGAGATGTCAGAAACAAAAGGAAATTTATTTACGTTATCATAGATTAGAGGTAATATTGATTTTAAGATTTTGAGGGATGGAGGAATTAACAAATTATAAAGAAGAACTAGAAAAGAAGTTTTAATTGATTGAGAAAGATATTTTACGAGTCTTTAAATAATTACAAATATAAGCTGAGACAGAACTGAAGAAAAAAAGAAAACTACTAGACCGATTGATATTTATGATCAAGCTGTTGAAGAAGAATGGAAAAAAGTATTTTATTTCTAAAATAGAATAAGATGAATGGTAATGATAATGATGCTCAACTCGAAATAGAATCAGATAATATAGAAAGAAGGATATCAATAAAAATTCTTAAAGTAATTGATAAATTTAACTAACCAATATTCTGAAAATGGATTTCTATAAAATATTAATAGGCAAATAGCACATGCTAAACAAAAAGATGAATAGAATAATAATTAGGAATAATAATTTCAGTTTGATAGTAAAAATAATAATATAAAATGTTCAATAACATGAATAAATAATTAGGAGGATCAATCAAAGCTTTAATAATAGGATTTGCATAAGATCAAATGAGTATCTAAGAAGCTTTGGGAGATGATCTCTAAGCATATAATAATGAAATTAAAAACAAGTTATTCTCTCAGGATTTGAGAAATCAGCCATAATAAACATTAGAAATAGTGAAATTGAATTATGTTTCAATGAATAATCTTTGGAGTATATGGCTTAAATTTCTGAAAAAAATATTACTACAATCCCAAAAAAAAGTAAATAGAGCTAACCTCAAACTTTCTCTTAAGTGTAAAATTGTTAATTGTAAAAAGCAGAAAAATAATTATTCTTCTCTAAATAAGGTCCTTCTGTTAATAATTAATAAGGAGGGTCTAAGTTTAACTATCAACTATGATTTTAATGTTTTAATATTTATCAAAATTATTATAAAACCAACTCATTAATTAAAGTAATTCTGTAAATGAACTCCTAATGTATAATTTCTTATATACAATTTAAATTCGAATTAAATAACAATCTTACATGTGACATTAATTAAATCATATTTTAATCGAATTATATTTCTTTTATTTTCATTTTTGCATTGAAAATTTTACAACCTTACTCATTCTCTTTATTTGTATTAAAATTCTTTGTCTAAATGGAAGGGCACTGTTTTATCTTTTGAAACTAACTCAACTTAAGACAGGCCTTGTTAACTTTCCAGAATCAACTGTACTATAAATAGATTTCTTATATAAGGTTTTAGAAAAATCATCTAGGGTTACTAAAAGATGAGTTCACTTATGCAAAATATGAGCAATTTCTTATTCATAAGTCTTAAGTCATGTACTAATAGAGAAAAAAGTCTTAAAATTAATAAACTTTCTACAAAATCAAAAGTTTAATTACAAGCCTATGGAAAAGACCCATTGATAGATTCTGAAGAGCAGAGATAGCAACTAATGTAGCATGAGTAAATGATAGTATGTAATGAATAGAAAGCAATTAGGAGAAAGGAAATATGAATTCCATGAAGACTGTCATACTTTTTTCGTTAGAAGATAGGGAGAGAGTCAATAGATAGGATGTTATTCAAATTCACTTCCCAAGAAACTTGATTATAAAAAACATCGACTTTAAAAAATGTTATCCTTATCAAACACTAATTTACACAATGTCTTCCATTACAAGGTGTTTCAAGTGTACACACATCGAATATAATTAGGATATTCGACAAATTAGAAAAAATCTTAACCTGAAAAAAAAATACTAAATATATAATTAGGATAAAAATAGAACATTGTTAATACATACATACAATCAATTAATATGATTTAAATTATCTTATTGGAGTTTAACCAATAATTTATAAACCAATTAATCTAAACAAATCTTGATTATATTTAATTTATGATTTAAACTCAAGCCCATCTTCCACAGGAATGGATCGATTTCTTAGAGTAGATCAAAAACCTAGACCCAATCGACGTAGAAACAGTAACTTAATATGTAAAAGTGCGGGTCAACCACTTTCCAACAGATTAATAAATGACAGAATACTACGAAGAAGTATTTTCTAAGTAATATGTTATTTTCAATTTGTTTAGATCCACTAGCGATGTAAACCGGAAAAAATGGCATTAACAAGACAAAAATCTGCTTATATGGTGCATGACCAAGCACTTAATGTCATAGAATCGATCTGAGCTCATTCCTGTAATTGTTACATTTATTATTTAAGAATGAGGATGATTGGGAGTTTGTATCAAAAATTCTGTGTGTAGATAAAACTTTGGTCGAATTAAAATGGATTTCTCTTCTCCATTCCAATTTGAAAATTAGTCCCTGGTCGAAGGAAGAAGATTAGATACTGATTGAAATTGCAAAGTATTCTTATTTAATCAATTATTAAGTGATCATTATTATAAAAACAATTGGACTGAATTGACTATTAAATTCAATTCCATATCTTCTACACAGAGATACCCCAAATAGATACGAGAACGCTGGAACAATGTGCTCAATCCCAACATCTCAAGATCAACCTGGACTAAGGAAGAAAAAATTAAGCTACTTCAATTGATTTTGAACTATGGTAAAAAATGGTCCAAAATCTAAGTTGAGTTAAATGGAAGAAGCGAAAATTAAATTAAAAATTAATACAATGGAATTATTAGAAATTTAAAAAGATTTAATGTAATTACTTACATCTAATCAGTAGGTCTAAGAAAGTGAGGAAAGGTTGCTGATCAAAGCAATAATTGAAAATCCAGATCAGAAATTAAGTTTGACAGTTACACAATTCATGTCAGACTTCCTAGCCAAGAAAGACTCATCAAAAAGCATTGAACCTACTCAAATCAATCAAATCACTGAATCTTAAACTCAAAAGAAACCCTGTGTTGACCCGTCTCCATTGGAATCGGGGATCACTGCCACAAGTACTATATCCATATTTATAAAAGATATCTTATTATAAGAAAAGTTGAATTAATGTAAAGAGGTGCAATAACAGATGATGCAAACATCCATTTAATAAAATTAATATATTTCAACTCCCTAATAATAACCATATTAATCAATGCCAATAGTTTAGAACCAGTATTTTTACAATAATGCCACTTATCCAAATTATTACCCAAATTATCATTAATAAAATTAACAATATATAAACTACCCTAACTACAATTAAGTGCAATCGTTAATGCCATACTAGTAATATCATTATGCCTATTTTTGATTAAACAAGATTTGAACAAAATATTGATACATATCAAATTTTATCTTATTATTATGATAATTTTTAATAACGAACTTGCAACTCGCTATCAGTAAATTAATATATTTAAAAATTATTCCAGCAGATCAAAATAACTTCGCTTTTTATTTTCACCCAAAGTTAGCTTCCTCATTAACATTCTTATCCATTTACACAAAGTTAAAAAAATTATTAATCTTTGAAATATAAATTTAATACTCCTTCCCTATAAATTATATGTAACATTAACCAGACATTTCCCCTGAAGAGATATTAGGCAGGAATAGGTGTTTGTGTGTCTTTGAATGAGAAATTTAGTGTCTGCACATTTGTGTATAAATTACTCAAAAATATATATTACGATGACTTTTATTATTAATTAATTTATTAATTGGTAATAATTAAAAAAGAAATTTAATTTAATTTTAATTATGTAAATAATTTACATAAAACGATATTCATGAAGTTCCTCATTAATTGGGAAAGTAATACAAATTCATTTATATAAAGGTACTATTGTAAAAGTGATTCAATAATTTTTGTGAATTTATTAGAGTAATAAATATAAACAAATATATAAAAGTCATTAAGAAATGTTATTAATGTAGTTGAATAGGTCTTATATGATTCTGAAAGCGAAGGGTTTGATTCTGTTTAAGTTGATTTAGAATTGTTCCACCTTAATATTCGCCATCTGAGCAATAATTTTAGCATTTATGCCGCCTTATTTCAAATATATAATATCAGTGGCAATTTTGACTGATATGGCGTTTTGAAGTGATTTAGGCAATTTATTTATTAAGGGTTACATTTGTTATAAGAGAAAGCAGCAAACTTGGGTTGCTTTTGAATTTAATTTGAGTTTTTGGCATAAAGTAGAAATTAAAGAAGAATATTAATTTTAAATGCATTTGGAAAGGTATTCTACTTTAACATCTGCCTTTGGTAATGAGTAATTTAGCTCTTTCATAGCACAATGTACTAATGCCTAAGCATGTAGTGAGGTGTTTGGTATATTTAAGTTATGAAGTATTGCAATTGCTTTTTTTTCAATTGCATCATCCAAATTCATTTTGAACACCAAGTGTTAAACTTCTTCTAATAAGTCAGTAGATCTCTTTGGAGTAGGACATTCATCTCTAAATTTAGGTACTGGAGGTCTATTAATCATTCTTATTTAATTTATTGATATAATTCAAGACCTCATTAATCAGTTTAATATAAATTTTCATGAAAAAACTCATAATATAAATTGTTAGATAATATTAAAACATTATTATTAGAAAGCATTATTGACAACACCCAATTTTTAAAGTCTAAAATTTCTTTAATTTTCGTAAAATCCCTTTGACCCACAACTCTCAATTGTAATCATGCCATTTTCGACTTTTACCATGTTGATTGATCATCCCAATCTTTACTTATAATTTCTCATATACTTAACATTAATTTGAAATGAAAATGTAAGTAAATGATCCCTATGGTTTTCAAATATTATTTTATCTTCATCCTAAGCTTCCTTCCTTCATTCACTCTATAAAGATTAATAATTTTTTACATTTTAAAATTCAATAAGATTCAAGTGTAATTTTTATACTTCCCCTTTTTAATTTATGTTTATAGTTTCTCTCTTAAATTCTTAATCATTTATGGTTACTATTTCAATGCTTGGTTGATGTAATTTTGATTAATGTATTCAAATTTTTGGATGACTTATAATATCTCGGTCTCAAGAATAGATATGCTATTAAATCGAACAAGCAGTACTTCCACGTATGATAATAACAAATATGAATAAAAATCAGTAATACATAAGAGTATAAGAGTTCTCTCTTTTATTAATAAAAACTTCTAATTAATTTATAAACTCAATAATCAATCATTTCATACAACTTTTCCCAAGCCTTCTCTTTGCTCTTAGCATAAATATGCAATTATGATATTTCATAATATTTATCTTTTTTGATATTGACTATCTGGGCTTCTAACATATCATAAGGAATGAACAATTTATCTCCTTAGGATACTCTTCTGTAATCTTAATGTGGAATTTTGATCAGATTAAAATTGAAAGGGTTTCCTATGTTACTTTAATACCTAACAATAAATGTTATTATTACCATTGATAAAATTGATATTTTGGTTGTCTCTTTATGAAATCAGGTGAATAAAATTGTTATACTTAAACATTGTCTAATATTAATGTAGCCCATTGCATTACAATATTTGAACTGCAATTCGAATCCAGGTAGATAGCACCAACAAGAGCAAAGAAAGCAGTTTCTAAGCATTGTGTATGTATAGATTTCTAAATTTTACCAATTTTAAAAGCTAAGGATGAATCTTTACATTTTTCAACTTCACTTGCTAAATTTAAGAGGATAGTTGAATAGATGCTATTCAAATACTACTACAAACCAAGTTGAATGGCTAAATATGCTAGAAATGGAGTTTTCGAAAGAATCTTTCCAACAATTTTAATTGCAAAACAATCTATTAAATTTTACTTTAATATATACCCAAGTTGTTCTCATTCAGTATTTTAATTGTTAGATAATTCCATAATGCTTTACCTAACATTGCTAAGAGTGAATTTTCATAATTATTCTAGTCTGTTTCATTCATGCATTCAAATTAACTTTTAAATTCAATCCATTATTATTCCTATATCATCCCTTGAAATTCTTCCTTCTTTTAAAATTGTTCATAATACTTGAATTTTAACTTGTTATTAATCACAAATTTAAATGAAATATCAGTCATTGCTTAAAACAACAATTCAAAGTGTTTGAATTAGTATTTTATTTTATATTCAAGAGAAGAGAACACTCTTTTAATTTTCCTAGTCTATTCGCTCAGAGGCACAAAACCAGGCAGGAATTCCTATAAACATTATGATGAGTTCACATGAATCTTCATAGAAGTCATTATTCGAAAGGTTCTAAGCCAATTTAGACCGTTGACTAAATCCTAATCATTCTATTAGATTAGAAATAATGAGTTTTGGATGAATTAAAAGAATTCCTAATTTGATATATGAATCTTATTTTTAATTGTATTTCTCTATGATTTCCTTTTGGCTACTGAGAAATCATCTAATATTAATTATTCCATCATCATATCAAAATTATCTTGGAATTTCTCTAGCCCAATAAATTGTGTAGTTATATCATTAAGATCGTTCTTATGTAAATAGAGGAAGAGGTAAGACTCTAGCAAACAATTCCTTACATAAGTGCTTCTTGTGAATGTTTTATATTTAGCTCTGGTAATATTGATATCATTTTCAAAATAATTAGCATACAATACAACTGCTATAAGGAATTTATAATATTGATGGCCTAATAGTAATTCATTATATTTATGAGACGACAAATCCAATGATTTGAATAAAATTTCATCCAATCTATCTTTCACATCAAAATTCAGAACAACATCAGAAACGCTATAATGTATAAAATTTAATTGCAATGAATCCAATTCATTTTAATAGCAATATTGGAGAGAAGTGAGATACTTAATGTATTTACTAGTGGAATTCAAAACTTCATTTATATGAGGTTTGATATTCTAAGGGATAATCTAAATTTTTTGAATTAGCTATTCTTTAATTTTATCCTGGAATAGATCCACTTTGAATCTTAAAGCAAATTGATTGATGATTTAGCTAAGTGTGAATTTACTCTTGACTGAACCCTTTAATATTAGAAGTAAATTCGAGTTGCTCTCACTTTTAATTCTTATTTAACATTCTAAAATTAATAAAAATGGTATAATTACTTTGATTAATAATTGCATATATGTCATCTCTCCATTATTGTAAGTTTTCTTCTTTGATTATTGTCTCCACATATTTTTTATAATGACCTTCATATTAACTCTTAGAAATCTTCTACATTGATTAAAATTAAATGCCAAGAGCTTACAAAGTGTTTTCGCTCTTACTGATTTGAGGAAGCATTTGTTTTGGAAAAGCCAACAATATTTTCTCGTTCTAAAATAGACATTCATAAAGCAAGAAATCTTCAAACTAACCTTCTTAATCCTTTGTTTAAAACAGGGTTTTGAATAAATTAGTATAATATCTTTTTTATGAATTAACCTTCCCTCCCATTGTAGATTAACTTTGCACCAACCTCTAAGAGTATTTACATGCTATTTGCCATTATTCTCTTGTCTATTAAATTTAAGATAATTATAGTTACCATCATGATTTAAGAATCATCTTAATCTGCCCCAATGTGTTAACCCAAATCACTATCGAAACAGATTTGTAAGTTGTCATCAATGTATCCTTTCTAATATAATTACACTGATGCTTCAAATGCAGCTGATGCTTTGGCATCTTTAGAAGATGGAGCAAGTTTTCCATAAAATATGAAACTTTTCATTGATATTGGGAGAAGTAAAAAGGCTATGAACTACTGATTCGTCTATGCATTTCCATGCAATTAATAAATTGCATATTTAGGCTAAGTCTTATCAGCATCCTTTTAGTTGAACTTCTAACACAATTACTATATTAATTAGCAAGACCAGTTTGTATTGATTAGAGCACCCGAGCCCTCAATTTCAAATGAATCAAAATAAGTGTTTTCATAGGTTTTGCTCTCTGGTGAATATAAAAAAATAATTACATAGAGTTTGCATCGCCTTATTGAGCATTTGCTATCTTTAAGGAGCAGTCAATTCTTCAATAATCTACTTAATATTGTTTTAAACTTGTTGATGACTTTACACTTAAGCTTGCTATAACTTGTCAACCATGAATATCATAAACTATGAATTTTCCTTTCTAGCTCTACCTTTCATTTAAACGTATGCCTTTGAACTTGAGATTGGATTGAATCCAATAACATAATTACACATTGGAATATCAATACCTTCTTCTGCCACAGATGTAGAAATTAGAATCTTGATTTTTCCTTATCTAAACTTATTTATAATGTCATTTTAAACTGTAGAACTAATTCTATAAGCAAAAATGTTCAATCTATTGACCTAGTCTTTAAGCTATTCAATTGAAAATTTGCTTTGATCATTTTATAATTCAGCATATAGTTTTTTAATTAGTTCTTCTTAATCCTCTTTATTGGATTCAATCACATTGATCATTATGCTATTATTCTGTTTTCTCACCATTGAGGAACAATGTCCTATTATAAAATTTGATACAATATCTAACACATAATGTATGAATCAGTACTTATTCTCTCTGAAGCCAAATATTCTTCTATTAGTCTATTTAAAAAGAAGGCTGTAAGCCTTTGTTTCACAAAGATCAAAATTCTGCTGTTATCATCTCCTTATGAATAAGCTTTTCTTATAAGTTCAAATAAGACCTGTACTTTAGGAGTTGATGATTGTTACACATTCGAGTATCTTAATTTTGCATCCTTTAATATGGTCGAGATTGATTTTAAGATGTCTAAGCAGGCAGCTTAATTTGGGGGTCTCTTGATGGTTAAAAAATCATTTAACTTAATAATAACATATTCCACCAATAATACTACCAATATATTATATATGTATACCAAATAAATATTGACCTAATTCTAAATACATTTAAAACCCATTTATTAGGACTTATTTCTCAATTTATGCAATTAGGATTTTAGTTTATAAATCATATGAGTATTTTTTTTTGAAATTTTCCAATGTTTACTTTATTTAAAAAAACTCAGTTAGATAGGAGTTTCTTCTCATTACATCAAGAGCCTTATTCTCATTTTTCTCACAATTAGTGAGTGATGCCTTTAAATCAATTACTTTTTGGATGTCAGGATCATTGAAAAGCATCTTATAATAGATAGGTACAATCTAAGCCTCTTTTATATGTTTCTTAAGGTTTTAAGCATCTATATGTAAATATTATGAATCCATATTTGCTGATAACTAAAGCAATTCTTATAATAGTTAATTGTTGCTGACTGATTTACTATTCATAACAGGAGAAGCAGTTGCACCAACAATTTATGGTAAAAATTGATTATCAGACTAAAACTTAGTTTTAAGGTAAAATTCTTTTAAAATATAGTTGTATGGATGATCTTATATTGCATTATGACATTCATCCATTGCAATAAAACTGAAATTAGAGATTTTCACCAATCCTTTTCTTAAAATGTTGAGGAAGATTTAGGTAGTCATTACTAGAATTTTACTCTCCTCTAAAATAATTTGCCACATAATTTAATTCCATATGTCAGTGCATTTACTTCCATGTAATACATTTAACTTGGACCCAATTTCCTTAGCCTTCACTATCATACTATCATCGTCGCTTATTAATTCAGCAACTCTAGGCAATTTCTACTTAATTTGCTAGGCCTATTATTCTACTAATTAAACGGTATTGGCTAGAAAGACTATCTTTTTATCAGGATATTTAAACAAACGATCCCACATCAACATAATAATGACTAAGGTTTTACCTAATCCTGTTTCCAAATAGATGATAGAATTCTTGCCAATTCCCTTCTCATATAATTCTATTTAATAATCTCGAAATTCAAACTCTTCAATAGTATCTACGATCGTATCATCCTCTTCTAATAGATTGACTTTATTGTTAAGTATTTCTTAGTTGTTAGAAATCGATGACAGCATTTAATCAACTAAAGAAGAAAGCGAATCCTTAGGTTCATTTTGCTATTCCTGGCTCTCTGAGATATCCAAATCAAACAAATTTTCTTCTGGCTACTTAATAACATTCTACAAAAATTGAGAGATTTAACTTTTATCTTCTTCATCGTCATCTTCAATTAATTTAACATCAAAGGAATTATGTTAGAGATCCATATTCTCCAATTTCTTATCGTCTGCAGGTAATTCGTACATTAATATTACGAGTAATAAAAAATTACAATATATATATAAATATTTGTATGAACGAATTTTAAACATTTTTTGTCGGTTTGGGAGATCGATAATATACTCCCATTTCGGATGAATACAGAAAATAATTTAAGATCAGAGGTGACTTCATCTACCCATCTAATAAAAAGTTTGATCAAATTTGTAAGAGGTTGAGTATATTAAACTCATTTATAGTTTTTTAGAAGATGAAAAATTGAGAAGCAAAAGAAAATGGGACAACTCTTTTAAATTATTTATGATTTGGTTTCTGGTTAAATATTTTGAGAAATAGAACCTTACTAATATTCTTCCGGTATCATGAGAAAATACATCATAGGATGAGAATGACTGGGTTAATTTCGAAAATATCCTTAAAATTGACAGACATTCATTAAAGCAGAGATGGATAACCCTCATAAACCCACAGATGAAATCAACTAACTGGCTTCAAGAAGAGGATGATTTCATCAAAACACAAATGAAGTAGTCTAATCAATTTAAACATAGCCAAAAGCATAAACACATTTGGACACAGATAGCAGTCTCACTATACGAAAGAAATCTGTAAGGTAACATACGAACACCTAAACAAATAAGGGAAAGATGGATGAATTATCTTAACCCTGAATTGAATAAGTACAATTTTCATTGTATTCTCTTAGAGATCAATGGATGCTCAAGGAGGATTTGATTATTCTCAATAACGTTGTAAAGAATGGAAAGAAATGGTCCTAAATTTCATAATAGTTAAATGGAAGAACAGAGAATTAAGTCAAAAATCGGTATCACTTGTATTTATATCTTAAGCTACAAATCTCTAATTCATAAAATATGCAAAGATGATGAATGTGATGAAATTGATATGGTTAAACAATACATAAGAAAAAAGTAAGATTTAAATAATTTAATTCTAGTCAAGCTCATGTGGATTCCAATAAGTAAGGAATCATAGGAAAAAGAGGTAGGCATAAAAAAGGAATAAGAAGTAAAGACTAAAATGTTGAATCAAGAAAATAAAGAAATCTCCCAAAAATCATAAAACAAGAAGAATAACTATCACATTAATCATTTAATTAACCAGCATAATTAATTATTTAATAAGCATAACAATAATAGTAATAGTAATAATATTAGTAATAATAATAATAATAATAGTAAACTTAACAAATGTAATTGTAACAATTACAATAGTAAATGAATTTTAATAATGAAGAAATGAAGATTGCTTTAAACTTACACTCTAATTTCCTTTAAGAAGATATGAAAAATGCAACACCTTTAATGATGATATAATGTTTAACATCACCTGGGTATCAATTTTTAGAGAATCAATTCTTAAAACAATTATCTCCAGGAATAGTTGAGGAAGGAGAGTGCAATCAGAATTCCTCTTTGCAATTACATAAATTAAATAATATGTATAAAGCCAGTTCCGCTTCACCATTTTTGTTGCCCTCCATGTTGCAATCTCCATTTTGGAATAACGAATAATATTTGTAGTAACATGATGAATAAATGGCACCGCCTATGCAGACATAGTAATTTACATAATAGATATCTACTACTCCTTTTTTGAATTTAGGTTATTTAGGAAAACCTAAATTAAATGGTTTTTCCAATAAAAAAGAACTAGACTTATTACAAGAGAACCCAATTTAATCATTTAATAAAAGAAGAAATCTTAATTAATAGTGAAATGACTATAAAATCAAAATTAGTTTATTCGTATTTATTCTAAATTTTCAAAGAATATCTCTTCTTAATTGACAAGTTTTGTTTATCATATTCAACTTCAACTAATTTATTTTAAATTTATTCAGATAAGATGGTATTTCATTCTTTATATTTTTTGATTGAAATACGTGTTGATTGAAAATAATAGTGTTTCGAATACTTATGCTGTTTCTCTGTGATAAAGTAAAATAAATAATCTTATGTATTATCTTTAAACAGAATCAATTTTTCAGAATAAAGGTTATCAATAAATTAAAATGTCTTATAAATTATTAACAAATTAGAATTCTAAAAGAAGTTTGAGTTTAAATATAAAATGTAAGTTAACATTGCAAACTTGTGTAATCAATAGTTCCTTTTGAAATTATGAAACAGATACGGAATTAATCATAGAAAATTGGATAAATATGCATTAAAAATAAGTTTATCGCATTATACGGAATAAATTAAGAGTTTTTGTTCATTTAAAATATATTTAAAGACTTAGTATGGTTATGAATTATATTTTTTGCTTATGAAATAAATGTGTTTTCACTCTTTTCAAAATTAAACTGAAAAAAAATAAATATTCTGACAAGAAATTACATTAAATTAACAATGAATAATCAATATAAATGTAGTTAAGAATCAAATAGGATTTTAGAAAAGGAGCTTGAGATTTTTCATTAATAGTTTTAGTTTCATAGTAAATTTCTAATCACATTACTAGATACAGAATCAAGTATCTTTATTATGATTATCTCATTGATGATGTGATTATAGGACTATATAAAAATAAAATTTTTATTTTGAAAATCAAAATAGCGGATTAAATAAAATATAAGAAAGATAATCGATTTTTTGTAAGGTTATTAGTAGATTCGAGCAAAGGATAACTAAAATTGGCAGATGTAATAGTGTAATTAAAGGGGGATTCTGACAAAGAGAGATGAGGTGTATTTTTAAGAACTCGATTCAGATACGCTTTAATTTAATTTCTTTAAACAATTTTTCAATAATAAAATTAAAATTTAATAATCACTTTTCTTTTAATGTCACATTCCAGTGATATAACATAAATAAGTGATTAGAATTCACTGGTTTAGAAACCTATTACATCAGAGGATGAGGTTAATATTTTGAAGGCTTAAAAATCAGATGTTCCTATTGGTAAAATGCATCAAGTCAAGCTTCCTTCTGCGATATTGAGTAAAAAATAAATTGAGTTGAAAAAAAACAATTTATTGCATTTAAAAATGTGGAATTCAAAGTCAGATGAAGAGATGGAGAAGATCAATGAAGTTTTTAAGTTATTTAGAAGGAAATTTGGAAGGAATGCCTAATATTTAGATGAGTTCTTTACAATTTTGGGCAGAGCAAATTTAGATTTAGAGTTAGTGCAATAGTTAATTTAATTTGAAGATAAATTTCTCAAAAAATATATCCAAGATAGGAGTTCTGAGAATAGAATTGATTGATACTTATGTATATCCATCATTTTTCAGAGGCCTACATATTTTATATTAGAAAGTGAAATTAAATATTTTATAATTAATTTATTGTATGGCCAGGAGAAAAACTGTCAAACGCGCATAAAAATCTCATAAGCATTTATTTACAAGAAATAAAAAGATAAATAAGACATAAAAAGAACAAAATAAAATTCCAGGGTGGAACAAAAATATTTCATTCACTCAAAACTTATCTAACTTAGGAATGAACACAGGTTATTAGATTAATCAAAAAATAACTGATGAATTAAAACAAAAGGAACAAGCTCCATAATAATACATTGAGGCAGAAGAAATTTCTATTGATTAAATAAAAGAATTGTAAAAATAAGCAACATAAAAATTACCACAAGAAGAAGTTGAAAAGAAGAAAAATAAGGTGAGAATGAATATTGATGATGAATGGGCAGTTGAAGCACTTGTTAAGAAATACAAGTAAGATTGGGAAGCTATGAAAAGAGATCACAAATTAAACACATTCTAATGGACCGCAATTTAATGTTAAAAAAAATACAATGATTACATTAAAAGATATGGTAAATGTCCTAAACCCTAATGATTCATGAGTAAATTTATATGTATATTATTTATATGAATAAATTCTTAGATTTTCATTAATAAATATTATTCTTCATTTATTTATTGATTACAATAAATCTTCTGAGTCTTAAAGAATATTTCGAATTCTATCAAAATTATGATATTACGGTTTAAAATTATCATTTATATCTTATTTGATTTACATAGGTTACTGAGGTTAATAAGATAATTAACTTGAAACTTTCAAAGGTTAATTTGATATGTTATGATTTTAAATTGGTGTAACATAATAAGGATTAGGAACTTATGAATAAGTAATTGGATTTATGGGTAGATTCGCAGCATTTATTGTTTACATTTAATTATTGGGTTAGTAGGGTGTATTTAAAAGAGGATTTGTGTAGTTATACTATTAAATAGGTACCTTTGGGACATCTGCAGTTTATATTGCTCCATTTATAGTTTAATTAGGAACTCCTAATGGTAAATTTTTCGATTAAATTTCTCTTTTTGGAGTGACAAAATCATAAGTTTAATTCTAAGAATTTATAATAGAAAATTTATTACTTAAGCAGGGTATTTTTGTATTGGAATTTACATATTAGGTACTTAAGGCTATAAAGTAGTAGAACCTAATGGGATTTGTGGGGATTATTGTTATTTTTAGAATGCTTATATAGTTGAGCCATCTATTGGTTAATTCAGAATTGTAGGAGATGGACCTACAATAACATTGGGATTGCTTAGAACTGAAGAGGGTGTCTAATTATAAGTTTGTGCTAATTGATAGTTAGGAGATATATAGGTTGTGCTGAAGGTATCTTGTTGTATTGGTTATTGAGATGATGGAATTAATTAGGATTATAACATTAATTTTGAAATAAGTTTTGGTTGTTAGTTAGTAACTTAAAATTATTGTTGGGTAAGATTTGGATCTTAAAATTAGAATTCAGATTTTTGTTAAAAGAACATGGGTTAATTTCCTAATTTATTATGTTCTATAAAGTTATTTTATGGATAAATGTTTGGTTGGGATCTTTAAGACTCAATATTGTTGGCTTATTAATATGATATTTACTATTTGATTTATTATGTTTCAATTTGTCTTGGGCTTTATTAATATTATTATGTTTCATAAATAATTTCTGATTAAGATCGTTAATGTTACTGTGAATTGGATAGTTGACTGTAGCGATATGGAAAACTTTCAATAACAGATTTACACTTCAGCGTGTTATTTAAAGGAAGCGCATTTTATTTTACCGCTTCATAATTAACAACAAAGTCTTAGAAATTAAGTATTTTGCTTTGGTATGGTTTGAGGATATAATAAACATCATCTATGGTTAATTGGTTTGCTGATTCTGCCATTAATAACTCCATGATTCGAATCAATTAGATTGAGTAATGGTTATAACATTAATTTTGCAATTCATTAATTTGTTGTTCATCTAATTATTTTTAATCATTTAATTGCATCAAATCTAATAAGGTTTTCCCCAAAGCATAAGAATCAATTGAATTCCATTGGATTTTGGGTTACTAATTTTGTAGCAGTTGTTTTTTGAGAGATGGAGGAAGATACGTTTCTGTTTTATTGTTGATAAATTTATTGATTGAATTTTCTTAATCAATTATTATTCCTATTGGACATAATTTTATTTAACCATTTGATTTTAAGGAAATTGTGACTGGTCTAATATCTTAATGGTTGTATCCCTTCTGCTTCAATTCATAGAGAGCATTAGTAATTGACCAGAGAAAGTACCATAATTCCTTTTCAGAAAATCTTTCTGAATGTTGTTTTCTATGCATTAATTCCCTACTTTAGTAAAATGAATTACTTCTCTAAATTTTGGGGTATGTATTCAAAGTAGCTTGAAATAACAGTAGAAGTTGAGCAAAATTCTGATGATTGCTTTTCAATGCTTCCGTAATAATCGATTATGTAGGGAGCTTGAATTTTTTTGATCATTGTTTGGAACTTCAGCCAGGGTTCATCGGATTCATGATTAAAAACTCTATAAGGGAATTCAATAACCATCTCTTGGTTGGCATCATTGATGTAGATTTATCCGGTTTTAATTTCATTTTTTAAATCAATTGGCTTGAATTGGCTTTAGAAAGTTTTAAAGAAAGAAGAAGAAATGGGATTTGATTATGAGGATGCAGATTATCCCATAAAATAATTTCAAATAAATTTTATTTTATTAATATATAAGGTTGGCTCAAACAGTTTTAACTTAATTTTGATTTTTGCACAATGAGATATGTGGTTTTTGATGTTGCTTTTGATTGTTGTTTATAATTGAAATAAAATGGTTTTTAGTATTTTTGCATTTTTTAATTAATACCTGATCTTAATCGCTTAGATATGGAATTCAAATTTTTAAATTCATGTCTAATGATATTGAGGTACGCGAATAGCCTGAATGTGGGTATTCGTACATTCTCAGGATCGAGAGAGGATGCATTGGATTTATCATTTAAATTTGTGTATCTGCACAATATTATATTATTTATTTAAATTAAAAATCGGAAATGAATTCGAAGGGCAAAAGGACTTTAGGTACATGATATAAAAAATATATGACAGGTCCAATTTAAAAAATTAACAAGCCGTCGATCGATTTTGAGTCAGCTCTAAAGGAACATCGAGCAGTGGAGGAAAGAATAAAAATGGAAACTGACAGTCAAGATCCGAGGTATTTAGAGTAACATATGTATTTAAGGAAATTTGTAATGAACCTGTTGAATGATCGTGATAATTCATTAATAATGGATAATTCCCTAACTCATTCGCAAGTGGCTATAAAAAAGAAAGTATTATTGATAATTAATTTAACAGGTGTACATACGTTCAAGACAGGTTAAGAGTCAAGTGCCATTCATGTAAATGTAGACGAAGAACAACTCCCAAATTTAATTTGCATCTCCTTCTTAGAGTTTGAAGTTTGACTTTGATTTGAAACCCGATTTCAATTCTAAACGATCGAATTTTGTTCCCAAGTTTATAAATTCAGGAATCAATTTTGACGTCGAAGTAAGAGGAACACTTGGAGAAGAGTTTACAGAGTTTCAGATGTGTAATTAAGTAATCAAATAAATTAGATGACAATGACTCATAACCAGAAGACATCCCAAAAAATAAAAACTTTTCTTATGGAGGCAGAATGACCAATAAAAAACTTAAGGAATACGATTGTTGGGATGAAGAAAGAACTCCTTAAGAATGGTTAGAAATATGTAAAAAGAGCAATCCTCCTCATGCAAAATGTCCAATGTTTGATTAATCAGACAAATACGTTTGGACAGATGTGGAGGTGTTGGGTTTTGAGAATGGCAAATTCGAAGTCAAGATATTGAGATCAAGCAAAATCAAACGAATAGGCAGATTGTCACTATAATTCAATTCAGAAGATCCTGTCAAATTCGAATAAAGAGTTGAATTGTGTAAATAAAGATAAAAGAATGCTGATGATGAATTGAGATTCCTTAAATATGTGGACTCTTTGCCTGATTCAATGACATCGACTTTATCTCTTGAAATGCAGAAAAAGATCGAAGAATACACAGTTTTTAGAGATTTGCCATACATAATCAAAGAAGATCCAAGCAAAATAGCTCCTGGGTTTCCACAGATTTAAAATCTCAAAGATGAATTGAAGTAGATGATCACAGATCCAGAAATCAGAAGGAAACAAATGCAACATCTTGAGTTGCTTAAAAAAGACTTGGTGAAATAAGTTCAAAAAGAATATATCATGCTCATGAAGAAGTGTTCAATTCTCAAGGACATGGAAGTCAATAAGAATGATATCAAGTGGATTTAATTAAGAATCAAGAACAGATTTGAATAAACCAAAAGGCCTTATCATGGTTTAACTAAATAGTTTGCGAGTGACACTAAAATTCTGAGCTTCGAATCTCTGGGCCAATAGACATCAAAGCAAGTGAAAGTTCAAGATAATTGGGCCTTTGTTGCAATCAGATAAAACATCTCACAATTACATTATTCAAAATTCACTGTAGTCGTTAACACATTGAATGCTTTAACAGCCAGATCCTAATTGTATTAGAATTTCCCACTCCTTAATGTATTGCTTAATCATTAATCTTTACCCATGGCTTTGTCTAATTTCGAAAGCTAACAAAAATAGCATAATATCTAAGGAAGATAAACTCTGTAGGTGTAATGGCGTAGCACTATTGTTGGAGACATTCAAGATAAATTAAGAGAAAAGTATAGATTCTATTAAACTGAAACTGAGGACTATTTGGATAGTGAATTGTAAAAATTACTTATTCGAATCGACTATATGTTTACCAATTATATTAGAGAAAATGTAGTTCGACAAACTTGCTAGTCATGGATTGATTTTCTAAAAAAGTTCACGACTCCAAAAGACGGGGAATAATGGAAGATTAATGATTATCCTTTATTGATTTTAAATCTTGAAGTCAATCTCAATTTCAAGAAAAAGAAGAATGACAAAAAAAATAAATAAGATGATACTCCTTTGTTGATGACAGATGAGGATCCCAATAGTGCCATTTACTTTTCTCCTAATTTCTCTGCCATCTAACAGGGTTTGTTAAAGCCAATAGATCTTTTATTGGAATCAGTGAATTCCTTTAATAGACTCGAAAAAGATTTGGTTCCATTGGTGGATATTGATTAGAAAAAGGAGGTAAAGGGACGATTGAGAGCTTACGAGATTGAAAATGACAAGGATTAAATGTGGATTAAGTGGGCTAAGGATAAGGTCTAAGAATATCTGGAGATCGGTTATTAGAAACCTAATTAAATGCTATAAAAGTTCAGGGAATTTAGTTTCTTATTAGAAAAGTCTGTTCAAAGTGTTCTAAAAAGTTTATTTGGAGATGTGTCGAAAAAACCTATCATAACCTCATTGGATAAGGATGAGATATCAAAAAAGTTATCTGATTTTATTAATGCCAAATTTTAAATACAAAGATTATGTTTGGATGAAAAGAATGAATAATTTTTTTAGATTAAAACTAGAATTGCCAAAGAAAATTTGATCTCAAAAGCCAATGAATTTATCACATCCATTTTGAAACAGTGTTCAGATATTGTGACTGACAACATTAGTCGTTTAAGTTAGGAATATAGCGATATGAGTGATAGAATTACAAAGCAACCCAAAAATGAGGCTGAATTAGTAGAATTAAAATCTTATATAGCAGAACACGAAGTTAATTTGGCAAAGAAGAAATAAGAGGTGGATTGTATCTATGATTATTTGACCATGTTCGAAGACATGAGTCATAATTTTGAAGATAAAAACCTCTATGAGTTTTGGAATTTATATAGTTTCCCTCCTGAAATTAAAAATCATGTGATCGAAGGTCAAAGAAAGGCTAATCTATAAGAGTAAAAGTTTATGGAAAACTTGGATAACGAGAAGGATAAGTTCCAAGGAGAATTGAAGGAATTGACAGAATTATTCTCAACTGTCTAGAAATTTGATGACTATTCAAGAGTAAAGGATTTTGCAAATGATGTCGTATCACTCAATGACCGTTTCTAAAATGCCTAAAAGAAGGTAGAATCATTTAATGAGAGAGAAATACTGTTTAAATAATAACCATCAGTTTATGAAGATTTGAATTAATTGATTAAGGATTTCACTATTTACTTCAATTTGTGGACTAATGCTATTGAATTTGAGTATGATAGAAGTGATTGGTGTACAGGTTCATTCTTGAAGCTAAATTTCACTGAAATTGAAAACAAAGTTAGAACCAACTAAAGGAATGCCAATTTACTTATAAAGGCTTTCTCTGATGCACAAGATGACACAGCCGTAGAAGTGGCACGCAAGTTGAAAGGTCAAATCGATGAGTTCAAAGAGAGATTGTGGTTGATTGAATTACTGACCACTGAGGCTATGAAAACTAAGTTGAATATGTGGAAAGACATCTGGAAGATTGTTGGAATTGTTGATCAAGAAACAAATGACGATTTATCATTGGATGCTTTGGTTTCTCACGGCCTTATGAATTTTAGGAATGACATCGAAGAAGTGTCAAGGAGAGCTGAGAAATAGTGGTAAATAGAAAAGAATCTCAATTCAATTCAAGAGAAGCTTAAGGATTAAAAAGTAGAAATGATTCCATACAAAAAGACAGGAACCTTTGTGTTGAAATCTTTAGAAGAAGTAGTGTAATGCTTTGATGATTAATTCAACATTCTATTGATGTTAAAGGCACAACCTTAAATCAAAGCTGTATTACATAAAGCATAAGCCTTGGAGTAAAAGATAGTGTTGATTTAGGACACACTTGATGGTTGGATAAAGTGTTAAAGAGGGTGGATGTATTTGGAACCTATTTTTACTTCTGATGATATCAAGAAGAAAATGCCTTAAGAAACCTTAAAATTTTAGAAGGTGGATACTCATTGGAAATAAGTGATGGAATAATTCAGCAAGGAGCCCAATCTTTGGGACGGAGTAGAAAGTGATAAGATGAAGAATGAATTCGATTAGGATAATAAGGCTTTGGATTAGATTTAGAAATCTTTAAGTGAGTATTTGGAGACAAAACGTAACTCATTCCCAAGATTTTATTTCTTATCAGATGAGGAACTATTGGAAATCTTGGCATAAACCAAAGATCCAGAAACAGTGTAGAAGCATATTAATAAATGTTTTGAAGCCATCAACTTAATTAGAATTTGTAAATGGATAGGAAGTGGTAGCCAATGATATCAGCAGAAAAAGAAAAAGTACAATTTTTCAAAAGGAATTAATGTTAATGAAGGTGAAAAGAAAGGTAATGTGGAAAAGTGGTTGTGTGAAATTGAGTCTGTTATGATAGACACATTGAAGAAGATTATGAAAGCCTCACATTTGGATAACGATACAAAGAGAGTTGTTTGGGTAAGGAAATGGCCTGCTTAAATTGTATTGGCAGTTAATATGATCAGATGGACCAGAGGTAGTGAGCTGGCTATAAATGATAAAGACAATTAATAAGGAGGATTGACAGGATTTTTATAACAATTGATTAATGAACTTAGAGATATTGTTGATTTGGTTAGATAAGATTTGTCTCCTTTAGAGAGATTAACATTGGGTGCACTTGTTGTGTTAGATGTACATGCAAGAGATGTAATTAGACAACTAGTAAAAATTGGTTGCAATGATATTAACAATTTCTAATGGATGGCGTAATTGCGATATTATTGGACTGAATAGATAATGAAATGCAATGTCAAGATGATCAATGCTGATTTACTCTATGGATATGAGTATTTGGGTAATAGTATGAGATTGGTCATTACACCTTTAACTGATAGATGTTATCGTACTTTGATGGGAGCATTCCATTTACAGTATGGAGGTGCACCTGAAGGTCCAGCAGGAACAGGAAAAACAGAAACTGTTAAGGATTTAGCCAAAGCATTGGCAGTTCAATGTGTTGTGTTTAATTGCTCTGATGGTTTGAACTATTTAGCTATGAGTAAATTCTTTAAAGGATTGGCAAGTTCAGGAGCTTGGTGTTGTTTTGATGAGTTCAATCGTATAGATTTAGAAGTGCTCTCAGTTATTGCTTAATAAGTGCTCACCATTTAGGATGCTATCAGACAGAAGAGACCAGAGTTTGAATTTGAAGGTACCTCAATTAAATTGATTCTGTCATGTGCCATTAATATTACAATGAATCCAGGATATGCAGGTAGATCCGATTTACCCGATAACTTAAAGGCTCTATTTAGACCATGCGCTATGATGGTTCCAGATTATGCATTGATTTCAGAAATCTATTTAGCATCTGTAGGATTTTAAGATGCCAATAATCTAGCACGTAAAATTGTGGCCTCATTAAGATTGTCATCCGAACAACTTTCATCCCAGGACCATTACGATTTTGGTATGAGAGCCTTAAAAGCTATTTTGACAGCTGCAGGTAATCTAAAAAGAGTTATGAATGACATTGAAGATATCATATGTTTAAGAGCCCTTATGGATGTCAATATTCCAAAATTCACAATAAATGATGTGCCCTTATTCAATTCAATTACCTCAGATCTATTTCCAGGAATCAAGTTGCCTGAATAAGATTATGGAGCATTGGAGACAGCACTCAAAAATACGGCATAAGAGATCAACATTCAAGCAGAAAAAGGATTCATTGAAAAGTGTATTCAATTATTCGATACCATAAATGTTAGACATGGTCTGATGATTGTAGGATAAGCATTTGCAGGTAAATCCAAAGTATTGGAATGTTTGGCCAAAGCCATGTCTTCATTAAATAAGGTGTAATCTTTTGTGAACGTTGCTGTGCTCAAACTTAATCCAAAATCCATTACTTCAGATCAGTTATATGGTAAATTGGATCCAGACACAAAGTCATGGACTGATGGAGTCATTGCTATTATTATGAGATAGTGTGCGTAAGATGCAGAAATTGAAGAAAGGAAGTGGGTTGTATTTGATGGACCTGTTGATGCAGTTTGGATTGAAAATATGAATACCGTATTGGATGATAATAAGAAGTTATGTTTGACATCTGGTGAAATCATTAAGATGACAAACTGGATGACTATGATGTTTGAAGTTGAGGATCTTGCTGTTGCATCACCTGCCACTGTTAGTAGATGTGGTATGGTCTTTTTAGAAACACAACAAATTGGATGGTATGCCTTAGTCAAATCATATATATAAACAATCCCTGAAAAATTCATAGAACATCACTATTTGGATGATCTATTAAGAGTCATTATTGATGCCAGTTAGGAATGGTTGAGGAAGAATGGTAAATTCCCAATTTACAAGAGTGAAATGACTCTGGTGAAAAACATGTTACTGATACTCCAAACTTATTTACAGGAATGGACAGACATAGATGAGAAAGCATAATAGAAATAAATTAATCATAATGAAATTAAGGATGTAGTCTCTAAAGCTGTTCTATTTTCTTGTGTTTGGAGTTTTGGTGCAGCCATAGATGAAGTGTGTCGAAAACAATATAATTTATTCTTGATTAAGTTGATATCTGCAGAAGATGTTCAAGAGACCTTCAACTTATAACTGTAATATAAATTTACACCTGTCTCTATCAACGCTAAATTACCAGATAAAGCTAATCTATTCGATATGGTGTATGACAGAAATAAAAACAATTTCATCAGTTGGACTCAAACATAGCCTCCATTTGTCATTCCTAAAGGATGTGACTATCATGATTTGCTCATTCCCACTAGTGATTCTATTAGAAATAATTACTTTCTGCATTTATGTGTAAGAAATAAGATACATTTATTGGTATCTGGACCAACTGGTACTGGTAAGACCTCGAATATTGTTAGTGAAATCAATAAAAACTATTTTAACACTGAATATACAAATTTGATAACTGCGTTTTCAGGTTAAACTCTGGTCAATTAAGTCTAAAAAACTATAGAAGCAAAAGTTAACTCAAGGAGAAGAAAGGGATATTTTGGACCTGAGGAAGGCAAAAAATACATTGTTATATTTATTGATGATTTGAATATGCCAGCCAAAGAAAAGTATGGGGCATAACCTCCGATAGAATTGTTAAGGTAGTGGATGGATACACAAGGTTGGTATGATTTAGAAACTAAAGAACCTAAGTTTCTTCAAGGAATTACTTTTATTGCTAGCATGTTGCCACCAACAGGAGGAAGAAATGTAGTAAGTATGAGATATTTAAGACACTATGTTCTCTTATATGTTGAACCTTTCGAAGGAGATTCATTACAACGTATCTTTTAAAATGTGTTGGAATGGTATTATGCAAGACAGACGAATCCATTTATGAAATCAATCACAAATCTCAGAGATTAAACAGTGAATGCAACTCTTGATATTTATCAATTAATTCAGACTTGTAAGGAACTTTTGCCAACTCCAGCCAAATCACATTATATTTACAATCTTAGAGATATCAGCAAGGTGTTCTAAGGAATTTCTAAAGGAACTATTAAATCTTTCAGGGATGAAAATGATTTCATAAAGTTATGGGCACATGAATGTCAACGTGTGTTTTAAGATAGATTGATTAATGAAGATGACTAAGGAACTTTCGACAAAATATTAAAGGAAACCATTTTGAAACATTTCAAACGAGATTGGAAACAATTAGTACAAATAGAACCACTCTTATGGGCTTCTTTTGTTCCCACCCTCTATCCTGATGATGATAAAACAAAGAGACCCATGACTGATATCTATTGTGAATTAACAGATCGAGAGACACTTAAGAAAGTATGTCAGGAACAATTAAATGAATACAATTCATAGTACACGAGTAATCGAATGGAGTTAGTGTTATTTATGAATGCAATCCAACACGTGCTTAAGATAGTGCGTGTGGTCAACACAACATTTGGTCATGCTTTGTTGGTTGGTGTAGGAGGTTCGTGGAAGAGAAGAGTTTGGCCTAATTGGCCTCCTTCATTGCATTCTAAAATGAAACATTGCAAGTGGACTCAAGAAATTGGATTGAAGAATTGCAGAAGGTAATGAAGATGGGAGGAATAGATCAAAAGGAATTTGTGTTCATGTATTCGGATACTTAGATCATTAAGGAATCGATGGTTGAGGATATTTGCAATATCTTGAATAATGGTGAAGTACCTAATTTATTCCCACCTGAGGAGAAAAGTAAAATCATCGAAGAAATGAGTAGTTACACATCTGGAACTCCAAACGAGAAATATAGTTATTTTGTAAAGTAGTGCAAGAAGAATTTGCATCTTGTGATTTGCATGTCTCCTGTAGGAGAAGCATTTAGAAGGAGATTGCGTACCTTTCCCTGCTTTGGTTAATTGCACAACAATCGATTGGTTCTTGCCATGGCCAGAGGAAGCCCTTAGATCAACAGCTGATGCAGTGTTTACCAAGAGACATTGAACCATCTCGACTCTGACACTAAATTGAGATTGGGTTTGGTGGATGTAGCAGTCGACATGCAAATCAGAGTGTCTGATCTAACCAAAAGATATTACAACGAATTAAGAAGATACTATTATGTTACCCCAACATCGTATTTGGAATTGCTCAACACATTCAAGAGACTCAAGTCAGACAGAGATCAAAATATGTCCAAAATGATATCTCGATATGAGGCAGGTGTAGATAAGATCATCATTACAGAAAGTGAAGTGAGCAAAATGTAGAAGGAATTGGAAGATTTGTAACCAAAATTGGAGTAGGCTACTAAGGACAACAGTATAATGTTGATTAATTTGTAAAAGAAATAGAAAGAAGCTGATGCAAGAAAGTAGGTTTGTCAATAAGAAGAGAAAGATTGTAATGTACAAAGAGATGGGGCAAATGCTTTGAGAAATGATTGTTAAAATGATCTAGACAAAGTGTTGCCCATCTTGGCTCAGGCTGCTGAAGCTTTGGAAAAGATTGATAAAAATGATATGGTTTAATTGAAATCATTCCCTAAGCCTCCTCCTTCTGCTGCCATTGTCATGGAAGGATTGTGTTACATCTTTTAGGAAGATTAAAATGTGCCTTGGAAACCAAAAGAACCTGGCTCGATGGAAAAAGTGTAAGATTTTTGGGAGTATTCTAAAAAGAATCTTTTGAATGATAAGTTGATTAAAAGAATTAAGGATTTCAGAGATGATTCAATCAGATAAATTCCTTAAGTGAAGATCAACAAATTAAAGGCATTCTCATAAAACCCATTGTTTTAGAAGGATAAGGTGTTTAATGCATCCGTTGCAGCAGGTAATTTGAGTTTGTGGGTTCGGGCTGTTGTAGAGACTTATGATGCTTTATTGGTGGTGGATCCAAAGAGATAACAATTATTGGAGGCAGAGTCAAAGTTAAAGGAGGCAGAAGAAACTCTTAGAGTGAAGTAGGAAGCATTACAGGAAGTGCTTGACATGTTGGCTAAGTTGGAGGCCGAATATAATAAGGCAAAGTAAGAGAAGGAGGACTTGGAAGCTAAGGTCAATAAGTGCAAAATCTAATTTGAGTAGGGCTGAGAAATTAATTACTGAATTAGGAGGTGAGAAGGAGAGTTGGAAGAAGAAGGCTGCTGATTATAGAGTTGATTCTAAGACAATTGTTGGTGATTGCATATTGTCATCAGGAATTGTGGCCTATTTGGGAGCATTTCCAATTGCCTACAGAGATGACACAATAAAAATATGGTAGACTTTGTTGGAGAAATTGACTATTGAATTCGATCCTGAATTTTCATTGCAGAAGATCTTGTGTGATCCAATCACAATGGGACAATGGACAAATGTTTAAAAATTGCCAAATGATTCGTTTTCTATTGACAATGCCATCATTCTTAAGAATTCCACTAGATGGCCTTTGATGATTGATCCTCAAACCTAAGCTAATACTTGGGTTAAGCATATGGAAGCTTAGCAATTAGTAATTGTGAGACCTACCCAATCGTAAAATGTGTTATCAAAGACCTTGGAAAGTGCCATATAATTTGGATAGAGTGTGTTGTTAGAAAATGTAGGTGAAACCATTGATGCTATCTTCGAATCTATTCTCTAATAAAAGATCATCAAACAAGGGTCAGCTTACAAATTGAAATTCGGAGACAAAATGATTGACTACTCCAGAGACTTTAAGTTTTACATGACTACTAAATTGGCTAGACCTCATTATCCCCCTGAAATTTGTGTTAAGGTTACTATGTTGAATTTCCAAGTAACTCAGGAGGGTTTGGAAGATCAGATGTTGAATATTGTTGTGAAGATCGAGGAACCTGCCAAAGATGAGCAAAGATAAAGGAATATTAAGGAATTCTTTGAAAATAAGAATAAGTAAAAGATGACAGAAGATAACATTTTGCAATTGTTGCAGGACTCAAAAGGAAATCTTTTGGATGATGAAGTATTGATTGATACTCTGCAGAGATCGAAGGCGGAATCAATCACAATTTAGGATAAGTTGAAGAAACAAGAGCAGGATAGGGAACAATTTAATTAAATTCGTAATTTCTACAAAGAAGTGGCCAAGAGAGTTGCTAATCTATACTTTGTTGTTTTGGATCTGTCCTTAATTGAACCTACTTATCAATGGTCTTTGGAGTTCTACATCATACTATTTGAGAGGGCCATTCGAGAGTCAATATAAGGAAAGGAGAATAGAAGCAAAAATATCATTGATAAGTTTTAGATATCCTTATACGAGAGTATTTGTAGATCTCTATTGGAGAAGGATAAGTTGATATATTCATTTTTGATGACAATGAAAGTGATGCAAAGTGAGGGTAAGATTACTCCACAAGAAATCCGTTTCACTATGGTTGGTGGTACATACACAGATCCAACATATCCATAACCATAACCAGAATGGATATCGAAAAAGATGTGGTGTCTAGTAACTGAAGCAGCTGACACTCTGCCATTCTTTAAAGGATTCCCTGAATCATTCTCTAAACACCTCTCTGATTGGCAAGAAATCTATGATAGCAGTGAACCATAGACTCAACAATTACCTGAACCTTGGAATTCATAATTGACTGCTTTCTAAAAGTTGATTGTCTTGCGTATCATCAGACCTGATAAATTTGCAAATGCCACTCAGAATCTGATCATAACAGAAATGGGCAAATAATTTATGGATCCTCCCCCCTTCAATCTAGAATATGCCTACAAAGACGCAGATGCTTATACTCCACTGATATTCATATTGTCTCCAGGTGCTGACCCTCGTTTGGAAATATCAACATTGGCTGATCGTCTAGGATTTAGATAGAACTTCATTACTCTCTCCTTAGGTTAAGGTCAAGGAGAAATTGCCACTAATGCTATCAAGGGAGCTGTCAAAGATGGCAAATGGGTTTTATTGTAGAATTGCCATCTTGCACCATCATTTATGCCTGAATTAGAAAGAATTCACGAATAAGAAATATGTGCAAAGCCAGCTCAAGAGGTTAATTCAGACTTTAGAATTTGGTTGACTTCTATGCCCTCAAATGTATTCCCAGTAACACTATTAATGAGAGGCATCAAGATGACATACGAACCCCCAAGAGGCTTAAAAAACAATATGTTGAGAAACTTCTCTTCAATTGATGCCAAGAGTTTTGAGTAATGTAAGAAACCTGTGGAATGGAAAAAACTGTTTTTCGGTTTGAATTTCTTCCATGCTGTGTGTCTAGAACGTCGTAAGTATGGACCTCTGGGATGGAATATCCCTTATGAATTCACATCAGCAGATCTAGCCATATCAGTGTCTTAATTGAAAAACTTCCTTGACACTTTCGAAGATATCCCTTGGGAGGCTCTTAATTACATGGTTGCTGAAGCTAATTATGGAGGTAGAGTCACAGATCCCAAAGATAGAAGATTAATTAGTATTCTGCTTAAATAATTTTATACAACTGACGTATTGTAGATTGACAAACATAAATTAAGTCCAAGTGGCATTTATTATGTTCCTCCAAATGGAGTGTTAGAAGATTACAAAGAATATATCAGAAATCTCCCTCTGAATGATTAGACTGAAGTGTTCGGACTACATGATAATGCAGAGATATCATCAGCAATTATTGAAACTAATTTCATTACATCAACCATATTATCCTTATTACCAAGATCAACAGGAGGTTCTGGTGTGTCTGCTGAAGACTTAATCAAAGAGAAATGCAAACAAATCTTATCTAAATTGCCTAATTAATTCAACGTTGAGGATGCTGCTCGTAAACATCCTGTGCAATACAATCAGAGTATGAATACTGTCTTGCAATAAGAGTTGATTAGATTCAACAAATTGTTATTAGCTGTTAGACAGTCTCTCATCGATTTAGGTAAGGCAATCGATGGTTTGGTCGTTATGAGTACAGATCTGGAGCAAGTGTTCAATAAAGTGTTTGATAACCAAGTCCCGGATGTGTGGCACAAAGTTGCTTATCCCTCACTTAAACCACTAGGATCATGGATCAATGACTTTATTGACAGATTGCATTTCATGCAGTTGTGGATTGATAATGGAGCTCCGCCAACCTTCTGGGTATCTGGGTTCTTCTTCACTTAATCATTTTTGACTGGAACTCTTCAGAACTTTGCTCGAAAAGTATGTAATTAATTAATAATTTAGTACCAAATCCCAATTGATACACTCTCCTTTGAATTCATAGTGATTCCTCCTTCATCTCAAGAATACGATCTTACAAAACCTCCTGATGATGGATGCTACGTTTATGGTCTGTTCCTCGATGGTGCTCGATGGGATGAGGAAAATAGATGTCTCAACGAAAGTTTACCAAAAGTACTCCAATACAAGGTGCCCTACTTATGGCTATTACCAAGTGAAGAGAAGAAGGATTGGGATGCTGATATATCGGTACGAATACTCATCTAGATCTTAGGTTTATGAATGTCCAGTCTACAAGACATCGAGAAGAGCTGGTACTCTATCAACGACAGGTCACTCCACCAACTTTGTCATTTCTATATATTTACCCATTTCACCAGATCATCACCCATATCATTGGGTCAAAAGAGGAGTGGCTATGCTATGCTAAACTGATGATTGATTCAAATTTTATAGTGTTACGGATTAATATATATATTAAAATCACACATAGTTATCACATAAACAGTTTATTGTTTTTGTGTCTTAATAATCTAACCTCAAAAGAGACCTTTTTTTGAATAGCAACTTATTTTGGTCTATGAACTGATTTTTAGGACTTGGTTTGATTTATTTTTAAAATACTCTTGATAGTCTGGGTGTCTGACCCTCCTTAATTCTTTCTCAAGTTCACTGAAGTCTCTTCTTATAATACTACTTAGAATTTAGTTTGAGTTACAATTGCATTTAATTTTTGACTCACAACCTATACTGCCTCGCTTATCCTTGCTTGTTCTTAATGAACTGTATTTTATTCATTGGTTATTTTCTCTTCAGTAAACCTTTTATTGACGTCCTAATCTTCCAGAATGCTCTCCAATTCGGTTAACTCTTGAGCATCCTCAAGTAATTCGGAATGAGTCAAAGGCTTCTCCAACGCACATTGTCTGTGAGGAGCCATTTTAATTTGCTTATTGATAATTGGAAATTGAGGATTTTCCTTATTGTTAGATGATCTATTAATACAGACAGATCCCATATGCTTGAAGCTTTATTAATTTTTTTATGAAAACAAACAAATATATAAGTCATTCTTATTCAATTTAATTAGGTGGAACAGTAAAATATTTAATCTTTCCTTGGTTCCAATCCTACAACACAATTCTAGCTGCACAATCTAAATCTGGAATGCCTCCTTTCTGCAACTTCCCTCTAGCCAAAGCTACCTAACACAAGAACTCGTTCAAATTGTTGAATGTTTGAATTTTGTACAGTAAGAGTAACTCATTCTTAGAAACCTTTTTCAAAATTTCTCCAATTGGCTCCCTTGGATCCTCAATTTACTCAATCTACGAATAATATAAATTGGATGATACCTTGATGATATTCCTTAACAAAGTGCTCTCCTTATTCTCAGAATCAAAGACTACTCCTGGACAATCAATGATCTTCACCTAACTGTCAATAACCACTTCTTAAAGACCCTTTGTGAATCCTGGAGTAGAAGACACAGCACAAGCCTTGCTCCTCTTGAGACTGTTGATGACTGAACTCTTTCCAACATTGGGATATCCAATAACACCAACAGTCACACTGCTCTTAACTCCATCATTTTTTGAGTAATTCTTTATCAATTCCAATAGCTTGTCAGCTCCTATGGCTTTAGAGGATGAAGTCAAATCATCAGCCAAATCCTGTCTCTGAGATAGGGTTTTCTTGTAAATGGAGGCTGATGATAAGTTGGATTATTATTATTAGGTATTGGCTTTGAAGAGAACAGTAGCAAATTCTCTTTCGCAAATGAGCCAACCATGCATCTGCATTGCCTGGAGGAACTAAATCGATTTTGTTCAACACCAATATTATCTTTTTATCTCCTGGCATACCGAGGATTTCTCTCTCCAAATGCTTGCATCTACATGCCAATGGATCTCTGGCATCCAAGATTATCAACAATATATCAGCAGCCTTAAATTTAAATTGATTAAATTTACCTCTGCTACTTTCTTCACTTGGGTAATATATTTCTTATGCTCTTTGGTTAATTAAGTCAAATTCTCTTATTTGATTTATTCTTCTTCAACAACCACCTGAGCCTTTGTCTCATATAGATTTGATTTGACTTCAGCCAAATTAAGATCGAGTTCCTCTTTTTATTATAATTTTTATATCTTTTTCTCCTGCTCCTCTTAATCCTTCTTCCTTTTCAGGGTCTCAATAACATTCTTCTTAAATGGATACATATTGGGGATTCCTATCTCTTTGGACGAAGCTACAATGTTATTAAGATTGAAAATACTTTTCTTAATTTATCCCAAGGCACTCATCTTTCTGGCTTCCTTTTTGAGCTTTTTGTGATGCTATTTAACCTTCTTCTCTATTTTGTATTTCTTATTCAATGCCAATCTCTTACTTGTACGACCCTTAGGTTTGTTTGTAAACTTAGCCATTTATTAAAAATATTTTAATTTTTATATTATCTCAAACACCTGTTGCATACATCTTCACAATATCAAGTAATTCGTTTGGTACCTCACATTCACTGGCTATAAACTACGCTATGTTGGCAATACTCTATTTTTTATATCAATATGATTCTATACATGTATGTCAATCAATTTGCTCAAGTACAACAACAAATGGAAATCTGCAAATCTGTGATGACTCGGTTTCTTTTAGTGTTTGTGTAAGAATGTCTTCAAGTCTTACTATTTAGCTACTACAGATCTGTTCTCCACTGGGAAATCGTACAACTTTAGAATACTATAATTTGAATTCGGATTGTATCCATGAGCAACCTTTATAAACATTCAAGTTTAATATTACATTCACAATAAAGAAGTCAGGCTCAAACTCTTTGACTGATTTTCCATTGTACACAAAAGAGGGCAAGACATCCAATTCGTTTTTAGCCTCTCTAACTTACAACACCTTTCTTCTTTCAGAATTCTAGAATATCCCATCTTGCTCCAATTGTTATCCCTAGTCAGAAACCATATAAACCTCTGGAACCACCTCATCAGGGTTGTCCTTCTTGGCTGAAAATGATATGGCTATTATTTTTACTTCTCAGCACAACTGTCAAGAACTTGCTCACCAAACAACCCTCAGGATGTTAAATAGAATGCATTTGTTAGTATCGTGCTGCCTATCTCAATTCTTCACTCGATAGAAAACAATCATGATTGACATTTGTAAAAATCCAACCTATTTTCTCCATTCCCAAGTTAGTTGCTATTTCATCAGCATGAGTTTAAGCAGGATCTTACAACAAATCAACATGACCAAATGTTCCTTTTTGAGGAGGTTCATATATAGCTTCGACTATGGCTCTGACACCGTTTTGATAATTAGGGTCTGCAGCGTAATATCCGTATAAGAATCCCATTCTCTATTCTGTTTTTCCTTTGCTAGTCCAATATTGCACTAAATTCGACATTTCTGGGATGTTCAGGAACTCAACATAATCAACATGTCTGTAAATTTGTCTCTTTAACAAGATGGATGGTGGAAGACAGTTATTGCACATGGCCTTAGGATACGGAGCATGATTTTTGCAATCTTTCTTGAGTTTATAAGATATCTAGGATTAAGGTGGAATGGGATTACCATAGTTGGGGGAAGACAGTTGTTACATCTCCCATTGTCTGGGTGTTATCCACGACATTTGAATTTCATATCATGCAAATATTGATCAAATGAAAGATGTTTGGCCTCTATTTGTCCCTCGTCTATGCAATGTGGACACTTTCCATTGGGCCCATGTTGACAGAGGATCTTATTGGCTGTTTTAGTATTCTTCTTCTCCTATTCATAAGGTGCACAATTCAAACAACGACCCCCCTCTCCGTGCTTGCATTTATTAATCTCTGTTTTCTCCTGCTGTTCTACCTTGGTTGATGTTGTAGATAAACAGTTAATACATTTTGCTTGTGGACCATGTTGGCAAAATTAACTCAATGCACTAGGATTGTAATATGAATTCAATACTGGTCTTTGTTTTCGTGGATTTTATGGTCAACCTGTTAAATCTATTAAGGATTTGCTTCTTTTCCAAATGCCATATACACTTTTGGTTGTTCAGGAGTTTAAATTTGTTATGGTTTTTATTGAACTTTCTTTTGGTCAACGGAGACATTGATGAAGGCTCCATTCCTATTTATTTGTTATTATTTATTACTCAAATTTGGAAATGTTTTTGATTGGCGTAGTGGGAGATATTCTCAAAGTTAACACCACTCCATCTAAAGATAATGTTAATGATTCAGGAGGTTTATTCAAAATTTGACTAATTTTGTTTACAAATTCTTAAAATGTTTGAGTAGAAAGAATAGAGACTCTATTCATTCCAACCTCCGACCTTATCATAACTATAATCTCTGACATTTAAACCTTATTAAATTTATTAATTGAAATTCAATTTCACATTAGTATTACAATATATGAATGAGAATACTTTCCTTCGATAATTTGTATAATTATGATTAAAAATAACAAAAACTAATATTCATAACTTATCGAGTAACTATTGTGTTTATTTCAAAGGAGTCCAACTCATATCCCTGTTGATAATTTTTGTATAGATGTGGGTTTCAATTCCATTCATATTCTGTTTCCCAACCTATAGCAGATGCACTATGAAAGCGATGTAATTTGAAAGACTATGAACTTCATCCACATGCTCATGGAATTGCAAACCCTACTTCTCGAACTCCCATCTAGAAAACTATACTTAAGATCTGATACCTCTCTAATGAACAAATGACGCAAACATTGTTTCTGTCATACTCGTTTTGTTACTACTTATCTCTCAGTTCCGCAAATGTGTCTATTATGATACCATTGATGATGTTGATCATAATGAGAGTTACAATTATGAAAAAACTAAAATCAAAGAGAAATCGTGGGTAATAATCAGATGACTTGTGATAACTTTCAATATCCCCATGTGCTGCTAATCCAGATCCTTCTCTCAACCCAAAATACACCAAACTTATAAAGCAATGAGCAGGAGTATCACAGAGCAATTCCTCTTCATGAATATCGTCTTCTGGATGCACTATTACATCCAATTAAAAACTAGTTGCAAATCTCCTGAATCCTATGTAACTGTACGCATTCAAAATAATGAGCAAAACACTGAAAATTCCCAAGAATTACTACCATCTCAATCGCAATGCCTCCAATACTGAGGACATTGTCTAAGAGATGTAAATAAAACAAAAGCTTTGCAGGTAAAAACAGAAGGGTTCAAAGGTTCCTAAAACGCTCAGGACAAAATGCAAGAAAAATTAGAAAATGTCTCTCCTCTACAATATCTTGAACATGATAACAAATGTGTTGTAGAATGTGTGCTTAACCTCCTTGCAGCTGATTTGATAATAGATACTCATTCTGAAAAACAATTGGCAAATCAAAGCCAAAAGTGACATGAATATCAACAGTATTTGACAGAGTGTCAATGCCAAAGAATGAGACTCTTGGTACTTCATTGAAATGCGATTCTCCTCATTTTCTATTTTCATAAAAGCTGTATTCGATATCAAAAGGAGTACTATGATATTCAAGGCAGTAATCGACGTAGCCAATTGGGTGTGATTGAAACTAAGTTTAAATAAGGGGATAGTTACTTGGGTGATATGGCAACACTGATTAATCTTTGGAAGAATAAGGATTTTCTATATTTGGACATGTTTTCTTTCATCTCAGTCATGAATTGAGGGATGGAGTCAAATATGGATGCCAACTTAGATGCTGGATTTGATCTGTCAATGGTTTCTATCAAGAATTGTAATTTGGTTTCCTCAGATAAGAAAAAGCACATTGGAGGTTTGAGAAAATGGAAAATCTCAATCTAGTCCTTCTGATTCACATATTCGATAGATCCAACTATATTAAATATAAACTAAAAGGCTGACTTTACCAGATGATCTCCTTCTCTTTTGAATAATTGTGGTTGTCCTTATTAGCATTACTACTTTTGATCCTTTAAGTATTGACATATTTCAAGACTGCTGGTAGCATACAAATTCAACATCTTGTAGATTTAATAAAGTATCTTGATAAGCATCTTGGAATCGAAAATCAATGACTCGTTAATATTGTCTCCTAATTCTCTTCTATACTTCTCAGTCAATTGACTGTCAATTGTAGATAAATCCTTCAGGTCTAATTTATTAAATATTATCAACGCTCTATACGTCTATGTGAGGGTTTCTTCTAATAGTTTGTGATTGATGAGATTCATTATGTATTGGAAGTCATCTGGATTTCTCTCAGGATCTTCAAGCAATGACAAAATCAATTGAAATATATAAAGTCGAAGTGTGTACACACTATTCTATTGGTTCTCATTTGTCCTTACAGTTAAGATTTGGATGATGACTTGCCAAACCCTATTTTTACTTAATTCATTAAAGGTTAATTTTTAATTGTTTTATTACGAGCCTTAGTTGAATTCAGCAATAGTTATGATTGTATGAGCGAACAATTTAAGGAAGGCCTAGGATACATCAATTCCATACTAATCCCCTTGAGTACTGTGAATCCCAAATTGCATAAACTCATTCTAAGTACTTGTTTGCTTCTGACTGTTCTTCCTTTTTTGCAAGAATTTCAGTAGGTAATCAGTAGTACTACTATTCTTCTTCTTCAGTTGCATAGTTCTTACATTGTGAACTGCTTTTTAAAAGCTAGCCTTGGTTTGTGATTTAATTTTGTTTTGATTGTTAGTCTCCCTTACTATTTCCAAAATCTATTTCGACTTAAATAAATCAACTAATAATTTGAGAATGCACAGCAACAGGCCTGATTCTCCCACATAATTCTGCATTTCTTAATTTTGACCCTCTGCCAAATATCTTATGAATTCAAGGACAATTATTGAATATTTACCACTGTTGATTACTATTGACAAATAAGGCTAATCTTGATATACGATAACCTTTTTAAATAAAAATGGAATGATTTTGGTTGATAAGTATTGCAGGAAACTGTCAAAGTTCTTTTAAAAATTTGGATATTTTGGATCTTGTTTTTGAATATTGGTGTTGATTATCTATTGTACTGGTTTCGTTTCTGCTTGTATTAATCTCTACAATTATACTATATAATTGATATGAGACATAAAAATTGTATTTGGATATTCCAAATTGCGATTTCTCTAAAACTAAGTCTATTATTATAGCAATTCAATTAAGACATTTATGAATATTAGACTGTATTACTCTTTACTCCTATTGCGATATTCCTTTTTAATCAATTGCACTATTGCATTCTACTCCAATATATCGTTGTCTAATTCAATCCGCTTCAGTTTAAATTTCAATAACACCTTATTCAAAGCCTAGAAAACACTCTTGTCTTTGAATCTAACAATATCATCGATTGCCTTCTATGAAATTGCAACGCTTAAGTTGTTCTCCTTAATCAAAAATATCTCTGGTGGACTTGAGTTGTCATGCTTATTGGATAAGGAGTAGTTCACAAGAGTCTTGAATTTCTCCATCACTTATACCAACTCTTCGAATCCTCCCAAGGGACCCTGAAACAATTTCAATTACTTCAATTATTGACTAAAGTATTAGTGGATCTATTCTATTTTCTCTATTATCGATGCTTATTCTAAGAGATCCTAAGTCTCCAACAATTGGTTTCTGTTGAAATAATCAATAATCAGATTCATAAATCGAATAAAGGTATGTGTCAACAATACTGTTGCTATTGCTAACCCTTCTTGACTGCCTAAGTCCTTTTGCATTTAGAATATTTCATTCAATTATTTCATGGTGAAGGATTGCTGAAATATAAGCGATTAGTTTAATGAGTTAATTGAAAAAAAGGACATTTGTGATAATTAATTCTAGGGACTACCTTAATTATTTGAAATTCCATTCTAAATTAGTTCCAAAGAAGTAGTAAATGACATAAACGAATATCTATTCTAATTTTGATTGATGAACACATCATAGGATGAGGAATCGGGAGTATATTGATTCCCTTTTGTGAAGATGTCAGTCGAATGATTAAGCACCTGAGGCAATATTTTGTTGTATAGATTCTCACATATTTAATGGAATTGTAGATAATCGTGATTCATTTCGTTTGATATTATGATCAACTCCAAGATTGCAATGAGCAATTCGAATATTTAATGCTTATTATACAATATGCTAGATGCATGCTTTTAAGTTAACTCTGAGCAATCATCATATTGAGTATCCAACATTTCATTCAAATTAATGAGATGCTGCAATAAGAATTAGGGATTTAAGAAGCAATATTAATAGACATTAATAAACCCACTTTTTAGTATTACATCAAAGTGAAATTTGATTATGATGTTCCTGAGAGTGCATTAACCATAATAAGGTAGTTCCTTTTCTGCAATTCTTTAAAATATTTAATAATTTTCTACTGTATATATCTAATTTATCAATTATTGATTGAAATTGATCATCCGGTTTAGTATTTCAAACATCAAAGTTGTAATATTAATTATTATTTCTAATTGAGCCAACTTAACGAATTAATTTTATATAAGGAACTAACAATATCGTATGATGATTTAATCTAAGCCCTTCTCATAAAGTACTTGTTGAGTCTATTTTATGATTTTCATATCCGATTTCAAATGTTGCTTTAATTCCTCCTGCAGATTCTTTGCTGATTGACTAGGTTAAATTGTATAACTACTTTTTTTTTTTTTGATTTTCACAGATTTTCTCTTGATTAGCCTCAAACTTCTCTAATTCCCTAAAATACTTTGTGTTAAGAAGTTCTTTACATAATTTCAATAGCCTTTCTAGATCCCCTTCTTCAATTTCAAATGAGATTTCAACTGAATTTAGAAAGTACTTATTCCATTCAGCCTTAAAGTTTTCAACTTGACTTATAAACTTATGTAAATAATAATGCTTACATCCTAATTTAATATGGTCAGCCTTTCGTATTTCCATAGCAACAGATCTTCAATCTACAATTACATAATCTAAGTCCTCAAAGTTGTGTCAACAAAAAGATTTTCTCTCAACATTATTTAAATGATATGATTCAATTTGGATTGCGGATTCATCATCTAATTATAATACTATCCATTCAAATTATAGTTTATGACTATGTTAATAAAGACTCTCCATATGATTTAGAGCTTCTCTGATTCCCCACTGTAAAATAAATCTATTTGCAAATTCTTTTTCTTCTTCTCAAAATAGAAAGACGCAGTGTATTTATCAATTAATGAAATCTATCTCTTCTCATTCCTGTTAATCTACTCATTCAGAATCTCATAAAATAAATCGTCCTTCATTTGAAAATATGTCAATATCAATATCTTACTCAAGAGGTTGAACATCTACTCTGTGAAGAACCTTTGAATCTACCCAAAGTTCTTCTATTGGTTATAATAGTCAATGTCTTTGCATAGTTTCTCCAAATTGAGGATCACCTTAAACACTACTTGAGTCTTAATCAATAGCCCCGTTTACAATCCCATTTTCACACATTTCAACAAGACTATCAACAATTTTGAGAGGATTGGGTTGGTGATTTCAATATCAAATAAGATTCTATAGTATCTCTTAATCAATTCAGTCAATTCCACTTGCAAAATTCCATTATCCAAACATTGATTATACTTCCTGATTTAGCTCCGCTGTATTGGAGTGCTATTCTCGATGTCCAAGGTGTCAATTTTTCTAAATTTAGAGAATTCATATTTAAGTTGTATGGATTGTATTTTCAAAATCTTCAAGACCAGCTGAGAGAGTTTCTCTTTGGCTGATTCTTATAAATTTTATGATAATATGTGATATTAACCTAAACATAGTTAGAGATTGATTACTCACTAAGAATTTAATCTAACTTGACGTCATGCATTGCCACATCTTATCATCAAGGTATGTTAGATTGTACTTTAATTTTATAAGTAGTTATTCTATAAACACATGGATGGATGCAATTTCAGTATACGGGAATCTCTTCTCTGTGAAAAGTTCTAAGATTTTTTCATTCAAATTTTATTCATCCTATTAAACATCTATTCTAATAACCATAAGCAATAATGTATTACAGTTTTTAAGACCAGATGCATGTTTAATTGAAGTCTCCTGTCTCCAGTTCATTGAAAATATTTTCAAATGTATTTTTCAATTCTCCAAAGAGGAGTTCGAAAAGATCAAAATTATTTAACAATGCGTTAATAATTTTTATCATGACCAACTCATCTTCAGGCTTGTATTTAAGCGTCTTTGTGATGTTGTACTTCTTTAATTATTCATTGTAATGCACTCTGAGTTAGTATTTGGAATGCAATTAATCGCACTTACAATCTTCCCCAGGGATATATTTATGAGTATGCTTGCAATTTTTAATACAGAATGAACAAAGATTAGTCTTACAAGTAGGGCAATTTGAAATAGGACAAAAGGTTTGAGAATTCAATGGACAGGGTTGAACAACTAGTTATTTTTGTTTATGCTTGAACAGTCCGCATTCACACTTAAAATTCCCCCTGAGTTTTAGTAATTTTGCTTGTTAGTGATATACATTCCTAGTTTTCTTATGACAATGCTCAAAACAGTATTTACAAATCCCATGAGGATAATCAAAGCATTATCCGCATTAATACATTTCCTATATTATCATTTTATTAGTTTGTAAACTACAGTCCTAAGACTTGAATGTTTGGTTAAATTCAGGTATTTGTGATCTTCTACTATTCAACATTAATAAATATTATATAATGTAAATTTTAAATTTTAATTCCATTCTGCCGAAATCACTCCTATCTAATTATTATAGATAAACCTTATTAGTTTAATAAATCAATTAAGTTTGGTATATATTCATAAATTAATATCATTTATTTGACCACTCTATTCCATTCTCACCGATTTAATAGAGAATTGATTTATCAAATGGCAATCTGTCATTCAGTGATTTATGAATCTTCATGATTTTTGATTATTTCGTAGAAATCAAATGGATGATAGTACTAGCGAAAGTGTTGATATATTAATCATATTTAGTTGCTTGTATGTACTGCAATTAATCCTAGACTGATCTGATTGAGATTACAAAAGTGTTTTGTTAAGACTCAGTCAATTCATGAAAATATCTCATTAGTTCATTAATGATATGGTAGAAATTATAGATTTCTATTTCACTTTCGTAATACAAGGTCATTAATCCATCAATAAAAATAATAGTCTTACTAGGTATGTTCTTGATTAGTTACTCGAAGTCTTTGAGACAATCAACAGCCTTATATTAAATTCTGCTTAATATATCAAGGGTTGCTGCCTCAGAATTCGAACTTTTAATCATTTTGTATATTCTTTAAGCTGACAAGGTACATGAACAATCATAATATATCACATTCGAATTGCTAATCTAATTAGAGAAATAGTTTTCAATGGCTGAAAACATCATGGAAGTTTTGCCACTTCCAATATCACCTAGAATAAGCGAGATATTATTAAGTGGTAGACATTCATACTCACCTAGGACTAAATATTAGTATAATTTTGGTTGCGGATTTTAGTGTAGTTGATTCAGAATGTTCTATTCCATTTCCCTTATTGTGGCTATTTCTGAATCTATTTCATTGAACAGTGCATCAACATCATTTGGTAACATTTTCTGCGAAATGAGTTTTTCATAGAACTTCTATCTTTTTTACTTCAAGAAATCCAAGACACTTACAACTCCATTCCCTTTGAATCTCTGCAAGACAGCTTTTCTATTCCCCCCAAGCAAAACACTTATCTAATTTATTTTAGATTGCTTACAGGAAAGTAATTCATTTTAATTATTTTTATATTTATTCCCGCCATTTAATATGACATTCTAATCTAGTCTCCCTGAGATTGATATAATACCAGAGGGTGAAAACAAGGATCAATCCTACCTTTAATAATTATTGCATAACAGGACTCCCAATCCCAAAGCTTAAGAATAACAAGAAATGCTCATTGAGGAACAATCGCCCCCTGTTAGGAGGAAGTTGTTTTAAGAGAGAAAACTGTATAAAGGTGAAAGTGACATCGAAGAGGAAGTCGAAGAAATCAAGCAAATGGCAAAAGTAAAATCGGATAATCGATCGGCATTGCCAGGATATTAGGTTCATAAAGATTACACAGTGATGCTCAATTTGACAGATATTTCTTATGGAGTCAAGGGTCACAACAAGTTCTATTAGATATAGGTCTTGAAGAAGGATGGTGACTACTTTCTATTCACTAAATGGGGAAGAGTAAATATCATTATACAACAATTTAGACTGGCGCATCGAATCCATAGTAAGAAATCAAAGAAAGCGATCTGGTCACAGCTATAAAAGGGTTTGAGAAGAAATTCCGAGATAAAACCCATTGGGATTGGAGAGAGAGAACTGAATTCAAATAATAACCAGGGAAATATTGCATAGTCGATGTTTTGGGAGGAGGAGGAGGTTCTGTGAATAGTGAAATAGAGAAGTTGAATTAAAGAAATGGAAGAATTGCAGCCAGGATCAAGAACTTACCTTCCACTCTAGATCCTCCAATATTTGAATTGATGAGTGAAATTTGGGATATTCAAAGGATGAACAAAACTCTTAAAGAATTGAACTTTGATACTGATAAGAATCCATTGGGTCGTTTGTCTGTGGAGGCCATCAAGAAAGGGTTCAAAATACTCAATGAAATTCAATAAGCCCTAAGAGACTTCAAATATAGTTTATTGGTTGATCTTACTAACGAGTTCTATACAAATATCCCTTAAAACTATGGCATGAAATTACCACCTAAGATTGATAATTATGAAATCTTAGGCTAAAAGAACTAATTATTGACTGTGCTATAAGAATTAGAATTGGCTAATCGATACATCAACAGTACTTTGGCTGAGAACAGTGACGTCAATCCTCTAGATTAATTTTACAGACTATTAAAAACGAATATTAGAGAGTGTTAAGATTTCGATGTCATTTCTAAAATTGAACATTCTATCAATGTATCGCATGGTCCAACTCATGAGAAATTTAAATTGTAAGTAGCAAAAGTCTATGAAGTTGAAAGAAAAAACGAAAAAATTAGATTCTTTCCATTCAAAGCCTTAGAAAATAGAAAACTATTGTGGCATGGATCAAGAATCACAAATTTTGTAGGAATATTATCAGAAGGATTAAAAATAGCACCTCCAGAAGCCCCAAGTACTGGTTATATGTTTGGAAAAGGAGTTTATTTTGCTGATATTTGCTCCAAATCAGCTGGCTATTGTGTTGCCAACATTGATCATCCTTATGGATATGTGTTATTATGCGAGGTTGCTCTGGGCAACACCTATTAAATTTATAAAGCTAAGGATCATGTTAGACCCCCTCAAAATTACCATAGCATACATGCAGTAGGCAGAAATCATGCAGATCCTAAAACCAGAGAGAAGATTAAGTATATATATTTGAAGATTAATTATAAATAGTAACCTAGATTTTGAGTCTGGAAAAGTCATCCCAAATGAAGAATTAAAGATCCACAACATTGAATCAAGTCTAATTTACAATGAATATGTGGTTTATGATGTTGCTTAAGTGCAAATTCACTATCTAATAAAACTTAAATTTATATTTTGAATTTGAAGTTATTTATAATATAAATATCTCATTAAATATTATGAATTTATCAATGGAACAATCATAAGAGATTATTAAGTAATGGTTTAAAGGATCCGAAAATATATATAATTACAATGTTTTAACATATCCCTCATATGAATAATAAGTATTTGTATAACACAAAGTAGGCATACATTTTAACCTAACATTAATTATATGAATTATGTAGATAAAATCAAAATTAGCAGGATTTATAAAAGAATTTATTTTAATTTAGTGATCAACATAAGGCCATAATATATGTCATGTTTCTCGCTCCTCAATATTAAAGAAGTGTAAATTTAATTAATTATTTATTTAGCTGTTTGATTTAATGAATATAAATGGGTTTCATAATATTATTGCATTTTATTCAGAATTTAGTCACTTCATAAATACCTAATATCATTTATTGAAAGATCATATCAAGTTATAGATATTTGAGATTATGAAGTTTTTCTTGGAAAATCCACTTGATTAATTGGAAGAATGCTTCAAAAGCTTCCTAAGAACCTGCATCATCTATCCTCACAACTCCAACTACACTTTTCTATTGGAATTCCTGAACTTTCTATTTGATCAACACAAACAAATAATAGCCAAACCAAACTTGGCCGCACTATTATTTTACAAATATCTATTGATTTTGAATATCGACGACTATTACAAGATACAACAATTCCCACATAAGAAAATCAATGATCTAATGATTGAAATATGGTAACTCTACTAATAGACGATTTTATCATTTGGCAGAGAGTTGTTGATCAATCTCTAAACTCCCTTTCAATATTCAGAGTTCAACATCTCCATGATAAATTTAAATGTAATCAAATAAAATCTACCTATATCCCATTTGATCGCCAATCAGACTACCACAACTGCAGCATACAAGGCAAATTACTAATTGGCCTTGCCTTATGAAGTGGAACAAAGAATCGGCTTTGCAATATTTTCATAGATGCCCCTAGAGAGTATGTCCACCTTTTTGACAATGATATTCGAGAAATACGGATATCATATCAATTTCATAGGAGCAATAGTCAGAAACATTATTTGTGGCTACCAATTCGATGAAACGGAAATAATCCAAAACAAAATCGCTGATACCTTGCTATTAATATACGAGATCGCCGATCTGTAAGGTGAGAAATGGCCAGTCTTCTTGAAGTTCATCTATTCAGACATATTCTTTATGACTAAGTAAATGCATACATGATATTTTAAGAGATTTTAAGGACGATCACAACATCTAGGCAGGCTTGTATTTCTTAAGAAAACTGTACCATAAATAATTATATAATGAATTGCAAGGGGCTTTGTGGTTTATCTTTTAAACTTTCGAAGTTAACGAACAATTGAAAAAGAAGGTCTAACCACAATTGCTATCATTGAGTTCTCATAACATCTTTTAAAAGCTATTGGAAGATCAAAATATAAGAGAAGCAATCAAGTGCAAAATACACGAGTACTTCCTGAAGTTGATCTGTAACCAATATCAAGGTCCTGGAGGATTGAGTTATGATTAGCCCCATACGGCATTATACACAGTTGACGATTTGGATACTCCTCAAGTATAGTATCTCAATGGCAATACAACAAACATTGATGACTCAATCTTAGATGAATTCTAAGGGAATTCTATATCAAACTAATAAAATGATATTATGTTGGAAGAGGCCGATGTTGCAAATACGATCTAAATAGATATCACTTTGTAAAAGATACTAGAAAAGGAGAAGCTCGATGCAATATTTTAGAATCCTCAGTTAGAACAAAATCTAATTCGATTATACAACTTCTTCAACAAGTCCATTTAACCAGATGTGAAACATGTGTTTCTTTAAGAATTGACCAAAATTATTATCAGACTGTATGAAGACTAATTCTACGATCTTGATTATGGTATCGCTTTTGTTATTATGTAGAATACCCTTTTAATTGTTTATCCACATTACTGTAGATAAATTTTAATTAGGACAGTTTATTGTATGACTTAATAAAAAGCTTGGTGTCTTCTGAGTAATTTAGCATTCATTACTTGTTTTTGGTATACTTTGAACGCAAGACAAAATCAGTGCATCTAGAGAAATTGCTTATGTAATCGCCAGATCAAATAATAAAATCATTTAAAATTATTCAAAGTTTGATTTCAGCTCAAAGAAGTTAAGTGATTTTTGAAGAAGTTTTATCAAATAACCAATTGAACACAAGCATAGATTTTGTTTTCAATCTTTTAATGATTACCAATATCTAAACCATTTAAAAAGCATCAAATAGAATTTAAATTTTGTTCTGTTCTAATTACAGTTCGATTTTGTACTTCTTAAAGAAAATTCCTCAGATTGAAACTCTTTAGCTCTTTGGCTTTGTGGTGGAGTTAGTTTAGAAGATAATTAAGTATATTTAAATTAATTATGCAGGCTTAATGAAAATCAAAAGGACATGAATATTCTGATCGATCAAATATTTGTTAATATAGAAAATCCAAGTAAAGCATTTTGGATGGTGTTCACATAGGTGTTTTAATTATTGTTACAATACAAGAGAATATCTGAAGTAATTATAATGTTATGAAAATATTTAGGAGAATTTAATACAATTTTTTGTGAATTGCTTTGTAAATTCAAATAAATATTGCGAAGGCATTGCAGAAATATTTTTAATGACTCCAAATACATTGAAAACATTTATTTTCAAGGCGTTGACTAAACATTTGGATAAGACAAAAAACTATGAATCGGTGGAATTCATATTAAAACATTTGATAAAGGATTAAAAGAATGTCAGTTTTAAAAACTCTCTTCAAAATAATTTAGATAATTATATGAAACAATAAGAAAAAAAATGAATTTTAGTGTTTATTTTTTATTCTTTGAGTATATGATGATCGTTATTGATTAATATTATTATTATATTTCTATCAATTTTCCTTCTTTTCTAATTTGTAAAATGATAATTCCTATATATGCTTATCTTTCAATTCTTCCCATAATTTTTAATACCTTTCCTAATTTGGTTGAGCTATTAAATTAATTTTACTCTAAATGAATCTATTGAAATTTGATTGCTTATAAAAGTTGGAGTCTGCATTGATCTGCTTCACATCTATAAATCTAGACAATTGCTCAGTACCATCAAGATTACCAAATGATTCAGTTTGACTAAATTTATTTTACATACATCTTACTTTAAATTCAATCTAAAAAATAATAGGAGTAGCAATTTAATCAAATAAGTCCGTTAATCATCAGGTTCGTCACTACAATAAGAATAATTCTAGTTTTTGAAATCTATATCAGGAACAATTTCATTAAACTCTTTGAGGGACTATTGCCAATCTGAAATCTTAACATCTATTCTATTTTTTTGAGTTGATATTAAAATATTAGAAGGAGAAACGAATTTCATTTTCTTCTAGAATTATTGATTGCCTCCTGAGGATCTCAAATCTGTTTAATCCAAGTATGTTAATATTTGATGAGCTACTTAGAATTTCTAATCAATGTTGAATTGAGTTGATGCTCTAAATCAATTTTATAAATAAATTACGCAAATGAATAAAGATTGTGATCTTCAAGGGTTGAAATAAGATACATCGAACCAATCGGACTAGTTTAATCAGTTTCTTTTAGTGGCTCTACCTTATATGCATGATATTTCTTGTAATATTCCCCTTTTTGCTATTGTTTACCAAGATTAATAAGAAAATTGTGAAATTTTTGTAAATTAACTCCGTTCCAGCACTTAATAAAATACATCCCTTTGTCTTTTAAATGCCCAATAAAGCTGTATGAATTGTAAGGAGTTTATCGTATGATTCTCATATTTCTTATCTCTCCTTCTAATTCTCTGAGAGTGTTGGCAAATTCAGAACCTCTTTACTTGTAACTTGAGATATTATCATCCAAAAACAAGGGCCCTTTAATCTCATTATTGGGAAATTGAAGATCTATTAATTGTTCCTTCAATAGTTAAACTTTTAATTGATCAACTGGTTTTTGATTGTATTGAACTTCTACAGAATCTTGTTGAAGTTTAGCATATTTTTCCTTGAATCCTTCGACTTTACTTTCGAAAAGTTTTTGTTATTTAGATCTTGGGCTTTCTATTTGACTAAGTAAAAGGTTGGCCTCTCTGACTTCAACAGGTTTAGTGTTTCCTTAAACATAAGATTATTCGTTGTTGTTATGAACTACACTTTGATTTTGAATTTAACTTTGCGGAGCCTTAGATACTTCACTCTTTGGTTTTTTAGATGAGCAGCACATTGTTTATTAAAATGGAATATATATTAATATAATTGACTTTAATTTTTATTTTAAATGTCCTTTTTTAATCTACTCAACAGTATAGTTCTGTTAATAAAAATACATAAATGCCAGATTACATTTTATCATTACAATATACTTATAATCATAACTAGGTTATTAAACAACCTAAAGATGACTTTTTTTGGCTTCGAGCTTCCATAATTATTTTTTTAACAGGATAATTATCTTATCGATGTAATTAAAATGAACTTTGTGATTGAGATTTAATGATTTGAACATTATGAAATTCATCTTTCTTTTCTGAATAATTCTAATTCGGAGTTTTTATAGCATAAGATCGACTTGGAGTAACAGTTCTTGAATTTTTGTAGGAATGAATGTTTAATGATTAATATTATTGTTGAAATAGATTGTGTAGAGAATCCTAATTCAAAATTGGAGGTCTTTGAGTTTCAATCTAAGAATTCTAATAAGAGGTCTAAGCTAATAATTTATTCCTCATTGATTTCAATTTCCTTAAGTAATTATCCTTCTCATCCTTGCCTTCTCTCGACTTAAAAGCAATTCTGTTCTTTTTTCTTGAAGACAGACTTTGAGCCTATTCATTTTTTCTCAATTACGATTAAAGATTGACTGGCTGATAAAAATAATTTTAGATTTTTTGTTTCAACTATTCTAAGTTAGTATCTGATTCTATCTCCTCCCTTGCTTACTATTATTGAGGAATGACTTTTGTATTCCTAATGGTTTTCAATAAATTTTAATAAGGATTACAAGATTTTGGTTTGAATTCTGGAACAAAAACAGTTTCTGGATTATCAAACTCCTCTGAATTTTCTATTTTTCTTACCTAATCTTATAACTTTTCAATTCTTTCCTTTAATATGAGTTTAGTTTATCTTAAATACTTTTTCAATAAAACCGAGTGATAATTGTCTGCTATCTACAAGTATTAGAATAGTGGGACTCTGTAGACTTCACTCACCGTAGTAGAAACAGCATCAGTAGATCTGCGAATATTGTCTAACTGATTCCTATTTTAGTACCATGACTGATTATCGATAAACTCATAATCTCCAAAACATTGTCCAGTTCCCAAAGTCACAAGTCCATAATCTTATAATTTCCCTTTTACTTTTATTTTCTATTAAATTAATATTTCCCCACTCTTTACTACATAAAATGATTTATCATTCTGTCCTTCTTTATACACATACTGATTTCTTAGGATTGTAATTAATTTCAAATGATGTATGATCAATGCCAATGCCAATTCGTTCCATCCATAGAAAATAGCTGTGGGCTTTAATTGGTAATACTGAACTGCAATTAGATGATCTATCACAGGTTACAAGAAGTTGTAATAGGCCTCATAGCTGATAACGAGAAGTACAGAATTGCATGCACATACAACTGTTGCTGTTCTTGGAAGTCTATGATGTAGGCTCACTTCTCCAAAATAATCTCCAGGAACTAATACAGCTGCAGGTTACTTATTCTCAATAATATTAAATTGTCATACTGATTTCCGTAATCTCATAAGGGAATATATTCAGATTGCCATCCAAAATAAAATACATTTTCCTTCCTACTTCCCCCATGGTGAAAATTATATCCTTCTCTGAATGCATTTCAACTTGAAACTGTTTCATGAACATACGAAATTTATCTGTGCTTCTCAAGTATCTTTAAATTTTAGAACAAATTGGAAATATTTTTAGCATCTATTTCTCGAGATATTGCATGTCCTATTCACTTTGGTTCGATAACGCATTCAAAATATTCTTTACAGTGACCTGATAATTGCCCTCTGCAAATATTTTGGTCATGTTTTTCAGTAGTTAGACTTTCTAAACTGCCTTCTTCATCTAAGTATTTATAATTTAAATATAATTAAAAATAGGTAATTAGGACTTTACTGTTTCTTCTTAATTTTGATCCCACATCTCATTATGCACCTTACACTGTGATAAATCAAACTTAACTAGTTTTTACTTGAGTTTTATTTCCATTACTTCAGCATTCCTCAGAATTCTACTATGTTTCAAATATAGAATAAGCGACAAGTCCACAAATTTTAGATTTACTTGTTAAATCCAATTATTATTTCAATATGCATTCTTTAATGAATTATGCAATAATACTCGTGGAGTTAACTCACACATAAATATTTAATTTATTCTATGAGTAAAATGTTTGAATTTAAAAATAATTAACAGAAAAACATTACAAATGAAGGCCATCCCAAAATAATAGACCTTAATTACAGTTGCTCGTCCTTGCTCCTTGTCTAAAGAGCTTACGCCAATTTCCATTCATTCTCCTGACCGATAATTGGTGTATGGCTTGAAAACTTAAACATAAGCCAGAGTATAAACTTATGTAGGTTCTCCATTCATACAGTCCCCAACTTACGATGCAAATAAACCGCTCATTTCTTCACGTATGCATCTATCATAGTTCTAGCCAACTTGAATGTCCAACCTCAATCCCCAAAAAAATTGATAGACTCCTATCATTACAAATAGAGGACACTTGACTATAAATCCTCAGGGGCAGAATACAAACCATTTGAAACCACTAAACAACTAATTCCCTAAATCAACCAACAAGATTTTGCAAAGACCTATCAATTTGATATAAATAAAGAGAATAAGGAAACATATTCTAATACTGATAGAAGAACTCTGAATAACCCATTCTTAGAATCAAAAGAAAACATTAAGGTTGGACTTGAATTTCTAAGTATATCTCCAATTTAGGAATTAGCCAATTAGAATACAACTAACATACCTTCAAAATTAACTTAAACAACCTCAATAAAGTCGAAACTTTAAAATGACATCAACAAGATTTCTAGTTCTTTGAGAGAATTAATAAATTCAATCTAAAAGCAATTGGGAACAAGTAATCTAACTGATGTTCTTAATGATAAAATGATAGATGTGCTCTCTAATTTCAGAAAATTGGAAGAAACAATTGTGTCAGATTTCTCAAATTAGCAATTGCCTTAGGTGAATAGCTAACATTCAAATGAACAGAAAATCTAATCCTTGACTGAGGATTATAATAAATTGAAGGCCATTCTAGATTAATTACAGAACAAAATGGGATCTCTTGTTTAAGAGAATTAGAAGGTATCATCTATTATCCTAGCCTTTTAGTTAAATAAATAATTGATAGATTAAGAGCATTAGGTTTAAGATGAAAGGAGGAGACTCAAGGATGAGAATCAAAAACTACAATAGAATTAATGTGAATTGAACAGAGTGCTGGGATGTCTGCAACTCAACCAAAAAGAAAATGAGGAGTTGAGGAATCAGTTATAAAAATTGGAAAAAAACATCAGCGACTCAGTGGTTTGCCGATAATTATTTTAGCAAGATGAATAATCAAAAGAGTTTCAACTCAAATATTAAAATTTATTAAGAGATTATACTCAATTAGAATCAAAATATAAATAAGTAGTTTAAGAGAGAAACACAAGAGACATGAATAAATCTCCTTCTGTCTTGAGATCACCATCTGGAACTCCACATCAACAATAGAGTAAGCAGATGGAATAACTTGAATTGAAGATACTTTAATTGCAAATAGAGAATGATAATTTAAAAGCAGAGATTGCTCATAATTAGGTTGATTCAAGATCGTTAGATTAGAAGAACAATGTGATTGATTAGTTGGAAGAGAAGATAAGATCTATATTAAGAGAACGCACAGAATCTGAAGATCACCTTTAATAAATTTGTTATAATTTGGAAAATTAAATTGAGTAGATAAAATCTAATTTAAGTTAGAAAGAAACAGAATTGAATTAAATGGCTAAACTAAAGAAGGATGTTGAAAGAGACTTCCAATCCTCAGTCAAAAATCATCAAATAGTCCAAAAAGGACTGGATGATAAGATCACAAGCATTAAAGCAGATTATGAAAAATTATAAGCTGACTATAAATCTGTAGATTAGAAACGAATTAAGGCTGAAGAAAATTTAAAATCATGTGAAAAATCATTAGAATTACAAAAGTAAGAGTCGAATTCTTTGCAAACAGAAAATTTAAAACTTCATGATAAATTGTAACATCAATAAAAGTAATTGGAATAGTTGAGTCAACAATTGTAACAGTATCAATAATCAACCTAATAATTGCTGAAATAATTGGATAACTTGAAAGAAATTGAGTCTCAATAGAAGTAGGATTTGGATCAATTATAATCCTAATTAAGGTAGATCAAATAAGATGCTAAGAATTAGATCAACGATTTAAATTAAGCTTTAGCATTATCATTGACAAAAACAAAAGAGAAGGAAAAATAAAACATTGATCTTGTTGAAGAGATGAGTGCTTTGAAGGATCAATATGAAGTGTAAAAGAAGATACAATTAGAACACATCAATGAATTAGAGAGAAAACTAAAGAGTCTAAGATCTTAATTGGAGGAAACAATAGAGAATAAGGAAAATGAAATTAATGATTTAAAGCTTCACATGGAACAATAACTAAAGTTGATGGATTAAAGGAATACTAATTCTTATTTTGATTTTGAAGAAAGAGAATAATAGTGGATCTAAGATCTTCAATAGAAAACAGAAATCATTGAAACATTAAAAGGGGAGTTGGAAAAGACTAGGAGCATCAACTATAATATTCAAGAGGATGCACTTAAGAACAACATTTAAAATACATAGTTGAATGTTACAATTAATAATCTGAAAGGTGAATTAAATCAAGCCAAATAAGAGTAAGCTCATTTGATTGACATGCTAAAAAAAAGAAAGGAAGAAGCTGAACAATTACATTTAGGATTGGAAGAGGCAAGAAAGGAAGCTTAAGCAAAAAAGAATATTGCTGAAGATAATAGAAGTATATAGTTGATAATATTTTAGGGACATTGCTTAGGTAATAGGATTTATAGGCATCATTGGAAAATTTGTAGAGAGATAATTTAGTTTTGACTTAGAAGGTCAATTCTTTGAATAATGAACTCTCAAGGAAATAAAGGGAGCATTAAGAAAAGTCTGAGGAATACACCATTCTTAGAAGGAAATATGATGAGACAGTCTAAAATTTAGAGAGATTGGAAAAGAGATGGGGAGATAAAATAGAATAACATAGAAAAAATTGATTAGTTAAATTATTTAAATTAATAAATAATCATTTTACTAATAATTCTGCAAACTATCAATAAATTAATCTAATTAATTGGATTACATTTTATTAGATAATTTATATAAATTCTGTTTTAGTGCTATTATAATACAGTTAATAAATTGTAATAAATATAAATAATGCTGAGCCCAATAGAAGTTTTTCAGTAAATGGTGAAATCTGACACCTAGTATCATATATGATTCATATTCGTAAGATTTGTCAATAATTCAACATTAAGTTCATTTAATACTTTCAAATAAAGATTATCAAGTTTGGGATTTAGTTCGCGAAGCAACAGCAGTTTCATAAGTGAAACATTAGCCACTACGACAACAACTTAATCTTCGCATTTTAACTATTAGAGCAATTAGACTTTGAATAAAATCGATGAATGGTAAAGAAGGCAAGACTAGTTGGTTTAATAATTGGCCTAATCAAAATCAAAGAATATGTACATTCCAAATTATCCACCAAAATAATCATTCGATTTGAGATCAAGATTTGAGCAGCATAATGCCTAATCACTTTAAATAAATATATCCTTGGATAATAAATTCCAGAGATCCCCATCATTAATTGCCCATATGCTGGATTCATAAATTATTTCTGATTTAAGTGAGCATCCAATAAGCAAATCTAAAACCAAAGATGATGAATAGAAGAAGAAATCAAACCTCAAAACATCAGCACAAAAAACTGTTGAAAAAAAATCCGTAAAAATTGAGGAGAAGCGAAAATCACAATCAGAAACTATTCCAGGGAAAAAACCAAGGGCATCAAAAAGCGAGGTTAAACCTCCTAAGACCCCCGATGCAAAATTAAAGAAGTAAAAAAGCAATTCTAGTTTGTCATCTCCTTCACCAAAAAAAAAGAGTTCCAAACCTGGAGTGGAATCAGTGGATTCATTTCTATAATAATCAAAAAAGAAAAAAAAGTGAGAAAAATGCAATTATAATTATTTTGCAGTAATTTTATAGTATAATTTTATTACTCTTTATTATTATCTATAATATTTAAAGAAGCAGGAAAATCCGAAAAGATTTGAGTCCCTTTAAGTATCTATTACTGGAGATATTTTCTTTGTAGAATTAGTAACTATTTAAAGGTAAATGTGAATCAAATCTTCAATATATGTGTATGTACTCCTTTTGCATTTATTGAGAATATAAATTATTCTACTTTATTACCTAAATCATTAGGATATTAATAAGATAAGAATAATAAATAAATAATTTATGTGATTCTATGATTTGATTTTTTAAAAAATATATATAAATTGAGAAATGACTTAATAAAGTGAAGAGACTATCGATGACTTTTTGATCAAGCTCTATAATGAGAAAAAAATGAGTGAAGAAACTAAAGAGAAAATAATGAAATCCATTGAGAGATTTGTTAAATTGTTAAAGCAAGTAAAATATCAATCCCTCAATCCTCCTTTATCAAAATTGTATCATACTTATTTTGGGTCGTTGTTAAATGGCTTTGGAACACAATCATCAGATGTTGATTACACAATATTAACTAATTCATATGTGAATGAAAAGCAATTCCTTTAATTTACAAAATAAGAAATTGAAAAAATTATCAAGTCAAACAAAAATTATTCAAGATTCGTAATAGAAAGATATGTTGATTCAGCTCGTATTCCCGTTATCAATATTAAGGATACAGTTGAAAATGTGGAGTTTGACTTGTGTGTCAATAATATTTTAGGAGTAATAAACACAAAACTACTAAATTAATATGCTAGTCTTCATGAGAATGTAAGAATAGGAGGGGTTCTCTTAAAAGTGTGGGGAAAGGCCTAAAAATTAATAAACCATAATGATTTTTCCTCTTATCAGATAATATTGATGTGGATTGCATTTTTATAGAGAGAGCATATGCTACCAGTATTGTAAGACAAAGAATTATTACGTCAGACTAATGATTAATCAGGAAAATTGGAAATCGCAAGAGCAAAGTCAGGGGATGAAGCATCGTCTCCTACTGATCACTTTACAACAGATGTGAGTTTCTTGACTGACCCAGAAATAATCAAATAGAAGATGGAACAATGCACAGTGGGATGTTATAAGATAAGTGAATTGTTAAGGGATTTTTGGAAATTTTACTAATTTCCTGATGGTAAATTTTTTAAAGATGAATACCTCATTTCAATCCATTAACCTAATAAAGATCTATAAAAAAAATGGGCAACCAACCTTAAGTTCTTAACAAAAGACCCTTTTGATATCTCTCACGACCCAGGTTAAAGGGCTAAGAATATTGAAGAAAGAAGATTGGAAATTTTTGAAAAGTCAAAAATAATAATGCAGAAATAGTTACTGTAATAAGTAAAGGAGATATTTTCATAATAATGATTGAATTGCATTATAAAATTTAATATTACATCATACTATAACATTTTCTGAGGGAATTGAATCAGCTTCTAATTCATCAAGTCTAATATGATCTTTGTTCATGGCTCTATATTGTTCTATCTTACTATCCAAATATTTCTTAACGCAAACAACTGCAATGATCAATATCAATACAAAACCACTAGGCTGTTTAAATAAATAATTACATCAAAGCGCAGCCTCCAATGATAACAGTCATTTAGTCTTATTCATAAAAATAGATTTCTTTGCCTGTCAATGTGAAATTATGCATTATTATACATTATTTGAATGCTGAATGATCATTTTCTTTTATTTTCGTTGGACAATTAGTGGCATTCATCTTCAGGAAATACTGAGTAGAATTCGTGCTAGTGGGTTTGCATTATAGCCATGGAGATATGGATTTAATTGAAAATATGGAAAGTTAAGAGCTAGAAATGCCAACCATAAAAAATTATCTGTATTGGAAGGAAGTCTTAGAAAAAGGGTCTTATTCAATGGCATTTTTTGAATACGTTGTGGATTCCCACTTTCTAAATTCTTCGACATTCATTAGATCAATATCTTAGAAGAATAAGGGGGTTTCACTTTCAGTGATAAATTTGTTAAAGACTGAGTGATATATTACTCTATGAACTTCAGATCCAATCAAAATAGCTACATGTTCTCCAACCCAAACATCAAAAATATCCATATCTTTAGAATAAATTTTATTAAAGTAGTATGAATCTTCATTCACTAGAACTTCAAGTGCATACGGAATTCCATCCATTGTTTCAGCAACCAAGAAAAATGTATCTTCATAAAAATCAAACTATTAACAATTCTTCAAATTGATCATAAACCCTGTATTCTAATATTCTCCTATAGACAATATCCTATAGAAAAGCAGTCCAGCAGACTTGTCTAGTAAATATAGGATAGTTGATTCAGGATTAGTTCTGACTGATACAATTTCCGACCCAGCAGTAAATGATGTAAATTTCAAAAGAGTTGTCTCAGTAAATTGATAAACTTCAACTAGATTTGTACCATAAATTAAATAAAGGGCATTCAATTTTTCATCGAAGTAAATTCTTGTTGGAAATATTTGGCCTTAACCATTCTTCTCTAAATCTATTAGCTGAAAATCTGGATCCTTGAATAGAAAAGCTGAATCCTAACCAAACACAGCACATGTTTTATTGAAACAGGCAATGTGATGTTCAGAACTATTACCATGTGTTGTTTGTATGCTTTTTAGTTTTAAATCATTCACTGATCTATCAAGCATATCAAGGACAATTTCGAAAATCAGAATTGAATTATCACTTCTTGTAACAAATACAAGATTATCATCGATGTACATATTAGTCAAAAATGCATTGGTTGATTGGGTTGATTGATTTACTAAATGTTTATATATCAACCTTCTTTCGTATTAATTGCATCCGGGCAATGTGAATGGATCCAGAGTCACATTAGGATGAATTCGAATATAGTCGCCATCAACGATTTCTCCAAGCTCCATGCTATAAACTCCTGGGTAGCTTAGTAGATACATAGTCTTACTGATTACCTATTGTATTGAAGGAGGAGTGTAGAATCGACATTTGGAGAGTAGAAAGTGTGAGGAATCTATTCATAGACATGCCTTTTGGCTGGAGTCAAGAGCCTATCCGCAAAGACCACCTATAATAATATTAATAACATTAAAAATATAATGGGATGCAATGAATCACGTAAAGAGAATAAGATCTCACTAAATGAAGTGGTGTTGGATAAACTACACAGATTGTTTGATAGATTGCGCACTCGTTATAGAGAGTATAATTAATTCGTTTTTCTTTAGAACTGCTTCAACAGACTATCTGTGCTAAGAGAGTTTGGAGTTTCTATGTGATGGTAATCCATCTTTGGGAGGAAAACTATATCAGTTCATGTTGAAGCATTCCACAAACAAGAAAGTGGATTTCGAGAACTTCATCCCCATAGTCGAAATCTTGATTGAAGAACCAAGTTCTTATCATCTCCAAGGATACAGATCGCTGGACAAGATGGAGATCTTTTTCCTTATTAGCTTGCAACGACTATCAATAGATGATCCTGAATTCAAAGATTCCAATGTATCCTACTTAGAGGCACTACAATTTCTCCAAGATGTAGAGTACATTTCTTTGAGATCAGGTTTGGCATTGACTTCAAAATTCACTCCAGATGAATCAGTTGCTCGATCCATATTGAGTGCTGTGTATCCCAACAGTTCTGGAGCTGTGAAATGGTGGAGTCTCGTACTCTTCTTTAAATAGCTATTCCCTCACCTAACAGAATAAGTTAAGCAATATTTCACCATGCTCTTTTTGAGTGTACAACAATAGAAACTCTAAGCAAGGTATCAAATCCAAATTAAATCAGATTTACTAAACCATCTTATTTACTCAATAGTCCCCAATACATCTATTTAGCACTTGGAAATGCATACATTAAATCATCAAGTCAAGTCAATTTGTTATGGAGTAATGCTGTCTCAGGATGGAATTTCGAGTCTCTCTACAGAGCTCTGTTATCATTTGACGGACCAACCGTATTCCTCTTGAAATTCAGTAATGATTCTGAGGAGTCAATTGTTGGAGCCTTCCAGAAGAAAAAATGGATTGATTCAGGTTTATATTAAGGCAACGAGGAAAGTTACCTTTTCCAACTGAATCCCAAATACAAAGTGTTTGCAGCCAGTCGTTTCAAAAGAACATTCCCTAATGAAAGTGATTAAAATACTCAAAATTACTCCTATCTACATTATTTCGGAGAAGGAGTTGGAGATTACAAAGGCTTAAATGAAGTCGCACCATCCGGAGTTGGTTTTGGAGGTGCCAACAATAAGTTCAGATTGTGGATAGATGCCCAAGATATGCAAAGAAAAAGTTATGTTACTCCAGAAGATGAAACCTATAAAAAAGGTATATCTGTAATTGTATCATTCAGGCTCATTGATCAACCCAGTGTTGAAAGAATACAAATTGACCTATGCTGAAATTTGGAGTGTCGGAAAAGAAGTCGATATTCTGAGCACTCAATTATTAATTGAAAAGGCAAATTATTTAGAATCCCATTATCTGAGATCTTCCATGAGAGTTCAAAAAGAAATGATTGGATTAATGAAAGGACCATTAAATATGGAAGAAGAATAACAGGCTCGTTTGTCTGGAGTTTCCAAGTCTCATATTAGAACTTCCTCAGCAGTTCAATAATCAAGGAAAGCCTAGATTCTAGACATGGTTGATCCACAGGCTGTTCAACCTAACTATTAATCTAATCAAAGAAATACTTAAACCTCCTTGGCCAGAAGCAAGACCTCCAAGAGCTATGTGCCTTAACCAGCTTAAATTCAGGAAGAAGGCGTTGAAGAAACCGGTTTCGGAGCAACTACTTTGTTTAGAGGCAGTGCTCCCCCAGAATAACCAAGAGAACCCGATGTCGGCTATGGTGCTACATAGCTTATCAGAAGTTCATATCAAAAAGAATGACATAAAACAAATCATATAAATAAAGATACATAAATATTCACACCTCTTCATTCAATATAACAATGACTAAGAAACTGACTCAGAATCTGAACTATTATGAGATGACCCTGGAGGTTTATCAACCGGGGGTTTGACCTTATTCATATGGAATATCGATCTTCTCTCTTGTTTTTTGAAGTTCAAAGGAATCTGCTATGATGATTATTGTGTTTTGATATATTTAGATGATCTTACCACTTGCTCCTCAGTATGCTTAAAATTCATCTTTATATACTACAGAGACTTTGATCTACATCTGAGCACTTTAAGTTCCTTCTGCTTTCTTTGGTTGTGTTGTCCCTTTAATTGCTTACTGATTTGTTGAAACATGTTGTTTATTAGTTCATCAGCTGTTTCTTGATTCTGAGGCATGTTTGTATCTGAATTTCTCCTTCCATTCACTCTCTAATGAATTAATTTCATAGAAGGCATAGAAACCCTAGATTTGTGAGTATTTTGTAAGAACTTTTCAACCTTCTTATCCAACTTATTCTATTGTTTCCTCTTCATTTCATCTTGAATTTTCTACATCTATTTCTACTTGTTCTCCTCATTCTCTTTATGCAGAATTCTATCATAAAGACTATCCCAATATTTAACACCAAATATTCTACTTCTCAATTCCCTTTGCAATCGAAAAGCAGGATAACAAATAAACGGAATTTGCTGTTATATTTTTCTAAATTATTCTAAACTGATCTTATCTGGTCTCTCAATATCCAACAGCTCTACTGCCTTCATGTAGTTATAATAGAAAATCTTTTTCCCATTTCTCTTCTAAACTAAAAAATTCATTAAATCCTTTTTTGAAATAAAGTTATCATGATCGCTATCCAACATCTAAAACACATATGCAACCACGCTATCTTTTGTGTATAAACAATATAAACTAATAGCTGGTAACCACTCAGAAAAACTTACCTTTTATTCAACTTCCTTTTCAATCAATTAAAACAAATATTCAATATAAGGACTGACTACACTATTAAATTCTTCATCTAAGAATTCAAAGAAGTTTTATTAACTGATATACCCTGTTCCCATTGTGTCCATCTTCCGAAATATTTTATGTAAATTGGAAACATCTGCTTGTGAAAATAAAAACTTCTTCTAAATATATCCAATTCTTGAGTTCGTTGATATAACTATCTATTCATCTGCTTCTGTTGTAGTAAATAACTTTTATGAAACTTATCCCATTCTTAATATATTTATATTCTAAAATACTTTGAATTATATATTATAAATTATATTATTATTTATTAAAATATATATAGCTATTCTTAAGTTTAGGAAAATATTAAAATCAAAGTGACTCACTTACCTTTAATAAACATTTGATATTTATTTTTATTAACTCTGGTTATCTATTTTTAATCTAAAAATGCCATAAAGCCTGTTAAAATATCACTTTATTATATCTGAAAGTTAAAGATGATTTATAATAACTAGTGCTATGTTAGATTCATAAAAATCCTGCATAAAATACCTTTAGATATGGTTAAGGATTTCGATTATGAGTAAAGAAAATAGATTAAATACATTTTAATATAAAATCTAATAATTTAGATATAGATTAACTCAGAAACATAAGAAGAGAAGAGTAAATTTATTAGAGTTTAATAATAAATTCTTCGACACTTGAGATGGGCTCGAACTTTAAATGATAATTTATAAGAAATTATTTAAATTTGAGTAAAGTATTAAATAAATAATATTACTGAAATTTAATAAGTTAAAGACATTTTCTAAATGTCTTAGACAAAATTAAAATAATTTAGGATTCCACTTTTAAGTTAAAGACGGAAGACTATACTCAGACATAAAATGATGTCAAACATCAGGTGGGTCATGTTGAATTTATAGCTCTTTTTTCATGTTTTTAAATTATCTTTATTATCTAAATATAATTGAAAATTTATTTATTATGGAAACATTAATTGTCATTTTTTCTTTCATTAGATTTATCAAAATATTTTTTGGAGGTCTACCGACCTCAAACTTGACATTTACCTTAGTGAATTCAACTTTTAAAATGAAAAGTAATATGATACATCATTTGTATTTAATAAAATATCAAAAATATAATCATAGAGCTAAATATCTCTTGTGTTGACATTAATTACTTAATGAATTAAAATTAATATACTCATGTATATATGAATTTAAAGCTAGATGTTCTTCAGTTAATGATATTGTTAGATAGAATAAATATATTAACTTCAGTTTGTTATTATCTTATCGATCCAAGTAGATAAAAGTTTCTCAGTAATTTTAGTCGTCCAATCCAACTTATTATATTGATTTATACATGTATATATACAAAGTATCCATGTTTTATATCCAAAAAATTTATGAATTAAATTTTATCAATCAATAATAATTATACCAAGAATGGTTTTGATACTATCGTTGATGATGCTCTTCTAAACTTACGTTTGTTAGTGGACTTATATTGCAAAATATTATTACTAGGATATCAAATTTCAGAATCAAACTAATGTAGGAGGCTTCAATATTCCTCAACAATCTAAAAGTGCCTATTACATAGATTGTGACTCTCCATCAACAAGTTAGATAACTCTTACATCAGAATTACCAAGGCTAATAAGTGAAGATTAATTGAACCTCAATTCTGGAGACTATGTCTCACTTGATTTATTTTTCTCAGGTATTTGGAATAATGACATTTTTAAAATAATAATAGGGGGTCAAGTTATTTCACTTAATTATACAAAACCTGATTAATATCCAATATCTAGTGGATTTTGTGACAATATATAGGCTGATGCTAAGAGTTTAAATTTTAAAATCTAAACCACATAATAAGTTAACCTGGAATTCCAAATATAAAACTCGAATGTTGATGGATAAGTTTCGATTAAAAATTTGTTTATATCAAGGCTCTTATGCCATCCTTTATGCATTTCCTGTACAGGTTAAGAATCTACTTAATGTACAAGTTGTTATAGCGGAACTCCTAATAATAATCGATGCCCTTTGTGCCCATCTAATTAGTCACTGATGCCAGATATTGGTTGCACAGTGATGTGTGACTTTTATTAACGCGAAACTTATGAGAAAATTTGTGTATATTTTAAATGTAATTGTATAATTTAACTCTAGCAAGCACTCTCTATTAGGAAACCTTATATCCAAATGAAAAGAGGTATCAAGTGATTCAAACTAGCCTTATAGGCTTATCATAATATATGCTAGCATCTACTTCATAAGACCATGGAATATTCACTCTGAATTCTGGTACTATTAAGTTTATTGATTTATCCTCATTTAATTAAGGATATTTCTTGATAGGATTAAAATTAGTTATATCATTATACGATCCTATTCCTATTGATACTAGAATAGAATTTCATATTAATAATACTTACTATGGATCTATTTATTAAACGGATTAAGGAATGTAGCTACACAGAATTTAATTATATAAAACTGAAGACTTAACTTGTGTCAGTTTATGGACAAATTGCAAAACTATTACGTTATTTATGTTTGTAGATATACCTAATTATTCCTTTGCTTTTAAAGCTATTGGATACTATTAGTAAATATTACATCTCTAATAGAACTTCTGGTGCAGGTTGGAGCATAAAATAGATTGAGGTCTCATCTGGAAAATGTCAGGAAAATTGCTAATATTGCGAATTAGCTTATTTATGTAAAATTTGTAATGTTGGTTTGTATGTCTCAAGCGATGGTAATTGTGTAAAATGCGAAGAAACTTATTAAATAATAAATGAAGGTTCTTGCATAGACTATGGATAAGAAGCTCCATGTATTTATCTATTGATATCTTAGATTCTGGATATTTAATATAAAATGAAAAGTTTGAACTAACAAACGATCCATCCTAAACTACAAAATATCTACTTGCTTCAGCAGAGGGATTCAACTTTTTAAAAGGATCAAATATTTGGTATTCGTTTTGGCATGAAAAATTCATTTTTGGGGGATAGTATGTTTGGAGTCAAGCAAAATTCAAAATAATTCATTAATCACTAAGTCCGCATTATAGTGTTACAATTGGATTTTACATTTTATATGGACCAAATTTCCCTGAGGATGGCTAATTCATATATACCTTTGAAAACGATCAGCCTATAACTAAATCTGCATAGAGTGCAAATTTATCTTTTGCAGATGCAACTCTGTCTGAAAGAGTAAAAACTATTCATCCACATTCTTCCGATACGTTAACTTTATATTGGGAATGCAAAGGCAGTAACAATAATATATATGATGCATATTGTGGATTGTATGGTTATAATGTGGTCGTTCATTATTGTTAACCTTATTGTCTAGAATGTTCAAGTGAAAAAGTTTGCACTAAATGGGATAATTCTGTTGATGCCAAATTTCATTCAGTAATAGGTTGTTAACCAAAAACATATTATAATAAACAAGAATAAAAATGCTTACCTTGTCCTAATAGATGCAAAACTTGTACATCTGAAATGCATTGTTAATCATGTGAATTAACGTATACTCTTACTAAATCAGGTTGTAAATGTTTAATGACTCAGTATTATGCTGATAATTAATGTTATGAATGCCCAATAGGATGCAATCAATGTCTCAATAACCAGGCTTGTGTAGAATGTTTGACTGCAAATAATAGAGAGTTAAAAAACGGAAAGTGCGAATGTTTAGATGGATATTATTCTATAAGTTCAAATCCAGTTTGTTAAAAATGTCATAGTTAATCAATCTGCTAGTGCCCATCAGGTACTAGTTATGATGCTTCTTCAAAATCATGTAAAACTTGTCATTCTTCATGTTAAACTTGCTTTAATTTAACTTAGGATGGTTGCTTAACTTGTGACATAACCAAAAACAAATACTTAAAAGGATTAAAATGCGTTTGCCGCGCAGGATATTACGAATAGAATAATATTTGTTTAAGTAATTGATGAATTAATATTATAGGTTGTCCTGAAGTAGAGGATCAGTAAAAAGTACAATGTTATAAATTTTGTTAAGAAAATTATATGATATGGCATACACAAAATTGTTTAATTTGTAAAAGCGGGTTTTAACTTATTGATGGTGAATGTACGCCAATTTGTGGAGACCACATAGTTGTAGGATATGAATAATGTGAGGATGGAAATAATGATATAGATGATTTATGCTTTAATTGCTAATTTTAATGCCCTAGTGATTGTTAAACTTGCAATTCAAATACTATGTTACCATGTTCTGGTTATTGTGGAGATGGTATTGTTAATGGTACCGAAGAATGTGATGATGGGAACTAGATTTAATATGATGGGTGCCATAATTGCAAATTTTAATGTTTCTCGAAATGTACAAATTGTGTCAAAGGTAAATGTACATAATGTGTCACTAAAACACATAATCACAGCTTTGCAATGTCTTCTGAGAATTGTTTCTTATAGTGTGGAAGTGGGAATGTAATTGTCAGCGATTAATGCATCGATTATAAATCAATTACTAATGATGAGTGTTAAATCTGTAGATTTAAATGCAGAAGTAATTGTATTAATTGTGAATAAACTACTGGAAGATGCCTAGACTGCAACGTAGGGTTTAAACCTAATTCTTCCTTCTGCGAAAACATTTGTGGTGATATATTAGTAGCTTAAGATTCAACTAACTTTTATACTGAAGCTTGTGACGATGGAAATATTATCAACAGGGATCTTTGTAGTAGTTAATGCAAGAGAGAATGTTAAATAGAAGAAGTTTGTACAGACTGCAGAAATACATTATGTTATGCTTGTGGATATGGATACTATTTGAATGAAAATCATTATTGTTATTCTATCTGCGGAGATTTAAAAAAAGCAAAAGATGAGGAATGTGACGAAGAAAAGCCTTATAAATGCTTAAATTGTTTAGCAAAATGTTAAGAGTCATGTTTGTAATGTTCTACTTAAGGTAAAGGCTGCTTATAATGCAAAGAAGGTTATCGAAATATAGATAATATGTGTGAGACTATTTGTGGAGATGGTTATGTAACTGCTGACGAATAATGTGATGATGGAAATTTTATATTTGAAGACGGATGCCATCAATGTTTAAAAGTTTGTACTATAGGTTGTTCTGCTTGTATTGATGGAAGTTGTACAGATTGCCATGAAGGCTACTAATATTTTAAGTAATAATGCATTAAAATTGATGAGAACTTTCATGATCCCAGATGTAATTCTGATTGTTTAGAATGCAGTATCGAAAGGCATGGATGCTTGAAATGCTAATCTGGATATAACAACATTGATAATAGGTGCTATTCCATTTGTGGAGACTAAAACAAACTTGATATTGAAAAATGTGATGATGGAAATTTTATATTTGAGGATAATTGTCATCAATGTGACTTTAATTGCCCTATTTCTTGTTCAAATTGTATTGAAGGTGTTTGCATTCGATGTTATGAAGAATTTTTTCTATATAAAAAAAGATGTTTTTCAAAGATTGAAAATGATCCATTGGCTAGTCTTACAAATTTTTAATATTCAAATTTAAAAAGTCTGTAATCTTTCTCTTCAACATTGTTTTCATCCTATTAATTTCAAGTAGAAACCCCAGATCTGAATTAATAAAAATATAATTAGAAGGATTATCATCCAATAGTTGTGTCAGAAATTACGAACTCTATCCGTTTTACAGTTGATTTACAATGCTCTAAAAATTAGAAATTAGATATTTAATTCAATACTTTTGAACACACGGAAGGCTTTGATAAGGAGTCATTAATATTCTAAGGTGAATGTCATAACACTTTTTATCATTCAATTAGAGTCTCATTTATACTAAACAAAGTTATTACAAAGAATGAAGATGAAATATTGGTAATAATAATAAAAGATAATGAATTAAAATTTGCATTGATAAACGGGGATTTTTTACAAAATCTTCTCTCATTTAAATTTGTTAATGTGTGAAATCTTTGCTGCTGATAGTGTATTTATAAATATTATTAAAGTATTAAATTATTTATATCTCAAATTTTAACAAATGTTATAGAAATATGATCTTGTATTTTGTTCTTTCGGTTACTCTATAATATGTAATATAGATTTGATTATTCTCTATATTATATATCAAATAAAAATGCCGAATCTTTGAGGAAAAAACCATAATTTACTTGAATTATTTAATATATTAGGTTATTATATTTTTCAGATATGA